ATGATGTGAATGGAACACGCGAGAAACATGACTTACGAAACGTCTAGACCTCGAACTGCTCTCGTAATATCCACAAGGGTGAGAGCCAACTGTTGAATAGTGCATGTAATCAAAATTGGAGTGACTGGAAGTACAATCTAAGGTAGGCTACGCAGCATCAACCTGAACGCTCTTGGTGACCCGTCCGCTGCACGACCTCGCTCACAGCTGAACTGTCACTACGCTTTTGACCACTAGTAACAACCTCCAGCACACTTGCTAGGCCCGCTATCCATGCAACAAGACACTTTTCCAGTACCCCATTGCTCTCGCTCAAACGTGCGCACTGACGAGCGGTGATAGACTTGTAGAGATTGCCAGGTAGTCTGTGAGAGCTTCCCCAAAAGATTCTAGACCGGTACGAATTTATTGTCAACGACAGTATGTCAAGAGGACATACGATCAATCGTCCACTTCTCTACTTGACTCGATTCAATCTGCAGGGTCGACGCAACCTCTGAATATCACAGGTCATGCTCAACAGGTGCAAAACCCGGTGACGCAAATGACAGAAGACTCAAGTGTGTGATATCGATCATAATGAACCGACCCACCATTGACCCACCATATTCAGATTTTTGGAGAACAGTGGGACGGCTTTCGAGCCATGAATGGAATTCTGGTAGACCACTATTCAAAGATACCTGCAGAAGCGAGAAAAGGTCATGATCTTTTTGCTGCGACAACAGTATCCAACTTGAGCAATGGATCCAAGTCAAACAAGGACGGTAAGCGCAATGCTAAGGCTATGACATCGATAGCTGCGGATTGACCTTTGGGCGAAGAGGATGGTAATGAAGAAGCGTGAGAAAGCGTGTAATGATAAGCAGTACTAGTATCCCCGTATGAATCAAATGACATCGTTTCAACCACAGCCTGGCTGAGCCTGCCGCCGCATCAGTGAAATGGAATAATGGTATCAACAACTTGAAGTGGACTTAATGAACTGACTGCGCTCTTCGCTAGAGATATCCTATTCTTGTAGGCACTGCTTGACATCCTTTCTGGATACACGTAAGGTCTCGAGCTCTCCGTTTGCAGCGGCGACTTGTAGTAACGCGGTGCAAATAGCCTTAGGTAGGCTGGTTTACAAGGAGTAACATTGAACAAATCTATCAGATATGCTATTTAAGAACTGAGCGCTGAGCACAGTCTGGAATCTGGATAAAGGTGGTACTTACACACGGTGCCTTATTGTTAAATGGATGCTCCAAAGCATTAAGATGAAGCGAGAACACCCAGGCTCAGGATCGAGGGGACGTGATGTTTGAATTTGATTGGTCAGCCATAGTGTCAGAAGGTGAGAGGTTGAAGTAGCTCTCGATTTCTGCATGTCTGATTTACTGCGGAGAATACTGCGAATGCATATCTGCACTAGACTGTACTAGTACCTGTACGAGCGGTAGAAATTTTGATGCGTTATTCGGGGCTGTACACGCAGTCTGAACGGTGATTACATAAATTTATTGCTCGTACCTTGAAGTGATGGAACCGAAATTTTTCGGACGACCAAAATTAACAGAGCCTATATATATCCTGATGCAAGTGGAGACTCATCGATGCACCTACAGCGTAGCGCTATTCACAAAATTTAGACGCAATAGGGAGTTTTTGCTAAAAGATTTATCAATAATTTTATCAACTTACGTGCACCTAACTAGTACAATTGGAGCCCGGTGAAACTTGCCGAACTCTCGATTTATGTAACCAACGCCGTCAGTTTTAAAGTTATCCTTTTGATACACGCTGTTTCTTTCGATGTTCATGCTCTAGTATTACTATTAGTGCGCGCTACTTTACTGTAGACCTAGATCTTCTCATAACATTACATTTTCGGTTGCAGCGAATTAGTACTCAAGACTCGGCTTCAATTGATTGCCGGTCCGACGACCTCATTTGGACTATAGTGTCAGCACATGAATCGAGCTCGCTGTTGTGCTCCAGGCTAGTGACTCTTTCCAGCTTCTTTCCTCATTATTGCGAGGTTTCTGCCGGCACTTCCGGAGTGGGATTGAGTGGGGCTACTAAGTGGGAAGAATTGACAGCTGAGGTCCTGAGGATGATTGAGTAAGGTACCGGTGTCGTTCCCAACCAGTGTACGCGGTTACACATCATTCTAGAGTCACAGGACCACAACACACGCCCACTCTCATGGGCCTAGCGGGTGTCATGCCATAGCCGCGTTATTATTGTCGACGGCCTGATGAGTTGTCCAATCAAATTGGTATACACGGAGAGACCGCGTGTGGATGACAACGATTCTCTCAGTAGCGCATGTGGACTGAGGATCTCCGAGTCAGAGAGCATGATCATTCGGGGAATCGACTAACGTCACACGGGGCGCTAAAATTGTTATCGTATCGTATATAACAATGTGTCAACTCCTTGTGAGTGCAAACCTCTCCCCTACTGACGATGAGACTCATCTCTCTATTCGGGCTGCCCTTCGTGGCTGCTCTCGCTAGTGCAGCAGTGCCCTTCAAGGGCTGCCAGCACAAGGTAAAAGAGAGCATTCATGGTCCGCCCCGCGGATGGTCCAGGCATAATCCCGCGCCCAAGCATCATATGCTCGAGCTTAAGATTGCTTTGCCTCAGCCCAAGTTCCCAGAGCTCGAGCAGCACCTCTGGGAGGTGAGCGACCCTAGCCACCCACGCTATGGGGTGCACCTGTCAAAGGAGGAGACTGATGCTCTCACGGCTCCCCATCCCGAGACTTTGGACATTGTCAACGAATGGCTTGCTTCATACGGCCTGGCCGAAGAAAGTCTCATTCGTTCATCTGCAAACGATTGGGTTACTATTCGGGTTCCAGTCGGCCTTGCTGAAGAGATGCTGGATACCGTGAGCAAACCAATCTTGTCTCCGGAGATTACGGTCCATTGACTGCTGAATGTCTAGACTTATCATGTTTACAAGCACGCTGAGACCGGAGAGAACATTGTCCGGACAACGAGCTACAGTCTCCCGGAGATCTTGCACAACCATGTCGATCTTATACAGCCTACGACCATGTTCGCTCGCTTCAAGGCGTTCAAGAGCACGCTACTCTGGGCTAACCAGGTGGAGGCTCCAGTCTTGAGCACGCCTAGTGGAACGATCACAGGGCCTGCAGGCAATCAGGTTAATGCAAGTTGCAACAGCACCATTACGATTTCATGCTTGAAGCAGCTATATAATGCGGAAGCTTACAACACGTCTGCTACGAACGGCAACAAGCTGGGTCTCACTGCTTATCTGGGCCAGTATGCCAATAACATGGACCTCCAACAATTCTTCCAGCTTGAAAACCCATCTGCTTACGGCTCAAACTACACTTTCGTTTCCGTTAATGGTATGCTGCACTCAAAGCTCGGTAGTTACGTTACTGATTTGTTCGACAGGTGGACTAAACAATCAGACCTATGCGGCAGCAGGCGTTGAAGCTAATCTTGACACTCAGTTTGGCTTTGGACTCACATGGCCCACTCCTAGAACGTTCTACTCGACTGCTGGCGCGCCCCCTTTCGACCCTGATATGTTCTCGCCGACTGATACAAATGAGCCATACACATACGTAAGCTTGAGCCACTGTGATCCAACTTTCAATGTGCTGATGAGTCTACGATCCCAGTGGCTCGATTATGTTCTTTCGCAGCCTTCGCTTCCTCAAACGATCTCTACCAGTTATGGTGATGATGAGCAAACTGTCCCGTTCACCTATGCAAGCCGTGTCTGCGCCGGCATGGCAATTCTCGGTGCTCGCGGAGTGTCTGTTTTGTTCTCCTCTGGCGATTATGGTGTTGGTGATGGCAATCCCGACCCTGCCACACAGGTGTGCTACTCCAATGATGGGCTCAATGTCACGAAATTTTTGCCTACTTTTCCCGCTGCTTGTCCATAGTGAGTGATCTCGGCAATCGAGAAAAGGAGTACGGCAACTAAAGATGAGATAAAGCGTGACGGCTGTGGGCGCCACTGTCAATATCCCAGAGACTGCTATATTCTTCTCTGGTGGTGGTTTTAGTGACTATGTGAGGAATTTAATAGTTGACAGCTGCTAAAATGCTAACACGTTCCCAGTTCGTTCGTCCAGCATACCAAGAAGTTGCCGTCTCAGAATACCTAGCAAAACTTGCACCTGGTACCTATGAGGGTCTCTACACCTCGTAAGTGCCATGAACTACTCCGATCGGTGTACATTAATCGAGTCGTTTATTTGCAGTTACGGGCGCGTAAGTGACCTCTTCAGTATGTAAGGATCTGACGGCTAACATTCATTCAGGGCTTTCCCGATGTGTCAGCCCAGGGGATGAACTTCTCTATCGTCTACCAGGGCGAGACGGCGCTCGTTGGCGGCACATCCTGTTCTTCACCCACGTTCGCCTCGTTCGTTTCCATGCTGAATGACGCACGCATTAATGTCGGCAAAACCCCTCTCGGCTTCCTCAACCCTTTCTTGTACTCCACTGGATACACCGCGCTGAATGATATCACCGTGGGCAACAACCCAGGATGTGGAACTGAGGGCTTCAACGTATGTCATATCTACGTGCCCTCGAGTCGTGTCACTGATCTGATTTCCATGCGCAGGCCACAGTTGGATGGGATCCTAGTGAGTGCATGCATTTGGCGAGCGATTTCCTATTTCGATGTTGACAATACCTGCAGTTTCAGGCCTTGGGACACCCAATTTCGAGAAGTTGTTGGCACTGGCCTTGAGCATGGCCTAAATATGGTATATGAGTGGACAACCTATGGGGTGTACATCATGAATAGACGTCAAGCATATAAAGTTGCAACGGTACTATTACGAGAAAGATGAGACGAAGTCAATAATGACTGGAGGTGATTACAGGAAAGATTACGCAGTGTTTTCCCCTGCAATGGACCGCGGCTTGAAGCAGAGCGACTGAGCATTGCTTCACACAGTGTACACGTCAGTAAGAAATCTCATCTAGGCCTTCATGACACGGGGATTGGGTTTAGTAGATGCCGGGGATGAGCCGGTACCTGACGACCTTTGCCCACCTCTGCCATTCGTCTCCAAACATTGACTTCACAACCTCATCCTCTTGATTGATTCTGCGCAAGAGGCTTGTCACAGTAATCGTTCTCTCCAACAACCATCCCAGCAGAACCAGTTTCACTCCAGGGAGATCTAAGACCCCTGATTGTCTAATCCACGAAGTTGCAGATCCGTGCAAGATCACTACGCCGATATACTGCAGGACAGCTGCTGAGTAAGAGGGATGGCGTACGATGGAGTATGGTCCAGTCGTGACAAGCTGGTGACCCTTACGGGTGGTGAGCTCGAATGTGAAGAAACGACCAAGGGTCCGAAAACAGGACCAGCGGAGGTATCCCGCTGTAGCAACAAGTGCAGAACCAATAATGAAAGGACGAGTGATTGGCACGTCTTGGATTCTAGGAAGAACTGGACTGATTGTGTTTTGTATCACGCTGGGAAGTGTTTTGGGGTCCGTGATACGGGTGACGATGAGAGCTATTTCTGCCAAGGAGACACCCCAGTAAACTATCTGGGCGTAGTTCCATCAAAGAGGATCTTGGACAATCCGTGAACATGTACCTTTGCGATCGGGAGCCCGTATTTAATGTGCTGGATGATGACCCATTCATTAAAGTTATCATGAACGACCTCGTTCTTCGGTGGGGCATGCGGAGGACTGAGCGCCACGTGCACAGCGACAGCAGACGAGATGATGAGTGGGATCTTGACGAGGGACATTTTCATAAAGAATGCTTGGCTTTTTCGGTTACCTTTATAGAATCCATCGCTGTGTACGTCATATGATGTTCAAAAAAGTTACTTGTATGTGCTGTCACTGGTCAGTCTGATTGGATCCAGGTAGCACGGATGTTTCGATTTAATTGGGGCGGATGTACGATTTCCGCACCAGGTGACAACTTTGATTCTTCCGCGCAAGTCTGATTGGTCGATATGTTTGGCTGTTTTCGCGCGGGCCGTAGCATGACTCTGATGCAACTTCGGGGGCTCTCGGCATACCAATTATGGTCAGCGAAGACCTCTAATGTTTCAGATAGATGCTTGCATGGCTCAGTGTTTGACTCGACGTTGTTGCTCGTAGTTACGTCTGAACTGTTCATATGGGCGCAATATGAAAATGTAAAATCAGCCTTACTCACGTCCGGAAGGTTCAAGGGGTGGATGAATTATGTAATGCCGCTAGCAGAGATATGGGCTATATCCAGGATTCTAGATATATTGTCCAATGTCCAGGCTTGGATGCGAAGGGTGATATTTGCTCGATCATGACATCAGTATGAAGGCCAAATTTCCCCTCGAAACACGGATCCGGTGGTGACGGGAGTATACCTGTCGACCGCATGAGCCTGAAATGTATATGACTTAGACGTCTAAATCCATACCTTAGCCGACGTCCTTCCTGAGGAATCAATCAACATGACAGGTAGCAGAGAGGAATCACAGTTGAAGACACCGAGCTAGTCACGGCATTCCGCATCGAGGACAAAGGTGGATTGTGCGCGGAAGAAAATCAGACGGAAAACCTCGCGCAGGTCCGGCCAGGCGACAATTTGTGCCTCAGAGAGAAGTCGGTACCCTGGTACTTGCTGGATGAAGAGGTAGTTACGCAGCCGGGATGTGCTGGTCAAAATGCATTGCAAGCCATCGTCGTTATTCTGAGCGCAAGCAACGAGCGTGTAGATCTCCAATATCCTGATCTGTCTCTCTCCGACGGTTTGGGAGGCATTCGCTAAAAGGCTGCATTGATGCGGGCAGCCCTCAAAGGAGTGGGACAAATGTTGTTGACTTTGGACTCTTGCTGACGAGGAACAACTTAATTCTTGTACACCAACTTGAATCATCTGAGGGGTATGAGCATGGATACACGTGTGAAAGCAATAAAACAAAGCCTTGATCGACCTGTTACTCACAACATGAGAAAAGTTCGTGCGGACGTGTAACCTTTCAAGCCTAGAATCGAACGTCAGACTCGGATGCACGAGAGTCGAGACGTTGGACGGTGGCAGTGAAACACAGAAAGATCACGTCTGCAAGTATCCCTACAACACAATGAGAACATAGATTGAACTTGGAGTTGCGCCTGCGAGCAGAGCACTTACGGTCTCACTGTCCGGCCGTGAAGGATCTTGAAATGTTCCATTGCTAAGAACCTCGAAGTTGTCGAGCTTCATGAATTCGAGTGGGAACGCACCAAAGCTCGACGGCTTCGAAGTCACTGCCGCGCATTTCGATATCCACCAATTCTCATCGTATATGGTGCACTGGTGGACGACTGAGACAGGTTACAGTTCGATTTGCTGCGACCGTGACTTATTTGGAAGTCCGATCGATATTTGCTCTAGTATTACGACTCGGAGCAATACTACCTAGGCATCATACACCCAACACATTCCTTTGCTTACAGACCGCTGCACATGTCCGAGACTGGAGTGGTATGGGCGGACCCTGGCCTGATGAAAGGGTGATGGTAAGGAGCAGCAGCTATGGTTGATCTACCTCTGGGCTACACTAGCATGTCAAATAATGTCATTGGTGGCGTGCAACTCGAATGCACCGTCAGAGCATGTGCTAGCATTGTACGAAATATGGTCCGTCTCGCAACATATCTAATATCATCTCTCCAATCAGATGGTACGTCTCTCTGATTTCCAGGGTGAGTCTTTTCCGTGGACAATTTCGGTGACGAAAATATTGCAACAACGTTTAAAAAATTTCAGTCCGGGCACCAGTGTAACCAGTTTTGTCGTTCTTTTGGTTTGCATGCTTTCGTTGTTCTGTCTCTGACATACGGAGATTAACCGTCGGCCTAATTGTTGGAAGATGGGTCCGATACAACTGATCTATAGATGCTGTGATTGTGCACATGTTCGAAGAGGCTCTTGGCGCTGCCGAATCCATGAGTGTTATGCGTCCGAACAAAGCCGGCAAAACCAAGGTGGCTGTTTCTTTCTGCCGAATAACTGAGCGTATTGCTCTCTCAGAAACCTATGTGCTCTCGAGTGGTGCATGGAGGAAACAAAAGAAACTCAAACTACTCACGAAGGAATTCGAGGCTTATTGGAATACGCTAAAGGAGTGCCCGGATCAATTGAAGGTTTGTGCCGTTGCTTTATTATGCTATTGGTTGAAATTACCAGGGGTCACTAGATATGGAACGAGAAGTCGGCTGCGTTGATGTCAACAAGCGGGTCAAAGGGTCGGTGAATGTTGTTTACAACTTTCTTTCAGTTCTATGACAAAACAATCACTAAGCGGTACGTCCCTTACTTACTGAATTTTTGATCATCCGGTGAGATCACTTGGTCAACGATTGCATATTCTTGGATGCTTTCAAGAGGGTCGGCCTGCCTCTTTTTCAATACTCACGTATGACCGATCCAATAGATGCTGCATAGCATAGTGAGTCGTTGGTCGCATCTAGATATCTGTGGCTTACTTGTCACGCTGTCTCAGAAAAAACGTGAAAATTCAGGTAACATAGGCGACGTTGCTTAAGGGCACAGCTTCAATAGATATGCATGACTGACATAGGCTCCAAACCATTTATGTATTGATTCCAAGTTACTTGGTACGCCACACAAACCAATTTCAAATACATCATACACAACTAGGATGCAAGACTTTCGGGCCTGTTGAAATTGAAACCAAAGAATAACAACACTTGACGTGGCCGCACTCAACCCACGGTTTCAGTACACGCCAGGTATGATGCGATACTTCACCTTTCTCGCCCACGCCTCCCATTCTTCTCCGAATGCGGAATGCATCATCCTATCTTCTCTCTTCACTCTTAAGAACAACGCAAAATTCACCGCTGTACACAGGGAAGTTCCAGCGATGACAACAGGTAACACTCCAGGGATCCTTGCTGATACACCAGAGGCCCTTAGCCATGAGTTGCGAGAGCCATGCAGAATGATGATCCCGAGACACAGCATCATCATTCCTGTGTAAGAAGGGTGACGGACAATCCCGTAAGGTCCGGTGGTGATAAGTCGATGATCATGGCGTACGCTGAGCAGAAACGTAAAATAGCGACCGAGGGTTCGGTAGCATAGCCAGCGGATGAATCCACCGCTAGTCACGAGACCACAACCCACAAGAAAAGAAGGAGTAATAGGGACGTCTGTGAGAGTGCTCAGAGCTTCGGATGCCGCCCGCAAAACTGGTGGTATTTTTGAAGAATCAATGCGGCGGGCTAGAATAGCAGCTATTTCTACCATTGCCTCCACCCAGTACAACCCCTGGATGTTAACCGAACCCTGTTGAATGAAAATCTCCTAAAAATAGGCAGGATTCGGACGAACGGATATCGTTTGCGAGGGATATTTTATTTTACGAATATAAGATGAGATAAGAGTTTGAGTTGGAGGACGTAGTTCCTCAGTGGATGCAGAATGAGGAGCTGTTACTGCTACGTGGACTGCGATGGCTGATGAGAGAACTAGAGGTATTTTGAGGAGAGACATGTTCAGTTGGACGGATTTGGTGGGCACTGGGTTACTGGCCTTTAGTACTTTGTTCCCGTATGATTTGGCCGTATAATAGAGTGCTACGTAAGAACTAATAGTTTGTTGTCACTGGTGTGGAGTGCCACGAGGTGCCACATCGATTCTGGCCCCATGTTATTATCGGCAGGCTGCCAGCCAGGTACAGATCGCTCAAGCCCCACGACCGGGGCCCCGATGCACAAGTGTAGTAACAACTTCAGTTATCAGCTTCTGAATCGAATTCATGCACGAATTCGACCGTTTACCAATGCGGTGGACGTCTCAGGATAGACCGCTTGATGATCAATCTTATAAGGAGTTTTGTTCAGAGATTTATCAAGAATTTTATTAACTCATAGGCCCACTTAACTAGAACAACCCGGAGAAATAACTCAGAACTTACTGAATTCTCGAGTGACCAAGTAGTACTAGAGCTAATACTTATGTGTTACGCTTATACTCTCTTATACTGCATCAACTGGAGAGTGGAGGTCCAAGCCTTACGTGACCATGTTTCGGATCACACCGCGAAAAACCCAAAAGTCCAGGCTTAACAAAATTCCCTAATATTTAAATTTACCACCTTTCACTCCCATCGGCGGACCACCAGTGGCACTAAGAATAATGGATGATGATAATTAGCATCAATTGCATTCTTGACGCAGGAGTCATAAGAACGGATCCCGGCCGTTCTCGCTCTTTATAAGATGGCTCAGTTGCATCGAGCGCAAGCGCAATTAAATGTCATTCATGGCTCAACTGGCATCTCCTCATGCACTCTACATATCAGAGATATTGTTCGCCATCTCATACCACCTTGCGGATGATAGGAAAGCTCTAGCACGTCTTGCTCGTTGCTGTCATGCATTTTCAGAACCTGCTCTCAGTGTCCTATGGTCGTCGGTGCGGTCTTTTTCGCCATTCATTGCCCTCCTGCCGCCAACCGTGAAGGTCTTATGGGTGAGCATAAAATCCTTACAGCAATTAAATCATACTCAAGAATGTGTAGGACCACAGTCAGTTTGACGAGATGACCCTTGTCGAGTTCCAGTGCCCACCTGAAGAAGAATGGAGGGTATTCGACAGTTACGACCCCGCAGAGTGCGCAGGCTATACTCTGGATCTCGTTGTCACCAAATAGTGGCTCGTATACGCTCCAGAACCACTTTATTCCCTTTGCTACAATCTCTGTCTCTTCAACTCGTCGAATCCCCTGATATGCAAGGGCACCTCTTCTCGGACTCGCTACGCTCTTTGAAGATATCCGGACCTGCGTATGTACACTGCAAAGATGACCGTGTCCAAATGGCCGTCGCGCAGGTGGCTCGCGATGCGCCGTTGGTGGAACATCTTCACATCGAAGATTATACCTATTCTGTTGTCCAGTCGTCACTGCCACCTCTCCATTTTACTCATCTTCGAGCCGTCGAAATATCTGCATTTTTCGGTTACAGCCTCCTACAGTCTCTCTGTCATATCCTTTCCCAAGCACCTGTGACACAACTCAAACTTGAACTTCCACCGCTCCCAAATAAGGAGTGGAATGTCTCGGTTCCCGTCTTTCCTGCTCTGAAATCGTTGCAAATTTGTGGCAATCCGGCTTCTGCCGAACAATTCATATCCCATCTTGCCAGCGAGGGTCTTCAAGAGCTTGGTGTCCATCACACAAGAGGATCCGCGAGCGCTGCGGATTACCACCAACTTCTTTTGTGTGTTGCGGATAAATATGGTAATACTCTCCAACAACTCTCGCTGTCAACTCTTCAGCAAATACCGCTGTCATTCACCCAGTCACCCACCCCGAACTACCCGTACGATGTTTCCCAAGCACTTCTCGATGCTTTTTACGCGCTCGCACCACGTTTTAATCGACTACAAACTTTCCACCTCTCCTTGCCGCACAATCGCTACGTTCACCTAGCGCCTGAGCTCACATCTGAGTCTCATACGTGGCCATCTCTCAAGCTTCTTGACCTCGAAGAAAATTAGTGTTTTATACGGAAGAACTGAAGAGGCGCTCAGTGCTGTATATTTTAGGAAGTATATATGTCGTGTTGATCAGGTGTCAGGTTGCTGTCAATGCGAATGTAGAATACGAGAAGACTATGCCGCAGTGTGGGAGTGCTGATGAGCACTGAGAACGGTACCTGCATCAGGGAGAAGTGCAAGGCATGCTATTCTGAGGCGATACCACTGACCACGTGTGTGCTGCTAACTATACGATCCTGCGGGAAAGGGCATCTAGGTGACAAATCCTCGTCTTCCCGCGAAACATGATTTTCACTTGCACTCATTATATATTCACAGGAATCCATGGACTAGTACTAATGGGCGAAGGTCACTCTTGAGTAAGATGGAGCACTCGCACCCATGAGAGAGTACCAGTATCAAAAACATACGGTCTTGTATTGGCTCACATCTTCAGTTCTTCCTCATCTCTCGTCAACACCAACTCATCCTCCTGGCTAGTACACGATAAAAGTTTGATCGATTAGCTATGGTCTCAAGTTGTCGCGCTCTCTACATTTCTGAGATTCTTTCAGAAATCTCATACCAGCTAGAGGATGATAGGAAGTCTCTTTCACGTCTTGCACGTTGTTGCAAGGCATTCTCAGACCCAGCTTTAGATGTTCTGTGGAGGCGGATGAGCCTTTTCTCTCCCTTCACCCCCCTTTTGCCCCCAAAGGTGTTGACACTTTGGGTGCGCATTGTTCTTGGGCAGGTTTGAACTCGTATAATTTTGACGCATTCTACAGGTGGAATACCAATTCAGCGCAGAGAGTATCGCGGGCTTTCAATGTCCCCCTATGCATGAGTGGAAAGCTTTTGACGCCTATGCTAGGCGAGTGCGGATTCTGCACAGCGGCGCCTCGCACTTCCTCGCAGGTGTGGCCACCATCCGAGCAGACCTCAACGTCTTCCCCTTCCTTCGATCCATGTCGATGCAGCTTCAGGAACCTATACAGCCTGGGATCCGGTTGTTTCCCGAAACACTGCAATCACTGGAAATTTCGGGCCCCGCTTACATCAACTGTAAGGATTCCTGTATCCAGACTGCTCTTGCACACGCGGCGCGCCATGCACCCTCCCTGAAACATCTGCATGTCGAGGACTACAGCTACAACAGTGACCGCTTGGACACTCCACCCCTACATTTCAAACACTTGCGCAGCGTCGAGATATCCGCATTCATCAGCTCTAACCTCCTTAAATCATTATGCTGTGTGCTTGCGCAATCACCCGTGATCGAGCTCAAGATAGAGCTTCCTCCTACTAGCTGTATATGGGACACCCCACAATCTCTCTTCCCATATCTGGAGAGGGTAGATATACACGGCACCCCCGCGCTCGCGGAGGCCTTCATTACGAATATTTCCAGTCCGTGTATTCGTTCGCTGACTGTCAGGCACAGTCGTGGGCCCGCACGACTGGAAGACTGCAGCCGGTTATTCTCCACCATCGTGAACAAGTGCGGCTCATCACTGCAGTCGTTATCTCTCACAATTAGCCGCTCGCCAGTTCTCCATAACCACGATGGCGTGGCGCATGATATAATGGATGCGCTGTTCCCTTTGATGCCGAATTTTGAGCACTTGGAGGAACTTCATTTATCGTTGCCTAGTGCAACTCAAGTTGACGACTATCCTGCTGTTGAAGCGTCTGGTTGGCCAGCTCTGAGACGGGTAGAGTTTATGGCCACATGATGATTCACGGGATGATCACGGGAGGTTTGGAAGCTGGTTCTCTGTCAAGGTCTAGACCATAGAAGCGTTTTAATCACATGTATTTGCATTCGGGGTACTTATGAACTATCTAGAATTGCACTGCAAAAATACTCATAGGTCAGGCATAGTGAGGGAAGCAATATACTTTTGGGCACTCATGAGGCATTGACAAGCCCAGCGACGCACACAGTGCGCAACCATGTAAGGTGTCAAAGATCCTCGGTACTTAACCGAGAATAAATAATAATCAAACGCTGTGACGATGGAACAGTATATATCCCACCATTACCAATCACCGTCGAATCCAACAAATCCTGTGCAGGTAGTACTAGTCAGTTACAAGCAGTCATTAAGTTTGATGGCGAACATACCTGTAAGCAAAAACACGGGGAAGTACCTCTTCTTTTCCAGTTGTGCACACCAGTTCCATGCGCTGGTCAGACGGCCGTCGATACAACTTCCCGCGTCAAAGAAGTTATCGGCACCAGAACCATCGAAACCATGCTGGAAGAAATCGCACAAGACCTCGCGCATGCAATTATCTATCGAACCGAAGTCATCCTCAATGTAGGAGCGTAGCGCGGGTTTTTCCGCAAGGCTGGGTATCTGTGAGAGGGTATTACAGATAGGCAGTAGGATCCGGTAGATCTGGGAATATTTATCTGTGCGAAGTATGTCTAAGTTAAAACGCGGACGGCGTTATGATGGTAAAACGTACCGATGAACATGAGCGCGTTGGGCACATTATGGTCGCCCATGTGGATGGCGGACGAGCCAACCCAGGTTCCCACGCTTTGTTGCGCACGGTGTAGGATCGTGTGCATCATGCGGAAGGTTTTGGGAGCTGCTTGCACACGATTTAGCCCCTGACCAGTATCCCTCAGCCGGTAAGGTACATTCTCTGCAAGTAAGTCCTGTTCAGCGAGCGACCATAACCGGAACATGTCTGTCGAAAGAATTAGCATGACATATACATAACACCTTCAAAGACTAACCATGCAGGATCTCCCGCCATAAGGTGAGGCTCTGTAGGACATAGGCGTATTGTTTTGCGTGATCATGACTAAGTCTCGCGCCCTGCTTGCCACTTCGTATCGCCAAGCTGGACTTGTTGTCTTTTGGATGCGTTGGATGGAAGTGTTGCTTCAAGTACGCGATCATCTTTTCGCAGGGATCTCGGTTCGTCCGCAAGAACGCGTGATTATCGCCGATGCTGTATATGCACTGACGGATTTGTTCTTGGTTTAACCCCGAGCGCTGGTATTTCGAGGCGAGCGTCTCAATCGCGCGCTCCTTGTTTTTGATATCCCGCTGGACTTCTCTTCTTGAGCGTCCTTCAGAATAGATTTCTTGCGTGGCAACCGCGATGAGATCATCTCGTAACATGTTGAGAGCATCGTTTTCTTCAAGAATGGTGTGCACAGATACGATGGGTTTGACGCAGGAAAAGCTGAGCATGTCTCGAACGTCCGGGGACTGGCTGTCCTATGGAGAACAGTGTTTGCATAGTCGAAGTCTGCGAAGCGTAGAACTTACCTGTAACAAATAGATCAACTTTCCATACGTCGTGCGCATTTTATCCGGGTTCATGATTTTATGTCTCCGACCGAGCTCAAAGATAGTCTGGTAGAAGTCCGCGTTGGATTGAAAATTGCGATCTGTGAACAATTCTTGGCCCTGCTTGTAGTCTGCGGCAAGGACGAGGCCAGACAGAATCGCACACAGCTCGCGAATCTGATGCACGATACGCTTTGGCTTCGAAAGCCCAAAACCCAGCGTATCGATCTTATCTGTGTACTCGGATACCTGAAGCGCGGCGTCGAGGAGGCGTAGGAACTTGCGCTCGCCGTAAGTGAGTCGAAGAGGGATGTATTTTGAACGATCGACAAACCACTCGCCGACTTTGGATCCAATTGTAGGTTGGGCGCTTAGTATCTGGGTAGAGACGGGCGCCTTGGATGCTTCAGCCGATATACGGTCGAGTTCTTCATCAGAGTCATCCATATCAACATCGTCTTCTTGCTAAGCACAGAAGTAAGCATCAGCTCCACCACGACCAAGCTGAAAAAAGTCCGTACCTCCCCATTTTTCTTTGCATCCTCGGCCGCACCATTTTGCACCGACTTGGACTTGACGCCACTCGGGATTGGCTTTGCGATGTGCTTCTTCCTCGACCCCTTCCGATGCTGCGCCGCAAAGCACACTTCACAGTAATTATCTGCGCATGTATCACACACAACTTGAGCAGGCTGATCTATATACACGGTAAGCTCGACCCGATCCACATGATCACTTCCTATCAACCACACACCTTCGCATTCGACGCAGAACCCGTCCGCAGCAGGCCTAACGGCTGATTCTTCGTCCCATCCCTCACCGGGCCCAGTGGCGTCGCCTGAATCTTTTTCCTTGAGTCGTGGGTGTTCGACTGCTTCGTGGTTCGTTCCGAGGATGTTTTCTAGGGTAAAGTTGCCACTCGGGGGTTCATCTGGCTGTGAGGTGGGTTCTATAGAGGCTGAGGATGTGTTTACGGGCATTATTTCTAGAGATATGACATCTGTTTGCCTAAGACTTGTAGCTGTGGAAAAGTGATGAGAGTGAGGAACGCGTGTACGAAGGGAATTTAGCTATGCGCCTGACGTAAGGTGAATGTACATGAATATCCAGCGCCCAGTCCAAAATCAAAAGGTATATCTATGAGCGAATGCTCATATGTATTAATATTAATCCGCGAACGTATGATACAAATGGGCGGTGCTGCGAAGTGGAGATTATACATGATGAATGAATGAATGTGGGATGATGACAGAGAAACTCATGCTTCACAAGGTCCCAAACGTATGGTGCCAAATCTTATTGACAATACCCTTGGTCTGTTCAGTCCGTGTGCCAGCCCGTTCCTCATCCTCTACTCGCTCAGCACAATCCTCTCTTTCCGATGCGCTGCAATCCACATCTGACGATCGAGGTGGATCGGAGGAGTTGATTGCTGGCATATGAGACGTTTGGAACTCAAGTGGAGATGGCGGAGAACGCTTGTACTTGTGCCGAGAGCGGGAGCTTTGAGATGACAAACTTCCGACACTTGGAGGATAATCGTGGGGCACGAGAGAAGATGGAGTAGTAGACTGGAATATCGATGATGGAGAAGTGCTTTCACTGAATTTTCCCTTGGAGTCTTCAGATGCAACTATCGTTTCTGCATCATCTCCAGTTGGCATCCTTATGTGAGGGAGTTGAGGATTCTCTATGTCGCAATGAACATCGTCCTCGTCGTCTTCTGGTGCATGAAAAAGCGGTTCTCGGTCATGCACATCAGACATACGGGGTGAATTTGTGGGAAGTTCAGCGGAGCTTGAAGAAGCTTTAACAATGGAATCAATGAGCCAGAATTGAAGGATGTTCATGATGATAGGGAAGAGACCCATGACGCTACGAAGGTTAGATAAGACCATTTTAACCACGAAGAAAGGACAACACACAATATAATTTGAAAGGCATCGCCCTTACCGATAGCAGTCCAGCTGAGCAACCAGTCTCCCACTTTCGATATTCCTGGCCACGCCGTAAATAACCCCACAACAAGCATTTTCATTGACATCAACGCAAAAACGTAGACTGCGGCTTGACGCGCCCAATACGCTATTGACGGTGGGGAACCATACTGCCCCGACTCGTAGCCTTTGAGGCGGAGTTTCTTTGCCAAGAGGTATGTGAGACCATGGTGGACGACGTATATTATAGCAACACCTATGACAAGGATGAGGATTGAAAGTAAGAGTGAGATGCATTGACATTTACCGAGAGTAGTATCGACGAGGACATTAAGAAAATAGTAAGTGCAGGCATTGCCGGCATTGTGATGTGAACCAAGGTCGGATATCAGAACATTGACACCGTGTACAAACATCTGTCCAACAATTTGCTTGGATACATCGAAGAGCCTGCGTGATTGTGGGGAGCTTCAGTGGTGTCCTACATCGCTGTAAGCAACAAGGACGAACCATATCCTCCAAGGTCGTTTCTGTGGTTCACGGTGCCTCTTATACACGAGCGAAAGTATTACGAGCACGCCCATGAGCGCCTGGACAACCTGATGATGATGTAACATTGTAAACCTTTCCTATGCAATGTTCCATGGAAGAATTTTTGACGTACCAAGGCAGTCGGACCAAGCAATTGACAAGAACGTCGATCCAGCGGAAAATCATCAGTAAGACGTGCAACAGAGAACATGGCTGGCTGAAAGAAATACTGCGGGGCTGCTCGCCCAAGCAAGTGTGCGAACTTGTTGAACGTGCCAGTGATAGTCGCCGTCTCCTCTCCTTCCCAGTATACCCTATTTTGGTAATTTCACTCGGTGTTGGTGAGAACAAGCTAGGTCGGCTGCTTCACATGTATGAACCAACTGTCTGCTTGAGCATGGACTATATGTATATATGATAGATGTGGACATATTCATGTACCAAGTTACAAATATTGTCTTCAGTTCGTAGATTTAAATATTGATCAAAGTACTTGAGTTTGCATGTTCTAGGCGACAGGTCTTCGATGCTGTGGGGTAGATGAATTGTTGATTATTATTTGGCAAGAGCTTTACTGAGCTACCGCTGCGGCTACGACAACGACACGCTTGCAAGTGGATCCACCATATAACTAAATATTATAATATAATGTCCTTTTTCTCTAGATCTTCCCAACCCTCGCCTTCGAACCCGTCATACTCCAGTGTCCCTCGTGAATCTGTTCCAAGACCCATAGCACGTAACCTTCCTCCACAGACTCAATACAACGACCCTTCTCAGTCTCTCTTCGAGAAAAGATCATACGATCGCAAGCCCCCTCCGTCACGTTCTGGTCCGGGCATGAGGTATGTCTACCCCACCTTACACCCTTACTCATACCGAATACACTTGTAGCTACGCAGTAGTTACTACGCCGAACGAGGGTCTTGCTCTCAGAAACTGCTTGGTTGTTTGCCCTTCAGACTTTCCCAAGGATGTGCATGTTTTGGTACGCAAGGTAGATCGTGATTCTATACAAAGGGAATACCCCTTTACAACATGGTTAGTACAGTGTCCTCTACCTGATTCAAGTCATCTTAAGCATCATTTAGCCATGACACTTCTGGGACAATCAGACCGGGTACAGTCGCCATAGGACTCACGCAGCGCCAATGGATAGGTGTATCTCTGTCAGGCGACGACGTCACCATCGACATGATCCCTCAGGTACCCCCCTTTCTCCAATCCATCGATATTCAAATCGGCTTTATACGCAATCGCAATGAAAACCAAGAGCCTTACTCTGCAGATGAGATCTCCCGTAACTTCATCAAGATCTTCAGTAATGTCGTTTTCGCCCCAGGCGAGATACTCATTTTCGACTTCAAAGGAGAGAAGCTCAGAATGATTGTTGCATCTATGAGCGTGGTGGACCTCCCGGATCAGCAGAACAACTCGCGCTTCGGAAAACAGCCACATATGGAGATGGGTGTCGTGATGGACAGGACCGACGTCACCATCATGAAGGCAAGTGATAGTATGATCAAGATTAAATCAAGTGCGAAGAAGTGAGTCTTAAACATCAGGGTCAGGCTCCACTTATTGTTCATGTCCAGGGCTGCGTCGAACGCTATCATCGCACCCAATTTCAAGTTCGAGGAGATGGGTATCGGTGGTCTTGATGAGGAATTCGGTGCTATCTTCCGTCGCGCGTTTGCATCACGCGTATTTCCTCCAGCACTTGTCGAGAAGCTTGGAATTCAGCATGTGAAGGGTAAGTTTTCATCACAAAGTAATTGACAAACGTCTAATGTCATGCATTAAAGGTATCCTTCTCCATGGTCCACCCGGAACCGGTAAAACCCTCATAGCACGTCAAATTGGCAAAATGCTGAATGCTCGGGAGCCCAAAATTGTCAATGGTCCTGAGATTCTGAACAAGTACGTTGGTGCATCAGAAGAGAATGTCCGGAAGCTTTTCGCGGATGCTGAGAAAGAGGTTGGTCGCGGCTTCTGTCTCTACATGCGTAATTGTGCTGAAACAATGAGCAGTACAAGGAAAAGGGAGACGATAGTGGCCTTCATATTATTATCTTTGACGAACTAGATGCTATCTTCAAACAGCGTGGTTCCACGAATAGTGGAACAGGTGTTGGTGACAGCGTGGTCAACCAGCTTTTATCGAAGGTGATGTACAGTATTCCCTTGCTAGTTCAATTGCTCACTCCTCCCAGATGGATGGTATCGATCAATTAAACAACATACTCGTCATCGGCATGACAAACCGTATCGACATGATTGACGAGGCTTTGTTGCGCCCTGGGCGTCTTGAAGTACATATGGAAATTTCCCTGCCGGATGAGCATGGACGGTTCCAAATCCTGCGCATTCACACTGCTAAAATGCGGACGAACAATGTGATGGACGTGGACGTTGACCTGGCTGAACTTGCTGGCATGATGAAGAATTATTCGGGTGCAGAGATTGAGGGCTTCGTGAAGAGTGCAACCAGTTTTGCCTTCAATCGCCATGTCAAGGTTGGCACCATGGCAGGCATTTCGGAAGACGTCGACAAGCTTAGAGTCAATCGTAGTGATTTCTTCAAGGCACTTGAGGAAATCAAGCCAGCATATGGTGTGTCGGAAGAGGAACTGACGGATGTCATTGCGAATGGGATCATTCATCATGACCCAATTATTGAGGTATGTTGCATGCGTCTTCAGTATCTGTTGTGCTAATGTTTTTTCCAGGAAATCCTCGATAAAGGCAAGTTATTTGTCAACCAGGTTGCCAGGTCGACACGCACACCGCGTGTCAGTATACTGCTCCACGGACCCCCTGCGTCAGGAAAAACTGTACTGGCTGCATCCATTGCTTGGGCTTCCCAATTCCCATTCATCAAGCTCATTTCACCTGACCGCATGGTTGGATTCTCGGAAGCCCAGAAAATACAGTTCATTACCAGAACATTTACCGATAGTTATAAGAGTCCACTGAGTGTCATCGTCGTTGACAACCTTGAACGACTGCTAGGTAGGATCGCCCATAAGGCTGTATTCATCACGCTGACCTTGACGCACAGATTGGACGTCGCTCGGCAGCAGGTTCTCAAATCCTGTTTTGCAGACCCTTCTTGTTCTTATTGCTCGCAAACCACCCAAGGTTCGCATCTCCGTCAGATATATGTGGAATGCATCTGATCTTATGTCCTCAGGACAAACGCCTACTCGTGATAGCAACAACTTCACTGCGCCCTCTTCTGACAGAGCTTGGCCTGTCCGATGTGTTCGATTCTGAGTTGCGCGTGCCTCCAATTTCCAACCTTTCATCACTTGAACGAGTCCTACGCGAAGTGCAGCTCTTCTCTTCAGAAAACGAGCTCCGACAAACAATGCGCATGCTTGCAGATGCAGGGTTCGCTGTTGACCTCAACGCGGAGGAGGAGGCGACCTTGCATTTGCAAGTTGGCATCAAGAAGCTTTTGAGTATCATCGAGATGGCGAGGCAGGAACCCGAGAGGGCTGGAGAGAGATTTGTGAACGCGATCATCAACCTGAATTCATAGATTTTGGGTTGTATACCTGTTGGATCGATATCATTCGTAGAGTACATACAATCTGGACATCATGGTGCATCACTTTTAAACGTTTGGCCAGGAAAGGTATAACATGCCTGATATGGTATGCTCCTCAAAGATGGGGAAGTTCAACATGACCGTCTTCCACCTGGCTACGGCACATCCACGATCACCTGCAGCCTCACCTTAACTAAATACTGACTACGACGACAAGTCACTATCATGTCTTCCGTTGAGATTATCAAGGACCCAGCTCAACCAGCCCGCTTACCACGATCAGCCTCTAATCCCAAACCAAAGGGAATCCTCAAGAACGCAACGCCACAACAACCAGGGTCACAGTCTCAGTGAGCCTCCGCGCAGATGCTAATCACTATCCTTATTAACCTCCATGAGCGTATAGTAACTTGCAATGGGACGAAGAGAATCTAGCGTTGACTGAGATCCAGAAAGACAGTCTCATGAAGATTACAGAACCCAAAACGCCCTATGTACGGTATAACGCTGAAACAGACCAAATTGAGGGCGGTATGGTCCCTTTTATCAACCATTCATTATATATGATCTAACGTTGTATATGATAGATATCCCATCGCTTGACCTAGGGGGGCACACGCCAATGGAGTACTTGTCATCCTCTCCACGATCTGTATCACCGACAGGCGCAGATACGTCTGGGCCATCTTCTCGTAGAACGTCGCTTAGCAGCGCGGGGCGCGCTCCATCTGGAAGATCAGCTAGTATTGCTTCTAGCAGGAGCAGGAGCACGAGCTTCAATCTCCCGAGTGAGGCTAAAGCAGAGATAAGATCTGCGTATGGCGAGCCGGGTGAAGAAGTCGAGGTGGATGAGGAGATGGATGAGGAAGGTGTGTTGTTTTTATTATTTTTCAATGCGAGATAGATTTATTTGCTTGGATAGCTGCTGCTAAGCATGCGGCTTTTGTACGCGCCAGAGGACGGCATTATTCCAATGAAGCAGAGGCGATGAAGGTGAGCGCTTGTTCTCAAGTATTTGGAATATACTCAACAGATACTACATAGCGGGCATCGAAGATGGTAGACGATGAAGAAGAAGAAGCAAGTGAGGCCCCAGCACTTGCGGACGGTGCCCAGGATGTCGCAGTCAACGGCGTTCATGGTGATTGATGGGATAACATATGCATATACTCTGCGTGGTTTTTGGACGGAGTAGATGTGGACATGCTCACGAACTTTGAATTTTTCTCACAGGTATATATTGTATTTTTACCAGAATATTATCAGCCTTTGAGTCCATTTGGTTGTATGACCCTGATAGCACGTATTCGCTTAAAGTCTGAGCTGCCTGCAGCCTCCTGCAGCCTGGGCTGTGTTGAGTGGAGACTTGCCAAATCAGTCGTTTTCTGCCACGTGGTTATCAAATGATCGACAGATCTAGATGATCGCAAACTGTAGGTAAATTTTGAGCGTCTACCCTCAACAGCATCAGAATGGCCCCCGACGTTTCTGGTAAAGGCATCCTCCTCAAAGTTGACCCTATTGCGGACGCTTTCCGCGCTGAAGTCAAGGATGGACTTGCAGCCCCGCATCGTACACCGACGCTTGTCGGAATCTTGGCAACTAATGCATCTCCAAGTAGGTTTTATGCCGACTTTACGAGGAAGCAATGTGAGGGGCTTGGGGTGAGGTTTATTCTCAAGGAGGTTGGGAGTGCGGTGAAGCAGAATGAAGGGGAGGAAGCGAGGTCAGATGGGGATGGTGTGGAGGAGGCAATCATCGAAGCTAATGAGGATGATAACGTTGATGGTATTATGGTGAGTTTAACGCGAAGTCCCATGGAACACTTGTTGATTATTGCATAGGTGTATTATCCAATATTTGGAGGCCAGCAGGTGCGCAGGGAGCATGAGACTTTAAATTGATCTAATGATTTCGTAGGACCATTATCTGCAACAGGTATGGTTATATCATGTACCTGTGCGAATTGCTAAGCGTGTTACTCTAGATTGTCTCTCCGCTGAAGGATGTAGAAGGTCTTCATTCGAAATTCCACTATAATCTGTACCACAAGTACGTCTACCTTTCCCTTTTCATTACCAGGTTATAATTGACTTGACATAATCAGCATCCGTTTCATCACTCCTGCCTCGCTCGCCTCTACCATTCCGTCTTCAAAAGTCGTCCAGCCAATAATAGATGATATCCCTCCACCCGGAACAGTCAAATCCATCATCCCTTGCACCCCCCTCGGCGTCGTCAAATGCCTCGAGTATATCGGGGTGTATAACAAAATCCTTACATATGGCGATCGCGCATACGGGAAGACCGTGACCGTGATCAATCGGTAAGGCTCTGGCGCAGTCAGTATCTAAAGAATGTCGCCTAGAATATCGCACAGGTCAGAAGTTGTAGGACGCCCTCTCGCCGCACTTCTTGCGAACGACGGCGCGAGAGTGTTTTCCGTCGATATCGACTCCACTCAGGTAGCTCTCCGCCTACCTTTCTTTTTCTTTCTATTTCGCTCATTCGCTTTGAAGGAATATACAAAGCGGCCGCGTCCCTCAAATCCGACTTCTGCTCGACAATACCTCCCGCATCATACTTCGCACCTGTGCACGCTCTCGCTCGAAGAATGTCTTGCGATCTCAGACGTCGTTATCAGTGCTGTGCCCAGCGCATCATACAAGGTCAAGACAGAATGGCTAAAAGAAGGATGTGTATGTGTCAACGTCGCAGCAGACAAGAATTTCGACAAGGATGTAAGGGATAAGGTGCGTTTCAGTGGATTATCAGATTAGTCCCTACTAGCCGTCCATGTCCAAAAGGCCGCTAACACGTTGTATGCAGGCATCTATATACATACCAGCGGTCGGCAAAGTGACTATTTTGATGCTCCTTCGGAATTTGTACGTCCGATCTTGTATTGTATCTAATTTCCTTCGTCACACCATGGTTTCCCGCACTGGTGTCAGCGTCCAGCTACCGCCGGTGCATTGTTACACGCTTTCATTTTGTGGCTGCGCCTTGTTCTTATTTTATTTAGTCCCCTCATTCACAAGGGGTCTTCCATGTTCATTTTCACATCGTGACGACTCATGTGTATGTTTGGCTTCACTGCGAGTTGTGTGCTTATTATGTTTAGGCTGCGTCTTTCACACTACAATGATGTGTCGGCCCCGAGTGGGAGCGAAGACATCATACCCGCCCAATAAGCGAGATCCCTCGTGGAATCGTGTCGGTGCAGTCGGTGGAAAGGAGATAATTAGAGGACAAGATCTAGCTTAAAAGCAGGAAGTCACGTAGAATCTAGCACAATGCATTACAATCGCCATTTCCTGGATATATACACCATTAGTTGAGATTATCACCGCAGCATGGGAATTTATGTATAGATTGTATATGTCATGCAATGGTGTGGTGATTGTGTTCCTCCCCTGATGGGTAAGAGCCAAAGAAAACATCCTTACGTAAAGATATAACACTAGTGCTGAACAATCCGGAAGGATGTGCAATATCACCCGAAGCGAGCATCAGCTGGGTTTTCGGCATGTAGCGGATTCTGGTCCATCTTGGGGAACGAGGGCGTGACGGGCGTTGAGACGCCTGAGGCGTCACTGGTAAGGAAACGAACGCGTTGTCTGTGGAGCTAAAGGAAAGCGGTCATGTTTGGACATTCAATAATTTGGACGCAAGGGGAATTGAGTGGGAAGTCAAGTGGTTGTGACGTGGACGACGTACCTGAGGAAGTTTTGGGATGATGGCAAGTACGATGAGAGCGGTGAGATTGATGGCGAATAGCCAGGGATTGTAATTCGTGTAGTGTGTCGAAGCCAGGAAACTGGTACGTGTGCTGTGAGTGAAATACGACGCATCACAAGCATAAGACGAACAGTAATATAGGCGCAGTGAATAACCACTTTTTCGATGGTGTGTATTGCGCGCCATCATCAATCTGTTCCCATAGAGTGAGATCGTCATATGCGCCGCCGTGAAGCTCGTTATCGAAGGGAATGCCGGTAACCCAGTGGAACATGAGATACGAGAGCTGCGGAGATACGTGGCATGTCAAACATAAGGCAGAACAGACCGAAAGATGGACGGAGCGTACGTTAAGGTATATAAGGTTAACGAGTGTCCAGCTGATCTGCTGTGTCATGCCAGGTATAGTATCGATAATGATCTTTCCCGTGAAGACCAAGACGACGTGTATGAGCCATGCACCTGAGCAGACGGTTCAGTGAAATGTTCACATTACTTGACTAGCGCTATGCACCCTTTGCATTCACCCAGTTAGCATTAATGTTGAGGTACGCGCTACGGTCCAAAAGTTCCTCTGTACGCCCACCGACTTCTTCGACTTTGACGATACTCCCACTTCGCCGACGACCTTTGATATCAGCCGGAACTTGTACAGTGAGATGTAGTAGCTTTGGTGAAGGGCGCGACATTGATTGCAATGACGACGAAACGCTGATGCGTTGGTTGAGAACGAAGTAGGAGGGCCGCAGCAGTCCTACACCGAATATTAAATTCATGAGCGCTAACCAAATAGTGGCATACAAAGCGTAGGGTGCCACCAAGTCATCAGCGGCGGCCAATTCGACAGCTCTGCACAGCACTTCTAAGCAGTCCTGCGATCCTCGTGCACACAAAGAACCCCTCAGAAGCTTCACTGTGTAAATCATGAAGTATGTATTGCTGGCGCTAGCCTTATTCTGGACTTTCAACACCAAAAATTCAAGCGTCTCTCTCGATGCAGAAAGGGCCTCATAAATTCGGAGAGGAACAGCATGGCACACCCGCTACTAGATAAACACAGTGTGTTCAATCAATGACACCAGGTCCCTTACCTCCGTCTATATCACACCGCTTCCCCTTGCTCTGAGGGAATTTAATAGGCACACCTTAGTACAAGACATCCTTTCGGGAGAACGGCAATTGATGGATAACTAGGTCTCCAAGAAAGCTGATCAGAGGGACATCCTCTCTTACGTGTCTGGCTTTCCTCGGTAAGCTTGGTGGAATTTCTTCGCTCCAGCGCAAATTTCTACTGAGCGTGAGCTATCCACGACCACTCATACAGAGTGGCATTTGATAGCCCGAAAAAAACGCGTGTGATGGCTATCTCCGACCAGACGGTTCTGAGCCTGCGGTCAAAACCATCACCACCGATGTTCGTTCACGGTTCTTTTCGTTGCCAAATCCTCCTTTCCCTTTGCTCACCCACCAGGCTATCACCGATTCAGTAAACCCAGCACACCTGAGAAGAAAGCAACCACGCCTCCACATAGTGATGTCGTTGGCTCGAAGAGTTCCCGGGTACATATCCAACGCTGGATACGGCGCCATTATTTCTCGACGATAGTCCTTCCGGCAGCTCCTCTTATTGTTAAGATATGATCTCCGACTCCTTTGCTACGGTACTACGATGCAAAAAAATCGAGTACTCCCTCGTCAGTTCACTTTCGCAGCCTAGTGTTGCATATGGTCATCTTATGTTCGAGGCGTGCATCGGTCTGGTTCGATAAGGTGTCTAGTCCCGATAATACAAATGATGATGAAAGATCTAGGGCGAGTAGAAGAATGAAGAATGCACTTTGCGCTTGCATCGCGCGTTTACCCAAATTGCGATGATTATGTAAGCCTTGTGATACCTCGAATGGCTTCGAGACGGTCCGGCAGGGAAGAAGATAAGCTGGCAGGTTTAAGCTTATCTTTTATTTCCACATGTCACTCCCACAATGTTTGTTATTCTATGTACCTGAACTTCGAGAAGGTCACGAGCGGAAGATCAGCTGCCAGGCTTCTTATCTTGGCTATACGACCTGAAATCTCTACATTAATGCAGCTTTTGAAGGGGACAGCGATATACAACGAACATACGTGGAATGGGCAAAAATGCGCAGAGCATCTTATGAGTCACGCTCAGATACCGCACATCGTTGGACGACTTCGAGTCGAAACAGTCCGGTAGGGGAGAAGATAATTATAAGCTGGTAGGCTTCTAGATCTTATTTTCTGTTTCCGCATGTCGCTCCCACAATGTTTGTTATTTTAGAGCGCAAGATCTCGCAAGGCTGGTTACCGAGTGACCATTCTGTTACCCCCCTTCTCAACGTCATGGCTAAACTGCTGAGTGTAGTATTAGGCTTCTTGAGCCAGCCATTCGCCCATCTTTCCCAGCTATCGTTATTAGCTGATCCTGTCTGGGTGAACAATGGCCAGGTTATCACCTCAGAGCTCTCCAACTCTATCCAAGAGACCCTCGATATTTGGAACATCACCGGACTGTCTGTCGCTGTTGTCCCGAAGTACGGCGAACCGGAATTTCGTTCATGGGGAAACACGACGGAGGACGGGGACAAGACAACAGAAGACGTGCGAACTGCTCAAGTTTCTTCTTGTATGAACTCTGAAGCTGCAATTTCCAGACATTATTCCACATGGCTTCTGTGTCCAAGGCTTTCTGCGCGAGCGCTCTTGGAATTTTGATGGATGACTATGACCATGGAAGAAACGTCACCCCGCTCCCTCCCGCTCTGTCGGAATTTAATTGGCACACCTTAGTACAAGATATCCTTCCGGGAGAATGGCAATTGATGGATGACTGGGCGTCTAGGAAAGCAAATATGAAGGACATCCTCTCTCATGTGTCCGGCCTTCCTCGGTAAGCTTGACTCAAATTCTTCGTTCCAGCACAAGATTCTATTGAGCGTGAGCTAGCCATGACTACTCGTATGGACCACACGACAGCCCGAAAGATGATGTATCACGGATGCGCTATCTAAGGCCAGCTTTTGAACTCCGGGAACAATGGTCGTACAACAACAAGGTAACGCAGTCTTAGCAAAAGCGCTAAATGTATCTTCACAGTTTACGAACAGATGTTTACGACAGCCGCACACATCATTGAAACTTACTCTGCACAAACATACACTTCTTTTGTAGAGGATCGAATCTTCACGCCACTAGGAATGACCTCTTCTACGTTTTCACCCGCAAAGGCTGGGAAGACTGGTAGATTCACCCAAGGATGGACCAGCAGCGGCAGACTCATACCTGAGTGCTTCACAGAAGAGATGGTAACGCTGATGGCCGGTGCAGGCGGTGTGATTTCGAGTGCCGTAGACATGGTAGGTGCTTTTTGCCTTCGTTCTATTTACAAACTGAAGACGTTTGTTGGCACCCAGTCGAAATGGGTTGCATTGTGGCTTAACAAGGGTGTGCACAACAACGTTACAGTCATACCGTTGTCTGTGTATGCAAACGCATCTCAGTCGTACTCCGTATCCATCAGCGCCTCAGCTGATCCCGAGCTCTCGATCCAGGGGTATGGGATGGGTTGGTTCAGAAACTCGTACCTAGGCCACGATGTAACAAATATTCATCTGTTATTGTGCATGATGACTGATGCCGGAGTGTCAGATCGTATATCACACAGGGTCGCTTCCAGGATTTTCTACACTAGCCTCATTCCTTCCAAATGACGATGTTGGGGTCGTCGTTTTTGCCAACGGCGGCGATAAAGCAACACCTGTGATGAATATCTTCAACCGTATAGTCGACGCGGCCCTGAAACTGCGGTCAAAACCATCACTACCGATGTTGGTCATTTTCATTGCCAAATCCATTCCCTTTGCTCACTTATCATTGTTTCAGTAAACCCACCACGTCTGAGAAGAAACCAATCACGCATCCACACGAAAACGTCGTTGGTTTGGAACTTGCACTCGAAGAGCTCTCGGGCACATACGCGAACCCTGGATACGGCGCCATCACCTTTTGCAGTCCTTCCGGCGGCTCCTTGTATTGTCAAGATGTGATCTCCGACTTCGCTGCGGTGGATGCAGGAAAGTCAAGTGCTCCCCAGTCCGTTCAGCTGTTCGCAGCATGGCCTCGCATATGGTCATCTCATATTCGAGGCGTGCATCGGTCTGGAAATACGTTCGTGGTTCAGTACACTTCGTTATTCCCGGAAGGATATGGGTATGACAGGACACCCTTTGAGACAGCGGAGATAGGGACGTCCGAGGCCACGGCAGAGTTCGTCGTGGAAGATGGAAAGGTTGTTGGGTTTGGCTTAGTCGGGCTGGTGGGTCAACTCACGGAAAGAGAGCGAACGTATACGACTGTGAAAGACCGAGCTGAGGTTTGGTTCGATAAAGTGTAATAGTACCAATGATGTTGGAATATGAGTAGCGCGTTTACCCCTAAGCTGCTGTTAAAAGTATCAACGCAATGATCATGTAAGTTTTGGATGTTCTGTCCAACCAATAGGGGAGACTAGCTACCTTTCAGTCACTGGGTGGACCAACTGGGAACAGACTTGTTCGTCTCCTCGTCTGTGCAATTTCGCAAGACATACAACGTTGGGAAGGATTATGGGTATACTTTCTTCAGAGAGAACCCAAAGTCATACAAGTCCACCTAACGCTTTGATTCGGAAGCTCGCAGTTCTGGACTTAAAAGCTGGCAAAAGGAAGGGTAAAAAAGAAGGAAACGGCGATTCTAAACCGTGATTGAAATGATAGCTTACAGTATAGAATTAATGATAATGGCCAACAAATATAAAAATTGGTTCGGAGAAAGGTCATAAGTTCGCACAGCGAACCCCTAGTCCCTCTAGAAGCGAAGTTTACTCTTCGTTAATGCTGTAGAGAGATCTGATAAAAATAAAAGACCACGACCGTCCGCAGGCGAGCGGATCGCTTGTAATTATCTATACTCAACGTCCGGAATGTACAAAACTAGACAAAGTCTCAGCGGACGTGAATAGACAACGCTGAGGTAGGGCTTCGTGCAAGAAGACATTAAGTATCAAATGAAGGCATGTCCGAGACGGAAAGATGATACCGGTGACAACAACACCGGTAGAGACGGCGTATGGTGTGGAAGGTGCCAAGAGAAGATGTCAAGATGCGATAAGGACTGGAAAAGGAAAGGTGGTCGAAGAAGTCCCGGAGGCTAATCCTCCGGGACTGGTAACACGCGTGCGTATCGTGTCTAACGTCCAACACGGAAGGGATTTTCACTGTCCCACCTCTGGCAACTGGCAATGGAAGACATTATCACTCCGATCTGCAAAAATGTTGATGCGAAGAGACGGTGAATGCGTGATAGTAGGGAAGAGATGGTGAGCCTTGCAAAAACGTTGATGCGAAGAGACGGTGAATGCATGATAGGGAAGAGATGACGAGCCTTGTGAAAACGTTGATGCGAAGAGACGGTGAATGCGTGATAGGGAAGAGATGGCGAGGAGATGGCGAGCCTTGCGAAAACGTTGATGCGAAGAGACGGTGAATGCGTGATAGGGAAGAGATGGCGAGCCTTACGAAAACGTTGATGCGAAGAGACAGTGAATGCGTGATAAGGAAGAGATGGTGAGACGTTGGTGCGAATAGACGGCAAATGCATGATAATAATGAATGCCAGTGCACAATGTAGAGCCTCCGGCGAGTCAGAAGATCATGGTTCAGCACCAAGGATATCATCCCAAGGTGTGTAGAGTAGGTTCGAAATCGGAGGTGAGGCCATATTCGCAAGGCGGCGGGCCTCTTCAGCGACCTTCTGCCAGTTTCACTTTGCTAGCGAAATTCCCTGCTCATTTCGTCTGCCATCTGCATCATAAGTCTTTCCGTCGAACAATGCGATAGTATCGAAACCCTCTCCTGTTTCATGGGGGTGTGGGGCGATGAACTGGCGAAGGTCGTCCAGATCAGCGTTTGATAATTCCGCGATCCGATCGATATAGTATGTTGTATCGACACGTATGGCAGACGAAAGGAAAGCTAACAAAAACAGCATGTATTGTCGAAATGACGCAGAGCTTGTCGTAGAAGGGAAAAGGCGGAATTCGATTGTGTCCCGCGAATCTTCAATGGGCTGAAGCGAACGGAAATTGATTAAGGTTCTCCTGTTCAGAGAGATGTAGTCAATCAGTTCCCGCAGTCCCAGATCGTCCACTCGTTCCAGAGCACTCCTCCTGTAGTCGTTGAGGTAACACCGAGACATTTCGCCATTGACTTCGCAATTAGGAATGCAGTAAGTCGAGAGGGCTCTGGCTGGGTATAGGCTAGAGCATGCGCTGCTGAAGGTGAATATCGAAGTACCTGAGCGTGTCGAACATATGCTGTATAGCACTTTGCCATGAGCCCGCAGAAAGCCTCGGTGACTGGATTTCGGCTCTGTCTATAGCCAAATATTCAACAAACAACATTATAGGCCAGGGAGACGAAAAGTGATTACTTACAATAGGGTTTTTGGTACCATTAGGCACGACGTTCCATTGCGAGTAGGCTCGAAATCCGAATTCGGGTAGTAAAGGCATCATTGTGATTTCGAGTTCGAAGCCAACTGTAAAGGACTCTGGGGTATTGTCTCGGATTGATTCCATGGTTGTGGTCGTGGAGGGGGTTGAAAAGTTATCAACTTGGATGTCTTCGTTCCGACTCGGAGTCAACTTATAGGTCTTTGTTCCGAGTCTACCATTATGGCCATTACTCAGCAGGCCAGCGGATCCAGTTCCGAATCTCTGCATCCTTCTGCTTTGCCTAGATCAAATCCAGAGAGGGCTTTCTGCAGCAGTAAGCGCAATGTTCGTGTCGGCAACGATCCAGCACTTTGCACAACTATGAGTAATCATGGCTTCCTCCACGACGGTCAAGTCCTTCAATTCATCAGGTACTACGATTCAGAACTCGCACCGTTGACACGAATAAGAGCAGGAGGATCAGCGAAAGATCTAAGGACTTTGTGACAAATAGAAGACATAGTTGATGATTAAGGAATATCGGGACAACATGTCATAGGGAACTTCATTTTGGTAATGCACGTGTCAATGACTTAGTAGTTTGCGATGTTTGGCAAGAGCCTCTAAACCAAACATTGAAACAATATCTGACGCGACGACTTCGGCTTGAATAATGCTACTGCAATGGTGCACGCTCAGTCCTGCAGGCCCGTCCAAGCTCTCTGCTATCAGGTTCTCGTCACCAAGCAGAGTGCACTCGATCAAGATATTTCCCACAGACGTGCAGCCCTTTGGTCAGTGTCCAGACATCATCGCGTAAGTGCAACTATTCCTGATCATACTGCGTGATATAGAAATAACCATATAATCAGTCGCACAGAACCAGAAGCGTTCTTTCTTGATGTTTATTTCAATGCTCACCCAGTGGGCTCACCAGTGGACGCTAAGCCAAAGCTCAAGGCACCTAATGCACTCATGCCAACCGTCATCCCATACGCAGGCGGTATAGTGGAATATGCAGTGAACATGGGGTCTGAGGTACCCTTGAATGCCATTTATATCTTGTCTTTTTTAACTAAACTCTCAGTTTGCCACTCGTTTAATGATTGTACGTGGAGACTTTGAAACAGTATCAATGGCAATATACGGCGATGTCGTTTCAGATACCCCACCCAAGTCAACTACTTACTCTCCCTTCTCCCTACCCACAAATTCCTCCGTTCCCCTCGTGCCTGCCTTAGACGCTGCAAAGAGTAATGACCCGACTGCTCTTGCGAGGAATCTCCTGGCACTCATTCCCAATGCGCCCTCCCTTTCTCTCGTCATCCGCCTTATGTTCTGCCTCAAGCAACCTAATGATGACTGGGAGCTCCCTGAATTCCCGCATCTTTACTCCGACCTGAATGAGGAAGAAATGGATATCGACTTAGATACTGCGTTCCGATGTTTGAGTCGTCCTGTGGTGGATGACGTTTCATCAGAGCAATTACATCGTTTTGCAAAGAAGGTCTCCGAGGCTGTTGGCCCAAGGGTACGTCTTCTGAAGTCAATCCCCATCCAAACCTATCAACTCGTTTCGTAGGACGATGCACAATCGTATCTCATTGCAGGCATTCTTTCCCGTTCTGCTTCGCAGACTCCTGAATTTGCGCAGGCTTTGATGGTATGTCAATTTTTAGGTGCACAACACTTTTTTTCATATCCTCACAGCAAGTGCTCGAACTCGAGACGATATTTGACCCATCAACCTTGGATGAAGATGCTCTATTCACACTTCTGGATGCATCCACGAATCCAGACATATCGCGGTTGTTGAAGGCATCGTGGTTTCTTAATGTCCTACGAGCTGTCCTTGCGCTACCGACAGTAAACCCTGAGATGAAGAAGGCTTGTCGACGGCTTAGTGATCGGGTAGGATCGTGGACAGTCTTCGAACAAGCGCTGTCCGGGGTCCCAGACGCAGATTACACTAGGGCAGCGCTGTTTTTAAAGGACATCGGGAAGGAGGAAAAGAGTTTTGGCATATGGCTGTCGTGTATCACCACTCATGAGGACCTTCTGGCGAAGATCAGAGATGCGCCGGCATACGAGGGCGTGTATCCGCTAGATTTAATGTCTGGCATGAACCCCTCTGAGGAAATAACGCATTCGGAGTTCATGGCATTCGTTAGGGCATTCGTTGGCGTTGCTTCAGTGCTAGCTGTGTACGCCTGGTCGGACAGCCTTCCAAATTTACATTGTCGCGAGCGCACTCTGGGTGTTTTGCGCTTGTGGCAGGAAATTCCTGGATATCGTGCAGTAAGTCATGGCTACCATTACTTTACCCAACATCTGACGAGTGTATTAGATCATCTCCCCCTTGCTACTCCTACCACAAATGACCTTTCGCCTGGAATGCATGACAATCGGAAATGACCCACCCACGACTGCAGGCATCAATGCCGAGTCCCTCCTTTTCGCACTTGCAGCCAACCCGCAAAGTTTCCTCAATCCTGATTTTGTTCGCTGCGTGAGGGGCTGGGAACCATGGAGTCTAACATGGATCAATGAGCGAGAACGAGCAGACATAGAGCGCGCCGCTAAACTCGCAGACGAAGGCCTTGGTGGGGCTGTAGAGGAACTCGTTGGGTTCGCTAAAGAAGGCCACGACGCAATTTTGGATCAAGGCAGGATACGAGCTCTTAGGGTTGCTGTGGCTGTCATCATGCACACGCTGGAGGATAATACCGAGAGCGGAACCAAATGTGGCGACTGGGCGGTGTTAGAGGCTGTATGGGGTGAACACACGCATGGTCTTTTAAATTACGCCATCGATGCGTTTACTCGTATCAGCGTGGAGGTGAAGCAAGGGTTCTCATTGACACCCTCTCCATCGCCTACGATTGGTCTCGAACCGCTCTTGCTCGTCGCGAATGAAAGCCTCCACCTCATTGCGAGCTTGCATCCACTCTCCATTACGACAACCCGTGCAATACGAATGCTCGTGAGCGGCGTTTTGGACATTTACAGCTGTACTGATGTCACATCCCACGAATCTGTTGCGAACAGCGCAGTACGGGACGCTACACTCCTTGTCAAGTATGCATGTGCCAATGTACTCTGTGCACTTTCAAGGGGCTCGCTAGATCAGCCCAAATGCGGCTCATCTGCAGTCCTCCGCACGCTCTTCGAACAGGGGCTCCATTTTGATAATATCGATCCTGCGAGAAGAGTTTTGAGTGCCTTTGACCTTGTCCTTCGAGTTCTAGCAGATGATGGGGATGACTTACCCGCGGGCTGGATGCCCACTGTTGTTCCACAGACTGTAACTCCCCTCACACTCTTCTTCCGTCATCTCGAACCCATGCATAAGGTCCAACTGGTCCAGCAACTTGTCAGCCTCGACCGGGGTGTGTTAGGGCTGGGTGAGTTCCTCGTTCAAGGGGAGGTGAAGAGACTCGCCAGTCTTTTGAAGGTGATGGCCGAGAGAGGGGTTGTCACGCAGTGGGAAGTGGGCGCGGGACTCGAGTTTGTGGCAGGGCTTATGGAAGGTGAAGACGGCGACTGGTGTATATCCGCATTACACCGATCGGAGTGTGGAACCATCATGACCGGCTTACTCGAAGCCAGCCTCTACTCAAAACATCTTGGAATGATTGCCGGGCGGTTAGCTGAGAATCCGGAGTCCCTAGGGATTGAGCTTAGGCTTTCTGTCGTTACTACACTCTTGCGCGGGGTGCAGGTGCAAGAGCCGAGCATATGCAGGATGAACGCCTTCGGCTTGATCTCTGCTGTTCTCGAGACGACCGACGAGAAAGACAGAGATCCCGAACGGCTGCTCTGGGAAGTAGGACACGCACTCAGCGCAGTGGTAGAATCAAACGACAACCTTTCCTCTCTCGACTCCGAGAGCGTCATCAACACGCTTCTACTCTTCGATTCTCCCTCTCAATCCGATCTCCACGGACTCACCTCCGAGCAATGGGTCAAGCTCTGCACCCACTTGGAAACATCGTTGCCACCCAACAACAAGCTCTCCATCATCATCAAAAGCTTCCATCCCTCCCCATCCTCACCACCAACGATCTCATTCCTCCCATCAACCCTCACGCTCCCCCTATACGACTTGATTTCCCTCCTTCAACCACCAGCTCCCCTACCCAGCACCCCACCACCAAAGCGCAAATCACCAAGCCAAGACGTCCTGGGTCTCGTCGCTATCTCCCCACCAACCGCAGTGCTGCGCTCGCCGGCTGTTACTGGTCTCACGAAGACGTATACACGGAATGATTTTCGTGAGTTGAGGCAGTTACCGAGTGCGAGGCAGAATACGAGTAGGTTGCCGAGTATGCATGTCGATGTGAGTTTTTTCTTTTTTCTTTGTTTAAGTGTTCAGACATCTAAATACCACATACAGGATTTCCTCCAGGTCGAAATGTCGTCTTCCCCGCTCGCCCAGCCTGTAGCGCCATCAGGAGACATGCTGAATCTTTCCCCGTCGTTTAACATGGGCAAGGAAAATGGGTACATTTAGAATTAGGAAATGTCGTCGTCGTCGTAGTCGTCAGTGTTACCCTTTTTGTTGTGGATTTGGGTCGGATCATATTCCGTTTGTCCTTGTCCTTGTTATTTGTTTTTGGAATGTCTACAGTATCAGAGCACGAATATTAACCGCCAGCATCGGGTGCAATTGCGTCCATCACGTCATGCAGTTGGGCCACAGTATTTACGGTTCTTTCCCTTTATTTCCTCACCACTATGGCGACCTCTGAAGCTTCATTTCACGGCTGTTGATCTCCAAAATGGGAGCAGGTATCAGATCAACAAAAAGAATTTCTGGCGATACGACAGATTTATCGCCACATTGGTGATATTCCTGTAAGTGTGTTCACATTAGTGCCAACCGTCTCTAGTAGATAAATTTACCATCTTCGCCCGAAGCACGAAGAGGGAATCTATCTACTGGATGCACGGACAACTATCTGTTCTATCGAATTGATGATGAAGGCAGTTCTGCGCATTCCCTTCATCTCTTTGCCAACAATGTGAAGTACAACTCCTTCCGGACGGCGCTTGCGCCTTTCGGCCCTTTCCAACGGTCATCATAGCAGGCAAAGTTTCGCGCAGTACCTTTTCAGTCAAGCATGAAAATGGATTTGATATTATTGCAATTAATTCGCAGCATGGCTGACACGCAGTTTGCGGCTTTCGTGGATCGCGTTGGAGAAGACTGCTCCGGAAATCGACAGAATCTCGGGATTATAGCAGCGACGACAAACTTCGGCGACACCATTGACTTCCTCTTCCTACCAGGTATTCTCGAAGACGCTAAAACATGTCTTCATCGTGCATTCCTTTCCCCTTTCAACGTCTATGTCGATGAATTCAACGACAAAGTTCTGGACAAATTACCGGGCGATTTTCGTAAGTATCGCAAACAGACACCGATCATACATTTCGCTCACAAGACAACTTAGGATCTTATTTTATTTCAGACATCCTGAAAGAAGCCGATCATACTCCGTTGAACGCACCAGAACACACGCCCTACTACCTCACGATGTTGACCCATCCTAGAGTGCCTCCTCATCGCCTGGATCTCAAAAAGAACTGCATTCGCGCCATTCAACGAAACCTCTCGGTGGAAAAAGGAATGGTAAGAAATGCGCGCGTGCGCGTGGTTGCTCTGCATCGTCGGTTCGTCAGAATCCAACTCATCAATACATCCGAAAGCCACTGCATCCCCCTCATCAACTTTGCGTCCCATCCAAACTGTCCGTCGTGGATATCGAATAAAAGACAGTTTCCTTTGCGACGCGCGTATGCAACGACGTTGGATGGTTGTCAATGTTTAACGCTGGCGCGAACCGTGCTCGACTTTCGAACGGATCACGGCCAATTGTACACTGCGTTGTCGGAGGTGAGGACGCGAAGACACACGATGTGTCTATTTGCGGAGGCGAACGAGGGGCAAGACTGTTAATATTGTATTTCCTGAGTTGCTACTATAAACACAGTATATCGTCGAAGAGCCGACCGAAGGGGTGTCCTTGCAATGTGTAAGATAAGATATGTCTGTATACTAATGCTACAAGCCCATGCATTGCCATAATAAATCATCGTTATCATCATGAATCGAGTGGAGAATCGAAGTCACAGGATCAATCAATCTAGTGTGGACGTCGTCTTCGAACATCGTGGGAAGAGGAATGCGGTAGATCTGATGCTGGGGATAGGGATTGCTGTGATAGTGCTGTTGGAGGCGAGCGGAAATATCGATCCATATCAGATTGATCGAATTCTGATGGAGGTATGGGCGAGAGCGGTTCCTCCGGGGATATAGACGACTTCTTGGCCGGTGCTTGAATATCCGGCGCTCTCGACTTCCCACTCCCAACCCTATACATCCTCTTCCTCCTCGCCTTAACAACAGATCTCTCACCCACCACCTGCTCCTTACTCGCCGTCCTCGGGGGAACGCTCCGTACCGTGAAATGGGCGAGCGAGCGCGTATAGGGCGATAATGTGTGATTCGAATAGGATAGGGTGCTCAGCTGGGATATGGTGTTGTTGAGGGCGGGGCGGAGGATGACGGGGTCTGGATCCGGGTCTGTGGTGTGCGTATGAGTGGTGCTCCAGGTGTCGAAGTGGTTTAGATCAGAAGAGGGGGAGATAGAGAGGCGGCGGACGGAGAGGGATGATTTGAGGGAGGTTCCTGCGTCTGCGTTTGTGGTTGTGTCCAGGGGTGCGATAGAGGAGGGTGGGGTGTCGATGACGCCACTGCTCGAAGAGAATTGGGTCTCGAGGCTGGAGGGCGTGATGGGGCGGGGTGGGGTGGGGATATCGTATCCCGGCTCTGATCGTGTGTGGTGGCGCGATTCACCGTAAAGCGAAGGCGTAAGAGGGAAATACGGGTTGAAACTAGAATGCGGCCGATGAAAGGAGAAGCGCGTGGGATGCGATGGACGGGACTGGGGGTCCGAGCGGACAGAAGCTGTGTCTGGTAAACGGGGTGTTTCTGAAGGAGACTGGATCATGGATTGGGAATGGTATACTCGCGGACGGGTGACAGTGCCACCACCCACAGCGGGAAGCGTTTCGTATTCCGTAACAGGCTCCTCGGCGATGGTTGGAGGTGGTGAATACTCGGTGACTGAATCTTCCCAGTCAACGACATCGAATGAACCCTGCCCTTCTTCGCCTTCCAAGCTCTCGTCTTCTCCGGGCTCTTCGGTAAGATCTCCGAGACCCATATTACGCGTGAAGAGGCGGCTGAAGGATGAGAAGACGCTTTTTGTTGGGAGCCCCTCTGGACGGAGGCCGTATGTTGGGTCGAAAATTTCTTGCTCGGGATTGGAGGAAGATGGGTCTGATGCTGGAAGACTGGTATGAAGGGGAGTGGGGGGAGTTCGGACACTTCTACGAGCTGATGTTGATACAGATGCACCCGATATCGAGCGTGCGCGACCGTAGGAAAGAGACCCAAGGGATTGTTGGCGAAGCATGTGTAACCCAATACCAGAAAAGCCAGGTGGCACGTAAGTGAGATCAGGTGCAGAGACGGCGTCGAAAGGTCTGCGCCGCAATGTGGGCGTTCGCTTGTCGAGATACGGCGCCTCCACTTTGGCCCTTACCCATTGTTGACTTAGACGATGAATGATTCCTGGCAGATCCTCCCTGAACATCTGCCTAAGCTGGCCTTCGATCTCGCGTTGGATGAACTTTTGGATTACGGCGATGGAGTCGAATGTACTGTTTATATCTACGTTCTGGAGAGGGTCTGTCTTGAATACGAGTGTGATGCCTTTTTGCTTTGAGACGACTAGGACGACATAGGAGTTGAGTTTGAAGTGGGAGAGGCGGAGAAGCATTGGGACTACAAGAGGGTCTTTGGCGGCGAGCATGCCACGAGAGCCTGTCATGATATGTATATCGGGCTGCTTGTGATTCAAGGGATTCGCCTAATGAAGAAAGTGTCAAAATGGCGGAACGAATGGGAGATAAGTGGTAACACTAAACACCTGCACTTTAGTCTTGAGTACGATATGTGCGTCTCCTGCATAAGTGAAACGAAATATGCCGCGAAAGTGGTCCATTGTCAAGTCACCGATATCCCGAATTTCGAGTTCTGGTGGCTGCAGGGTGGCATATGAGGAGATAGGCGGGATGAAGTTTGAACTGTGCCGGACTCACCTGTGTCCCCATCTCGAGCTCGACGACCTCTATCCTGTCGGCGATGACTGGCGGTTTATTGCCCTTGTTGAGGGCGTTATTCAGCATGTCGATAGCATCTGTGTGAAACTGGTCGGAAAAGCGTGGCCATTCGAATGTGAACGACATTTCTGTGCGTTGACTGCAGTGATTTGCCAGCCAGTCAGCATTCAAAAGATTCGAAGGCAGGTCAAAACCAGGTGGACGTCAGACTGTGCATTTTTTGGCCAGATGAAGCCAGATTACTATAAGATTACGAATGGCGGCAAGTGCATGGATGTAACTCACGTGCGTGCGCTTCTTCGGTTACACGGATTCGAGCTTAGAGCTACATTTCAACTGCTCCGCTGCCCACTCGTTTCCTCAAGTCAAGATCCCACTCTTGTCGTGGGAGCAAGTGACGAGGAGACGGGTACCACTACCTCGTTGACCAATTTCTCATGACCCTTGAGCGTCAGTTCAAGTCTGCATTTCCTTTGGAGTTGGCGCTTGGGACGCTACTTTGTAAATGCCAGTGATGGCCTGCATTGAATATTTTTCGGTGTGTCGGTCAGCAGGAGCGTCGACGAGGGAGTGGTCCCTTGCGCGCACTAAGGTGAGGAGGCACTAAGTTGCATCTCCTACAGAATACTGAACCCACATGTCGGCCTTGCTGTAGATACGTGGTGTCCCGCATGCAAGTTAGTGTTTCAGGAGTAGCGCGGTGGTTGCTTGTAATGTGCTACGCTATATTACAGCTGATTATATTTTTCGTCCTATCAATCTCTTCTCGCATTGATCTTGTACTGATAGGTGACCACATGAATGCAACGAATCATTGGCTTGATGGCTGCGGTAATATCGTAAATGCATCCTGAGGGAGAAGCAGCTTTTTGTTCCTGCCGGTATCATTGGCTGGCAACTACCCTCTCGGTGCACTCGATTACACGACTTCTCCTGATCACTATAGGTTGATTCCGTCTACAGCTTGTCACGCGCAAGTATGGTCACCATACGGACGGGCAGCTCTACATGTGGGCCGGCCCATATACGTACGAGATCATGCATACTGTCATCGATATGGGCCGTACGGCCTATCATCGAGCGATGACAGGTCCCTACTGTTACACGCATTCTTATCGAAGACCATCGCTAAATAATTATTCCCGTATTTGCGTACTCTGTACGGCTGCGCGAGCTGGTACGTGTGGGACTGAATCGCTGTTCACGACACTACGGTTAGCTACTGTCGTTCTCGCCTGCACAACCAGCCACATCCTCAGACAGACCTTACCCGTTTGGTATGTTTAGCTCGAATTCATCGATTTATCTTAACTATTCTTAGCCAAGTGGTTAACAGGTTCGAGATCTGTTCGTGCAAGTTTGAAGCTTGCCGACAACGTTTTTCTCCATGATTGCACCTTGTGCATGAGCTCATGGAGAGGTCATCGAACGTCAACCATAAGAGTCATGGCCAAGTCGTTAACAGATTCGAAATCTGTTTCTCCCGGATGGTGCAGGTTCGCAACCTGCTGACAATAGGTTTTCTTTATGATCGTACCTTGGACATGAACTCATGGAGAGGTCTTCGAACGACAACCATAAGACTTATGGCCAAGTTGTTGACAGATTCGAAGTCTGTTCCTCCTGGATGGTGCAGGTTCGAAACCTGCCGACAATATTTTTTCTCTATAATCTGCATGCTGCGTATCATGGTACAATGGCAGTCATTTATTGGACGCAGCATGGAATTGCATGAGTTGTCAAATGCTCAGTACATGTGGTGATATGTACTCTAACGTGAAGGTTCGGAAGGAACAGAAAGCCTAGCGGGAAGCAAGTACATAAACAATAAAGATACTATGTACTATCGTGATGTTGATGGGTTGGTTCCCAACAATAACAAATTAAAGGAGAGACAACGCAATGAGACAACATAGAAGCATGTAGACGAATAGGGCTTGAAACAATACAAAGACCCCGCTACTGACTGTAGCGGGTATCAGTGTGGTCTTCGCCGCCGCGGATGCTGGCTTTGCAATGGACCTTTGGCAATAATGGGACGAGCCTAGTTTCCTGGATCTCCGCACTCATTGTGCCAAAGTACCTGCAAAATAAATCATTGTAAGTGATGATCCATACCATTGGGAAATCCTTAAAACCTTTGAACGTCGAAACTCCAAATATAACTTGCTCGCACCCACATTCCTAGTCCATCAAGGTACTCCTTGACTAGGCTATCGGTGGAAGGACCCCATGAAGGGATCTTCGCAAAACCGTCGATAAATCTTTTCTTGAGTTTAGTGTGATAGGCGGCTGCCCAACCCATCGCACCGCCTATGTCGAGGCCAAGTTCTAGAATGACAACAGTTATCAGTGAATTGTATTCGTTCCCGCTTGCTTGTTCTCTATTGTACGAGAATATATCCTGTGAAGGTCATTAGCATACCGGTAACAAAGTCTTTAGTATGATTTTACATTGTCAATTGTAACCAAATCTGCGGCGCATTCAACCATATCCACGATGGCAGGATGGTAGAACACCTCATCAGGAAGATCTATTTCCATTCCACATAGTATGAGCCAAGGTAATATACCAGATGATTCCCGTCGGTGCTTGAAATGGTCATCGATACTGCGACAGTGTCTTTGTTCGCGGTCGATAACCTCGACAGCTACTGCACGAAGGTATGTCGTAAAGCTATCAACGAAGCGGGGCTGACAAGTCATGCTTATGGTCTGCATCGCACGAGCCGAACATCTGCACAAAATTCAGATGCATGATCAAACAAGCAGAGGATGCTTACTGTCGCATCATTTCTCCCATGATGTGTTCACCCTCTGGTCGTATCTTATGAGGATTGTGTAAGGCATCCACGCCGATGTCCACTATTCCGTTGGCGTCTGCTGCAGTGCTTCTCTCGGTGACTTCGTCCACAAATAATTGTATATCCATTGCTTCGCAACAAACTCGAAGATGTTCTATGTTGCAAGAATAAGGTCAACTTGGGTCAGTAGTGCGTGCCAGGGATTGAGTACGGACCTCTTGACACGGTAGGATGAGCCAGTGCTACTAGGTAAGCTACAAGAACAATACGCGTCAACAATCTTCAGAGGCAAGTTAACATAACTCAAACCTGCATCACACTTGTCGAATGCTTCCAATGTTTCAGGATCCACAGCTTTGAAACTATGAAACCAAGCATCGGCTTCAATTTTCACAGCTTCGAAATGAGGGTTGATCGTGCGAGGCCACGGCCAGTCGGTCATGGTATCCGGAAGGTAAATCGTCTTTGGGCGAGTTTCCATGATCTCCTATTTCCGATGATCAGTGATAGAAACTATGAATTGTAGGAGGGGGCTAAGGATAAATGATGTGCAGCGTCCCTTTTATACAAAATGTGGGGACGAAAATTTGTGGAATAGTCTTCGTCGGTTCCATGGCATACTATCAGTAATCGGTAGCCAGTTTGCACCCTTGGCACTGGTAGTGTTGCCGTCGAAGCGAGGTAGGCCGCGGGCCCGGATCAGATTTTGGACCCGTCGAAAAACGATGAACGATCTCTGTTTGGCATAGTCTCGGTCGAAACGCTTTGAGCGAGGCACTTTGCCAAAAACGCCAATCGAAAGCAAGCGAGACCAAGCGAGTCACTTGGCAAGTTGGACCCGTCGAAAAACGATCGTTGAACGATCCCTGTTTGGCATAGTCTCGGTCGCTTTGAGCGAGGCACTTTGCCAAAAACGCCAACCGAAAGCAAGCGAGTGCCAATCTACTGTTCGTGTTTGACTCGTTAGATATGTTCTGTTGCTGTACTACATCAAACCGAGCGCTCAAATCATCTGATGTACGAATCGTCTCGTTGATATAGTCCATGATCTCCTTGTAAATATCGTCGAAGGTCTGCAAGTTCACCGAAAAATACTTGAATTTGCCTTTGATGTGCGCCATCAGCACGCAGTAGAGTGCAGCTCCACAGACTGCGAAGAGCCTGTCTAGCCGTCCGTCCTGTTGGAAGAAACGATTGATTCGACGATACGTACGCGTGTTACCTGTCCCGGAGGATTAATCTCCGGGACTTCTCTTTCCTTATCACCTGTGACTCCCACGTAACGACAGTAATAATAGGTGATAATACATAGGGTTCGCACCTGTAAGACAAGGCAGATCTGGCGTTCCAGAGCCTCCTTCCATATTGTTTGGATAAAGATGAACTTTATGGACAATCAACCCACCCCGCTGAGAGCGGAGTTTGAACAAACAGCGTATGGAGGCAAAAGTGTGAATTGAACAGTGAGGGTTGCGCCACGCGGATGTACACAATATCATGGCTGGTTGAGTCCTCCGTGAGTCCAGGTGTACAATATTACAGTTACGAAGTCCACCTTCCGAAGGACTTCAGCCCCTGAAGCGTGTGACCTACCACTCCGAAATTGTTCGGCTCCTAGGCAAAGAGCTCGTTTACCGTAGCTTATGATACTCTGTTACCTTTTTCGGGGGGACAAGCGAGTCTATTATAGAGCAGTTGACGCTGCCTAGCCGCTTATAACGGTATCGAGAGAACACTGGTCCGAGGGGAAATGCTCTTATGCACGCTAAAACTGTTATCTTTCTATAACGTTAAACTTCTGAAGTCAGATTGCTGGTTTAGAGCGATGCACTTGTACGTCACGATGTATTATTAGAGGCGTTCTCTTGGACATTTTTCTACTTGTTCATCTAGCGGGTCCAATATAGATTAGCACAGAACTCTAGCAACAAGAACAAGCACAATGACCACTTACGACGACATAGAACGCAGAAGACATGATGATAACGGCACCAACAATTGACAGTAAGGACGGCATAACTCCGAAGATTACGCGTTCCAGCATCACAGCGAAAAGCACCTGGGTGTACATTCCAGTGACACCACGCGACACTGTTTCTCGTTGCAGCCCCATTGTCAAAAGAGTCTGGAATAGCGATGGATAACTACTAGGCAGGTGCAGGATCACTAGCACTCACCTGCGTCACGAAGCCAAAAACACCAACCATGAGTAAAAGCATCCACCCCCATGGTGTGGGATACACAACCGGGATACTTAAAACAATCATCCTGTTGGAAACTAGTATTAAATCGACACGTAAAATGCAGGGATGTATTTGCGAACCCCAACAATGATATGATGGTGCACCACAGCGAAAAGAATGTCAGCACATGCATCGGGTGGGCGCGTTTTCCAATTGCACGAATCGACGTATCTGGAACAAATTATTGATGTCTGACATGAGAGATTGCATGCATACATGCACCAGTATTGCCGATCACGCTCATCATACATGCGCTACCAAAATATACTGATGAATTTAGTGGAGCAGCGTACAAATAATGGTGCTCACCCAACAGCGGCCAGCCTTTCCGCTGGGGTTCCTTCTGGCAAGTGACCTCCGTCAGGGATGGAGCCAAATAGAAATGGGGGCCTTGTAACGAGAACCACACCGAGTAAACTGCACACTATGGACGCCTCTATAAGAAGTAATAGATAACAGAAGTCAGAGAATAACTCTCACCTCCAGCGACAGCTTGATTGGTGGAATAGCTCTCCTTCAGGAGGATGGATCCAGCGACTGCTGTCGTAAGAGGTGTCAAAAAAATCAGGACTGTCGCATCTGCGACAGATAAATGCTCAAGTGACAGATACACGCCGAATAGTCCGAAAAACCTTGTCCAAGAAAAAGATATTGGAAATTTGAAGGTTGTGCACGTATAATCAGTACGCACCCAGTAATGCCACGAGTGATCAGTAACGATCGAACATCTTTTGGGCCAGTTATCGGATCAGGGATCCTCATAATAATCCTTTGTACCATCAGCTATAGGTCGTCGTCTGCACAAGCAACCAACAGACATGTATATCACACAGCATAGAAACGTGACGGCCTAGGACAAATCGATATTCAACTCGAATGCGGAAACTACGTGACATACCATCCTGATTATAATAACCTGTGATACTGTGTTCACTCCATTCGACGACCAAAGGTAAGGAAATAGCTGACCTGAAGCGCATGCACTGGAGTCTCCAATCTGTTTAGTATCTTCACAGAAACATACATGCATGCGGAGAAAGACTGTGCGGATATGATGAATAGCATCCCAATATTGCTAGCGATGATGTCTGGGACGCTAGGTTGGCTGTAGTTAGCTATTGCTCCATCATCGCATTCAAGTTGGTGTGAGGAAGTTGTGTTGTCAATGAGATGAGACTCGTCAGACTCGCTATCGCTCATCTTCAAAATTCGTGGGGTCGCTAGCTACTAAACAGCGTGGGTACACTGCATGTAGCGAAATGAATGTAAAGTACAGTAAAGGTACATCCGGCGGCCCTAACTGCGTCACGTGCAGTCGACAATTAATGTAGCCCTGCAGCTGTAGTGGGCAGGCCCCGGCAGGGATTCACGGATTTTATGCTGCAGTGAGTAAGTATAAATTAAAGTAATTGCAATCAGAAGCCATACTAGGCATGCAATACTAGCGAGGTGTGTCAACACACTCTAAGCGTCATCGCAGAGGCGTCCTGAGTCTGCCATGAGACCAGCACAAGGAATAGCAGAGGAGAGCATTGTTACAGTGAATTTCCGCCTGGGTGCAACTTCAATGACTGGTGACTCATGTTGGGGTCCAGACCTAGTACGGAAGGAAAGGCCCTGACGCAGGAACTGCGTGATTCCGTTGGAGTGGCAGGGTGGAGAACTTATTTCGAACTGGATATGAACTCAGTCATGCATTATGAGTTCACTAAAACTGGAGACTGACATGATCGAGCTGAGTTGCAGCCTGCGGCAAGGCCGAGCGGTCGGGAGGCAAGGGAAACATAGCAGGGAACTGTGGGAACGGTCGAGTCAAATCTCACAGAAATGACATAAAGAGACATACATCCCATGGATCACGAGGCTGTACAGGAAGAACTGAGTTGACGCGAGAAGTAAAGTGAAAGAGTTTGCGGACATGGCGAAGGAAAATGAGCTGTTGATGGTCTATTGTAGGCGAATGAATTTGATGCATGGGGGGAGAACTTAGAAGATATAATGACGGGCCATTTTTCTGGGGTTCTGCGCACGGCGGCGGGACGGCGTCAGACTGTAATGATTGATGTGGATCAGCACAATGAGCACAATGGTAACAATGATAATGGGATACATATGTTAAGTAAATGCCATCGTTCTTCAAGAGAAAGTTAGTCTAGAAAAGATGGTGTCATGCAGGTGAATGCGTACTTTTTTGGGGAGGATTCTGGACCCTTCGGCGTGGTGAGTGGTCACAGTGGTGGTAGCATCGCAGTTGTTTCGTCCAGGTGGAGAACGTGGATCAAACTGCCAAAGGATGGTGAGACGTGCACTGACACTACGTACGTACCATATGCAACTCTTGCAGAAGAACTCCTGATTATTGCCTTCAACGTTTGGCATACTGGCAATAGGGGAGTTCAAAGCTGGATTTCGAGGCCGATTGGACGCAATTTGGACGTGGATTTGGACTTGGATTTGGACGCTAAAAAACGCCGAAATCCGATTTCAACTTTGACAACCCTCGATTTCGACCTGATTTCGACGGATTTGACACTAACCGTTTTCGCTTACCCAAGTGCTTGCCGCGTCGGAGTTCAAATTACCATAGTACAATGGTTAGCATAGGATACGTGAAAACTGTTTTGAAACCACCATGCCCTTTCAAACTGAGCGCCAGCAGGCTGCTGAATCAATACTCGAGTCATACATTGCAGCTCTCTGGCGAAATCCCACATTCTCGTTGATTCTATGTCTTCTTCTAGCTCTGGTTCTTCTGATTCAAGCTCCGACGACTCCTCTGGCGAATCTGATGCCGACCCGATGCCTACTACCAGCGAAGTTTTGCTTGGTGTGGTAGGCACATTGTACTCTCGGAGCTTGTCGACAGGGATCCAATAGTCAAGAGTGGTGAAAATTTAGTCGCCCCGAGATTTTCAGAGCATATGTTCGGGTAACCCCTGACTGCTTTGATGTGCTCGATGTAAGTCACGTCGTGCGTATTTCAGAGTCCGACTCACGTTGCCGAATGTTGCCGCTGAACCAGCCGAAATCCATCCCAAATCCATCCCAAATCCACCAAAGCTGATTTCGTTTTTGAAAAACGAAATCCACATCCAAATCCACATCCAAATCCACGTCCAAATCAGCCTCGAAATCCAGCTTTGAACTCCCCTAATGTCATACACACGGCAGAGTAGTTGAAATGTAGCTTGAATACACAACCAACTCAAATATGATAGCGCCGAGGCTCTAAGAAGCACACGCACGTGAGTCACATCCCATTTGCTATATCCTGTCCATCTCGGCTGTGACTCAGACTGTACTTGTTTTCTATCTTTCCAGCTTTCGAATCCTCACATAAGATATGTCTGGCTGGCTTCGCTTCAACGTGTCCACGGGCATATCAGAAGCTGCATGGACTGCTCTATATGCCAATGCTAATGCTACCTGTGCCAATCTTATCCTTCCCCACGCCAAGAAGGTTTTCGGTCACTAAAAGTTCACGCCCAAATTCGTTTCCACTGAGCAGTTTTGGTTGGTGTACTCAAAGCCTGGCACTTCCGAAATTCAGTTCATATTTTCCTGCACAGAGGGACCACTAGGCAAAGTTCAAACACCCCCTCTATATCATCCCTACAGTCCCCATCGCTGATTTAACGCCCGAGCTCCTTAAAAGCTCTATGGAGGCGCTGTGCAGCGCGCTTCTGAACGAGACTGGCTTCAAGAGGGAGAGGGCCTTTTCCGCCTTTTTCGTTGAGAAGATTGCAGACACCTTCATTCTGGCGTGGGAGAAACATCGCCATGTCTGCATCGAGTACGTACTAGTGACCATAACATTGCACCACAACACTAACTTCTTTCTGAACAGGTTGCTGGAGGAGTATAAACAAGTCGACTCAGATGTGTCAACGTTTCGCCAAGGTAGTATATGGCCGTGTGTGTTTCCAGGATTTTAGTGAGGGGTCTTTCGATGGCTCGAGATTGGTTTTGGTCAAGTCAAAGTCGAACTCAGTCATTGATATATTGAAGATTCCATCTCTGTTGAATTGGGGATCGTGGCTCTGAATATTCAAGTCGATAATTAGCGCACACGGCTTGGCATCCATAACTGAACAGTGAAGAACAGTCTGAACAGATCAGCGCCAAGTATTGGGTGCCACACTACTGAGTTGCATCCCTCCTCGCCATTCTTTCCCTTTCATTGGGTAAAACATATTTGGTTGTGAAGACGTTTTTATCCATGAGATCTCACTGTGTCGTGTCAACTCGCGGACTGTACCAAACCATCAAAAGTGAAATCAAGCAAGCAGAAACGCACTCCAAAGCGCGACCATCCCACTCTCACCAGATAAAACAGGGCTCGCGGCCGTCAAACTCCCAAACGAGATCCTACATGCAGCACGGCGAAGCGTGCATGGACATGTCTGGGTAGCGAGCAGAGGCGTAGCAGTTATACTTGGAAACATGGAAGGCATACTCGGGGATGCAATCATGGGAGACGCAAGAGGTACCGCAACAGGAGATCCGATGAGAGACAACAGCAGGATGGCGATCGAGTCGCCCGTGGACAAGGGAGTTCAGGACCACTTACCGAAGGGTTTCACATGAGGTTGTGGCGGATGGGCTTTGGCTTCGTCGTCTTCGGTTCCTCCGTCTCCTTTGGCTTGGGTTTCGCCTTCGGTGCGGACACGGGCGAGGCAGGTGTAGAGCGCGAGACTGTTCTTGCAGCAGTCTCTACACTCGCTGTTGAAAATTAATTGTCCTTATCCGATCATCGATGAGCCAGAGAAAGCCTTGAGCAGTAAAAAAGAGCTACACCCCGACTCACATTTCTGAGCCTGATCCTTGTGCAGAGATGATGTAGTAGTAATTTGCGTTGATGCCAAGACTTGCTGGGTCTGTCGTGCATGTGCATCTGAGGATGCGATTAACGACCACGAAGGTTCCCTGATACAGAGATCCTTCGCACGTTGAGAACATGCTTTCTCCTCTTCGTCAGAGGAGACTGATAGAGAAGGTACGTGTCCCTTGCAGAATTTAGGCTGCTTGATGGGTGTGGCTGCTTTGATTACGGTGGTGTATTCTTACGAATGAAGAGGCTTGGACTAGGAACGGGAGAGGGCGAGGGAGAGGGACTCAAAAAACTAAATTAGCCATGGATCATACCTAGGAACGGGAACGAGACTAAGTAGGGTAATAATCAGGAAAATGTATGTAGAATTGTGAATAAGAGAGCTCACCTCAGTCTTGGATCAAAAGGCTGAGGGAGAATATCTGACGGGGAGAACGCTGATTGAGACGGAGAATCAAATTCGCAAAGGTGAACGTGTATGAGGCGTAACGAGGAGTGATTGCATATGTAAAAGAAAAGGATTGAAATAATATGAAACCCCGCTACTGACCATAGCGGGAATCAGTGCGGTCTTCGCCACCGCGGATGCTGGTTTTGCAATGGACCTTCGGCAATAATGGGACAAGCCTAGTTTGCTGTATCTCCGCACTCATTATGCCAAAGTACCTGCAAAATAAATCGTTGTAAGTGATGACCCATACCATTGGGAAATTCTGAGGACCTTTGAATGTCGAAACTCCAATAATTAGCTGCTCGCACCCAGTTTCCTAGTCTATCAAGGTACTCCTTGACTAAGCTATCGGTGGAAGGACCCCATGAAGGGATCTTCGCAAGACCGCCGATAAATCTCTTCCTGAGTTTAGTGTGATAGGCGGCTGCCCAACCCATCGCACTGCCTATGTCGAGGCCGAGTTCTAGCATGACAACAGTTATCAGTGAATTGTAGTCGATCCCGCTTGCTTGTTCTCTATTCCACGAAAGCATATCCTATGAAGGTTGTTAGTATACCGGAAACCAAGACTTTAGTATGACTTTACATTGTCAACTGTAACCAAATCTGCGGCGCATTCAACCATATCCACGATGGCAGGATGGTAGAACACCTCATCAGGAAGATCTATCTCCATTCCACATAGCATGAGCCAAGGTAATATACCAGATGATTCCCGTCGGTGCTTGAAATGGTCATCGATACTGCGACAGTGTCTTTGTTCGCGGTCGATAACCTCGACAGCTACTGCACGAAGGTATGTCGTAAAGCTATCAATGAAGCGGCGCTGACAAGTCATGCTCATGGTCTGCATTGCACGAGCCGAACATCTGCACAAATTTCAGATGAATGATCAAATAAGCAGAGGGTACTTACTGTCGCATCATTTCTCCAATGATGTGTTCACCCTCTGGTCGTATCTTATGAGGATTGTGTAAGGCATCGACGACGATGTCCACTATTTCGTTGGCGCCTGCTGCAGTGCTTCTATCGGTGACTTCGTCCACAACTAATTGCATATCCATTGCTTCGCAACCGACTCGAAGATGTTCTATGTTGCAAGAATAAAGTCAGGGCCCCAGGGGTCAGTAGTACGCGCCAGGGGTTGAGTACGGACCTCCTGACACAGTGGGATGACCCAGTGCTACTAGGTAAGCTACAAAAACAATACGCATCAACGATCTTCAGAGGCAAATTAATATAAGTCGAACCTGCACCAGACTTGTCGAATGCTTCTAATATCTCAGGATCCAGGGTTTTGAAACTATGTACCCAAGCATCAGCTTCAATTTTCACAGCTTCAAAATGAGGGTTGATCGCGTGAGGCCACGGCCAGTCGGTCATGGTATCCGGAAGGTAAATCACTTTTGGGCGAGTTTCCATGACTTCCTATTGCTGATGATCAGCAATGGAACCTATGGATTGTAGGAGGGGGCTAAGGATAAATGGTGCTTTTCTACAAAATGTGAGGACGGAAATTTATGGAATGGTCTTTGTCGGATTATGGCATACTCGGGAGTCGGCAGGCTACTGGGTGTCGGAGCTTGTGGAGTGTCGCGGTAGCTTGAGTGATGTCCGAGGGTTACGCATGTACTTCTGCTCCACCAAGCTTCCGAAGAACGATAAACGATTTTCACTGGCGGACTACGTTACTGATGAAAACATAGGCATGTGCAGCATAATGTACGAACGTACGGTAATGAATGACCGAAAACCTCACTAGAAATTTGCCTCTGACTTACCCGAGTAGCGGTGGTGTGTAACCGTGACTCCGAAATTGTTCAGCTCCCGCTAGTGTACATTGTTGACAGAACTCGGGAGTTTTGCCTGGTCCACAGCAGAACTCACGCGAAAGGAGGAGCCTGGCAGAACTCCGGGGTATCGGAGACTCACGGAGATGTAATTGAGATCTCTGATGACACAGTTTGAATCAAGTTTGAATTCAAGAGAACATGAAAACCGACATCCGAAAGCCGCGGAGGCTACCCGCCATCATCGACATGCTTACATACACACTCGTGAAGAGGTTGGCATTGTTGTCGAGACTGCATCCTTTGCGTAGGCACTTCCGCTCTCAACCGAGCCTCGCAATGCAGATGACCCTCTTGCTGATCCGGAGAGTATCTCGCCTGACGACATTATCGTGACTACTGAATTTGCAGCTCTCGAAGAGTTGAAATTTGAAAAGGGCCGAGGAAGTTCAGAGCATTAACGAAATTGAAGTACTCGAGGGAAATGCGTTTGATTTTGATTTTGACGAGTTGAACAAGGAATGATACCACAGGCTACTCTAGATGAGGTTGAGGTGGAATGGCGAGGGGTGAACCGGTGACGGATGGGATGAGGCAACATTGGTTAGGAATAATAATAATTTAGTGTTAACCCTGCCACAACAGAAGTCCTCCATTCAATTGATTACTTATCTTTCTCACTTGATACTCACTGTCTCGACTTCCGACTTGCTCCGTGCATCGTACCATATGTCTTACTTGTCACCTTACAGAAAGCCCTATAAAAGACCCAGTAGATAGACTTGTGAAACCTGACGTTCTTGCAACTAAGCTAAATATTAAAGTACAGTAAAGGCGGCCCTAACTGCGTCACGTGCAGTCGATCAATTGATGTAGCCCTGCAGCTGTAGTGGGCAGGCCCCGGCAGGGATTCACGAATTTTATGCTGCAGTGAGTGAGTATAATTGCAATCGTAAGCCATACTAGGCGTGTAATCCTAGCGAGGTGTGTCAACGCGCTCTAAGCGCCATCGCGGAGGCGTCCTGAGTCTGCCATGAGACCAACACGAGGAATAGCAGAGGAGAGCCTTGAGCCAGTGAATATCTGGGAGAGAATCGATGTCAGATGAATCAGACGTGGGATCATTCTGCGGTGTGGTAGTCTGCTGTCTAGAAGGGTGCCGGGTATCATCAACTTTCTTGTATTCTGGGAATTTGGCAGCAGCAAGACGCTATGGGACGCACATGAGCAACAAGGCAACGAGAAATCAGAAGAATTGTGTTACAGTGAATTTCCGCCCGGGTGCGACTTCAATGACTGGTAGCTCGTGTTGGGGTCCGGACCTGCGGAAGGAAAGGCCCTGACGCAGGAACTGCGTGATTCCGTTGGAGTGGCGGGGCGGAGAGTTTATTTCGAACTGGATATGAACTCAGTCATGCATTATGAGTTCACTCAAACTGAAGACTGACATGATCAAGCTGAGTTGCGGCCTGCGGCAAGGCCGAGCGGTTGAGAGGCAAGGGCAACATAGCAGGGAACTGTGGGAACGGTTGAGTCAACTCTAACAGAAACGAGATAAAGAGACGCACATCCCATGGATCGCAAGGTTGTACAGGAGGAACTGAATTGACGCGAGAAGTAAAGTGAAAGAGTTTGCGGACATGGCGAAGGAAAATGGGCTGTTGATGGTCTATTGTAGGCGAATGGATCTGATGCCCGGGGGGAGAAGATATAATGACAGGCCGTTTCGCTGGGTTTCTGCGCACGGCGGCGGGACGACGGGTTGCGTCAGACTGTAATGATTGATGTGAATCAGCACTATGGTAACAATGATAGTGGGATACATACGTTAAGTAAATGCTGGAGAGTGACGTCGTTCTTCAAAAGAAGGTTAGTCTAGAGAAGATGGTTTCATGCGGGTGAATGCGTACTTTGGGGAGGGCAGATTGTACTTCCGGGATAGCAAGCAGAGCGGGAGTAGCGTTACATATATAGATATCGGGATCATTGAGGACCGTGAAAGCCAGTTGAAGTGAGTCGGGTGAGGATATGAGGGTTTCGACACTGGGAACGTTGAAGGAAGCAAGGAGCTGGCGGGACTCGAAGGCCCAAAGCTTGATGGTGCCGTCATCGGAAGCACTGATGAGGAGGGCGCCGTTGAATAAAAGTTCTAGAGCGAAGACACCCTCGGTGTGCCCTTCGAAGGGAGTTCCGACAATCTTCAGCGTCGATGCGTCGAATTCATAGATGGTGCTGGCGTCATAGATCCCGATTGAGTCCGAGTCCGAGTCTGAGTCGATTTCGTCATCCATGGTGAATCTAAATGCGGCTATGATGTTTTTGTTTTTGTTTGTCCAGAACACTGGCGCATATGTGATAAATCCTTGATGAACATATTTCCCCACTCTGACATCCAATTTCTGTGATCGGATATCCCAGACCTCAAGGTACTTCCCCACGCATGACTTGACTGCGAGCTTCTTTGAGTCTGGGGAGAATCGAACTGCGCCCACCCAATCAATGCTCTCGAATGGACCAGTCACGAGTTTGCCAGTGTTCAATATCCATATCCGCAATGTCCCATCATATGACCCACCCACAAGTAGCTTGCCGTCTGTGGAGATATCAGTGCAGGTGATCATCGATGAATGGCCATGAAATCTTTTCACGATTCCCGTCTCAACCTCCCAGGCTTTCAGCTCCGCACGATCGCAATTTCCACCGCCAGTGACAACCCATCGACCATCCCTTGATACCCCCACTGCCCGTATTTCCTCCTCGCAAAGATCCCGCGCTTCCTCGATCTCCTTGCCTGACTGCAAGTTCCATCGCCGAGTGGTCTTGCCATTAGCGCTGAACATTCGCAGGCCATCGGGAAAATAGGCTATTGTTGTTTTCACACACTCGTCATCCTCCGATGTCTTTACCGGTGCCAGGGTCGTATTTATTTTTACACCGAATGGCTCTGTCGATGTGGAAGCCATGGTTGTGTCTCTGCGATCGAAATCACAGTTCAAGTAGCCAACAGCGATATTCTTTGGATGCGTTCAAAGGGACTGTGGTAAGCTGTCCTTGTGCCCTGTAGTAATTCTGATGCTGATATATATTAATTTTGATTTTGATAGCACTTCCCCTGCTGAAGCCGATGATGGTCAGTTCACCTACGCTGGCAGTTCAGATGAGCTTACGAAGGGGCTTGTGGAGATAAAGAGCGAGGAGTTCTTGAATGTAGACACAGCAGTCTTCCTTGCATATATCTTAACGCGCTTTTGCATGGCAGTGCTAGCTGTGCATATCGTCTATTCGTAATTCAACTTTCCTTTTCCTTGCATTTCACTCACAGGCTCACAGCCATTGCCGAAGTTCCTGTGTTAGAGCATAAATTTCACCAAGCCAGTTCCGGCGTAAGTGAATAGAAAATTGTGCACTGGAATCATGAGAGCAGATATTCCACAGGCAATGTTCATCTCAAGATAGATTTGATGACAGGATTCACTCTGGTCGTGGCAGCTGCCTTTAAGCAAGCATGATACTTATATATTCAAAGATTATATTTCTGATAATACGGGGATCGTGGGTCTGAATATCAAGTCGCAGTGGTAGGCTGTAGCATCCATAGTCTGAACAGATCATAATGTCACCAAGTATTGGGTGCCACGTTACTGAGTTCCCTCCTTGCCCGGTATCCTAATTCAATATATACCGCTCGAATGTTAGGAAATACACCACGAAAAGATTTATGATCAACCCGGATTCTAATTCTGGACCGCATTCAAGTTGCCGAGTCCATCGCTTGCGATGGGTTGTTTTCCGATGTTTATCCCGACCTTCTGAATTCAACAATTATAAACAACCACCCCCGGAACAATTCCTAATGAACGAACACCGGATTTCCCAAGGCTTGCTGGCCAGTTGCGCACTGCTCTCTGCAGGCAGGCCAATCTATCAATTACACTACAAATGAATGGCGTCCGCAAACTTTGGGGAGGCGGAAGCCCGTCTACCAGTTCACCAACAACACAAACACCTGGTCCAGCAACACCTATAACACCTATATCGCCAGCACCGTCAGCCGCGCCCTCTTCCGAAAGTTCTCCACTCACGACAACTCCAGGACTTTTCATCAAGAAAAATAAGAAACAGTCATCTGTAGCAACTGTTTCAGACGCTGGGAACGGTAACGACGTCAATGGCTCAGACCGCTCGGCGTCGCCTGCTTCATCCCGAGTCACTTCTCCCTTACGAAAACCAGTCCCAGCCCCAATCCCAGTCCCAGGTCCCTCATCTCCAAGAATTTTACCCCCACTCAAACCACGAGCGTCTACAGCTTCAGAATGGAAACGCACCTCGGGATTACTCAATATAAGGGACGACCTCCTCATGAGTCTTCTCACAAGCGAAGCAGTCGTAGAAAGCCGCGAATGCGAGATCTTAAGCGGAGAAGAAGTGGAAGAACTCAAAAAAGTTCGATTTTCATTCATTCGCTCGATCTGCGCCCTTACATTTAATTTTAATAAACCTCCCTTTAGGAACATCAAATTCTCAAAATTCGACTCGCTGCAGCACAGAGGAAGCTCAAGTTAGAAACAAAGATCCGCGATGCAGCTCTATCTCTTTCAAAAGTAAACACTGCGCACAAGAAAGTCTCAAAAGCCACAGACGACCAGCTAGACGCTGCAGAACGCAAAGTCAACGCTGCACAGACGGAACTTTGGCGCGTTTCAGAACGAACAAGCGAAGTCGAACGAAAGCTTTTGGAACATCGTGCAGGCGTGCTTGGTTTCTCTGTCTCCAAGATGGAGAGAAAGATGACGCCTAGTGCGGATGCATCGGGCTTGAACACGCCCAATAAGAGTTCGGCCTTTTACTCCGTTACGACCGCCTCTCCATCACCGAAAGCGCGATTCGACGGTGCACACCTATTCGCAGGCCACGCCGACGCACAAATCCCCAAAGCCCCACCATCCGTCGATGACATCGTCACACTCGAAAACAAGCTCCGAGCTGCAACGGGGGCCCTCAGCATCGCGAACCAGAAACAAGCGGAGATGGCACGCGAATTATCTCACCTCCGTCTCGAGAAGGAACAGATCGAAACGACGATGGGTATGGAACTTCAGACTGCTGAAGAAACTGTTGCTGCGCTGGAGCAAGAGTTTCCACGTCTCGAGGAGCTGAATGTGAAATGTCAGGAATTGCTCGAGGAACGCGCGCAGTGGGAAAAGGATAAGATTCTGTTGGCTGCAAGGGAGAAGGAGGTGGAGAGGCTGGAGAGGCGGTTAGAGGTCTTGGAGGAGCAGAGTGGCGAAGCGACTGAAATGGAACGCGCACTCTCGGACGTACAGACAAAGTGCGATGCGGAACTGCAGACAAAGGACGAGGAGATCGCAGCGCTGAAGAAAGAGTGGGAGGATGCAAAAGAGGATTGGGAGGCGGAAAAAGCTATGATGGAGGAAGATAAGCTTGCAGAGCTTGGTGCGCTACAGGATGAGCTTGAAGATGCAAGAGAGGAATGGGAAGCGGAGAGAACTGTGATGGAGGAGAATAAATCTACAGAGCTTGGTGCGCTGCAGGATGAGCTGGATGATGCGAGGGTTGGTAGCGAAGCACGAGCAGAGTTGGATGAAGCTATCGAGGCACTTCGAACAGTCATGCAGCTGCATGGAATCCAGATTTTCCCCGATACGTCCTTGCAGGGTCTCCTTGCCTCGGTCGCTTCACACCTTGAAACGTTGTCGGCTGCGCTGCAGGGGCATAGTGATAGGCATGCGCGCCTTGGAGATGAGCTGCAAGTACACATGGCGAAGAACGATACTCTCTCAAAGGACCTGGATGCCGTTCGCCTGGACAGGGACAACGCACAACTTGAAATCCAATCCCTGGAGTCACGAGTCAAGGTAACATCCCATTATTTCCCAGCATGAACAGCGCTCATCCTAATCCCAGGAACTCATCGATGCCTCATCAATACCTACCGACCCCCCAGTCCAATACACAGGCGAAGTAGCAGACATCATCGCCATTCTCCAACCCATCTGGAACATCCTCCCCGCGCCCGAACTCCGCGCCTCGAAACTCAACAGCAAACGACACCTCCGAAACCCTTCCATGATCTCGAATCTAAGCAGATCATCACCATCACCATCACCATCCAAATCCACCCTTTCTGACATGGACGTACGCGCGCTCAAATCTCTCTATGACGTCCGCTCGCAACCTCCTCCTACTCCTACTTCAGCAACTAGTCCTCCACCCCCAGACCAAAGAAAAGGCACGTTCAGCGTCGAAGCATTCGTCTCGCGCGTCCAAACGCTTGTCATGGACGATCGAGCGCTAATTGAAAGACTGATACGGTTCGCCCAAGCACACGACCTACTCAAGAAAAACGCAGAACGCGCTCAAAAACTTGCACAAGATAGTAATACAGCGCTAGAGACGTATCAGCGGCAGGTAGCGACGCTTGAACGGCAGAATGCTTCTTTGGTGTCGAAGCAGAACGCATTGTGAGTATTTACTCGCTTATTTGAGTTGATTGGATTTTTGAATGGTTTTGTTTGGGTAGGATGGATGAGATACGTGACCTACAAGACGCTATCGAACGTGCGGTCTGTGAGTCCCGCGAGATGGAGATGCATGCCGCGGATCAAGCAGAGACGTGTCGACAGCTCACAGAGGCTAATAGCTCGCTGAGTGCCAAGACACTTAGGCTTGCTGAAGAAGCTGCTGTAGCCCCTGAGAAGGTACGCAAGCAACTTGAAGGTCAACTTGCGGAGTGCACAGAGGCTTTGAGGAAGGCGAGAGAGGAGGTAGATGGGATGAGGATGTCGGAGCAGACGCAGAGGATTGCGTTGCTGGATGAGCTTAATTCGATGCAGACGGAGAATGGGAATTTGAGGGCGCAGTTGAGGGCGAAGAAGTAAGTGGGTTGGATTGGGTCTGCAGTATGTATATCTATGATAGTGTATGAATCGGTGCGCTTTATTAAGTTTGTTGGATTTAGGTTTTGTTGCAGGGTTTGATGGAATATCCTGATACCTAATCGACGGAGAATTTCGTACGGAAAAGCAAGATGCAAGATGCAAGATTCACGTTTGGGGGAACATTTTTGAAAGGGAGATCTACTAGTAATAGTGAATGGAAGTCGTCAAGTGATCATACAATATTAATAAGGCTGTTGTTTGATATTCCAAGGGCCGTCAGTGAGCCTACTAGCAGCTGGTATACTTTGCCTGCCGATGTCGATCGTCAGTTTGCTAGCCCAGAAAGTTCAGAATGTTTCTTGATTTATACTGCACCATTACTTTCATTGATTTGTTACTCTCTAATAGCCTGAGTAATAATACGATGTCAGCATTGCTGGCTGTATACGAGTAAGTCAGAAGAAGGTCTGAAAGATTGTAGTTCTGCATTCGTCGGTCACCGAGCATTACACATTACTGCCAGTCGATATATACACGCGCTCCTGGAAAGCGACTGAGGTCATACAAGTTGCTGCGTCAGAATCGGCCACGAGCTTAGCGTGGTATTCTCGAATCCCAAGGATCAGGCGTGGTCCCAGCACAAACGACTGCACGACATCCAAAATCTGAAGAATGCCATAATATATCTGAGCTTCCAGGGAAGAGGGATCCTATAGAAATGATGAACCGTGATCACAGGTAGAGGTAAGTGCAAGATTGACGTACCGCTGAGAGTGTCGGAGAGAGATTAATAATGAGCTGGAAGCAAGAAACAGCAACAAAGCTACCACGCCCGACCCTTCAGTGGAAAAAAAGGAACAATAATCACAATATGAGCTCACCTCGCAAAGTAAAATATGTGAGTTTTCATCAACACCATGAAACAGTCCTTGAAAATCCCTCCTGTTGAATGTTGTCGCAGTTCACGGAAGTGTTTGACAACAATCCAGATTGCGAGACATAGTGCGAGCACCTCCCACACAGCGCCGAGTATCCAAGGAATGGAATACAGAGGTAGTTTACCGTCCGTGTAGCCAATCGTGCATTGATAGGTGCCGGAGAGAATGAGTTCCTCTGGTATGTATCAATGAGCCCTATGTACATTTTTGTCATCCACAATTAAGCGTACCTCCTAAAGTATGCGTCGTTGTCAATACGGCGATCACTCCGTTGAAAATGTTGTCAGCCAGGAAGGCGACAATGAGAAATATCAGGATCTTTTTGGATTGTTGATACATGGCATGCAACCGAGTGATCATGATGACTTGCAGCATGTTTGAGTCTTGTCAACATCACTGAGGTCTCGCAGCTCACCCCACAGCATTGCAAATACCAAAACATACGTCCAACTACATATGACGGACATAATCCAGCCTGACGAATCTAGTCAGTGACCAGTTTTGGGTAGCACACACTCCAGACACACTCACATCTGTGGCAGTATAGTGTAGCAGTCATTAGTGAACCAGGAATTTAGTAAAGCATACTCACTCCTACAGGGCACCACGGTTAATTCGAGGGGGATAGTAGGCATCTGTGCAGAAGACTCACTGTATCTGTCAGCGAGATGGTCGGAACACTGTCTGTATGCTGTTGGTTAGAAGAAGCAAAGACAGAAAATGTACTAAGGTGACATACCCAACAGGTTCAGGCTGATTATGAGAGATAGACGATTAGCACAACACCGAGTGTTTCACCTTCCGAACATACGCAGCAAATAATATTCCAAAGTAGCGCACCTAAGATACTCTCAAGTCAGCACAACATGACAACTGTGACAGGTAAGCCACGTGCACTGAGATATAGAACTGTCATTAGGGACCAGCGTTGCCTCTGGAATGAAGTGTATTTTCATGCGTGTTCCCCTGACATGAGACTCTACTCACCCAGACCAATTCGACCTATAAAACCATTCTTAGCGAGATGGTTGTTCCAGTCATAGCATTGACATACCTCTTGTCCGATTGTAAGTGCTGAAAAGTGACTATTTTTAAGATATCAGCAGTTCTTCAATATTATCATGCTCACCCCAATCATACACGACTCCGACAAAGGCGGCAACTGCAAACCACAGTCAGGTTAGATTGAGACATCAGCTTCAACATCCGATTGCCCTTCACAAACCTAAAAAGTAGCTGGTAACACGGTATGCATTGATGACCGGCCACCAAGTGGGATCATTTGAGACTATGATCATAATGGTAGAGAATGGGTGTGTGGGTGGGAGGTGAACTTGGTGGACGTATGGCGATGGCATATATACCACCGTCCAGTGCTCGGATCACCAATTGAAAAATGACATAGAAGGATGGTGCCCAGTGAAATTTATGTCCGTTCCTGCCTGGATTGACGGACTTAACGTAACCAGTGTCGGGTGAAACATTTGCACCGGTGGAACACTTGAACACCGAAGGCAAATCGTGTCGGCATGCCGATACCAGACCAAACCGTCAAAAATAGGGGAAGAGCAAAGAGATAACTCACGTTCTACTCGTGTGCAAGCATGTCTCAATGTCTACTATTCTCACTCCTTGTCCTCGGGCCATTTGTCGCTTCAGGCGGCTGGCCTCGGTTATCGTATCAGAAGGTTTGCCAACAATGATGAGCCTGAGCGCAGAATTATCTTCTATCTGCATCATGGAGTTGATGCGGTGCTGACAGCGCATCGGTTTGCACAGCCAGACATATTGTATTTCATACAAGTTCGAGGCAGATAGAATCAGTGTTGTTATTAACCCGGGTTATAACTGAATAGGTTATAACTGGTGCGTCCTGATTTGAATTAACTGCGAAATAACTGGGGTTAATCGAGTTTTAATCGGTTTTAAACAAGTTGAATCAACGCTCGCACTCGGTTCTGGCCGAGACTTGGTCTGTGCGTATACTCGTCACATCTGTGACGTGACCGAGTCTCCTAAACGCTGGTGGCGCAGACTCGGACTTCAGTCTTTTCGTCTTTGCCGTCATCCAGCGTTGAGCACCACCTGCTCCTTCCCTCATCGAGAGGATGAGCTCGCTGCCTACGGAGAATATATCAATGACAAATTTGACCGTAGACTCGAGCGAACCCATGAAAGGATTATCCGATATGATAAAGCTGTCAGGAACCGAGCCGCAAATTCACGCAGAGTCGAACTTTCAGACTTTGCTGCCTTCACCGACATCTATGAGTCTCACTTCCAATCCGATGGCAGACACTACGACGACGAAGAGAAGCAGTCCACACCCGGTGCATCGGCACGGGTCAAATCTGCTTTCAGTCGGCGTGAACCCTGTCACAAATGGAATGCGGGCGAATGTACCCGCAGTGCTCAAACCTGTCGGTATGCACATGTTTGCTCACATGAGCAAGACGGAAGGCTGTGTGCACGACGTCACACGGAAGCGAAGCATTTCGAGGAGTCAAAGCCCAAGTCCACATGAGCCACCGTTTAAACGACCACGTCATAGACGGGGACTTATTTGGTCACCCACAGATGCTACTTTCAGTCCTACTGCACGTTCTTCTGAATATGCTGAGCCCGTTCCTTCTCCACTGTTGAATGAAGTCTCTGATAGTAATGCCGCTCGGACCATTGCTCGGAGACCCGACCTCTTTCGTATTGTAACACCAATCAATGTTGACCGGTTTGAAGAACTTCTTGTGGACCATCCAAATCAGCTTTTTGTCAAATCAGTTTGTCGGGCTTTGTGTCAAGGTTTCTGGCCATGGGCCGATACCTCTGATGATTCTTATCCTTCTATCAATGACAACTCTTCGCACACATGCTCCAAGTCTGACGACCAGCTTCTTTTCATTGAAGACCAGATACGCGAGGAAATACGGCTGGGGCGTGTGTCAGAAAGTTTCGGTACAGATCTTTATCCAGGAATGTATAGTGTTCCAATGCACACTGTACTGAAGCCGAATTCCGACAAGCTTCGCCTGGTTGTAGATCATACTGCGGGCGAGTACTCCCTGAACTCCATGATCGACCGTGATGCCATTAAGGGTACTAAACTTGATGGGTTGCACTCACTTGGAGCTTCGTTACTTCGCTTTCGCGAGCAGCACCCTAATGTTGAATTGGTGATGTTCAAATCTGATGTTTCGCAGGCCTTCCGTCATCTACTGATGCATCCACTGTGGCAGGTCAAACAAATTTTGACTGTTCATGGCCAGCGGCATGTGGATCGAAATAACAATTTTGGTGGAAGAGGGTCTCCAAAAGTGTGGATCTCCTTCATGTCCCTCGTCGCCTGGATTGCAATTCATCGCATCCTCATTGATGCCCTTAAAACTTACATGGACGACTCATTCTCTTTCGAAATTGCTGGACGGGTGCTGTATTATGCCCCTTATGACGGTTACTTCCCTGCAAAGCAGACTCGCCTCCTGCAGTTATGGGACGAACTCAAGCTGCTGCATGAACGGCCCAAACAAGTATTTGGTGCCACTTTGACAGTGATTGGGTTCGATGTGGATCCAAATGCTATGAAGGTGACGCTGCTGACTCATAAGAAGGATGAATTGGTTGCTGAGTTGCGTCGTTTTGCACACAAAAATCACCGCTGGTCCCTACGCAAATTCCAACGCCTTGCGGGCTGGTGTGAGTGGAGCTTTAATGTTTTCCCTCTGTTGAAACCTGGTCTGTCGGTGCTCTACGACAAGATCCGGGGAAAGAAAGATGCTTTTGCTCAGATTCACACCAACAACGCACTACTCCACGAGCTGCATTGGCTCACTGACCGTATCGAGCGTTCAGATGGCCTACACCTATTCAAGTGTCTGGATTTCGACCCTTCACTGGACGACGTTGTGGTTGTCTACATGGACGCGTCAGCAGTTGGATTAGGCCTCTGGTTCCCGGATGACAACTTCGCCTGCCAATGCCATTTGCCAGTCAACGGCCCTCATAACACCATCTTCTTTTACGAAGCGTTGGCCGTGTGTTCCGCTATCCACTCGGTGAAGAATATGAGCGAACCACCAGCAAAGCTACTCATTTATACGGATAATTCCAATACAGTGGCTATGTTTGATTCTCTCCGTGCTAAACCCATCTACAACTCATTGTTACTCTCTGCCGTGGATGTTTTGCTCGCCTATGGAGTGGATCTGTTGAAGGTCAAACGTCGTTATCAATATATAGCGCGGACGTTCAATCATACGCTTACATAATCACGCTCATTGTTTAGACTTCTCTTCTGCTAAACACACCTCAGTTGGTTCTACACAACTGAGGTGAGATACATTTGTTACTTACTAGTACAAACACTAATGAGCTACCTAGATTATCTTCTATAGGTACATATTATATATTCAGTTGGTTCTACACAACTGAGATTATCTTCTATAGGTTATGAGCCCTGCGCTCTGAAACTCGGAAGAAAATTTTACGCAAAAGCCCACCAATCAAAGTTGCACTGTGTCCTTCACTACAAAGTTAGGAGATGAGTTCTTGAAGGTTCCAAAGCTGGACGCTTCAGGAAAAGACTGGCCTTTATGGAAAGGCAGACTCAAACTCTCATTGTCAGCAAGAGGGCTCATGGGGCACCTCACCGGGACGGTATCAAAGCCGACGAATCCGGCTGATGGGAAATCCGCTGGGTGGTTACCATCATCACCAGATGAGATAAAGGCAGTGCAGACTTATGAGAAGGAACTCACACAATGGCTCGAAAAAGATGCCGTGGTCAAACAGCAAATTGCTGTCGTGTTGCCGGACAGCCTATTCGTCAAGCTTCTCTCAAAGCCAACAGCGAAGGACTATTATGACACGCTCAAGGCTCAATTTGAGCAGCGGTCACTAGTTGTCAGTGTCGAGTTGCGACGAAAGCTGGGGGAGATGAAACTCAAAGAAAATGGTGATGCCTGGACTCACATCGAGAAGATCACGTTGATCTGCGAAGAACTTGCATCAATGGGCAAACCCGTATCCGACGAGGACCTATTTAATATCATTTTTGCGTCACTACCCCGAAGCTATAATGGGATATTAACGTCTGTTGCATCAAGTATCAAACTCCACCAGAAGACTCTTACCTCCGATGACCTAATGGGTCTTATCCTCGACGAGTATGACCGGCTTGCACTTCAGGATGGTGGAAAGTCGAAGCCGAAGAACGAGGATGTTGCTTTCCAAGCAGACGGCAAGAGATGGAAAGGCCGAAACTCGAGAACCCCCATTACCTGCCATAATTGCGGCTGGAATGGCCACAAGAAGGAGGATTGCTGGGAAGAGGGTGGTGGAAAAGCTGGTCAGGGACCAAAGAACTGGAAGTTGCGCGGGAAGAGGAACAAGTCTGGGGGTGAAAACTCGAAGTCAGGCCAGAGAGCAAACACAGCTAACGAGAAGAAAGACGAACCTGACAGTGTCTGGCTTGCAACAGTGGAAGATGCATCACCTGCTAGTGCAGGAGCAGCAACTAGCACTACTGTTGAACTTTACGACAGCGGAGCCTCACAGCATATGTCCCCTTACCGAGATCGCTTTATCAACTTCAAGTCAATTTCCCCGCACCCCATCCAAGCCGCTGACAAACGCACCTTCGAAGCCATAGGCAGGGGTGATTTACCCATTGAACTTCCAAACGGCAAAAGCAAAACTTGTATCCTATTAACAAACATTCTATATGCACCATCAATGGGGGTAACACTCGTCTCAATCAGCCGACTCACCTCTGCTGGGTATGCAGCACTTTTCCGTGATGAATCTTGCAAGATCTTTGATGCCAATAAGAAACTATTAGGCGAAGTTCCCGTTAGAAACAGCTTGTATCGAGTACGGCGTCCACTTACCTCATTCGCGGGGGCCATCAACACACCCAAAATCTTGACCATGGAGGAACTCCACAAGCGTATGGCCCATATAGCACCATCATCCATTCGCAAGATGCTGGTAAAGGGCATGATCGATGGCATCAAGCTAGACCCTACAAATGAGACTATGGGCCAGTGTGAATCATGCAAGTATGCAAAAGCAACACGGAAACCCATCGGGGACTCACAGGATCCAAAACGACACGAGATTCTCGGTGACGAGGTCCACAGTGACCTGTGGGGACCCTCTCCTACCCAGACACAAGATGGCAAGAGCTATTATTGCTCTTTCACGGATGACCATACCCGCTATACTTCTCTATACCTTCAATCAGCAAAATCAGACACGTTCGGGTCTTATAAGACTTACGAGGCATGGCTGAAGACTCAGCATGGGGCCAATATCAAGCGCTTACGCTCTGACCATGGTGGAGAGTACCTTAGCGATGAATTCAGCCAACACCTTCGCGTCAAAGGTACAGAACGAAAACTTACCACTCACGACACACCACAACACAATGGTGTTGCCAAGCGGCTGAACAGGACCCTCATTGAACGAGTCCGTGCAGTTCTGCATGCAAGCGGACTACCGAAATTCCTCTGGGGAGAAGCCATCATGCATGCAGTCTATGTAAAGAACCGCACAGCCACGCGCACGCTAGATGGCAAGACCCCATATGAGATGCTGTATGGTAAGAAGCCAAACCTTGCAGACTTACCTGTCTGGGGCACTCATGTATGGGTACATGACGACACTCGAACGAAGCTGGATATGAGAGCACGTGAAGGCCGGTGGGTAGGATTTGATGCTGAGAGTGGAGCACACCGAGTATACCTCGAGGATCGTCGAATGATCGCTGTTGAACGAAACATCTCATTCGAGAGACAGGTTGGGACTGCATTGGGTCAGCGAAGCTCGCGGCCTGAGGAGGAGAGCGAAACTACAAATGGTAATCAGCCAGCAACTCCTCACACTGCCCAAACCCCTACCTCGAGCACAGAAGCACCAGCACTTGATCCACTAGGATCAAACTTCGAGCATCAGCCACCCGGCCCTAGACGATCCACTCGTCAGCGGACAGAATCACCATATATGCGCAGGTTGCGCAGCAGAGAAGGTACTCACGATGGAAGAGATGGCGACCCAATTATCCCTAGAGGCATGCAGAGGGTAGAGGAAGAGAGAGAAGAAGATAGTGGAGGCATAGGAGCATCTGGAGAAGGGTTAGGAAGTGAATTGGGATTTGATGAAGAACCTACCGCTTATGCGATGTTCACGGGAACGAGCGAGGCCGAAGGCATGGAACCAAGCACTATTGAAGATGCGAAGACACAATCTGATTGGGCGAACTGGAAAGACGCCGTCAGTGCTGAACTAAAGAGTCTCGACAAAGCACGTACCTGGGACATTGTCCAGCGGCCCCGGAACAAGAATATCGTCAGCTGTAAATGGGTCTTCAAGATTAAAAGAAACGCTGCAGGAGAAATCGATAAGTATAAGGCCCGGCTGGTGGCACGAGGTTTCACGCAAGTCTATGGTGTTGATTACTACGAGACTTACGCACCTGTGGCTCGTCTCGCGTCATTGAGACTGATCCTCGCTGTCGCCGCACACCAAGATTGGGACATTGATGTCTTTGATTTCCACAGCGCATTCTTGAATGGCAAGCTGGATGCCGACGAAGAGATCTATATGGAGCTACCACCAGGAGCTGACATTGGCGGAAAAGACAAAGTCGCAAAGCTACGAGTTGCGCTGTATGGATCTAAACAAGGCGTGTTAAAATGGTACAAACATTTATGTGGAGAACTCGCCGAACTAGGGTTCGAACGGATGGAAAGTGACTGGGGAGTGTTCACAGCGCACATAGGAGAAGATCTACTCATCCTCGCAGCACATGTCGACGACTGCACCATAACCGGCAGCTCGAAAGAGCTAATCAAAGCGTTCAAGGTCGAAATCGCATCGCGATTCAAAATAACTGACCTAGGACCTATCAGTTGGTTACTAGGTATGAAAGTCACTCAAAATCGCAAAGCACGTACCATTTCACTGTCCCAAGAGTCCTTCGTCGAAGCTATTATCACGAAGTACAATTTCATCGACACTAAACCCGCAGCGGTGCCTATGGACCCAAGTATGCAGTACACGAAGGACCAATCCCCCACTACGACAACGCAGATCGCTGAGATGAAGCGAGTCCCATTCCGTTCTGCGCTCGGGTCGTTGATGTACCTGGCAGTGGGAACACGTCCAGACGTCGCATTCACAGTTTCGACTCTGGCACAATTCACCGATAACCCTGGCTGGGCGCACTGGGAAGGGGTGAAGAGAGTATATCGTTATTTGTTGGGCACAAAGAAGTGGGCACTTACCTTCGGAACGACAAAGAACGGACTCCTCGGCTATGCCGATGCAGATGGTGCCTCCCAAGAACATCGGCGAGCAATTACTGGCTTCGCGCTGCTCGTAGATGGGGGAGCAATACTCTGGGGGTTGAGGAAACAAGAGTTAGTGACACTCTCAACGGCAGAAGCAGAGTACGTAGCAGCAACACATACTGTGAAAGAGATCCTCTGGCTCCGACGTCTTATCTCCGAGGTTTTTCGTCCACTCGAACACCCAACGACCCTCTACTGCAACAATCAATCAGCCATAGCGTTGACGAAGGACGGATCTCACCATGCACGTACCAAGCACATTGACATCCGTTATCATTTTATTCGTTTTTCTGTTGAACAAGGTTCTATTAGTTTTCTCTATTGCCCCACTGATAGTATGGTGGCAGATACACTTACCAAAGCGCTCCCCAACATCAAAGCCAAACATTTCGCGTCCGAGCTTGGTCTCCGCGCCGCCGTTTGAAGGGGAGTGTTGAAGGTCAAACATTGTTATCAATAGATAGCGCGGACGTTCAATCATACGCTTACATAATCATGCTCATTGTTTAGACTTCTCTTACGCTAAACACACCTCAGTTGGTTCTACACAACTGAGGTGAGATACATTTGTTACTTACTAGTACAAACACTAACGAGCTACCTAGATTATCTTCTATAGGTACATATTATATATTCAGTTGGTTCTACACAACTGAGATTATCTTCTATAGGATCTTCGAGTGGAACATATTCCAGGACAGCAGAACATTATTGCGGATGCACTTTCCTGTTTTCATAATGAGCTCGTCGGGGATCTCGTGCCTACGGCTCAAATCTTTGATTTTCAACCCCCTCAGGATGCGTTGGGGGCGACACAAAAATGAACCTTTGGCCGACTCAGTCCAGGCAACCCATATGGGAAGCTCGGACACTTGAACGCTTGCAATTTGAGCGTTCCTTGGCCCTTGGCTGTGCCATTGAATCCACGACAGCCTCTGCTTACGTTTCACATCTGAACTCTTACCTTAACTTTTGTCGCCTTCATCATCGGGCAGTTGAGCCGACTGAGGATACACTGTCATTCTTTGTCGTTTGGTTGTCTCATCATATTGAACCATGCTCTGTCGACTCTTACCTCTCGGGCATTGTAAATCACCTTGAAACTCATTTTCCCCATGTACGCGAGGTCCGCAAATCACTACTTGTGACCTGTACCCTCAAAGGTTGCAAACGGCGCTTGTCTAAATCTATTCAGCGCAAGCAACCACTTACTCTTGATGATCTCGCTCTGGTTGTGGATGCTCTGGGTCCATCGAAAGCCTATGACGACATGTTGTTCGTCACCTTGCTTGTCACCAGCTTCAAAACCTTGCAACGCCTAGCTGAGTTATGTTGGCCTAATGCGAAGAAACATCAATCGTATCGCAAAGTGCCTTTGCGGCATTCTCTCACTCTCACTCGCAATTCCGCGAGCTACGTTTTACCTCATCACAAAACCAGTACCTTGAGAGTGGGATGTGAAATTTTGTTGTTAGGAGAACCAGACGCTAGGGTGGACCCTTTGGAACTATTGCGGAGGTATGTTGCTGCTTGTGACAATCTCTTTCCCCATCATCCCCACCTCTGGCTCGCGGCCACTGGGACTATCCCGACACGTGCCTGGTTTATGTGCTATCTTTGGCGTTTTTTCCTGCCCACTGTTTCAGGACATTCAATGCGTGGTGGAGGAGCCACCGCTCTAGCTGCGTCTGGCATCGCGCCTGCGCTGATTCAGGCAGCGGGACGCTGGTCCTCGGATGAATTCCAGAAATACATTTGCAAGCACCCTTTCCTGCTTCACCTACTCATACATGGTTCTCAAAATCTGTAACTCACCGAGATTGTCAGCTCCGTTCGTTTTGTCTGCGTTGTATTGTTCTTGCTTGGTTCGTCTTCTGCATCGATTCTAAAAAACATTAAAAAAAAATTATTATAAAAACAAATAAAAATAGCCCTATAGCAGTTTTATTGAGTCTTAGTCGTTTCTTCCTGGTCTCAGCCATTTTGATGGCTTGTATATTAGTGTTACTTTGAGCTGTCATATCTCGGTGCTAAAATTGATCACGGGTCCTCTGAGCATTGAGCTGGAGGACCCCGCTTGCCCTAAACTCACTCTTTGAGTGCCTATATGAAGTGCGAGTTGATTCATGAGGTTAAAAACAGTTAATTACTTCAAAGTGCTAGCTACTCTGAGTCGTCAATAATGATTGAGCTCGATGGACCATTTCCCATGCCTGATGACTCCCCTGGGACATTCCTACTAGTACTTTCTTCATCCTCGGGCAGGCATGACATTAGCTCGTAGAATAAAGCCTCACTCTCCATGTTTTTCACACCCTGGAACCAAAACTCGTCCCATCCAACCTCAACAGACCAATTGAACATGTCACGGATGCGAAACATTCTCTTCTGACCGAAAAAGCAACAAATTTGTCGCCGCCTGCTACTTTCCGAAATGCCTGAGACGTCATCCTCAACCTCAACTACTTGTCCTAACCCCGATATGTATTCCTCGTTGTCGTCGTCATCAGCATCTTGCTGCAACTGCAGTGCAACGGCTGAAAAGGACGATGATGGAGTCCCATTGCTCTCAGGTACATTCTCCGTGTTGTCATCTGGTTCGGACTCATCAGTGAGAAATGTGTCAGTGTCAGCGTTCATGACGAGTTCTTGATCTTCCATACGGCTACCTGTGAGATCGCGGTGACCTGCACCAAACTAGTCTGGTGCATGGCTGAATAACATTCTCATAAGAAGCCTGGCCCAGGAAAAGGACTTGCTTCTTTCTCCTCATTCTTCTGCAAACCCGGTTTACAGGAATGAATATTTTCGAAGATTTATTCTTGGATTCAGTTTCATTTCGTTTGGCTTAAAAATGACTCAGCATGAACTTCTCACATGTCAGGTGACTGTGGAAATTATTTCCCACACAAGTTGTCCTGTGGGAACATGCAGGAAACCCTAAATACAAAGCATCGCACCAGTTCAGCCCCCTAACAGAAAATGTAATAAACAAACACAAACATAACACATGGACTGGTACCTTACATAATCAGTGTCCAGACCTTTTCTGCTTTGTCATGAGAAATCACATGACTAACAAGTCAAGATGACTCATCTATATACCAAGTGACTCAACCATCTGAAGTGACTCCCAAAGATTCAACTTGATTCAGTATGGCTCACACTAGCTTATATGACTCAGTTTAACTGGGGATGACTTGACAGGAACCTTAATGTACTGGTAGCATAGCCCTTAAATTTTGTCTATATAAGAGCCTCTTCTCTCTCAATGAGAGTAGAGTTTTTTTACCCCCTAGTGTGTTTTTACCCCCCATTACTTGAGTGTGAAGTGTGACTGTAGCCAAACAACAGTGAAGAGCTGTTGAAGATTGGTGAAGGTACTCTTCTGTGAGACACCATTAGTGTGAGCTCATCATCCTCCACAACCACCAAGCCTGGTACTGCCCCCATTTGTTTGTTTTTCCGAGTTCTTCTTTTATTTTTCTGCAATCTTTTGTGTTGTCTCCTTAGTCCACCTAAGACTTTGCATAGCTTAGTGGGGGAGCTTTGAAGTTGATAATTGTGCGCTTGACCACACACATCTGAGTAGTGGTACTGAGCTAGGGTTTCATTGCCATACGGCTTTAGTCATTGAAAGGGGACTTGGTGCCAAACACCAAGGACGTCCATTCCTGTTTTCTGTTTAATACTCGAAGCGAGTTCCTTGACAGCAGGTTCAATAGTACTGAAAGTTCTTTGAGCATTGACTAGTCCTGACCAGTGATCCTACCTGTTTGCATTGTGGGAGTGACCATTGTAGCTTCGCACGAATCTTTGTAGTAAGATTGCCATTGGGCATCTTTTTGGTACGAGAAGGTATATTTGTTTCTTTTGTTGTTTCCTGTTGTCCAGGCATTGTTGGATTGATCACTCACATTACTGACCTCACTAGGCACCTTCTGCTGACAGTGGCTTAGGTATTTGCTAATCAGCCACCCACAAACGACCACGTTATCAGTCATTGGTATTTGTCTGAATCACTGACCGTGGAGATATTTGGTTTTATAGGTGTTTATCTATAGATCATCTATCTAAGAAGACAGCGGTCAGCAACTGTTTCGGGGTTGCTGAATTGGCGTTTGAGGCGGTGTTGGGCTGTGCCATCAATGGCATGCTGACGACGAAGCTCCATCTTGAATACCAGTTGGCCTGTCTTCCTTTTCGCTGATGTATCATGGACATGTAGAACATATGTCTGCAAGCTGACTGTGAGCACCTCGGAGCAGCAATTAGCTATGATTGAATTTTACTTACCCGACGTTCAACGGTATGGGTAAAAGCAATCTGATGTATTTTTGCTAGATCCCTCCAGCCATCGCCCAAAAGGACTGAATAAGCACCCTTACAGAAGGTGTTTTTGATCTCTCCCTTGACCCTGGTGATTTCTGCATCAAGGATTTTTCCCGACAAAGCCTGCCTTGTTGGAATCGTAGCTCCAGGGATATAATCGTGAAAGAGTTTTTGAAAATTGAAAGACCATCCCGCAGAGATACATGCACGAAGTAATTGTTGAGAAAATGCTTCCTGCTTGCTTGGACCAAATGGAATGACTTTTGCAGCAATTACATTGAACCTTTGTTGCTTCCAAGTTTTCGGAACAATAGCTCTCTCCTCCGTCACTGTAATATTGCTTATGGCAGATGCAAGTTGTGGTTTGGTGGAAGGTCCCTCATCGTTGTCGTCAGCCTGCCGCTTTTTCCACGTTTAAATGTTTCAGCATTGGTCTTGACATTGCCAGGGACATATTGACAACACAACAGATGGTTCGCCATGATTTTGACCTTTCCAGCAATATGAGGGACATTATCGCATGCTGTTTGAGTCCGTTATACAGTATACATTAATCATTTATGTAACATGGCATGAATTGGTGAAAACTCACCTTCCTGCGTCAAAATTGTGAGAGTTCTAACAGCCTGCAGTATTCTGTGTGCAACAGCCTGCTGATCAGCATTTGCGAGATCTTTAGCCTTCACATTGACACAATATTTACAGCGTGCTTGCCAGTGCACTTTATCAACCTTCGCAGTCCCCTGATGAAAATGATCCCACAGCCAGGACTTCTCCCTACCCATCGGAGCAGCTTGGAGAGGTAATACAGTCCCAGGATACTGGCACAGAGAGAATCGGACGAGATTGATGATAACGATTAAAAGTTCGGTGACCCCCAATTAACCCAATTAACTCCTAGTACACTAACCCTACTAACCCTCCCAAAATCACAGATCCATTTAACTAACCTCTTAACCGGTTAGTAACAACACTGCACGTTAGTACTTGCAACCCCTCCACTCCTCGACCACAATATCCTGGCAGTATGCTCTGTTATTGTAGAAGGGAGGTGATATATCCACACCTGTAAGCCATAGACATAGACATATGGTATATCAATGATATATCACTTGTCCCCCACCTTCAGTAACCGCATTTAGTGTTACATAAGTGACCTGAAGTGGTACTACCTTCCAAAATATAACCACAATTGATTATCCCCACCAGTACCTGTGGTATTGATGTATCACTTGCTGGCAGTGTAACGAAAATGTGATACAATAGTTGCTTGCAGTCATAGCTCCCAGTGATTAGTGATGTGCATGGCCTGGCTTCAAGCCACAGGCCAGTGTTACAGTCACCCTATTCTTTTCTCACACTTACTACGGACATCTCATGGTTACACTTCTTTTCACCTTGATGTTTCACTGCCTCTATCTCTGACTCGACTCTATTCCCTTGAACCTTCCTTTCTTGATCACTTTTACCCTTTATCCACACCAGTCTGTGCGTACTTCCCTTACATATATGAACCCTAGTTACCAACTGTATTTCCCTTAACTTGAATCTACTCAGTTCTCTTCTATAACTTGAACTCTAGCTCCTTGGGAAGGAGGCTAGCCTGTGTCCCTAGTAGTGATGTTCCAGCCTGGCTTGGGCTCAAAGCCCTGGCTTAGGCTTGGCCTGGAGGGGCTTAGGCTCGCCAGAATTCAAGCCTGAGCTGTGAGCCCAAGCCGGCCAAAAGCCGGGGCTTGGGCCCAACCAGGCCGCAGCTTGACATAGCTAACAGAGAGCTCGAGTCTCAAGAGTCAAGACCAGTACTGTGACATTAGTACAGGCTAATAACAGCAAGTGAAGCACAATTACAATATATCTAAATGTCCATCTTGATGTCTGACACGTCCTTATCATCATCACCCAAAAGCAAAATGTCCCAACCTTCTTCGTCATCCACAGCATCACCAGTCTCCGCTTCCGCGTTTGCTTCCACCTCTGAGTCATTGTCGTCCAGGTGCTCCAACTCGACGAGAGATGATGGTTCAGGCTCCCGGAACAGAAGATCGCGTCATAGTGCACATTCAACACACTGGAGTGCTTCAACAATGTCAGCCTTGAGCTGGTTGCGCTGCTTGGTAATGGTGATGCCACCTTGTGAGAACGCCCACTCACTCGAGACCGACGATGACATGATGGACAGATAATCCCACGCAAGTGAAGCCCAAACAGGGTACCTCTGTGCATTTATCTTAAGCAAGATTATCATTAGCGTGAAATTTTTGAGTAGCAAAAAAAAATACGTACACCCCACCATTGAATGGTAGACATGCCAGATGGTAGAGCCGCTTCAACCGTCTCGAGGTAGGCCAAAAATTCAGCCCTCCATGGGCTTGTTGGGTCACCAATTGAAGTAGGCGCTGGATTGGTTGATGAATCATCCTCAGAGTCACTGAGGACTTCATGAATTAACTTTTTGAGGCCGCCAGCTCTGCTCTGCTTAGTTGTGTGCTGCGATGTCAATGTTACTCGGTTCAGCTTGAGGTAACAGGCTTGGAACTAGTAGTAACACATTGAGATTAACTTGATGACCGAAAAAACGAACAAAACAACTCACCACTGTTTCCGCAGTAGAAAGCACATCGTCATGCAGATTTTCTGGCCAATGCTTCTTGAAGTACACCATCTTGCCTGTGGGGTTGAGTACTGAAGTGCAAAAGTCAGACTCATGGCAGCCATTCATGAAAAAATAAATGTACACATTGACAGTACATATGCAGCAGAGTATGTCGTCTTCTCATAATACTCATCTACTTTTGCTGCTGCGTCTTTGAGTGTGGGAGCAAACTGCACGTATTTTGACCTTCCTGCATGTGATGACCAAGCCTTATAGAGAGTTTCGAGTGCCGGAATTGCAAGGTGTAAGGTTGAACCTCGTTCAGATGAGAAAGCTTGTTGGGCCACGTCAGCATACTATAAAACCAAGATAAGTAGCAAGCTTCAAATAAATAGAAACTAACGTACTGAGAGAAGATTGGCAAACTGCCCAACGTGTGTCCATTCAACTTCTGACAGCTGCAGAAAGTCAATCTTTGCATGTCTACTCAAATCATGCTCTTGACGACCCATCTCATATACGAAAGTGTTGACATGTTCCTTATTCATCTCCACATGGTTGAGCATAATATAAGTTGAGGACCACCGAACCTTCATGTCAATTAACAGTTGCGTTGGCTGGGACACACCTCCCTTGGTTTGAACATTCTGGTACAGCTCCTTTTGTTTTGCAGAGGAACATTCCTTAACACAAATGCTACGCACAAGGCCGATCTCGTCTCGATTGGATGGCTCATGAGCTTTCGGGTCATGGGGATTGTAATGAGGGGACTTGCTATACGAGCTGATCAAGGTCTGTGTCGCAATATTGATAGCATGAGCTGAGCAGCTATTGGGATTGTCAAATGAGTGATTTCGTTAAGTAAAAATGATCATAGCACGTACTTTATTTTCCGCTGGCACCAGGGAAATTCCTTCTTGTATTTAGCCTCATATAGCCTTGCAAATTCCTGTAGGGTGGTGCCATTGTTTGCGGCATTGTCGCAAGTGACATGTCCAAGCTAGAGTTTTATAAGACTACCAAATACACACTGTAAACCTAACTTACCTTGTGCGTGACACCAACACGATTGAGGATTTTAAACAAAGCACCACCGAGACGCTTGCCTGTGTGGGCATTATTGACTTGAGTGAATCCAAGCAGCGCACTTTTGAGTTCCCATTGCATGGTAATCTTCTCTTCAATCCAATGTCCTGTGACGGCAAAGTAACCATCAGCATTTTCGGCCTGCCATGCATCAAAGGTAGTATTGATGTCGCCCTTAACAGTGGCGCTCTACATAGGTGCACATCAGTTGAGTAGATAGAGCAATATCATAAATATTACTTACATTGAGTGTGTTCCTGAGTCCCATAAGATGAGTTTTGAACATTCTCATTATTTCTGCACGAGTTGCCTTTCTGCCTGGAATTTTGACGCCATTGGTGGCTCAAGCGGCAACATCCATCAGGAAAATGTGTTTTTGCCATAACAGGTATTTGTTCCTACAAGTAGCTGCTAACAGCTACTGAGACCTGCCAAGAGTCACTAAGTGCTATTACCAGATGTCATGAAATTTTTTCACTTGAAGTGTATATACTATACTACTATCAATTACTAATGAAAGTTGTAGTCCTTGTCAAGGGGAGTCTATCCACAGTCTCATGACGTCAATAGAGTAAGATCCTAGTGAGTTATTAGCAAAATACTAGAAAGTGATGTGTTCAAGAAAGTTCAGGCACACCAAATATTAGTTGGTTGAAAAATTTCCCACAATCTACCCTAGTCATTCCTTATCATTCAAAATCCTAGTCACTATTAAGCAATCATAGTCTTAATAAGCAAAACATGGTCACATGACTTGTGTGCCTGAACTTTCTTGAACACATCACTTTCTAGCATTTTGCTAATAACTCACTAGGATCTTACTCTATTGACGTCATGAGACTATGGATAGACTTCCCTTGACAATGTCTATAACTTTCATTTTGGTTGAAAACTTTCCCACGGTTTACCCTAGTCGTTCCTTATTCTTGGCTTAATCAAAAGGACTTAGACAAATTTTTGCAATTGTGATGATATAAGCACAAACACAAACAAACATGAATAATGTCTAATGTCTCTTCTCTTTCTTATTTTCTCTCTTTCTTACCTTTTGGTTTCATTTTGTTCTCTTCACTGATAACTGTAGGCACTGTGGGAAACAGTGAGCGGGAGGGCGGGAGGTGCTAAAGTAACTGGGTTACTTTCCCGCCCATCAACAGTGAGCAAGCATAGGTCTTTCTTGTGAGTTTTTCTAATGTTTTATTTCTTTCTTGCTCTCATTCACACTCTTCCCTTGGCAATTTCTGATCTTTTGTGTCATTTGGTGAGTCCACTCTTCTTTCCTTTGTTTTTCTCTGACACTCAGGCTCTGCTCCTGCTCCTGCCCCTCCTCTTTTTCGCTCTCCTCTCTCTCTCCAGCTCTCTGCACCTGCACCTGTTTTCGCTCTTCCTTCTGCTCTTGCTCATGCTCTCACTCCTACACCTGCTCCTGTTGTGGCTTTTGGTAAGTTTTTTTTATCTCTCTCCGGTTCTCTCTCTCTAACCCTCTTTTGCTAGCTATCTCCCTTCCTTATTCTTCTCCTAGTATTCCTCAAAATTCAAGTTTTTGACTTTTTGGTAAGATCTCTTAGATATTGTAGTTAGTATTATATGCCCATGTATTAGTTAGTGTGAATATACTCGAATTTTCGCTTTCTGTTTTGTGTCATAATGCCAACAAATAGCTACTAAGAGCTATAATGCCAAGGTCATTGAAATTTTTTTGACTTGTCCATTATAGCTACTAGGAGCAATTATAGCCATTATAAAAAATATGCCACTATTATGAGGGCTATAGAAGGGACTTGTCAATAATCGGCATTTATGCTATAAGAGCTATTAGGAGCTATAATGGCAAGTACACATTTTCCTGATGTCAATCATTTCTTTGAATTTCGGATGTTTGAGTGCTTGAATTGGCTAGATAAAGAGACATTAATTCAATTCTGTGGGAAGAGAGATGTAGTACCTGGTCAGTAGCCACAAGCTACTCGATTGCGGCCTGTTTGAATAACTTATCCAAATATGAAACCACTTTTTCAGCAAGTTTCCGCTCAGTCAGATGCGTATTAATGCTCTGCTGCGTGGCATTGTCCTTGTGGGCCTTGACGTCACCAGGAAGCATTGACTCGAATGAATGTTCTTTGGCCCATTTCCGATATTTGCCAGAGAACTTTGCCTCAGCATGATGACGGAGGGTAGATATTTTGTTAACAAGAATACATGCTTTCCTATTGAACATGCATCAGCGTGAGTATGACTACAAGTGAGCAGACCTACGGGCACATCTTGCACTTCCTGTGCTTTTTCACCTTCCCATTGGCCCCTGCATGATCAAAGGTAGCACCAAAAAAAGTGTCGATATCGGCTGTTTTGGCTTCTTGCGTCAACACTGGTTCTGCGAGAGATTGAACGTCGACATCAATTAGAATACCATCAGCGTCAACTGATTCTGGCTTGGTTGGGACAACAGCCAATTTGCGCTGCTTTCGAAGCTTGGGATTAGTACGTGCGTTTTCACGCTCATCATCAGCAGATTCTCCATCAGAGGAGTCTTCAGGGTGCACCCTTTTGCAGGTGTTGACAGTAGATGGTGTTGATGGCGTGGGAGATGGTGATTTTGCAGTTTCAGTGGGGGATGAAGTGGAGATATGTTCAACGGCACACTTGGCAGCCTCTGCGGCATGGAATTTGTTAATCGCCTTGGTTTGGGATGGCAGTGCCGCCTTCTCGGCATGCTGAAGAAGGGCGGCTGTGGGTTTCGTTCTGCGTACAGGACATCCAACATGGTGCTCGGCGTCTGTGCTTATCATGGGTGGGTAGCAGGGAGGGATGTTAGAGGGACACGTACCAACATAAATCAATTGAAAGATATTGGGTGTGCAATCACACTTGCGAAGGTAAAGCACATAAGGCTTCAAATTTACCAAAAATCTTGGTTTGTGCAACTGAGATCTAGTTTTCCAACAGCGGGGTGAGTTATATTGAGCTTGCGAAGCACTGGACATAGCACTGATAGCTCACCGTGGCTGTTTCATAGCAACACACAAGAGATAAGGAGGATAAATTGCTGGATATGTTGGACAATGTGGGCTTTTTGACTGCGATGTGAGTAATGTCGACCAACCGAAGCACAAGACATGGCGACTCACTGCGACATATGGATCGTCGAAACTGATAATAGATGCAAATCAGAAGCAGACAAAAATAGAGTCGGGAAATGTACCTCCGGTGGGTTTCTATGGCAGTGCCACTGAAGCCAAAGCCACGGCTTAGGCTGCCGGCTCAGGCTTTTCGAAACATAAGCCCAGGCCCAAGCCGTCCTCAGGCCGTTGTGATGACAAGATATGGCTGGGCTGTAGGTAAAAGCACCAAACCAAAATATATGAGTCTCCTGCTCTCCTAGCTGCTACTCTTGCTAGCAAGAACGTTCGACCCTAAAGGATCTCTGACTAGGCTCAGGCTCAAAGAAAGAGAGTGGAGAAGGTACTCCAAGTCAAGGTAAGAAAACTATGTTCCAGGAGCTATCTGGTGAGCTGAGGGAGCTACAACTAGGAAAGCTACAACTAGGGGATGCTACTAAATAACCCAAGTGAATGGGGAGCAACCAAAGAACTGGAAACAAGGGAAACTAGGTAATGACTGTAGAGTCCTAGGTAAAGGGAAGATGATTATGTAAGCAGCAAAAGTGCGAACCTAATCTAAGGAAAGTGTCAATAAGAGATGCATAGTGAAAAGTGCCTCTGCAAGGCTACAGAAAGTTTGAACACCACACCATGACTTAGGCCTGGGCTGGGCCTGGCCTATTTGGGCCCAGCTTGGGCCGGCCCAGGACTTGAAGCCAGGCCGTGCACATCACTAGTCCCTAGAACTCTAGATCCTGTGGGAGTCTAGACGATCGCTCCCGAGGGAGGCATAGAACTCGATAAGGCTCATCCTTAGTTGACTCAGATCATTGATTCCTTTATTGGAAAACAGCTCTATCTGAGTTTGTAACAAAAGATTCAAGTTACCTTTGAACCCCTCCATCTGTAGGGACTTTACCTTTGAAACCACGAAACTGATTGATTGCCAAAGTGGCACCATCCAAGAAGAACAAGAAAGCTTTCACTGAACAGACAGGACTTCCTTATAGTCCTTACCCAGCCAGCTCACCCAGAAGAACTCTCTCTTCGCAAGGATCATTTGAAACCCCTTGCACTCCTACTCTTGCTGGATTATCTTCCTTTATTCCTCGCACCATTGTTTCCCATATCGGACCAACTGCACCAGCACCCGTAGAAGACAGAGACAAAGAAATCCCTGATGCTCCGTCAGTAGCACCACCTAGATTCCCATCCCCTGAACCAGAACCTTCCAACTCAGACCCAGGCTCAGACCCTGACTCTGATTCCGACTCAGAAGACAACATGCTGATGCCCATTGAAAGAAAGATTTGTCAACCACCTGACTTTGATGGTAAACCACAAAATTCATCTGTCTCATCACACTCTATCTAGATGTGAATGATGAAATCTACAACGATGATAAAAAGAAGATCGCCTTTGCTCTTTCATTCATGAAAGAAGGCACTGCAGCAGCATGGATGGAAGACTTTCTTGACCATGCCCAAATGATAAGTCCTGTCACTCACCTAAAGAACGGATATGGTGACTGGAATCAATTGTCTCCCAATTTGAAGAAGCTTTCAACCCTATCAACTCCACTGGTACTGCGCTTCATAAGCTCCATGCCCTTAAACAAGGCAATGACTTAAGCGAGTACATTGCCACATTCAGACAGCTCTGCAATTGAGCTGAGATCTATAGCTTCAATGTTCAGAAGGATTATTTCCTACAAGGCCTCAAACCAGCTTTAATGACAAAGCTTTGTAACTCTGGCCATATTCCTGACACCATCAAAGAAATCACCAAGAAGGTCATTTCCATTGAGAACGCTTATCAGCTTCTCCTCTCCCACAGACCCCAGAACAACCAGAACAACAAGAACAAATTCAATGATCGCTGATCCACCCCTCACTTCACTCCACACAATAATGACCCCAATGCCATGGACGTGGATCGCCTCTCTGAAGCCGAAAAGAAAGAACATATGAGGAAAGGCCAATGCTTCACCTGTCACAAGGTTGGTCATATGTCTAACAATCAAGAATTCCATCCTTGAAATGGAGATGCTAGAAAGAACAATAATGGAAAGCAAACAGTAAGGCATACAGCGCCTAAAGAGGAAGACACCAGCAAGATCGAAGACCTTGATGATGAAGACCTCGATGCACGAAGAATGGATTTTGAACCAGGGGCCTACCACAATGTTAGCCACCCCTTGTATAGATGTACGTATCGCACACAATGTAGGAAAGACTAAAGAATTAAGGGTCCCAGTGACCGTCTTCTCCTCCGTACATCCCGACAAATCGTTGCAAACCACTGCCGTCGTCGACTGCGGCGCAGCAACCACATTCATCCATTGGATGTTTGTAAGAAAACACGGAATCAAAACTCACAAGTTTGATGTCCCTTTCCCTATCTGAACTGCCAATGGCAAGATCTCGGAGAAACCTATCACCCACTACTGTCACCTTGCAATCAAAATTGATGACAGACTCATGATCCGAAAATTCAATGTCATGAACATGAGCGACTGAGATATGATTCTCCTCAGCTCTCCGCCATGAACCCTGACATCGACTGGGCCAAAGACACCCTTCGACTTTCTTCCACCCCTAGATCCCTACAACTTGAAGAAATCTTCAAGAAGAAGTGGAGATTCATTCCCTCTCCTCGAAAGAAAGTCACAATTGAAGAAGAAGAAGACCCGGAGCAATTCAAACCCGTCTATGCTCCACTTCCCATAAATGGAAAAGAACCCTAGAACAACAAAAAGAAAAGAAGGAGAAAGAAGAACCACTTCCACCGCTTTGGCCAGATCTTGATGAAGATCCACTTCCCCAGTACAACACCAAAGACGATGTATGGGATGATATTCCCTCCAAACCTGCTTTCATCCGAAAAGTAGAAGATCCGATAACTTACCCCATCAACGACAATGAAATATTAATCGAATATGCCCAAGATGGCTCCTCCATGACGCTTTTTGAAAACTTCTCCTTCGATTCACCCCTCATGTGTGACGGTACCTCTGCATCTGAGATCCGTCGAACCACAGTGTTAGCTCCATTAAGAAACTCTTGGATCTTCGCACGAAAAGCTGAAGAAGATGAATATCTGAAGACGAGCAATAAAGCCCAAGAATTCACTCTTAAAGATGCTCAAGAAAAGATGAAAAAGACTTTCGAAGAACTCGTTCCTGATTACCTTCACGACTTCACCAATGTTTTCACCAAAGACAGCTTAAACAAACTTCCCCCATCTAGACCAGGAGTAGATCATTGGATTGAAATGAAACCTGGTTTCATTCCTAAATCCACGAAAACCTATCCCTTATCCCCAAAAGAAACTGATGCCATAAAAGCCTTTCTTGATGAACATACCGCAAAAGACTTTATCCAACCATTGAAATCCCCGCAAGCAAGCAGATTCTTTTTTGGAGGAAAGAAAGATGGATCTTTACGTCCCTGCCAAGATTACCACTACATCAATGAGTGGACGATAAAGAATGCCTATCCCCTTCCTTTGATCCCTCCACTCATCACCAAACTTCGTGATGCCAAGTACTTCACCAAGATGGATGTTCAATCCGGGTATAACAATATTCTGATTCATCCTGATGACTGCTGGAAAGCGGCATTCACCACCTCTTTTGGACTCTTTGAACCGAAAGTTATGTTCTTTGGCTTATGCAATTCCCCTGCAACTTTCCAAGCCTATATGAACCAGACCTTCCAGAAGGAGATTGCCGAAGGATGGATGATCGTCTACATGGACGATATTCTCATATTCTCGAAAACCCTTGAAGAACACCAGAAACGAACACGCCACATCCTCAACAACATCCGCAAAGAAACCCTTTTCCTGAAGCCTGAAAAATGCATCTTTGACGCTCAAGAAGTTGACTATTTAGGAATTATTATATGCCCTGGACAAGTAGCAATGGACCCTGCCAAGCTTTCTGGTATCAGCCAATGGCAAACTCCTGCATCTGTGAAAGAAGTCCACTCTTTCCTCGGCTTCTGCAACTTCTATCGTCACTTTATCTCTCACTAATCCGACCTCGCACAACCTCTGATCGATCTCACCAAGAAAGATACTTCCTTCACCTGGTCGCAAGCATGTACCGAATCCTTTGAGAAGCTTAAGCAATGCTTCCTCTCCGAACCCATCCTCCACAACCCTGACCCCTCTCGACAATTTGCCCTTGCCACTGACACATCTCTCATCGCCACCGGAGCAGTCCTTCTCCAAACTGATGAAAACGGCTCTTACCATCCATGTGGCTATCTCTCCCAATCCTTCAATCCTGCTGAAAGAAGCTACCAGATCTATGATCATGAACTCCTCACTATCATCTGTGCCTTGAAAGCATGGAGACACTACCTTGAAGGGAACCCTCACCCTGTCATTGTATTCACTGATCACAAGAATCTTCTCTATTTTTGATCAGCACAGAACCTCACCCGTCGCCAAGCTAGATGGCAATTAACTCTAAATGAGTTTGATCTAGAACTTCACCACGTCCCAGGAAGAAAATTAGCCGCTCCTGATGCCCTTTCGCACCACCCTGACCATTCCTCTGACATTTCTGACCATTCCAATGTCACCCTTCTACCTGATACCCTTTTTGCTCGACTCCTTCACCATGATCTTGCTGATGCCTTGAAGAAAACTGACCCTCTTTCCGACCCCGTAATCCTTTCTGTGCAACAAGCTCTTGATGGGCTTAATGCACCACCTATGAAATCCGCCCTCTCCAATTGGCGCTTTGATGACGGAACCCTATTTTATAAGAACCGTGCCTATGTCTCTATTCATCTCCGACACCGCATCCTCACTCTTCACCATGATCATCCTACTGCCGGACACCCTGGACATTTCAAAACTGAAGAACTCGTTAAGTGAGATTATTGGTGGCCAGGAATGGGTATCTTTATCCGAAAATATGTAGAGGGTTGCATCCTTTGTCAGCAAATGAAATCTGACACCCATCCTACCACCCCTCCCTTGACACCTATCCCTTCTTCCACACTCCGCCCCTTCTTGCAGATCTCCGTCGACCTTATCACAGATTTACCCGAATCTGGAGGTTTTGACTCTGTTATGGTCATGGTCGACCATGGCCTTATGAAGGGGGTAATTCTCTCACCATGCAAGAAAACCATTATGTCTGAAGGAGTTGCCCAACTCTTCTTCAAGAAGGTCTTCCTTAGATTCGGCCTTTACGACAAAACCATCTCTGACAGAGGACCACAGTTCACCTCTAAATTCACCAAAGAACTTGGAAAACTCCTAGACTATGAAGTCACCCTCTCTACCACCTATCATCCCCAGACTGATGGACAGACTGAACATCTGAACCAAGAACTTGAAACCTATCTCCGCATCTATTGTCGCTCCACTCCCCTCGACTGGGTAAAACACCTACCCATGGCAGAATTCATTCACAATCACCAAAAACATGATGCCAGAAATGCCTCCCCTTTTTACCTCATGATGGGCTATGAACCCCGAGGAATTCCCTTCGCTTTCCCACACTCTACTATCCCTGCCGCAGAAGATCGAATCAAGTATCTTCAAAAGATCTGAGAAGAAGCAGTCTCTTGTCACAACCTTGCAATGCAACGCATGGCTGATTGGACTTTTGGAAAGAAGTTTGAACCCTGGAAGATCAGTGAGAAAGTATGGCTATCTGCGAAGAATTTAATCACCAGCCTACCTTCAAAGAAGCTCGCTCCAAAACGCTATGGACCCTTTGCAATTGAAGCCGTTGTAGAGACTCGCGTTTCTGCAGGCTCATATGGGCTCATATTACGAGCTTCACCATCTGTAGTGCCTCCATGAGGACCGGTGTAGAGACTCGCGTTTCTGCAGGCTCATATGGGCTCATATTACGAATTCTGATGACTGGCCTTCACGGCACAACTCGCACCATCACCCTCTAGTCATTCCCTATAGAGCGCACCACTTTCCCATGGAACGCGCCATAGGCGCGATACTTTCCCGCACAACGCGCAGTATTCCCACGTGCGTGCCTTGCGCGCTTTCTCGCGCTTAAGCGCACTATGTCGCACAGCATCCAGGAGCATCCATCCATCGTCCAACCAGTCCCTCGGTATGTCCCTTTTCGTTATCTGACCATATTTAGCATATTACACTTCCCATTTCGTTATGCACCCTTACTTTACATCACCTTACCTCATTTACATACTTAGAGTGCTCCCTATTCGGCTCCGAGCCCTGGGAGAGCGCTTAGGTAGAACTTACATACACTCATGTTCGTTTTACACCCCACTAAACCACCTGAGCTTCATACCACTACCTTCCTACCACTCAGTATCTATCACCAGTTAGTTCCATGCAATGCATGTGTCCATCATCGTTTTGAGGCCCTAGCATCAGTCTATAGCTAGTGACGCCTTCAGTATCCGTCTAGATCCGCGCTTTTCCTCTTATCAGTCTCAGCATCCGTCTTCTACACTTGTGCACTGCTTGCACTACCTTCCCGCGCTTCGCGCACTTTCGCACTTCGCTTTCCCATGCGCACTTTCTCGCGCTTTCACCGCCATTCACCAGGGTTGTTCAGCATCATTCCGTGGATCCTTGCTTTCCTTGCTTCCCCTTTAGGGTCGAACATTCTTGCATTCTGCAAGTATAGCAGCTAGGCAGAGCTGAGACTCACTTATACTGGCTGAGCACTTTTCTTATATGTGCCTGCCAGGTTGTGATACCCACACCATACTATCCCCTATCACATTCAAGATCCGACTTCCCTCCTCCTGGAAATCACACCCCGTCTTTCACACTTCTGAACTATCATCCTATCGGGAGACAGAAGTCCATGGTCTGAACCACACCAAACCACCCCCTGATATTATCAATGGACAAGAAGAATACAAAATAGAAGCCGTTCTCACCCATAAGGGAAACATAAAAGGAAAATGACGCTTCCTCGTGTCATGGAAAGGTTATCCTTCTTCAGATAATTCCTGGCTTCCTGAAAAGGAAATTCAGAACACCTTGGACATCCTAAAAACCTATAAAGACCGCCTTCGACTCTCTCGACTCTTTACCTAGAACCAGAACAAGTATTCGAACAATGCTTTCTTTGCACTCCTCAGACTCGTCTCTTAACCAATACTGCTCCCAGCTCAAGCTTCATCATAAACGAGCCCTTGTTGAATCAACCCTTCTCTCTCTTCTGTGTACTTTGCCACTTGATCATTTCTTTTCTGAAGACCCTATTGCCCTTTCTTTTATCACCACCTTTCGCAGTGCAGACCTGGCATCGAGCTATGCTCATACCATTCATACTCCCAAAGAAGAAGCAACGAAACGCTCCATTATCTATCATATGACCAAGATCAAATATCTTGCCACCGACCAACTCCTTGACCGCGGGTTTGAGCAAGCACTCACCCCAGATATGATTGCTGAAATCGTTGAGTCAAGCCACTCCTCTTCTATCGATCCATTCTGTTCTTCCACCCAAGAAATCCCTAGATCTCCCTCTGAATCATCTGATGATAGTACCCCTGTTCCTATCCCCACTCCATCTCAACTCGCAATGTGGTCCCTCGGTAACCCACGCCATGCTAGAGGAAAGAAAAGAGCAACCGTTGCTTTTGGAGTAGGCATATCACGCCCTATCACACCTTCTCCAGCCCCCATTCCCACTATTATTTCTGACGAAGACAAACCTGTCATTTCCTCATCCAATTCGTGTGCTCCTTCCGAAGAAACTTTCAGAGATCGGAATGGTGTAGACTATTCCACCATGATGTGCTGGTACTGCGGACAAGAAGGTCATCGCCAGATCAGATGCCCCCATTACTTTTGCTGAGAATGCCACCATCATGCTCCAGGCCATCTCACCACACATTGTCAAACTCTTAAAGGACATTGTATTATCCAAGCTAGACCAGGTACTTGGGCCTTCCATCATCAGCTCAAAATCTACAAAGACAAGAAGGATCTTGAGCAAGAAGAGTATGAGAAGCAGTATGTCCACGACACCAGCTATGACCCAAAGGTATACTATAACTTAGAAGTATGAAGTCGGTGACTTCAGACATTGACAGGGGGGTAATGTTACAGTCACCCTATTCTTTTCTCACACTTACTACAGACATCTCATGGTTATGCTTCTTATGCTTCCTTTTCACCTTGATGTTTCACTGCCTCTATCTCTGACTCGACTCTATTCCCATGAACCTTCCTTTCTTGATCACTTTTACCCTTTATCCAGACCGGTCTGTGCGTACTTCCCTTATGTATATAAACCCTAGTTACCAACTGTATTTCCCTTAACTTGAATCTACTCGGTTCTCTTCTATAACTTGAACTCTAGCTCCTTGGGAAGGAGGCTAGCCTGTGTCCCTAGAACTCTAGATCCTGTGGGAGTCTAAATGATTGCTCCTGAGGGAGGCATAGAACTCGATAAGGCTCGTCCTTAGTCGACTCAGATCATTGATTCCTTTATTGGAAAATGGCTCTATCCGAGTTCGTAACAGCCAGCCAAAGCCAGCCCTAATTATGCCAAGCCAAGCTGGGCCCAAATCATGGCCTGACCACAGCTTAGGGCTCGGCTTGGGAAATTGAAAAGCCGGAGCCAGCGACTCGAGCTGTGGCTTTCACTCAGGTGGTGCGCTCATATCTGAGATGATGAGCACGACTATTAACTTATCACTCTGACCCCAACATTGCAAACTATCTTTTTGAATCTTGGTCTGAGTCAAACCCATATCTCAACAAGCTTGATCATTGCTTCAACAGTCCATCAAACAAGCCTTTGAACATTTACATGCTGCAAAATCTCGACACTTATTGCCCTGACAATTCTTCAAACAAGCCCTTGAGACTACTGAAATTATCCATGCCACTTCCTCTAGAATTATCCATGGACTCATCTGGATGTCAGGTACAACCACCAAGCATGGTACCAACAATATCCATCTTCAGGCAGCCGCTATATCTATTTTCATCTAACCGCACTTCAACTCCGTCAAAGCTCTGCAAGTCAGTCTGATAATCGAGCTTGTAACAATATAAACGCAGCCTTCCTCGAATTGAAGTGCACTCTGCACCCCAGTGAAACTCCAACAATCACTTCACTTCACTGTGACATCAGATCTAGCAATCATGAAAGGATTTTTGTTGCTTGTTCTTGTCTCCATTGCTCTCCAGCAGATGACAGCAGCAGCAGCACCCACTGTGTCAGAGCGCCCCCGAGGTATTTCTCTTGTGGCACTGACATTGTTTTTGCATGTTTTACTCACCTTGTTGACGATTGTAGCGGTCAAAAAGCGTGAGGGCGAGCAGAGTATGTCTCAATTCATTTGTAGTATCTGCACCCGTCTTACAAGAATGTCAACGATACAGATGTTGGGAAGCGCAACATGTGGTATATGGAATGTACATTTCAATTCCTCCATATTCTCATGTCCTGTCTAACGAGAGATGCATAGACAAAATGGTTGATGGCAATGTAGAGACTCGCATTTCTGCAGGCTGTTATGGGCCCATATTACAAATTCTGACGACTGGCCTTTACTGCACGACTCGCACCATCATCACCTCTAGTCATTCCCTATAGAGTGCACCACTTTCCTGCAACACGCGCCATAGGCACGATACTTTCCCGCACAACGTGCAGTATTCCCGCACGCGCACCTTGCGCATTTTCTCGCGCTTAAGCGGACTGTGTCACACAGCATCCAGGAGCATCCATCCATCATCCAACCAGTCCCTTGGTATGTCCCTTTTCATTATCAGACCATATTTCGCATATTACACTTCCTATTTCGTTATGGACCCTTACTTTACATCACTTTACCTCACTTACAGTGGCTCAAAAAAGTGTCCCAATGTTTGTAAGTTTTCATGTAATGCTTCATTGTGAGTCAGGGTGTGGGAATCTGACTAAGCTATAGGGAGGTGTCAGAATGCTCTGCCTCTTGGCTTTATCTTTGTTTCATGTAGCGTGGGAATCCGATGTTATTGTGTGAAGATATTGTGATTTTAATTTGATGCCTCATTGGGACACTTTTTTGACTTTGAATTTGACCTATATAATCTCTATAATTCTAGTACTTACTGTTGCCTCCTCTTGCTCTAATCACTTCTACCACTCTTATAAACACACTATGCTATCAATTCCTAGCATTACCCATTAGTGATATTCCCTCACTGTGCTGTAACTCTCTCCCATAGCTGAAATAGCCCCTATTGGGGTTCCTGATACACCTCCTGAGTAATTTCCAGAGTTGTTCAATAGGGTTGAGGTCTGAAGACTGTACAAGCAATGATAGAACAGTAATATCATAGTTTTCAAACCATTTGGTAGCTAACCCTAAGCATACTTGAGATCATTATCTTGTCATAAGATGGTGTCTTCTTCATCAATGTTTGATCCTGCATGCTTTTAAGCAGACACTCTGCCAAAATTAAGATGCACTGCTCTGCATCTATCCTCCCCTCCACCTCACAGAGAATTCCTGCCCTAGTCCACCTCATGCAACCCCATACAATCAAGTTTTCTCCTCCAAACCTGAGTGTTTTCTTGACTTCTCTTTGTCCTAGTAGTTCTTCTTCTGCCTTTTTCCATACATATTCCTGGTCATCTGACCCCATTCTATTGATTTTTGTCTCATCTGACCAGATAGCCTAATTCCAGTCCTCAAAGTCCAATACTGGTGCTTCAGAGAAAAGGCTAGTCTCCTCCCTCTATAGGCTGAAGATAGGAGAAGCTTTTCTTTTTAGTTATAACTTCAAGGTTAGCTGCCTTGAGAGCATCCCTGCTTATTTGAGTGGAGACCGTGGTGTGGATAATAGAATGAATGAATTTGATGGCTTGAGTGGTATTAGCAGCCTGCCCAGTCAAAATATAATACCCAAAAGATCTTTTGCTATATGGTATGAGCTTAAAAGGGTGATTTACTTTGATATTTTTCTTATCTGAAATAGTCTTTTTGATGAATCTAGAAATAGTATCCATGCTCAGGCCAGTTTTAATAGAAATCTGCCTGTTAGACAGATAAGAGGAGCTAAAGATGAGAATAGGGGCTATTTCAGCTATGGGAGAGACTTACAGCACAGTGAGGGAATATTACTAATGGGTAATGCTAGGAATTGATACATAGTGTGTTTATAAGAGTGGTAGAAGTGATTAGAGCAAGAGGAGGCAACAGTAAGTACTAGAATTATAGAGATTATATAGGTCAAATTCAAAGTCAAAAAAGTGTCCCAATGAGGCATCAAATTAAAATCACAATATCTTCACACAATAACATCGGATTCCCACGCTACATGAAACAAAGATAAAGCCAAGAGGCAGAGCATTCTGACACCTCCCTATAGCTTAGTCAGACTCCCACACCCTGACTCACAATGAAGCATTACATGAAAACTTACAAACATTGGGACACTTTTTTGAGCCACTGTACATACTTAGAGCGCTCCCTATTCGGCTCCAAGCCCTGGGAGAGCGCTTCAATAGAACTTACATACTTTCATGTTCATTTTACTCCCCATCTTTCTGACCACCATGTTACTTGGTATTTAGTTCCATGCAATGCATGTATTCATCGTCATAGGCCCTAGCAGCTGTCTCTAGCTAGTGGCAACAACAGTATCAGTATTCAGTCACCTTTCTCATCCTATCACCATCATCAGTCATCTCTCAGCAGTCTCAGTTCACGTCTTTTCACTTGTGCACTGCTTGCACTACCTTCGCACACTTCGCACACTTTCGCACTTCGCTTTCCCGCATGCACCTTCAGCACGTTTCTTGCACTTCCATCACCATTCACCAGGGTTGATCAGCATTTTTTGTGGATTCTTGCTTTCTTTGCTTCCCCTTTAGGGTCAAATGCTCTTGCATTCTGCAAGTGTAGCAGCTAGGCAGAGCCAAGACTCACTTATACTGGTAGAGCATTTTTCTTATATGCGCCTGCCAGGTTGTGATCGCCACAATGATACCAAGGACGTGGAGGTACACATAGTAACACTAGATGAAATTTAAACTCTTTCTGGTGACAAGCCCTGGCCAAGCCTGAGCCGTCTATGCAGGCCCGGCTCACATTTTTCCAAAGCCTGAGCCATGCCAAGCTGAGCCAGGCCAGGAACAACACTACATACTTATCCTGCACCACATCACAGTCAGTCACAATCATGTGAGGTAGGTAGAATCTGCACAACTGCTACCTTATGCATATCTATGATAGTGTATGAATTGGTGTACCTTATTAAGTTTGTTGAATTTTGGTTTTGTTGCAGTGAGTGCTGGTGTATGGGGGTTTAATGGAATGTCCTGATACCTAATTGATGGACCACAGATCCAGAAGTTAATGCACCCTAGTACTGATTTGATTTGCATTCTATGCTTTTGATGTATTTACAAGCTGTATTCATACTGTATGCAGACCCAATTGTTTTCTCATTTTCCTAGTCTTGTTGTCTCCTACAAGCCTAGGAGTTGAACAGCAGCATACTAATGCCAATTTGACAAAGCCTTAGATCTGTGTTTGATGCTCACTACATGGCTTTGAATATGGGAAGGAGATAACTTACCATGCACAGAGCAAGTGAGGGCAGTGGACAGCACTATGTGACATGAAAGGTGATGGGGAGGGGAGCAAACATGCAGTTGGGTCAATTCTGATGTGACCACTGGTAGTGATCTTCCATCTCTGCACGATCAAGATGGAGGGTCAAATAGGAGTGTGCATCGCAAAGCTTTTCCTCATTCTCACAACAAAGGACAGGAATTGGCATAAGCTCCCGGACATCATTTGCAGCCCTATGGCCACGAGTTTGATTATCCTCTGAACAAGGGATCAGGAAGAAACCTGATGAAAAGTCAAATGATGTTGAAACATCTGGTCCAGCAACTACACATGAGACATGCTCAAGATGAGACAGTGTATCATGGAATTCCAGGAAGAGAAGTCAAGCCCATGAGTAAGCATCTTCATGCTTTCCCTCAAACCAGAATGTCAACCTTTTAAATTCAATACACCTTCTAGCATGAGATGTAAATCACGTCCCCATTTCCAGATTCCAAAACCACCATACACGCTAAGGTGCTACATGGCTGTGAATCACAACCCTGCAACAGATATAATGAGTATTGCTGACCTGAGTAGCAAAACCTGTCAGGGTGATTTCCTCAACATGTTTTGGAATAGATGGGTAGGAGAATCGAGGTTCTGGGTGCCAAACCATGAGGTCGAGTCCCAGATTCCTGATACTAGTCGAGGGGCGAATGGTCATATTGAGCTCCCATGAGCCACTGTGTGCATGTCGGCCTTTGAAATGCACAGTGTGAACTGGGCGACCAGGTATAAGGGTGTTTTAAAAAAAAGGCTCAGCAGAGACTTCCATTAGGTGTGGCAGAGATGTGGGAAGAAACAATGGCCCCTCATGCCTGGCAAGACAGACATCTCTCATGCACACACCAGTAATAACAAGATCACAGATGCTATCCTGCCTGTTCAAGAAGTTCAGGAATTGGAGGTTGACAGCATAGGTGCAATGAAAGATGTGAAGCTTGGCATCACAGTACTGAAGGACAGATGAGTAGCACTTTTGGGAATGGATAAGCTTGAGTGTTGAGAGGTGTGTCATATTGTTGAGAGCCAATGTGAGATTATCCAGGTGCACCTCAGGACCGTTATTGTCCATGATTGTTGGATATGTAAATATGAAAGATTTGACTTTGTGTGCAAGGTGGGGATGCTCTGCAAGTGTGGTGCAGACATCTGAGTTGTCCACTGTAATGGACTCATACAGGGTGTCAATTACTGCATGATGGAAGTAGGTGCACACTTGGCAGAGTGCAGCAAGATTGTTGGAGGAAAATTTTCCAAGAGACAAAACGACGAGCCAGAGCTCAACAGGTAACTTGTTAGCCGCCATGGTTGAGATGAAAGGTAGCTAGTCGCCCCTATTGGACAGAACACCCAAGACATACATAATCATTGCGTCATAGCAAAATAGGAGCTTAGGGGGTAAACGCGCTGCTCATATTCCAACTTATCGAACGAAATCTCAGCTCGGTCTTTCACAGTCGTGTGCGTTCTCCGTGAGTTGACCCACCAGCCAGACCAAGCCAAACCCAGCAACCTTTCCATCTTCCACAACGAACTCTGCCGTGGCCTCGGACGTCCCTATCTCCGCTGTCTCAAAGGGTATCCTGTCACGCCCATATCCTTCCGGGAACAACGCGGTATACTTAAGCACGAACATATTTCCGGATCGATGCACGCTTCGAATATGAGATGACCATATGCGAGGCCACGCTGCGAGCAGCTGAACAGACTGGGGAGTACTTGACTTTCCTGCATCCACCGCAGCAAAGTCGGAGACTACATCTTGACAATACGAGGAGCTTCCGGAAGGACTGCAAAAGGTGAAGGCGCCGTATCTAGCGTTGGCATATGTGCATGTGAACTCTTCGGGTGCAAGTTCCAAGCCAACGAGGTTTTCGTGCGGAGGCGTGATTAGTTTCTTCTCAGACGTGTTTGGTTTACCGAACCGGTGATAGGTGAGTAAAGGGAAAGAGATTTGGCAATGAAATTGACGAATTTATCGGTTGTGATGGTTTTGGCCGCAGGTCCAGAGCCGCGTCGATTATACGGTTGGAAATATCCATCACAGATGCCTTTAACGCCGCAGATGGAAAAAACGATAACCCCAACATCGTCATTTGGAAAGAATGAGACTAGCATAGAAAATCTTGACATCGACCCCATGTGATATACGATCTGATACTCCGGTATCCATGCACAATAACGAATGAACATTTGTTACATCATGGTCTAGGTACGAGTTTCGGAACCAACCCAACCCATACCCCTGAATCGAGAGCTCAGGATCAGCTGAGGCGCCGACTGATACGGAGTATGACTGTGACGTTGTTGTGCACACCCTTGTTAAGCCACAATGCAACCCATTTGACTGGATGGCAACAAATGTCTTCAATTGGTAAATAAAACGAAAGCAAAAAGTACCTGCCATGTCTACGGCACGCCACCTGCACCGGCCAGCAGCGTTGCTATCCCTCCTGTGAAACACTCAGGCAGGAGTCTGCCAGTCTTCTCGGCCTTTGCGGGTGAGAACGTAGAAGAGGACATTCCTAGTGGCGTAAAGATTCGATCCTCTACAAAAGAGGTGTATGCTTATGCGGAATAAGTTTCAATGATGTGTGCGGTTGTTGTGGACATCTGTTCGTAAATTATGAAGATGTATTTAGCGGGTTTGTCAAGACTGCGTTACCTTGTCGTTGTACAACCATTGTTCCCGGAGTTCGAAAGCTGGCGCATCCGCGATACGTCATCTTGCGAGCTGTCGTGTGGTCCATACGAGTAGTTATGGCTAGCTCACGCTCGATAAAATCTTGGGCTGGAGCGAAGAATTTGAGCCAAGCTTACCCAGGAAGGCCAGGCACGTGAGAGAGGACGTACTTCATATTTGCTTCCTTGGACGCCCGGTCATCCATCAATTGCCATTCTCCCGGAAGTATATCTTGTGTCAATTAAATTACGACAGAGCGGAAGGGAGCGGCGTGATGTTTCTTCCATGGCCATGTTTAGTCATCCATCAAAATTCCTTGGATTCCAAGAGCGCTCACGCAGAAAGCCTACGTCATGTGGAATATTAATGTCTGGAAATTGCGGCTTCAGAGTTCATACAAGAAGAAACTTGAGTAGTTCGCACATCTTCTGTTGTCTTGTCCCCGTCCTCTGTCATGTTTCCCCATGAATGAAATTCCGGTTCGGCGTACCTCGGGACAGCAGCGACAGACAGTCCAGTGATGTTCGGTCTCTTGGATAGAGTTGGAGAGCTAACTTGGCAATTGTCTACCCAGACAGGAACAATAGCTGGGAAAGACAGGTGAATGGCCGGCTCAAGAAGCCTAATCCATGATGTTGAGGAGAATAATGACCAGCCTTGCATTCCAGGTATGTTTGTTGTGCCCAGACATGTAGAGATTTTCAGGTCGTATAGCCAAGATAAGAAAGCTGTCAGTTGATCTTCCGCTCGGGACCTTCTCGAAGTTCAGGTACAGTCTAGAAGGTACGCCACTGAATGATAAATTTACTATCGGGCGGCAGAGATCAGGAACACGAAGATGCTCCTCGGTCAATCAAGACCTTGTGTCAAATGATCATTAAACGAGGTCCAACCAAGACAATGTGACTCATGATAGGGGCCTTGCTGCGCTACCTACTAATCCGAAAGCACCGATGGGCCTTTAGCATAATGCATGAATCAAAATAGAATATTTCGGACTTTCAAAACCATGGGAAATTGAGTTTATTCGCCGTGACGAGGCTCATAATAAAATAAAATATAGTTGGAATAAACTCATATATGTTATACAATAAATACGGACGACGAACCTGCTGATCGCAACGATGTGAATTTATAAACGCTCCTCCGTTCATACTGGATCATTAAGCATGCTTGGCTTATCATGGGACGTGAATAGACATTTTCAAAAAGCCCGATGGCGGCCTCATGACAGATTTCAAGCTTGGCCCCTTGCATAGCTTTTCTGATTATGGAAACAGCCTTATCTTTCAACCTATCCTGCAGGACCATTAGACCTACCTACGAGTGGTTGAGTTATATGTTTTTGTGTCAGGGACGGCTGAATTCGAAGAACGTGTAATATACTAAAGGCGTAATTACACCAACGATGACACTTCTAGATTGGGTAGTTTATGACATACTCCCATCTTCAACACGGCATTACCCTGTGCTTTGCCTTGGCTGTCAACTATTTGACTCTTTTAATTGAGACGCGCTCGGTTGAGTCGCTTGCTCCACTCTTTACATCTCTTCACGTTTTTCACGATTGCCTGGCGACTGCCTTGTGTCCTTGCTCTTGTTGTACCTTTGTCTCTCATTTCCGCCTCCAATAACTTGGGATTCTTTCGCCATGCCTTTCAATTATCTCCACAAGTATGAGTCCTCTTATGTCCTGTCCCTGCTTCCTTGCTCACAAAATTTTACAGGATGATGGCTGTGCCTAGAGCAGCTTCAACCTGCGAGCCTGTTGACCCATCCAATAACCTTACAGACCGCCTAAACACACTTCTCAACTCTTCTGGCTCAGGATATGTGTTGAGCCTCTGCCCAAGCACCCAATATTTCTTACAGGCCCCCCTTCTTTTCTACTCACCCAATCAAGAGATTAGCACTCTCGGTTATCCCACTGATGACACCAGAGCTACCTTAGTAGTCAACGGCACTGTCACAAATGGTACTGGCCAGTCAACGGCCGTCGATGGCACTTGCGCTAATTGTAACGGTGTGATCTTACGAAACGTGCAGGTAAAATCATGGACCCTTGATTCAACTTATCTTCCCTCGCGCTAATTGTTATCTCACAGATCAATGGCATGCGGGCTGGCGCGCTTCCCATCGCCGGAGGCGCAAATATTGAAATGGGCGGTCCAACCTCAGGCCAGCTTATCGAATACGTGCATTCTTGGGACCCCAAGAGCTGGTCATGTCTCCATATTGCTGAGGGATCTTCGAATTGCAACAATGCTACCGTCCAGAACAATGATATTGGTCCTTCAGGATCCGATCTTTTCCAGCAGTGGGCAGATGGAATTAGTGTGGCGTGCTCAAACAGCATTGTTCGTAACAATATGATCAATAATCCGACGGATGGAGGCATCGTACTCTTTGGCTCTCCCGGGACTCTAGTTGAAAACAATACGATCTGGGTCGAGAATGTAAGTGTACATCTTTCATAACCTTTTCTTCGTTCCTCACGGTAATACAGAATACACTGCTCGGAGGAATAAACATGGTTGACGTGACGCCCTATGGTGGTGATTATAAGGGGGTTGTGGTCAAAAACAATACCATCATGGGTGGGTTCGCCACTAGCTCTGACACAGGGTCAGCCACAGATGGTACAAATAACCAAGATGTCATCATCAAGTACGGGCAACCACCTTTTTTTTCTCATGTCTCATGAAGGTGCTGACAAGAATGATTCAGAATCGGAATTGCAATTGGTCCCCGAACATGGTTCGGGCCCGAATATCTCAACAACATCAGCACTGGCGGGACAGTGATTAACAACCAACTCACTGGCGCATTCAGCTACGGTATTGCCATATCGTCTGCATCCAATTTTACGATAGAAAATAATGTCCTCATTGGAAACACTTCTTTTATTGGGGCACGGGGTCCCAACTGCACCACTGGTGACCCAACACCTTCTCCTGCACCCTTTGTTATGGATATCAACAACACCGCGCAGAGCACGACCCAGACAGACTTCCAGACTAACACCGATGGAGACTCCTTAACCTGTGTTCTCCCCCCTGATGGTGGAGACTATTGGCCATTCGGTGGAAACCCATCGACTTCAGGTTCACCCACTACCGGATCCTCGCCGTCGACGAGCAGTCACACTTCAACCGGTACAATAGTCGGTATCGTGATAGGCGTCATCGCTGGCATCCTCTTTGTGGCCTTAGCTGCATGGTATATCCGCAAATGGGCCCTCAAGCGTGCAGAGGATCGCTCTCACTTCAAAGATACGCGCCAAGTCCAAAAGGGATATATTCGAAGCAAGGAACAATTCTGAGCCTCCCGTACATATTTTCCTGCTTCTACCTACGCTCTCTTCACCTGTTCTCTTCATTGTAACGTGGTACTTTTTCATAAACATTCTTCTGACGATCGATAGATTGCCGGGCGTTTCTGTTCCTTAGTGGACCAATCGGGACGTTCCATCGTTTATAGCGTATATCACACATATTGCCAGTGCCTTCGAGTTCTGACAGTACATACCCCTACCCTTACATGCTACCCCTTAGGCCTTAAAGCTTAGAGAGTTTTACTAAAAGACTTTGATGATGTTATGCAACGCGAATGCTCGAGGATGACTAAGCAGGCTGCTGAAATGGTGGCGCGGGTGATTCCAATTCCATTGCCCGCAACTCTACACGATCAAGTCGTTCGACGCAAGTTCAGCCGCAAGTTAGTTACTGCCTCGACTTCACGCAATCATGACTACGGAGAGAGGGTAAATACAAGCTTCATTCATCTAACCATTGAGCTGACAAACATCCCAGGTTTCTTGGGGTTACACCGCCAATCTCGACGGCTGATTCGACTGAGAGGGAAAAGGAGGTAACAGCGACCTTGATGGAGGAACTGAGAAGACAGAATACTTTCGAGAGTGTGGAGGAGGCCCGGCTCAGGTAGGATCAATACTTTTTTGCTTTCGTTGAACGTCGATGCGCGGACAAAAACCGGCTCGCCGAGAACCTCATGGGGGCTGCGCTATCGTTGACGATCACTGGATACGCATTTCATGGTTCTCGGATTATTCTCCGTATCTAGCCTTTTCAAGTGCATCCTTTGGAGAGGCAAGCGATGCTGAGGTCGCTTTCGATTTTCGCAGGGAAACGGTGCTCGGACGTGTAGCTGCCGCCGTCAAAAAATTTGTGTATGAGGTGTCCTTGTCTCGCGGACTTTCGGAAGCAGCGGCGAACGCTGCTGGGGGAAAAATATTTACCTTCGGTTCATACCGTCTCGGCGTTCATGGACCTGGGTCCGATATTGATACTCTTTGCGTTGTTCCTAAACATGTATCTCGCGAAGACTTTTTCCAAATCTTCGAGCCGATGCTTAGAGAACTAGAGGATGCTACGGAGGTATCGGTGAGTTTGATCCGATAGCACTGGCTTCTGCAGTAGACTGATGATGACGATGATGATGATTAGGGTGTGCCGGAAGCGTACGTCCCAATTATCAAGACCAAAATTTCAGGAATACCATTAGATTTCCTGATGGCTCGTCTGGCGCTATCATCTATACCAGATGATTTGTCATTAAAGGATGATAACCTCTTGCGAAATCTAGACGAGCGGTGTGTGCGGAGTCTTGGAGGTAGGTACTGCATTTAGTATTGTTCACCGATATTCATATGCGCGTAGGTTCACGGGTGAATGATGAAATTCTGCGTCTGGTGCCCCATGTTGAGGTCTATCGAGATTCACTTCGATGCATCAAGCTCTGGGCTCAACGTGAGTTGCTCTACTGGATGACTTTGGATAAGGGGCTTTGCTGATGCACCGCGTTCAGGGAGGGCCATCTACTCGAATGTTAACGGGTTCTTGGGCGGTGTCGCATGGGCAATCCTCGTCGCTCGAATATGTCAATTATATCCCAATGCTACCGCAGGGGCGATCGTCAGCCGATTTTTTATCATCATGTACCAATGGTGCGCCTGCTTATGGAAGTTCCTTGTGTGCATGTATGCGATTGATATCCAGGTCATGGCCCCAACCGGTGCTGCTGAAACAAATAGAAGAAGGGCCGTTACAAGTTCGCGTTTGGAATCCAAAAGTATGTTTAATTCTTTTTAGCAGATCAAGCACTTTTTTTCATCTACTTTCCATAGCTTTATCCTGCAGATCGATCACATAGGATGCCTATTATCACTCCTGCATATCCTGCCATGTGCTCAACTCACAATGTAACAGCATCCACACAGATGATTGTCACCGAAGAGTTTAAGAAAGGTGGTGTACTCCTTGTAATTCTACGTTTTGTGGTATTCTCAAGGTCGTATAGGAGCAGACATCGTGGACAAGGTCATCGTTGGGACGGCAAGTTGGTCAGAACTTTTCCTGAAACACGACTTCTTCCACAAGTATCGATATTACCTTCAAGTTATCGCATCAACTGCTACTGCTGATCTGCAGATAAAATGGTAAGAGTTCCTTCCGTTGTATGTTCGGCAAGTCTGCAAGTCACGTCTAGGGCAGGAACCGTCGAGTCTCGGATACGGCAACTGGTCATGAAGCTTGAATACGTCGATTCACTGATTCTCGCGCATCCATTTATCAAAGGCTTTGATCAAGTCTCACATTGTATTACGGAAGAGGAAGTGAGACAGGTTGCACAGGGACAGATCTCAGACGTCATCGCCAAGCGAACAAAAGCTGACATTGAAGGCCTTGATGGTTCGAGCACAGTGCACTCGACGACATTCTACATTGGACTTCTTATCGAACCCAAGCCTCGTGCGTCCTCAGTTCCTACATAGTTTCCCTGCGGAATGTCTGCAGCTCATCAAATTCTCTGTTTTCAAGTTGGTGCTGTGGGCCCACGGAGGCTCGATATATCATATCCGACCACCGAGTTTACCAAGCTCGTCAAGATGTGGGAGAAGTACGACGAAGATACGATGGGTATTGTGGTGCGGAACATCAAAAGGTCGTGCAATTCGATGCGGCAAGTCATCCCTTCCGATCTCACTCATTTCACTAGTTCTGCTCTTCCCGACTACGTATTTGATGAAGGCGAGCGACAACCGAAACAGGCGTTGAAACGCCCGAAAACTGGCAAAGTGGGTTGTTTGGGTAGTGTCCTTGAGCATGACTGACCTGCATTATGATGTATGTGAAGGGATCGGGCAAGTCGAGCAATACCTCGCCCGACATGCCCAACAAGAAGAGACGGTTGGTACACACTCTTTCACATATTTTTACCATTGATCTCGCGCGGCTGCGTGCTCAGCAGATCGGAGACGACACAAGATGGCGAGAATGGTATTCCAGGCTTGTCATTCTCAAGTACGACGTTACATGGCGAAACCAATGGCCTATATGCTCCTATCAACAGGGCTGTCAGCGAAATCAAGACACCTCAGCTTCCCCTTGGTGAAAACGCTGCCGTCGCCACGGGAGCACAATAGATAAAAGGTCTCCTCACAGCGGTGCTGGTCCCTTGAACAATTTCTCCAAGCTCTAGCTCTGCTCCAGCTTGTTCGTTGTGGGGGCCACAGACCAGCTGTCATGACACAACAGCCCAGTTTTCATTGGCATGGCCATCCTGCAGGTGTTTGGTTTATTTATCCATTTTTCCACAGGGACCGAAGCACATGACGAGATACATTGGGCAAACGTTCAGACCTCAACAGCGCAGTACAGTGGGATGAGTGCTACACCTATGTCCGTTGGCTTTTATTGTCGCATCTCCACCCCTAGCGTCCGCGCTATTTTTCACTTTAATCACTCTTCGTCTTGGCACTCAAATTTGGCAGCGTCGATATTTTTCCTTCGTATTTCGGCATTTTAAAATCCACAGACACAATTTTGTATCGTAGTTTACGTATGAACTATAAATTTTCTTCGATGTTACATGTGAGATGTGAATAAATACATGAAATAAACGTGCATGTCAGAACTGTCGTGAGATGAGAAGTATACTAATCAGGTTCATAAATATGTAAGGTGGGATCAAAAATTGTGTGACAGAGACGAGCTACCAATCGCATTCGTAGGTATCCGCAAGCTCCGGCGTCGACTAGGGTTCAAACACGGAAGATCACGTTCTATTCGCGGTGAATCTGGATCGCGGACGCCCATCACGAGTTTTGAGCCTAGTGCATCAAAGTTGAGACCAGCGCCTATCTTGAAATCATCTGATTTCCATATGCGCTGGTAGATGTATGATTCGGACTGAGAGACGGTGGAGGAGGCGGGGGACTGCGATAGGAAGGGTGTACGGAGCCAGAAGCGGAGGCGGTGGGATGCGCCGGCAGGTGTTGAAGTTACGGGTATGGCGCTGAGGGAAATTGGTGAGGTTGTGAGTGGAAGTTTTGTGGAAGGGGGACGTACTAGATCAGGAATGAGACGACTTGTGGTTCGCATTCTAGTCTCATGTAGTAATCTTCGAAGAGTGTTCGGCCGGCGCCTCCTGCTTCGTACTCTAGGGAGAGACTGTATAGGCCGACTTCTACGAGCTTCCATCTACATAATTTAGTTTATATTTAACCAAGGTCTTATGTTATGGAGTAAGGACGAACCTTATTATGAAGCTAACGTGTGCACGACCTACGATGCCCTGATATATCAGCATGTCTTGTGTTGCATTTCGCAGTACAGCAAATGAAGCGTCTCCGACGGATAGAAAATCGGGATCTCTCCCAATCCAAAGATCGTTATCGCTAAATATCCGATGGTCGATCCCTGCAGTCAGGAGCCAAACGCGAAGGTTGTAGAGACAGCCAGCTGGTAAACACGTTCGTGGAGGAAAGACGCTGGCAGGTGGGTAAGCCTTCCTGTTAAGCTTGGCATGATGTAACTTACAAAACAGAGAAGTCCAGCCGCCGGGGGTCTATTGATAGTCTCAGGGTGACTGGAGTACAGAGCGCTCTTTCAACATGACCAACTTTCATTGAAAGTGTCAGGGTGTAGTGATTGGGGTGATCTGCTTCAGGTTCGACGCTGTCCATTCCAGGTAAATCATGACGACGGGGAATAAGACGGGACGACGTACAGCACGGAGAATTGCAGGGGAGCAGACTCAACCTGTAAGTTGTAGGTATATACCACCGTCTCTTGTATATCCATCTGCAAAAACGATTCTGAGAGACTGAGGGCTTTATTAGCAGCCACAAAACCACACAGGATATATACGTACGCACTTTGAAGTAGTCGATCTTGCCAGTGCGAGAGGCGGTCCCCGATATCTAGTACTATTCATGATCGACACCGCATAGATAAACGACCCCACAAAGGATAAGCAACGGAGCAGATCAATCAGCAACAAAAGAAGCCATTCGGGGGTACAGAGTTACACTTTGCTTCCCACAGGGGGTTCGTAAACTGGAAGGAAAGGCTCTTCATCATCCTCCCTGACAGTAGTGCTAATGCTGTCCTGTCGGATCACCGACCAGAGGTTCGAATGGAGATTTGCGGGCATAGTGCTTGTGATGCAATACTAATATGTCCGTAATAATGGAAGGAAGTGGGTTAGAATGAGCGGCTTTTGGCGGCGACTAGGACAAGGATACAAGCGTTCTAGCAAATCGTATTCTATACAAGATGATCAGCTACGCACAGGTTTGAACAGCCTAATGCGTTATATTTGGTCCAGATTGCACCTGACAGGATGATATGATGATCAATTGCTAATTGAAGAGCACTTGCAAGGTTTCTCAGAAAGGAAAGTTGTAATTTTGATGCTTGTTCGACGTTGTCCATGGCGCTCTATACAGCTGCACCAGCTCTGGCGTCCACGAGAAATCCATACTCGCGAAGCAATCCACGACAAGCGGTGGCCCGGCTGGCAAGTAATTATAGGTATCGAAGTGCACGCTCAGATCAAGTCCCGCCGCAAGCTATTCTCAGGTGCGTCTCTCCAATCCAATGACTGCGTTCTACTTAATTTAACATGCACAGAGTCATTCACATCTCGTCCGGGTGAGACACCCAATACCACTGTGTCCGTATTCGATTCTGCATTCCCTGGAACACTACCGGTTGGCCTACCCTCGCCCGTTCTCCCCGGCATGCAAGCTGACCTCACGTTTCAGATATTGAACCCAAAATGCGTGGAGTTAGCGGTCAGGACGGCGTTAGCACTAAACTCCAAAGTTCATCGCCATTCGGCGTTCGACCGGAAACACTACTTTTACTCTGACCTCCCGGCAGGGTATCAAATAACTCAGCGTTACTGTAAGCTCAACTCACAATTCCGTAGAGTATGAACACCGACAATCTATTCTTCCACAAGCTCCGCTGGCCTCGGGTGGCCATATAAGGCTCTCCAAAGGCGATGTTTCAGTTGGAATCACGCAGATTCAACTTGAACAGGTAAGACGGATGCAGTTTTGTGTATGAACCGAAGCCGAAATGTACACAGGATACGGCGAAATCCACATTTGACGGGCTTCGACGTGCATCACTTATTGACCTAAATCGAGCTGGCTCAGGATTGATAGAGATAGTTTCAGAGCCTGATATGCGGTGAATTACTTTGATCTACATCATTCTCCTGTGGTGGTAACTGAGTCCACCTATATAGATCCCCCGAAGAGGCCGCAGATTATGTTCGGGCATTGCAGGCCGTCCTTCGCTGTGTTGGCTCTAGTGATGGCAACATGGAGCAAGTGGGAAATATGTCTCCTTTAAATGTGATTCGTTCTTAATTCATTGCAGGGGTCCTTCCGCTGTGATGTGAATGTATCTATCAACAAACACGGACAGCCGCATGGCACTCGTTGCGAGATCAAAAATCTCAACAGCGTGAAATTCATGATGATGGCGATCAGTTAGTAAACTGTCTGCGCAGCCATTCCCAATTACTGCTGATGTTCAAACAGCTTCAGAGGTCTTTCGTCATATCGAGCTGCTCGAAAGTGGCCGCTCTGTGCCGCAGGACACCAGAGGATTTGATGAAAATAAGGCCGAAACTTTCAAGCTCAGAAGCAAGGCAGATTCCCCTGATTACAGATACATGCCGGACCCGAATATTCCTCCATTGCTGTTATCCGAGGTAACAGCCCACTTGTAATTCTGCTCATGTCACCTGAAACACCGCATAGGAGTACATTGAGACAATCCGGAAGACCATGCCGGACCTCCCTGATGCAACCCGTGCCCGTTTGCTGAATCTTGGGCTATCCGAGCGTGATACAGATGTACTCATGGCTGTCGACTCAGGTCGCGAGGTTGGATTTGATGGCGAACTTGGAAAGGGCGCTGTGATTTACTTTGACTCCCTCGCACAACAGAGGGACCCGAGAGTCGTTGTCAACTGGTTTGTTTGATTTTCTCCTAGTTGTAGGAGTTTTATGCATATATATTTACACCCAGGATGACGCACGAGCTCATCGGGCAGTTGACTGCTCGGAAAGAGACCTTCAGTGATAATCCCGTATCTGTCGAGCAACTAGGCGAACTCATTGACCTAGTGCAGAATAACAAAATTACTGGTAAGCCTTCTCTTTTCGTCCAGCGTCATATTCATCAATTATCACTACCAGGGACTTCGGGGAAATCGTTATTGAAGCATATCATTGCTAATCGTTCTTCGTCAGCTCCCTCTGTGCTTGCACGGGAGCTTTCTCTTGAAGCTGTATCAGAAGACGATAACGCCTCCACTCGAGCATGGTGTGTTGAAGCTATTGAAGCGCTTCCTGAAGAGGCGGAAGCAGTGCGCCGAGGTAATCCTCGAGTTCTCAACAAGCTAGTGGGTAAAGTCATGCAGCTCAGCCGTGGACGTGCTGATGCACAGAATGCACGTGTTGTGCTAGAAGATGTTTTACAAAGATAGCTTCCTTATGATATCAAATGGTCTAACCTCTTAAGTGATTCTTCTTCGCTCAGCAAAGTTCAGCAGGTTCAAGAGATGATCCGGTTCTAGAAGCAGCCAAACTGGCACACTACATAGCTTCTTTTATCGAATCACATCAGGATATCATGTAGTGGTAGCCAAGTATTAAGTAGCTCGGCTGATGATCGATGATATGATGATGATGATGATGATGACATGTATTTGGTCATCTACGCCGTACACCTTCCATGAACGTTTGAACCACGTGTCACATAGTTCAAGCTGACTCCGCCTGTCAAGAGAGTCACGTGACGATGATCATCAAGCGCGGCGCGGTGGGGCCAGGTACACTCAGTTTGTCCCGTTAACTTCCAGTGGTGGCTTGACGCCGCTTTTCTCATTAATATCTGCGCGGTCAGTTCTGTTGTAGACTGTAGGGCAACCAGAGTCATGGGTAAGTCCTTTGCTTGCAATCAAATGGCTACTTGACATCTTCTTGCAGACACCGCCGTGGCAAAGCAGCTCGTAGACAAGATTTATGAGAAGAGAAAGGCAGCCGCTCTCGAATTAGAGAAGTAATTATACTCGCTTGCAGTTGATAGTAATGTGTTGAGCGTTCTCAGGCAGATTCGGGAATGCCACCAACAAAGTGACCAACGTCGTATAACCCAGATCATTGAACAGCTAGTGGATATGTTCAGCAATGCGTCAAATCCCCTTCACATCAGAAATGGAGGACTCATTGGCCTAGCTGGTACAGCTATTGCCCTCGGCGTTGACGTCGCCCCGTACATGGAGAAATTCATCGAACCTGTCCTGGCATGCTTTACGGATCCAGAAAACAGAATACGATATTTCTCCGCCGAATGTTTGTACAACATCGCCAAGGTGTCCAAGGGCGAGGTTCTTGTTTACTTCAACCCTATATTCGACGCCCTCAGTAAAGTGCGATAGCTCCTCGTCAAGTTTTGCATTACGACTGAGCCGAACTTCTCAGCTAGCTGCTGATTCAGAGCTATCGGTCAAGAATGGGGCGGAACTGCTTGATAGACTTCTGAAGGATATTGTGGCAGAGACAGCTTCGGTGTATATTCCGCAGTATCCAGAGACGGAGAGGATTCGCGACTTGTTCGATTCTCAGGAGCAGAGTATACTTGTTGCTTACCCCGATGACCGATCCCTAGGAGAAAACGTCACTGTGCAGAAGAAGGCATTCTCCCTCGCGCGCTTCATTCCGCTTCTGCAAGACAGGATATATGTTCTTAGTCCGTTCACAAGGAGCTACTTGGTATCATGGATAACGGTGCTTGACTCGGTCCCGGAGCTCGAGCTTATAACGTACCTCCCAGAGTTCCTAGACGGCCTCTTGTGAGTTGGAAGGTTTGTGAGTCAAGATTCTCGCTGATGCACCTATCCAGGAAGTACCTATCAGACCCCACCGAGGATGTGCGCGTAGCCACAGAAAACATTCTTGCCGATTTCCTACGTGAAATCAAAGACGTCAGTATGGTTCGTCAACGCAAAGAAGAACACGCTGAGTCCTCCGATCTACGACGCTCAGATGAGAAGCTTCCTGATATCACGATGTCTCACTCTGAACGCGCACTTTTCATCCCTGAGAGTGACTTTGGTCACGATCATGATGGAGAGTACAGTTTGAAGGATGAGCACAAATCAGAAGACTATCGCGGCACTGGAGGTAGGGGTTGTTTAAACACGTTTATTGAAACCACTCACTGCTCGTGCAGCCTTGGTTCCTGGGCAGGGTGTGCGGATAGACTATGCAGCCATAATAGAAATTCTCATACAACAACTTGACAACCAACGTGAGCTGTTTCCATCCAAGCTAACACTGCATTAGACTTATCTTGCGTGCGCAGATGACGAAATTCAACAATCTACAGCGCTTCGTTGGTTTGCCGAGTTCTTAACCTTTGTGCCCGATGTTATGGTGCCTTTCACGCCTCGCCTTATTCCTGCCATACTCCCGAATCTAGCACACCATGTCCCGATGATCCAGTCGGCTGCAATCCGGACCAACACGCTGCTTTCGAGCGTCATCCAAAACCTACCCGGGCCAGTGGAGGGCCTATCTCGACAGAACACACTAGAGAAGTCAACCGTGCCAGCAAGCTCACCGACCCCAATTCCCCAACCTTCACGACAAATAACTGTACAGCCACCGTCCAGAGATGCCTCTTCTCCCGAGTCAATGGGCGATAACCAGCCATCATCTTCATCCGATAAGACCACCATGATCCAGCGTCCTCGCTCAGGGACAATGCAAACTACCGTCACGGAATCTTCGAGCAGGCCTCAATCACGCATGTCATCAAATAGTGTAGTGGGTGCTCCGCCACCTCCACCACCTCCAGCTCCATCACCTCCTTCACCCGTGCAGGAGGAAGCAGACCAGTTTAATTATCAGGCGACGGTTAATGAGCTGACGATACAGTTTTTGAGCGAGCATGAACAGACTAGGGTTGCTGCACTGAAGTGGCTTATAATGCTGCACCAGAAAGCACCGAAGAAGGTGTGCTTGAATCCGTCTGGAGGATGTACAAACTGAGGAGATTGTCAGATTCTTGCGATGGATGATGGTACTTTCCCGGCGTTGCTGAAGACGTTGTCGGATTCGTCCGAAGAGGTACTCAAATATGCATTGACTTGTATCGCGTGACTCATATTTTCGTTAGGTTATCAAGCAAGACCTGCAGCTCCTCGCGCAAATATCGTCCTCCTCAGAAGAGAGCTACTTCAAGGTTTTCATGATGAACCTTCTCGAACTCTTCAGCACAGATAGGAAGCTGCTTGAGGCCCGCGGCAGTCTCATCATTCGCCAGTTGTGTCTCAATCTCAATACGGAGAAGATATATAAGACGTTTGCAGAAATTTTGGAGAAAGAAGAGGTTCCTCGTTTTTCGTGGTCCCTAATGCGATGTTAGCTGACTGCTATTATACAGGATCTGGAGTTTGCAAGCGAGATCGTGCAGAAGTTGAATATGATCCTGATTACTTCGCCTGAGCTGGCGGAGTTCCGAAAACGGCTGAAGAGCCTTGAGACAAGGGTTGGTTGATCGCATTCTCATTTGATTTTTTGACTGATGTGACATGTGCAGCAAGATGGCCAAGCGCTGTTTACCACGCTTTACAGGTCATGGTGCCATAATGCGGTTGCAGTGTTTTCGTTGTGCCTGCTTGCGCAGGCTTACGAGCATGCATCAAATTTGCTATCTATCTTGTAAATTTGTCTCACATGGCGTATTTGATCGTTACTAACAAATATTATGCCAGTGCTGATTTGGAGATCACCGTCCCACTGCTAATCCAAGTCGACAAATTAGTGCAGCTGATCGAATCTCCCGTGTTCACTTGTGAGTTATCTACCAATAGGATGAATCGGAGATTGATGATGTTCTGGAAGATCTACGCCTTCAACTCCTCGAGCCTGAGCGTTACCCCTACTTGTTCAAGTGCCTATATGGGCTGCTCATGCTGCTCCCCCAATCCACCGCTTTCGTTTCACTCCGTAACCGTCTCAACGCAGTCAACTCTGCCGGCTTCCTCCATATTGCCCCAAAAGCGTGAGTTTACCCACTCTCATTTCATCATGCGTTAATGATAACAAATCCTAGGGCACCCAACCCCGTCACCTCACGTTCGAAGCTCGGCCGCGATGAGATCAAATGGCAAGAACTTCTCAACCATTTCCGCGCGCTACAAAGCAAGCACGAGAAAGCGCGACGTCAGGATCTTGGGAATGCTTCATCTCAGGACGATATCACCATTACACCGCTCTCGCCGTCCGCATCCGCCAAACCCCCAATGCGGCGGCGAGTGACAGGTGACCTCCCAGTGCCGCCAATTATCCCGTCGAAGCCTGCACTGAGCCCGCTCAATCCCAAGGCAAGGCAGAATGGGCTGCTGGCAAGCACGTTGCAGGGTGCGACGACACCGGGGATAATGCAACAGAGGCCGAGGCGGACTCTGGGCTTACCTGGAGTAGGACCCAGAAAGGGGTGAATAGGTTTTGTTTTTGATTGATTTGGTTTGCAGCGGACATACAGTACATACTTGCATGCACATGATACTTTAATGGTGGATAACATGATGAATCAATGATGAGCAGTGGTGATGGGCATCGGTCATATGATGCAAGGTAAGTGGCAAGAGACCAAGATATCTACATCCGAGACTTTGCTGGGGCGACGAGGTTTGAACGGATGGTTTTCAGGTCTTCGTCTGTTAGCTCGGTATAGGTCTTGACATACGTCTCTACGCCACCATACTTCTCCTCTAGGAGATTGAAGAAGGCTCGCATGGTCTCGTATCTAAGGAAAGGCGTTGAGGATCAGTGTTGGAGGATTTGAGTTTTGCATACCGAGATGTCAGCATGCGCATTGCAGCTTCAGAGTTGGCAGCAAACAAAGGCTCTTTCATGAGTCTTCCTAGGACCTTTGCGCGGTCTGGCTCGCGCCCTACCCGTGTAAGGGAGTAATCTTGTGAGATAAAGTGATTGTCCACCCCTGCTAGCTGGAAGGAATGAGGTTATGGTGCTGAAAGGGACTAACGGCAGCGATTTACCTTGAGAAGGATGGCAGCGATGATTCCCGTCCGATCTTTCCCGGCTAACAAAAACTGAGAAACTACGCAGATGAAAAGAAGAAGTATGAACACACCCGTGCAGTGAAACATGAAAGGAGAGTTTGGTTTGTCCCGAACATGGCGCAGAATGGTACCAAATGCGGGCCCGCCGTGTTCCAGTATTTGGGAGTAAAGGATCATGAAAGCCTGCGGGAGTTCGATTACATGATAAAATGCTTGATCAGGTCGCATACCTCTGTTGTCCCGGTTGCGTAGAGCTCAAACCTCCTTCAGGAAGGTCAGTGATAAATGAGGCGGCACGGTGGCAGCACGTACGCACTTGGCGAGCTTTTCTGGACTGTAATCCTCGCTCTTGAATACGGGCGTGTGGATTACCTCTACACCCTCGATGGTAGGTATCGGAGAGCTATACTTCCTCATCTCCGGATCTGATCGTAAATCAAAGACGGTCAAAATTCCGAGCATGACCATTTTCCGTGCACCTTGCATTAGAGTGAGTTTTCGTATATTATGAAGACTTGAAGAATAAACCTTCTTCAGTGATGCCGGAGAGCTCTGCTGAACGATAGGCATAACCGGGCTTTGTAACTACGTCTGAAGTCGCAGTAGGATATGAACCTAGATCGCGGACATTGCACACGCCTGGGATCTGAACAAAAGGAGGTCTGGAAAGCACGTCTGCCACATATGCAGGATCAAGAGGCTCCAGTCCGGAATCTGTGGCGATCATTGGAGACAGGAATGAAGCGTTCGTTTGAAGCCTTGAGCACTGAGTCAGGACTGAGTCTGACGGAAATATTCGCAAATACATCCGTCCAAATGCTAATTTTGCATCATACCAGCTCATATAAAGCTCATACCCCTAATTAACAACAGTGCTTATTGCTGGTAGACTAAGCTAGGATATAGACTGACATAGAGCATTGAATTTCGCATTCCTAATTTCCTCGTTGAAGGAGCTGCTTGCAAGTTGCAATGGGTAGTATTACGAGACTAAAGCCTTAGTCTTAAATTTAGCTGAGTCATCTTCAAGGAAGCGTGACCTGCATCACGTGTTAGTATCACAGATGTGACATCTTATCGTCACGCTTGAGGGCAGGCAGACTCGTGTTCAAACGCGTCGCGATCTTTACAGTGATTGTAATCACCAACTTTCGATCTCGAATTGCAATTTTTTCCTTCTTCAATTCAGTAACATGGATATCGACGAGCCATCTTCTCCACCGGCGCCCAGGTCGTCGTTGCCACCAAGCAGCGCTCCCATGGCCACCATGTCCTCTTCTAATGGGACACCCAGATCCGCAGGCAGGAGACCAACATCTGATGCACTTGCATTTAACGACGACGAAGCTCAGGAGGCAGAAGAAGACGGTGCCACAACGAGACGGAGAAGACGACCCAGAAATCAGCAAAATGGCGATGTCCCACTCGTTAGAGATGCTGTCGGCGAGAGCGTGTCTGAGAGCTTTGAGACTTTCTTAAAGACGTACGTCACATCAATATATATTGTGTGTTCTGATTACTTTCTACAGGTTTACCGAAGAAGTCGCATTGGCCTCAACGCCCGCATCCGATGGCGATCTTCCAGAGGTCATCGAGGGCGAATTGATCTACATCCAGCAAATCCATACTATGCGTGAATACGAGATAACCACCCTCTATGTCGACTTTACACATCTCCTACAAAAAGACGACGTCCTTGCAGACGCGATTCAGAAGCAGTACTACCGTTTCCTTCCCTACCTCCGTCGCGCCCTGCACAATCTCGTCGCAGAGTATGAGCCCGAGTACCTCAAGATCAATCCTACAGCCGCTACCACCGACTCCGCAAATCTCCAGTCACGAGAATTCAACATCGCGTTCTACCATCTACCTCTGGTATCCGGTATCCGTGATCTAAGAACCGATAAGATAGGCACCTTAATGAGTATCAGCGGCACTGTCACTCGCACAAGCGAAGTGAGGCCTGAACTCCTTTACGGTAGCTTCATCTGTGAAGTCTGCGGTGGTCTCGTCAATGAGATAGAGCAGCAATTCAAATATACCGAGGTAACGTCACGCCCCTCAAAGATACATGGATGTATGCGCTTATATACGTCCAGCCAAGTCTCTGTCCTAATCCTACATGTGGAAACCGCGTCGCATGGCAGCTTCAAATCGATACTTCCAAATTTACGGATTGGCAGAAGGTCCGCATACAGGAGAATCCATCCGAGATACCCACTGGTTCCATGCCTCGATCTCTGGATGTCATCCTTCGTTCTGAACTTGTCGAACGTGCCAAGGCAGGAGATAAATGTGTTTTCACTGGAACTTTTATTGTTGTCCCGGATGTCAGCCAGCTCGGACTGCCAGGTGGAAACAAAGCGGAGCTAATGCGTGAAGCGAGTAAGAGCGGGGCAAACGCATCAACGGGTGGTGTAGGTGGAACTGGTGTGACGGGGCTTAAGAGTCTCGGTGTGCGGGACATGCAGTACAAGACTGCATTCCTAGCATGCATGGTACACGATGCTGATGGCAGGGTATGTATGTGTGCTTGTGATCACGTTAAAGAATCTTAATTTCTCCTCTAGGGTGGCACTAATGTTCGTGGAGAAGAGGAGGAGGGCGAAGAGGATGGACAAGCATTCCTCCGCTCGCTTACCGAACCTGAGTTTGATGAGCTCAAGAGCATGATTGACTCGGATCACATATACTCTCGGCTGGTGGAGAGCATAGCGCCCACCGTATACGGTCACGAAATTGTCAAAAAAGGACTCCTTCTGCAGCTTATGGGCGGTGTCCACAAGCAAACAGCCGAGGGTATGCACCTCCGTGGGGATATCAATATCTGCATTGTCGGCGATCCTTCCACATCAAAATCACAATTCTTGAAGTACGTTTCAACTGATGATAAAAGCACACCAAACCAACTGCTAATGCACCGACAGATATATTTGCTCTTTTCTCCCGCGAGCAGTCTATACCTCCGGAAAAGCCTCGTCAGCGGCAGGTCTGACAGCTGCCGTCGTCAAAGACGAAGAGACTGGTGACTTCACGATCGAAGCTGGTGCGCTCATGCTTGCGGACAACGGCATTTGCGCTATCGATGAGTTCGACAAGATGGACATTTCCGACCAAGTTGCTATTCACGAAGCGATGGAACAACAGACAATCTCCATTGCGAAGGCAGGCATCCATGCGACCCTTAACGCTCGCACGAGTATCCTGGCTGCAGCTAACCCCATCGGTGGACGCTACGATCGCAAGCGGACGCTAAGGGCCAACGTCGCGATGAGCGCCCCGATTATGAGCAGGTTTGATCTGTTCTTTGTTGTACTCGACGAGTGCGATGAGAAGACGGACTTGAACATCGCTAAGCATATTGTAAATGTGCATCGGTTCCAGGATGAAGCTATTAACCCGGAGTTCAGTACGGAGGCCCTGCAGCGGTACATCAGGTATGCCAGGACGTTCAACCCCAAGGTAGGAGACAACCTGATATTCGTTGGATAATACTGATTTTTGTGCAGCTAACCCCAGAGGCCGCCGATATCCTCGTAGAGAAGTACCGCATCCTCCGACAGGATGACGCAACAGGAGCAGGACGTCATTCCTACAGGATCACCGTTCGTCAACTTGAATCGATGATCCGCTTGAGCGAAGCCATCGCCCGTGCCAACTGCACAGCAGAAATCACGCCAGTCTTCGTGCGAGAAGCATACACTCTTCTGCGCCAGAGTATTATCCATGTCGAACAAGATGATATCGATTTCGATGAGGAAGAATTAGAGGGCGAGCGTGAGGCGCGGAACGTTCCTGCCAACGAGACCTCGGATGCGATTGAAGAGAGTCAAGATATCGAGATGAGCGCAGCGGAGATGGAAGCGATGGACCAGATGGAGGAGGAAAGCTCTCTGGGCATGGCCCTGAACCGCACTGCTACAAGCAGTGGTGGTGCTGGACCATCGTCAACGTCGCGCGCAGGCAGCATGGTGCCTGATATTGCACCACCGCCTGCTCCTGCTCCGAAGAGAAGGATGATCATAACGCACGACAAATACATGACGCTACAGAGCCTTGTAGTCCTGCATCTGTCTGCAGTTGAGCGTGAGACTGGACGGGGCGTTGACCGCGATGAGCTAATTGATTGGTACTTGGAGTTGAAGGAATCGGAGATTCAGGATGTGGATGAGCTGGAATATGAGAAGGAGCTCATTTCGAAGCTACTGAGGAAGTTGGTGAAGGTGAGATATTTCTGGTGGTCTTGCCTTATCGTTTTATGCTCACAACTTGATAGGACAACTACCTCATTGAGGTGCGTGGTGATGTTCAAGACTCGCTGCCAGAGTCTACGACGGATGAGTCTGCGCCGGCTCAGCCATCCAGCACTCAAGATGGGGAAAATATGAGAGTGTATTATATGGTGCATCCGTCGGTGGATACGGAGGGCACTTCGTCTGTGGCATGATTTTGTTGCCATTTTTTCGAGTATCTGGATTCTATTGGGCTCTCCTGTACAGTGTCGCCCGCTTGTTGTCTTGCTTGTTGTTTTCATTCCATTTCCCTCATCTCGGATCCAACAATTTATGACACGATGGTGATCTGCAAGATATTGGCTGGAATAGTAGTAGACAAGAAAGTATGCCGACACAACTTGAACTTGTTGCAATGGTCACGCCCAACAGCAAGGATCGACTTAGAAAATGGGTTTGTTCATCATGACCACTTTACCCCCTGTGCATCATAATAGTCGCGGTATTTCCCTAACCATGCCAGAATGGATATCTTGTTCCCATGACCTGTTGTCCCAATACTTGAAGCTCTGGAATTTATCTGCGGGATCGACAGGAGTCCGACCGTCTGGCAGGACTAGCTACTAACTGAGAGGAGCCCAGGCGTTGTAACATAACTGGCTTCCACTGGCCATCGTCGGGCGATCGAACTGGATGAAGTTATTATCGCGCTTGTAAAACACCTAGACTGCTATGGCGGACGACTCACTCATTGTACCCGTCCTGCTGGCTAACGGATCTCTTCATCACCCCAGCGTGTCATCCGATGCACTTGCCCAGGACCTTATCGGAGTACTTACTGCTCGGGAGGAAGTGGTATCTAGTGTCCTCGGAGAACTACATGATAGTGGCTGGGCGCTGCAGCTCGTTCGTAGTCAACCGAAAGTTCGTAAGTGGGAAGATGCAGAACTCAAGGTTCTCGGGGATGGTGAGTAATCCTGCGCACATGTATTGCTTGGTCTTGGAACTTAGTATCGCCACGTCCTCCGAATGACTCAGGCATCATCGACCCGTTGACTCCCATTGCTCGCTTGCTGGAACAATCAAACCATCCAGTGATAAATGCGTCTCAGAGGCACTTTTCCACGTTTCCCCTGACATCCCATTTACATTCCCCAGCACTACGTTTGGTTTCGCTACACGCGGCTCTCTCCTTGTCTCTCTCGCTTGCGCGTGTGCCCGAGATTCATGACGGGTTTATTTGGACGGTATATTATGCTCGGAGTTCGACTGTGGAGGATGTCATTCGTTCTGTGGTCGGGGATTTGGGTCTTGCTAAGAGCTTGCCCATGGCCGGAGGAGGCAACCTTGAGTATATCATTCAGGATGGCGGGTGAGGGTGATGTGTTTTTCTAATGTAATGCTCACTCATCATATTGTATACTTCCTTATTAGCTTCGAGGATCTCATCCTCATCAGTATTGTCCGACCTTATCCAGTCGTCCTTGGCAAAATCCCGCCAGAAGCCTTCATTGCGATTCTGCGTACCAGAGGAATGGTACCTTCGCCCACAAGCTCTTTTACCATCCTCCGTCCAGCCTTCCGAGGAAACCCTGAAGCGTTTTGAGGACATACAAGCAGAAGAGGATGACGCAGAGGGTACTGCAAAGCAGAATAAGTCTACTCTCGATGCAGTGACGGCGAATGCTAGCATCGCTCGATCAGCTTCTCCAGATTGGCGTGATTCACTCACGAGTCTCTTTGCATGGCAGCAGCCGGCACCTCCTGCCTCGCCACCATCATCGTCAAAGAAGCGCAAGAGTGTGAGCGATCCAGTCCTTGTCGAGCAACGGACTGGCGGAAGCATTATGTCGGTAACACAATCGATTATTCTAGAAGACGAGACACTGGAGATCGATCGAGCCGAGTTCGAACGTTGCCTCGTAAGAAAGCCTGCACTTATCTGTCTATTGCCACGGCTTCATTTAATTAACAGGACCACATGGCATTGAAAGGAGACGCAAGGGACAAGATGTATCTATTACCAGCTGCTAAGAAACGGCAGATCATTGAACAAGCACGGGCTTTCCATTCGACTCTTGACAGAAAGGCTCCTCAACCATCTCAGTCCACATATTCCACATTGGGAACTTCTGGCGGGGGAGCTTTCCTTCCTCGACTGGTTCCCCAGCTCACAGGCGACTCGGGAATACTGAAGCGCTTCTCAATGGTGACTTGGGGTACAAGCACCGCAGCGCCACCGGTTATGTCCCCCGATCTCAATCGATCCAGTGGCGAATTTGACAAAGTCACAGAGACGATGCAACCCCTGCAAGCACAGACTACTGGCAATATGTTCGGCAACTGGTGGGCGTCTTCAGGTGGAGAGAAGAATGCCGAAACAGAGAGTGCGATATCTGCAAAGCGATATGTTGATGGCTTGCGCAACATGAGGACGGATTCCAGGCTTGTCAAGCACCTCATTTCCCTCCGGGTGCATCTATCTACTGCAAAGTTACCATGGATCGAGGACTTCATCGCGGAAGATGGCATGAACGCAATGGGTGATGCGCTTGCAGCACTCGTCGGCAAGGGCGGGAAGAGAACAGTCCTAGCGGACATAGAAAGTACGGTACTACTGGAGATCATCAAATGCTTCAGGGTACTCCTCAATACTCAGGTAAACGTGATCTTCGTTTGACTAGGCCCCATAATGTCTGATCTGTTTTTAGGCTGGATTTGACAGCGTTTTGTCGTCTCCTACAATCATCACTCATGTAGCATATTCTTTTTACGGCGCCTCTCTGAGGACACGCATGCTTGCTGCCGAACTTCTTGCCGCTATTTGTGTACTCTCGTTCAATCAGGGTCACAAGGCCGTCATGGCTGCATTATCAGAATACCGCATCGCCTATGATGAACTGTACCGCTTCGAGTTTCTGGTCGCTGCTTTGCGTATATCAGACCAGAGTAACGATCCTGCAGCCAACAGTGCATCCTTACATGATGAAGATGGTATATGGGAGGCGCGAACTGCTTTCATGGCCCTCGTCAATGCCCTCACTAACTGTCCTGAATCCCTGGAAGACCGCATTCTGCTGCGCGAAGAGTTTGGGCGACGAGGCTTAAATGAAGTCATAGTGGTAAGAAATGATCTGTCTCACCATCATGCCACTTTGTACGATGACTAGAGCTATCGTCTAGACTCTCCGCTATACGAAACCGCCAGATTATCTACTGACTCAACTGGATCTTTATATGGAGGAGAAGTACGAGGATGAAGAGGATCTGCGAGAGCGAACACGAAACACCGTGTGGGGCGGTAGGGGCCACAGAAAGGAACACTCTGAATCAGACATCTTCCTGGATGATCTCCTAGAAAGCGCGAACGACGTGGGGCTCGGATCCGTATCAATGAGTATTTTGCACCGCTTGTCTTCTATCATAAAGAGTGATGCTGAATTGTAAGTCCTCTTTCAGAAAGTTGATGACATGATTTGACAGGCATAACAGGAACGTCAAAGTTGATCAACTAACTATAGTGAATACATTTTTGGATCAGATCTTCACTGCGGATGATATGTAAACGTTGGTTCGTGGTGTTTCTTGAAGCGCACTTACCCTCCGCGTAGTGACTTGGGCTGGATTCCTCTGATTACGAGGTTTCTTGAGGCAATCCGGCCTATTACTGGCCAGGATATAAGCATTGATGCCGTTGATGGTGGGATGAAGTGCGAGCTGGAAAGCCTTCGTGTCCAGATAGATGGTCTGATTCAGACGGTGTGTGTGTATCCAAGCTCGGTTTTATTAATGATCTCACATGCACAGCAAAGAACTCGGCACTCAAGACAAGGCTTGAACAACGCACAGGATCAAATCAGCAGAAGCCGAATGCTTCTAGCAAAGGAGTAAATGAGGTACGATCACTGTCATACTAGTGGTAACGGTTAAACCGATTCCGTGACAGAACAAACTTGTTCAACGGCTGATGCAGAAGGAGAAGGAAGTTACCCAACTACAGGCGGAACTTGAGCGCTTGAACTCTCAATTTCGAACAACGCGCGCGATGCTGTAGGTTATGTACACTCACTTCGCTGAACAGTTGCTTATGCATCTGATTCAGGAGGTGCAAGCAAGGAAAGAACGCGAAAGGGCAAGGCTTCACTCACTCCATGAAGAATTGAATAAACAGCAGCTTCAGGCATGTCACCCATCCATAACCTACATGTCGCCCCACTAACTCTGAATTAGTTAAGTGAGATGAATGATTCTCTTGCCGCCAAAGACAAGGAGGTTGTATACCTCAAACGCGCTCTTGAATCGGTATACTCACGCTTTCAAACGAGGCAAGAGGAAAGAGCTTCTGATATGGACGCCCAACTCATTGCGAGTCGCACCATCGAGAAAATTGTCAAGCGAGACAATGAACACACAGCACTGAAGACGGAGGTTTCAGACCTCAGGCAACTGTTGGCTGCGAAATCGACATCTATGTCAGAAATGGAGTTCAAGTCCAGGAACGCGCCCCCTCCACCTCCACCGCAAGGTTTCAAGTCCAGTGCGATTTTTGTGCAAACGCCCGAAGAAACAGATATAAGCGCAACATCGAATGCGACTGGCGTTCCTCCACCTCCACCTCCACCCCCTCCCCTACCACCACCGCCGCCACTTTCTCCATGGGCCGTTCCAAATCGTAAAGAGACCCCTACCATGGAGTTGAAGGACACCAGTCAGACAGTCTTTCACTCTTCTTCTTCTTCTTCTTCTTCTTCTTCTTCTCCTCCTCCTCCTCCTCCCCCTCCTCCACCGCCGCCGCCGCCGCCGCCTCCGCCTCCGCCTCCATCATTCCCTTCTTCAGGTTCCGCACTTTCGTCGCCTCCACCTCCACCTCCACCTCCACCTCCACCCCCGCCACTCAACGCTTCACTAGTTCAGCTACCACCAAGACCCCCCGGAGTTCCGCCTCCACCCCCACTGAGTGGATCTGCAATCAGGATAGGAAATAAAACAAAAGCCGCTGGGCCAAAACTGAAGCCCTTCTTCTGGACCAAAATCCATAATCAGAGTTGCGGCGCCACAGTGTGGGTAGAATCCACAATTTCACTGGATTTCAAGCTAGATGATCTTGAAGCAACGTTCACAATTGATAATACACCAACCTCACATTCCAAAGCCGCAAATTCCACACGGAAACAAAGTGTTACAACCCTTCTTGATATTACCCGTGCTAATAACATCGGTTAGTCCATCGTAATCGTCATAAAGCAATTGACAGATTACATTCCCTAGCTATCATGCTTTCGCGTTTTAAAATGACTCCTCTTGAAATCAGTCAAGCTCTGCTAAGTCTCGATGACAAACTGACCATCGATGACTTGAAGGCCATCAGCAAGCAGCTACCATCTCCGGAAGAGGTTCGTTATTACTGATTGCCTTCTCGCTCTACTCTGACTCTTTGAAAAGGTCGCTCGTATGAAGGATTTCCATGATGTAAGCAAGCTAGCGAAGGCCGATCAATATCTGAGTGCCGTGAGTGCCACTCGTGACTCCTTGACTTGCAATTCAAGTCAGCGTCTTAGATTATGACGATTCCAAGACTCCCGCAGCGGCTGGAGTGCATGATATATCGCCAAAAGCTAGAACTCGAGATCGAGGAAATTCGTCCGGATCTAAAAACCATTCATGATGCGTGCATAGAATTACGAGCATCTGCGCGTTTCAAGTTGATATTACGAGTGCGTTCGATACCGAATCTGTGATTCAGACCTGATGACAAGGATTCTAGGCTGTACTCACAGTTGGGAACGCATTGAATGGGTCCAGCTTTCGCGGAGGTGCCTGTGGGTTTCGCCTGGAAGCACTCATGAAGGTAAGTTCGTGACACACTTTCTTGACAATAATGTCAATGTGCATTGCGTCGCAGATGAAGGAAACAAGGACCGCAAAGGGCAGCTCAGAATGCCCCACTCTCCTGCATTATGTTACCCGAGTCCTCATTCGGTCCGATCCGTCACTTACACTTTTCATCGATGAGATGCCTAGTGTGGAATCAGCTGCTCGTAGTAAGTGGCAATTTCATTCAATATCTTTTGGAATAATCTCATGTTGTGTCTTAGTATCCTTCCCCACGTTACAACAGAACGTCAAATCTTTACTTACATCGCTGGACAAGGTTAAAGAAGAAATAAGCCTGCTGAAGCAGATTCGCACACCCTCCGATAACGACCAATTCGTGACAATTATGCAGGTGAATACTTAATTCCGAAGGAGCTCGCGTTCTAATGTCCGAGAAACGCTAGCCGTTTACCCTCGAAGTGGCACAAAGCGTCGACGCGCTCAATAAAATGGCTGCCCTCGTTGAAATAGACTTACGAGCTCTCTTCTCTTACTATGGCGAAGACCTGGATTCGCCGGAGGGACCGAAGCCAGATGACTTTTTCGGGATGATCTGTTCATTTTCATCATCCTTACAGGTATGCATCATTTGTAGTTCCTGGGCAGTTATGCTTCAATTTATTGGCCAGAAAGCCGCTTTGGAAATGCACGATACACAGAAGAAGGCCCCTCATTTGGCTCAGGGGAAGACGTCGTCTTCGCTGCAAAGTAACTCCGAAGAGGTGAGAGGACCTATGTTGGGCTTTGTATTTCCATGGTTCATCACCACCCAGACTGTCAAGGTACAGCATGATCCCTCACACGATTTACTTATACCCTCTGCCGGCATACACGAACGTTCAACATCTATTGGTCGCGGTAACTTCGATGAAGCCATACGCTCTTTGAGGGAAGGCCGTAAAAGATGTCGAGCTCCTCGTTCTATCGCCAGAGCGAACAAAATTTTTCTTGATGGACGACCCGACCCTTCGTAATAGTATCCTTGGCGATTGAAAAGCTTTACCTTAAATTACGTGCCACTGGGCTTGGATTGATGATGTCTTCATTGAACGATAGGTACAAGAAACACATCATTTGATTGATCTGAGCTTCTATACTCTACAGATACACGCGTCGTAGTACGATTGCGGAATGATTGATAACGAACGGTTAGGGGTCTTAATCCTTCAAAAGTTGACGGAGCCCGATGAAGGTTTCGCTATCAACCGCTCTGTTATTCCCACTCTTTTGTAAGGCCCTCCTTTTTTTCTCTTTATCAGCAGCCGTGGGACGAAATACTCCTGAAGACAGGACAAGAATATAACCACTGAGTTCTGAGATAGGCTGGATTTTTCACAGCATCTGATGACTTTAACAACATGCATGCTCTTTGATCTGCCTAGCCGACTAGAGGTCATTAAGAGGAACCGACGAAGCAACTTTGGCATACGATATCGACAAATGAATGCATCGAGGCAATGAACAAGGAAGTCGAAACACTCCCTCAAGGCTTCGGCGTTCAGTAGTGAACTCCGAGGTGGAGTGTCCAATTATTTAATCGATACAAGCACTCTGCTCGCCTGCGGACGGTCTCTCAGGGTCTGGTCACCTGCCGCAGTAATTAGGCGAGCATTTGATGAAATATCGGGCGGCGCTGTTCTACCACCGAATGTGAAAATAGAGGCAGGAAGATCACTGCTTCTATGGCATCCTCTACCCCTGTAGGAAGAGGCACAAATCCGTCCATTTTCCAAAACGTTTCTTGTTGTGGGTATGGAGTTGCGTTTTGAATACCCACATGATACCATGGCCCAAAGATCAGCTGAGTGATCTCGCACATCTCTGGGCCAAAGTGGAGCATGAAAGGGACTCCAGTGGAGCGTGCGCACGATACCAATTGAAAATTGCTCCGTTCATGATGGGTATCCGAGTCAGGCCTGGGGGTACGGCTTATACATAGTCCACGATAAGTTGATTACAGTCAAACGATGATGGCTGTTATCAAGGTATGAGACGGGGAACGGACAGTAATCGCAACCCAATCCTACACGTCACAGAACAAGGAGTTGTCCTTCTAAATGGAGATTCGAATGTATTGAAACGTCATTTGGTCCCAGCTGCTAAGCCAGTGACAAGAACATGCCGTTTCTTGGTGACACCATGAACAGAGGTTCAGAGATGAAAGTATAGAGGCTAGAGCGCTGCAAGCGTGATAGTAAATACAGGTGCCTCGTGGTCAGTGACAGCCTAGGAAAAATAGAATGTAATTAAGGGGAAAGAATTCCTAGTACCTGAGGGACCTCAATGTTCCGATTCAGACGGGGCCCCGGGGAGACAGCTTCGTGAACCCTTACAAGGTTCAGGGACATGTTGACAGTGTAAAATGCCACAGGGTCGCGGGGATTATAACATGAGCGCCCATTAGACTATTCCTGAATTGAATCGCCGTCTTGTCTCTTCTGAAGTTCCGTGTCGAGTCTCAACGAAGGACTCTGAATCCAATATGTGACCGATGAGTCAAGAGTCAACGTGTGCGAGAAGATATCCTGGAGGTTGGATGGCGCCCTCCTGTGGCGCCACTGGGCTCAAGGTAAGGTTGTGTCAGATGCCTGTGATGGCAGTCGACACTGTTTACATGATTAATGTCATGCGCCCTCAAATCGATTAAGTATTAATATAAATAATATTGATATTCTCAGCGTAACCGAAACGCGCACTGCAATAAGTATTCGCCGAACGGCGCTGATTTCATCAATGCATCATTAATCATTCACATTGATCGATGAACCTGTGTGTTCACGTAACAACCATCAGGCTTTAGGGCTCGAACATATGAAGGAGAGGTAGCCCGCAGACGACGACAGCGTTCTTCATATTCGTCATGCCCACAGTTACGCTAAACACAAATCATTTTAACCTCGATGTCGGTGGCTTCGCAGGGTTCTTTGGAGGCGAAGAGGCGGTCTCCGCAATGGAGACTGTGCATCTCTACAGAGCAAGGCGGTGGACAGGCTGGTTCAATTCCCCGGGCAGCTACAGTGTTGGCAAGCACTATGGCCAGCTTGCCAATTCTCGTTTTTGGGACGGAATGTTTCCAGGACCCAATGTAGAGCCCACCGTGTACATAGGGATGGATGGACAGTCCGGCCCTATGTATTTCGCATCCCAGTCCGGCACGTTCCTAAAGCAAACGGGTCACCTTGCATACCTGTTAATGCAGAAATGCAAAGACCAACGAGCCGTGATAGTAGAGGGACGAAGGACAAGGGCTAATAAAGTTACCATCTTGGAAATGCCAGACATCAAGTTCGACGCTGCTACCGAGACTAGCCTAAATATCCATGCCCGAGATGGTTTCCACAAACACGTCGCATTGTTCCCTATCGCCACTAGCGTCGCAACATGCATACTTTGTGCGTGGGGCGATGACTGGTATTGCTTCTCCTTGATCCTCCTCGGCATTCTCATCAACGGCATTTCGTGTTTTGTCATTGGCTCTGCATCCATAGTCCTCCAGAGTGTCGCCTCCTCTAAAAATGCACCGCCAGGTGATGGCATGTTGATGGATGGAAATCATGTGATCGTCGTCCTTGGAAAAGAGAAGAATGTTCTTGCCATCACGCAGGGCAAATTCCAATTGGAGTACGAGCCCTGGGTCCGTAGGCGTATGAGGAAGAGGAGAACTCGAGCCATTGTAGGGGATGGGATCCATAACGTTCACCACTGGTTTGGAAAAAAAGATGCAGAGAGCGGCTCGGAGGTGCAGAGTGATGAAGACGCCGAGATCAATAACGAATACGCAGCGATCGGGTTCTGCTCACTCCTCCTAGTCATTCAATTTTTGACGCAGTTGCTCCTGATACCACAGGGCAAACTATTTGGGCAGGTCATGTTCCTAACGTCCTTCGCTGTGTCATGGGCGTACAATCTCTTCTTGTCGTCCATGGACAAAGAATACCTGCAGGAGGAACGGCTCGTCCAGGCGTTGAATTTGACGGATGATCACATGAAGACGTACAAACTGGGCACAAGAACGGCCGCAGCGGTTTTCGCATGCCTAGCCCTTCAGCCCGACTGCGAGCACGGAGAATGGGAGAACAGAGGTTTTAAGCCACAAGAGATTCTTCGACAGTTCATTCCAAACGAGACACACGTATGGGCGGTCTGGAGAGACCAGGTCTTGGAACAGATGAGAAGCGACAAGTCGTCCTTGCAATCATTTGATCTTCAGGCTTGCGGTAACCGCATAGCTGCATTCAACGATGTCGACAAGAACTTGCTGAGCGACTTGCTCTCGGACGCTCGCACTGCATACCAGCAGTATTTGATATTGCAGGTTCGGAGACGCAGCTTGATTGGGAGTATTTCGAGTAGTGTAAAAGCGGAGGCATGGTGAGATGCTAGTCTTAGGAGTTATTTCGGTCCTCCGCGCGTACAGTGCTGTGATATCGTCACGAAGGCGCGCCCCTGTTTTGTCTAATATTGCTAGTACACTTTATGAACCCATAATTCGAGTTAACCTTGAGATTACCAATCACGTCCCCGACTCTTCAGCTGAGACTGCTGAGCTTGAACTTGAAGGGCGACAATGAGGTAGCCTGACTCGGATGGGCCGCTAGCCTGCCCCACCTCTGTCGTCTCCGGCTTTCTTTAACTAGCTTGCACGACGATATCTATGTAGATATCTCGGATCTACGTACCGTTTCGTAATTCCCTCCAGCTCATTTATCACAATTAATCAAGGCTCTTTGCAGACTTTAACAGACTGGTTGGTTGACAGACAGTTGAGCCGGGTTGACTGCAGAAAATTTCGCTTGCTTGGCAGCGTGGTCTCTTCCCAGCTTTCTCCACTATCCTTGGGTCTTTCCGTCTAGTTCCTTCAACCTGTCACATCGGACCCGGCAAGAGAACTGCCTGGCGACATTTCGATCCCAATGAGTCACCAACCAAAGCTGGGATAGAGACATCGCTACAGCGCCATGCACAATACTTTTTTGGTGGTGCGATTTTTAAATTTGGATACAATTTCACTTCAACTTCGTTCTTTGAATCTTTTTGGTGTTCGCTGATCAGTTTCATACATTCATATTTCGTGGACAACATTCCCTTTTGATAAATGCTGTTTCTTTCGATGTCGACCATTCATCTACGTCCTTTGCTGGTCTCGGTCGATCCTTGGTGCTAGTATGTACTACTCTTCTCGTTACAGCCTCTTCTCTTAATATTTTTGATCGTATCAGCTTGTGCAGTCGGAACCATTCATTTATTTCCTACCACGAGCATGACACAGGCGGCACTTCCCGCTGCAGGATTCCTCCAGCGGACATTGTGCCCACATCGTTTACCAGATAGCGTCCAATGTGAATCCACCATACAATCGAACAGAGAATAAATCTTGCTAAACCAGTACCTATTTCTAGGTCCTGGAATCAACATTTCTTTATCGCACTCAGTAGTACGGCCCAAGTAGTTTGATACTGTAGCATAGGAATTCATGAATCATAGCATGGGGTTCATAATCGTAGCTGTAAATATGGGTACAACAAGGGTATATAAGTGGTAGCGACACAGCCGTCAGGTTTCAGTGCACGATGACATTTTCAAGAGCCCTAAAATTAACGGACCCAGAAGATGCGTGAGCGATGATACGAGTGGTGGTTCCAACCCTCCGCCAAGGCTGCTTATCACCAAGCGAATAAAGAAGTTGAGCAACAAACGGTTCTTGCATCCTCCGAATCAATGCAGCAGCAGTACTGTGGGTGACCATGTCGGTCACAAAGTCGGCGACGAGCTCCTTGGATCTGCCGACCCAACTTTCCTTGTCCTTGTCCTTGTCCTTCTCTTTTTCCTTGTCCTTCCCCTTTCCCTTCTCTTTTTCCTTGTCCTGCTTCGGTGAGTCCTCTGTTGTGGGCGGCTCGGGAGAATCAGGGTTATCAACAGTCGGAGCATCAGGAGCCTCGCTGTCTGTGCTTCCCTGACGTTGAATAAGACTCGCTTCCCACATTCGCACGATGCGGTATTTGACAGTTAGTTTCTTTCCATATAAAGGAGCTAGCTGCTGCGTGACGGTGACTTCGAGCTCCGAGAGGCCCTCAGCTTTGACGAGATAGCTGAAGACGCCGGGATTGTTTTGGTTTGGGACAAGGGTGACCACTTCGTGAACGAAAAAGGGCATGCTCATTCTCCCATTCGCAATGAAACGTCCGTGAGGCGGGTTGCTCAAAACGTCCTTGACGAGCTTGAGAGCCGAAGAAGACAAGCCACTTGTGATACGCTTCGAAGTTTTTAGCAATCTGAATTCGAATTTCGATGAAGCGGAGTCCTGTCGAGCATCATAAGACGGGGTCATAAAGCACCTCGGGTGTGCAGCGAAGTAACTGTGAAGGTTCGATGATTCTCCCAACCAATCAAAGAGTGAGAGATCGTCGGTAAGTGCCATGATCTCCTTCTGAAGCCGCACGAAGGCGTTATGTTTCTCCCCGTACATTACAGGCATGTGGATGCCGAAAATACCTATCAATGGCGTTAGAACAATTCATCAATTATGACGACGCTTACCCATGAGGCAGTAGGCAATGTCTTCGATCTTCTTGGTTGTTCTAGTGCCCACCCAACTCAAACGCTTCTTGACATTGTCGACGCCGGGTTGGAATACCTTCAAAACGTCGATATCGATGCGAGTGATGTCGTGGAGAACGGTGAGAAGTTCAACTTTGTGATTCTTATTAGAATCGATGAGTGGCTGCCAATCCTGCTTGTAGAATTTAATAAATTGAGGTGCGAGGAGCTCCTGCAACGTCCAGCCTCTCTTGAACCACTGACTGTCCTTCAACTGCGAAATATCAGAAACGTCTGCAAGGTAAACGATAGTGATTGCCGAATCCTTGTACCAAGAAAACATAGAGATGATGGATTCTTGAAGCTCGGCGTTGTTCGTCTTATCGATACAACACGTATCGCTCCACGCCCATCGGTAGCCTTCTCTCTTCGAGGTAGTACAGAATTGTTGCAGCTTGCAGATTTCCCGTGGGGCATCCATCTCGTAGATATTGCCCTTGATCTGCCAATACTGGGGTTCGTCCTTCGCGCTTGCCCACTTGTGGGAAAGCATCGCGTATCGAAAGAATTCGTTAACTTTGCGCCGGAGCTTTGACACGGAGGTGGACAGAAGATTCTCATAGAGTCGTTGGTACTCCTCCGACTCTTTGAAAATTCCCTCGAGGTCATTGTTGGTGTGTAGGATGCCGCTGTGGGTGTCTATCAGGCGAAGAGGTATATTCGCTAATTTATCGTCGATTATGTTCTGGAAAGTCTCCCGTAGGTTCTTGAGGGTAACCTCGGGGTCTTCAACAGGGCTGTCGGCTCTGTCGGCATCCTCCACAGTGCTAGCAAACTCTTGGGCGGGGGCGTCTGAAGATGGGGACATGGATTGCATTTCTGCCTCTTGCGGGGATTCTGTCAATATGGACAAGGAATCTTGGCGAAGTGATTCGTCTTGTGGGAGTTCTGTCGCTATGGGTAAGGGATCTTGGCGAGGCAATTCGTCTTGCATGTTTGTTTCGTCTTGCGTGTCTGTTCCGTCTTGCGTGTCTGTTCCGTCTTGCGTGTCTGTTTCGTCTTGCGTGCTTGTTTCATCTTGCGTGCTTATTTCGTCTTGCGTGTTTGGTTCGTCTTGCAAGTCTCTTGTTTCTTCTCCTTGAGCGCCTTCCGGGGCGGGCGTCGAGTTGTCCTCGATGCCGTCTACGGGGGCTTCAAGTTCCTGCATTCGAACATTGGCAAGGACACATCGCAAGCAGCAGGATTCACACCTGGGTAGTGTTATCATCGGTGGTTCGTAGCGTTGACCTGCGAATGAAATTGAAACGACTGGGGGAAAACTCAGAATCGCGATGTCTACAGTTCGGGAAACGGACCTTGATTTTTTACCACTAGAAGTCACCGTCACTTGAGATGGGCTTGTATATCAGAGAAATGACACTCACGCTTTGTCGACGCCCATAGCGGATAGCGCAAGGCGAATTTGTTCAAGGAGGAGAGGTGCGCCAGTCTAGTAGCAAGCGTGACGAGATGCATTTATACGTCTAACGGCATCTCGCCCACCCCACTGACGTTAAGGAACAAAGTTTTCGGAAGAATAACCGCCACGGAATCGCAATTGGTGGCTGAAATCTATCTGATATTGATAGGAGAAAGTGATGTTCCTCGGGTGGCAATAACAACGTAGTTGGTTTGTGCAGTAGCCATCATAACAATCAGACAATGTCTTGGAAAAAACACAGCCAAAGATTGATACGATCAAAAACTTTACCCAATTCTTATGAGATGTTGTTTTGACATGCATGATTAGGGATTCTGTGACAGAGGGTGGTTGCCAATCTGTGATGGTAAGTGTGTACGCACAGCATGCGGATCGTAACTACTGACCAAGAATAGCCTTATCGAAAGCGGCTGTTATGGGCGTCTGCAACTTGATGCGGTGCGACAAAGTCCTGGCAGAAATGGCATCTTACATATACCGGTCATAAGGTGCATCGTGTTTGAATACACGTAAAAGAATAGATCTCAAGGTTGGTCCCACGCTTAGGGCAGTGCCTGATGCCTAGGCCACTGGGATACAGATAGGGGACATCCTTTAATAATGACAGCAAGAGCGTGAGTAGATGTAAAGAAGGGTGGTAAAAGTTGACCAGGAGTGTGAAGGTGTTGCTCTGTGAACTGTCATTGTTGTACGTTGAGTGGAGATGTGGCATCACATCGGGAGACACAATTCAAAAGTAATTCAAAAAACTGGTCGACCTAGAGACATTGTTCTCATGAGAAGAGATGCTGGCTGTACGTTCGAACACACACCTGAACTGACTGGGCGACAACGCAATTCTTCCCATTAGAGCCCCATGAGTCGTCACACATTCGATAATTCCAGACGTCGATGACCGTTTCTCCTGCCGTGTGCTTACCATGCAACTCCACATCCACTCTAAAACGTCGAGCTTCAAAGAGCTCGGGATGGGACACATATGTGATGGTTAGTGCATCATGGAGAGGAGGACCTCGATCGAAACCAAATGTTGACTTGTACGTTCCTGCGAAAAAACTGATGACGGAAGACAGTGTGCTTCGGAGATTGGTAGATGGATGTGCCAGCACGTCATCCAGAAGAGGTAGATGGGTTGATCTCAGGCGGGAATGGATGGCTGAAGTGACAATCGCCGTGTGTGTAACATTGATGGGTATCATGACAGTCTTAACTGGAGCATCGAGGACAATCTGAGCCGCCTCAGCTGATAGAGGATCAGGACAAGTATCATAACATATTTCAATAGGACACGCACGGTCACACATAATATTGAACTCTATACAGTCATCGTAAGGATTGGTCCTTCAAGTACAACAACATGTTACATACCTGCGACGGCAGATCTATTGCCAACGCCCACGCCTCCACCCATAAATACAAACCGCTCCACTGCTTCCATAAGGTTTGGATAGACGCTGATAAATAGGGCAATGTTCGTCATCGGTCCGGAAGAGACGACTGACACTTGATGTCCAGTACCATCATGCCATGTGTCCTTGATCGCTGTTGCCATCCCCTCAATGGCATGGATCAATGACCCATCAACTTTCCGAGCGAATCGTGCCTGAACTTCAGGACTATCAGCTGAAGGGAGCCCTACAACACCTCCTAGGCCATCTTCTCCGTGAATTTCAGGGTCGTGTTTTGAGGGTCGAAGTAACGGCTTGCATGCGCCAGGATATACTAGAACATCAGAAGGTGCAGCAAATGCGTGCAGACACCTTGCGGTGTTCTTGGCAGTGCACTCAGCGGGCGCATTGCCGTGAACCTAGGCAACTTGCTTGAAAAAGGACCTGTCCGGCAGAAAGCCGCTTTACACACACTGGATACTCCAAGGAGCTTGATATTCTCTAATTGACAGGCCATCATAATTGCAGTGGCATCATCATGTCCCTGGATAAGGCGTTTCCTCAGCACGTCCACGTCAAACGAGAGCAAATGGTCAATCGCGTACCGGATCTACATCTAACCAGACATAATTCAAAGTCATTTTCTTCTAGTTTCAGTTGGACTGAACGGGGTCGATTGTAGTAAGGGCAACAACAGTGATCAGCAATCTGACTGATAAGAAGCAAAAGTTAATGGAGTCGGTCTATGTCTGTATCTAAAACCCGCCAGACGGAACGGACGTCGTCGATAGCGATCTACCGTAAATCACTGAGGTCGTACCAGTTTGTCTGACTCTGTGGGCACAGACTTTCCTGTTGCACAAGATAAACAAGTTGAAAATGGCGCAATTGAAAAGGTGAAAGACTCTGAGACTCAGAGAGAGCTTCCACATCTGATTATCAAGATCATGTTGGTTGTTTCCAAATGCTCATCGACCCTAACAGCGACAAACAACGTCTGCATTTCCGACTCTAAGTCGCAGAGAGCAGAGTCACTAATTTATACGCCCAGTCACATCCGAAATGTCAAGTCAAGTAAACAGCAAGGAGGAAGAAGAGGTAGCGCCCCTTCAGCGGCCACCGTCTCCCCCTCTTCATACAACATTCGCTGCTCGCGGTCTGCATGTGGGTGTAGAGGACTTTGCGTATCCCAAAGAACCTTGCATTGTTAATGTACTCCATTGAATCAGGCACAAAACTTTCCAGCGCATAAACCGCGTGATCTACGTATACCGTCGCCTCAAGCTATAACTCATGTAGCGTGGAGTTGCGATGGGAAGCGTTTAGCCGGTGTTGGTATCGACAAAATCACTCGGATCTGGACTCCAGAAACTAGTGTACGTACTATACGTTCAACATCTCGTCGCGAGTCACACTCTGCATCCTAATCATAGATGGAATCAAGAGCTGCAACCCACTTTTCTGGCGGCCACTCCGATGACGTTGACTATATATCATGGAATCCCACTCATCCAGAGTTATTTTGTACGTCGAGTCAGAAGGATAGAAGGATTGTATTCTGGGATGCGCGGCGTAAGTCTTATATGTCTCGCACACATTGTGAATAACCCTTACAGAACTCAAGAAAGTCGGCACACGCAGCAAATAATTCTAAAAATCTCACCCGTGCAGACAAATTACTCTCCGGACGGCCGGGCTTTGATATTCACTTCAGCTGGGCACCAGCTCTTTTTCTTAACATACGGGAAAGATGGTGATGCAGCAAAAACGCAGTGGCATCTCTCAGATAAGGACGGGGTTTGTTCCACATTGTCTCCATCATGTAACAAGTCACTGACATCTTTCGATAGAGCATTGTCGCATCCACCGCCATGTTCAATCATGTCGGCGATGGTATAATTCTGACACATCATTCTGAGCATAGCGTTCGGGTCATGGACTATCCAACGCTGACCCTTAGAGAAAGCCCTGCCGCTCATGTCGGAGGCTGTGTCGCAGTGGCGCTTGATCCCCGGGGGAGGTGCGTATTAACTGTTACGTGGTCTAATCGACATGCACTAACGTTGGCTTCAGATATCTTGCGTCTGGTGGCTACGACTCGATTGTTAACATGTTCGATCTGAGTGAATGGATATGTGTACGGACAATCTCCACTTGCGAGTGAGTAGATCGAAACACGTCACTCCCTCCACTCACTTGATTTCTTTAGAAATGCGATTAATGCATTAAGTTTCTCGTATGATGGAGAGTACCTCGCTATTGCAAATACAGGATCCTACATCGACATAGTAAGGACTCGGCTTTTAGCCATTTATCCGCTTCTAACATGATCTGGGCCCAATAGTGTGCAACAGAGACGGATACCCCATTGCATCGTGTTCCTGCATTGGCGCCGTCACCTACAGTGACGTGGCATCCTTCAAAATACGTCTTTGCTTATTGTGGGCAAACAAAGCTCCGGGAGGGTGGGCCTCCTCCTGTGGCTGTTATCAGCCTATTTGGGGGTGGGATTTGACAGGCGAGCTTTGGAATTATCATCACTCACGTCGTTGATTCGCCACACTTGTATGAGTTCTTTCGATTCTGTACGAAAATGTGACGACTAGCCAGGGTTGAAAGGCCCATCAGCGTGTTCCAAAAGGCTGGCGTCTGATAATATCCTGTAGGCGCAATGGTTTTCTCCTCCCGAGAAACATGCGTTCAATCAGATCCCTTTGTGATGGATGGTCTTTGTAGTTGCACAGGAATTTTCGAGCTTCTTTCACACATGGGGCGAGTGTCCTTGTAGTCGTGATGGAACAGTCCATCAGAGTGATTCCAAAGATGTGGAATCCTGTGGAATCGTGCGATGTTTCGGCGCTCAGTTCGCAGTGCCTTTGAGGCCCTGAGATCAGATGATCAATATATTCATTTCGTAAGGCTGCCTCGAGGACGCTTAAGTTCTCCCAGGAGCCACAATCCTTAGTAAGTTAACGCAATGAACGGAGCTCACGCTGATATTTGAAGATCTGCGCAAGCATGCTGTGAATTTACCGTCACATCTCTGACGTCCACAACAATGTACGTGGTCCCACTGATTAATACCGGTTCATTCTCACTTGACGCGGCCGGTGTTGCCGGTTTTTTCGGCGGCGATGAAACACTCTCAGCCATGGCTACCGTACATCTATACCGCGGCCGAAGATGGCTGGGGTGGTACAACTCTCCAGGGAGCTATACGGTCGCCAAAAGATACGGCCAGTTAGCCAACTCCCGATTCTGGGATGGACTGTTCCCAGGTCCAAATTTCGAACCAGCTGAAACATTTGGCCTGGATGGCAAGCCTGGGCCGCGATACGTCGCTTCGCTGTCTGGTACAGATATGGCGACGGGGCACCTTGCATACCTCGCGATACAGATAAGCAGGGAATTGAAGGGTATGGCAGTTCGGGGCGAAAGCAGCACGGAGACGTTACCTGCAGCAGTGACTGTTATCCGCGTTGGAGATGTCACGGATATGCGTCGAGTGGGGAAGATGAGCATACATCACGCACTACTAGCCACAATACCCATAACCATCAGCATCGCAGCGTGCTTCTCATGTGCTATTGTCAACGACTGGCTTGCCTTCAGCCTTATCCTTCTCGGAATCATTTCAAGTGGCATAACCTGCCTCGTGATCGGTACTGCGAGGCTTCGTCTTCAGGCACCCACAAACGTGACCCCGGGGGTCCCCCCAGGGGATGGATTGCTTCTAACTCCGCGCGATGTCGTCGTCCTGAAAGGGTCGGAGAAAGATGTGAATGTGATAACGAAGGGGCATTTCGAGCTTGACATGCATGGTGGAAAAGAGTATCGGAGCGTTGGACTGTGCTCGCTCCTCTTGCTGGCACAATTCCTGTTACAGCTCCTCTTGATCCCTCAAGCGACACTCTTCGGTCAGGTCATGTTTCTTTCCTCGCTTGCGGCGTCTTGGGCCTACAACTCGTTCCTGTCTTCCCTTGAAAGCGAAAAAATACAAGGAGATCTACTTTGCAAGGTGCTGCGGGTTGAAGAAGGCTCCATCCAGAAATATTATATCCACAATAGGAGGAGCCAGGCTGTTTTCGCCTGCTCTATTCTCAGTGATGGAATAGAGACAGACGAAGACTTTGACGCGGAGCGTATGTTATCGTTGTTCGTACCGAACAAGACGAGGGTTTGGAATCTCTGGAGAAAAAAGGTTGCAGCGCAGTTGAAATCTACCTGCCCGGACAAAAAAATTCATGTAACAGCAGAGGAGAAGGAGGGTTTGTGCGAAGAACAACGCAAGTTGCTGGATACCTTCCTAGATGATGCCCAGCGTGCGTTTAAGGCTTACCGGGAGCGCGCTGGTGGTTTGCGTTACTTTAACAGCTCCCAGAGTTGGGAGGCAAAAGATGTATGAATAACCGGTATGCATGGCTGTACTTATCGCTTAGAAGGTCTCCTTACCTATGATCGCATTTCATACTCATCATACTGTAGATATCAAAGAATTAGAAAGATTAACTGTCCGACAGGATGCGGGCTTGGCACGTCAGGATCCGAAGGGCAGAGCGTAGGTTGGAATACCAATGCGCTCAGTACGCAAGCGCGCGAAGCTAGATATAAGCAAGGAAGTCCGGTGAGCGACAGTGTAACTAGCATGCCAACTATGTCTCAATATCCAATTTGAGAAAGTTCAAGTTGGATGTATCTCATCTCCACAAGCGGCACCAGTAGCAGGTTTGACTCCCTTGAGGACGACCCAAGGAGTCATCGCGAAGCAGCACCAGTCGTGGTCATACGCGCACAATAGAGATGGGTATCCCGGCCAGCAATCTTTATGATCTAAGACTTTAGATATCGTGGTCAGAGTCTGCGCTGTATGGATATTATTTATTGCAGTTGTAGATTGTTGTCCATTCTACTTACAAGGACTCGTTGTCGCTACTTACTACTCACCCACTCGACTTCAAGTCTGCAGTGGTCGAAGCTAGACACGAAGTAAGTCTCAGCGGGACGTGAAAGCAACGCTATATTTTATCTCTACCTAGACACGAAGTAAGTCTGGGTAATTACGCGTCAGCAAAACTAAGTATGAATAACAAGATCATGCATACCGTGAAAGCAACGCATGAGGTAAACTGCGGGGAAGAATTTACGTATTAGGCGTCAAGAAGTCCGAATCGGAGAGAAGCAATCGGCTATAGGTTGAACCACATACGGGAGGACTGCACGAGGTGGCGAATTCTACTACTAGTAGTACTACCACGGATACTCGTACGTCAAAAAATTCTCACCATCTCAAATTGACGCATAGTCAGACTGGTTACGAGTCTAGGGATTCGTACCGTGCGGAGACTTACTTCCCTTCTTATCGCCAACAGTCCGTGGTGTATTATAAGCCAGGCTGGTCATGAGCCTACCTGGGTTCGGTTATATTACATTGAGGAAATGAGGTTGATTGAGTAGTTTTATAACTAATGGTTAGGTTGAAATGCCTGCCTTCACTGTGCCAATCAACCAGTCGAATATCAATCTCGATACATCGGGCGTCGCTGGATTCTTCGGTGGGGATGAAGCGATCTCAGCGATGGCCACTGTCCATCTCTACCGCGGGAGGCGCTGGCTAGGCTGGTATAACTCACCAGGAAGTTACATTGTCGCCAAGAAGTTCGGGCAGCTCGCGAAGTCGCGATTTTGGGATGGCCTTTTCCCTGGCCCAAATCTAACACCAGCTGAGGTGTTTGGGCTGGATGGAAAACCCGGCCCTCGTTATTGGGGTGTTTTGTCGGGCACGGATATGCCCGCTGGTCACCTGGCATACCTTGTGGTGCAGAAGACGAAAGAAGTTGAGGAAGTGGTAGTATTGAGAGGAAGGGAGACTACACCTCTAACAGTCACCATCGTCGATGTCGGAGATGTGATACTTAGGCACTCGGACCAGGCGCCAGTGATGAGCATCCATCATGCTCTCCTGGCTGCTATCCCCATTACCATCAATTTCGCAACGTGCGTGCTTTGCGCGGCTTCGGGGGACTGGCTAGCCTTTGCTCTCATCCTGCTGGGAGTCATTTCAGGCGGGACATCTTGCTTTGTCATCGGCTCTGCTCAACTCGATTTTCTTGCCGGCGTGAAGGAACCCTCTCCAGGCACGCCGCCTGCAGACGGATTACTTCTGATGCGAAACGACGTTGTTATTATCAGAGGTGCAGAGAAAGACATCAATCCAATCACGAAAGGCCAATTTGCCCTGAAGATGAACGGCGGCCCAGAGTACAGACGAATTGGACTGTGCTCGCTTCTCCTCCTCGCGCAGTTCCTTCTCCAGCTCCTTTTCATTCCTCAGGCATCGACATTTGGGCAGATCATGTTCATGTCATCGGTTGCAGCCTCATGGACATATAACTCATTTCTGTCCTCGTTGGAGCCAGAGAAGATACAACTCAATATCCTCTGGAAAGCGCTTGACAATCCACGACTATTGAAATTTGAGCTCAAAAACAGAGCTAGTCAGGCAGTTTTTGCATGCCTGGTCCTCGGTAATGGCCCCCAAAGGCCATCTGTTGACTTCAAACCAAAGAAAGTCTTGCAACGTTTCCTCTCGAACGACACAAGGGTATGGAATGTATGGAGAGACAAAGTGACGGAGCAGCTGGAAAATAACAAGAAAGAAAAGTCGTTCAACCTTAGCTCTAGGGATTTGGAAGGGTTCGCAGTTCATGAAAGGGCCCTCCTGGAGTCATTGCTTCAAGACGCACGCGACGCGTATACAGGTTACCAGGAATGGGTACATAAGATTAGTGACAATAGCTACATCTCTGAGAAACAAGTACGTCGGCCGGACTATGTTGTTCAAAGTCGTGTTTAATACTTGTTGTAACGTACGTACCACCTGTTCAGAAGCCATCCAACCTAAGCCGCATGCTGCTATGACGCTCCAAATGCCACTTTAATAAATTGCGTGATACACAACATCGAACGCGCGATACAACATCGAGTGCGTGATACACAACAACGGAGTGCACAACACACAGCCCACAAGCGTTGTGTTCCAAAACTTAGCATCAACTTATCACAGGAAGAGTTTGGTCAAGGTGGCAAGGTATAGGCAGTGGAAGCTGCATAATTATTGTACTAGAAAAGATACTAAGTAGATGGTGGCAACCCTCCCAGCAACTTCGTTGTTGTCGAGTGCTTAGGCTCCATCGCAAACTCTCGGGTCTGGAACGCACTTTTCTCAGCAAACTTCACTGCATGTGTACTGTGCGTGTATAACCACGACTGGTGGTGCATCACGATGACTCTTTGGGTCGTCCCTAAGGGAGTCAAGCCTGCGAGTGGTGCCGCTTGTGGAGATGGGATACTGGTAGATGACAATTCAAGCCACATTGTCATTTTGAAGGGAGAAATAAGTCGACGAGGTTCCAGAAGGGAGGGTTTGCCTCGAATTTCTCCCGATAGTGTGGATGCAGAAGAGAAGCCCAAATGACACCTTTGGTGCACTAACCTTGGATCCAGAGAATGTACTGGAAGAGGAGGACGTAAAGATTATGAGAAATCGTCTGGGCGTGAAGAATACAGAAGCATTGGACTGATGTTCCTGTCATCGTCCATAATCTCCTGGGTCTGCAACCTGTACTTGTTCTCCCTTGACACGGAAAAGTTCCGACAGCAGCTACTGTTCAGGACGTCGAGGGTAGGACACATGGGCTATGCACAAGACCGACAGCTGCAGTATTCGCAACACTTGTCCTACGACCGCATCCTGAATCCGCTTCCGCGTTTGAGGCAGTCGAGCTCCTGTTTCCTGCTGAATGAAACTGCGGTGTGAAATACGTGAAGAAAGCACATAGGAATGCATATTAGAACCACCAACTACGTAGGCTCGAGGGAGGAAAACCTGAAGTGCCTGAAAACATACGATGATGCAGAACTCAGAATTGAAGAGTGCTCGAGGATTGAGCTCACGGGTTCTCAATAACAAGGAGAGCTCCACAAAAAGTCGGCATGGAACAGCCGGTCCCTAGGCATTTACCACGTCTAGTCACCTGCTAGTGATTGATCAGGGCGGGATGATTCGAGAGCTTGGTCGATATATGACCGTACGTGATAGGCACCTCACTAGTAGTTGCTGGACATTCGTGCGCTGTGTGGATATTATTTATTGTAGTTGTAGATTGTTGTGCAGTCTAATACTACCGTGACTTACACGATTCGTCGTCCGACGTTACTTGAATGGTTTTGGCCACCGTAAGTCCCTAAATGAAAATTCCCACCAGGTTCCCGGGCCTGTGTTCACATGGAGAAAATGAGATCGATTGAGTTGCTTTATAACTAATGGTTAGGTTGAAATGCCTGCCTTCACTGTGCCAATCAACCAGTCGAATATCAATCTCGATACATCGGGCGTCGCTGGATTCTTCGGTGGGGATGAAGCGATCTCAGCGATGGCCACTGTCCATCTCTACCGTGGGAGGCGCTGGCTAGGCTGGTATAATTCACCAGGAAGTTACATTGTCGCCAAGAAGTTCGGGCAGCTCGCTAATTCGCGATTTTGGGATGGTCTCTTCCCTGGCCCAAATCTAACACCAGCTGAGGTGTTTGGACTGGATGGAAAACCCGGCCCCCGTTATTGGGGCGTTTTATCGGGCACGGATATGCCTGCTGGTCACCTGGCATACCTTGTGGTGCAGAAGACGAAAGAAGTTGATGAAGTGTTAGTGTTAGGAGGAAGGGAGACTATACCTCTAACGGTCACCATCATCGATGTCGGAGATGTGATGCTCAGGCACTCGAACCAGGCGCCAGTGATGAGCATCCATCATGCTCTCCTGGCTGCTATCCCCATTACCATCAATTTCGCAACGTGCGTGCTTTGCGCGGCTTCGGGAGATTGGCTAGCCTTTGCTCTCATCCTACTGGGAGTCATTTCAGGCGGGACATCTTGCTTTGTCATCGGCTCTGCTCAACTCGATTTTCTTGCCGGCGTGAAGGAACCCTCTCCAGGCACGCCGCCTGCAGACGGATTACTTCTGATGCGAAACGACGTGGTCATCATCAGAGGTGCAGAGAAAGACGTTAACCCAATCACGAAAGGCCAATTTGTCCTGAGGATGAATGGCGGCCCAGAGTACAGACGAATTGGACTGTGCTCGCTTCTCCTCCTCGCACAGTTCCTTCTCCAGCTCCTTTTCATTCCTCAGGCAACGACATTTGGGCAGATTATGTTCATCTCATCGGTTGCGGCATCATGGACATATAATTCATTTCTATCATCGTTGGAGCCAGAGAAAATACAACTCAAGATCCTATGGAAAGCGCTTGACAATCCACGACTATTGAAATTTGGGCTCAAAAACAGAGCTGCGCAGGCAGTTTTTGCATGCCTGGTCCTCGGTGATGGCCCCCAAAGGCCATCTGTTGACTTCAAACCAAAGAAAGTCCTGCAACGTTTCATATCGAATGACACAAGGGTATGGAATGTATGGAGAGACAAAGTGACGGAGCAGCTGGAAAATAACGAGGAGGAAAAGTCGTTCAACCTTAGCTCTAAGGATCTGGAAGGGTTTGCAGTTCATGAAAGGGCCCTCCTGGAGTCATTACTTCGAAGTGCATACGATGCGTATATAGGTTACCAGGAATGGGTACATCAGATTAGAAACAATAGCTACATCTCTGAGAAACAAGTACCTCGACCGGACTTCTTTGTTCAAAGTCGTGTTTAATACTTTTGTAACGTACGTACCACCTGTTTAGAAGCCATCCAACCTAAGTCGCATGCTGCAACCTTATATCACATTAAGACAACACATGGTGAATTCGATGCGCCCTGATCGTGAAGGACTGATGGCTGCGGATTGGATCGAGCGCATACCGGCAAAGGTCGGTAACAGCAATATACCTATGTGGATTGCTTTTGAAATAGGGATCGATAGATCGGTGGATCACTGCGAGATGAGCATAATTTTCACAGGTGAAAGGCATTCCACGGGGAGAACATGTGCTGGATGGCATCGCACCTAGAATTCACAGCGCCTAGAGCTCATGCGCTTCTGAATGCGCTTCGTCCACGCCTCTCGTCAAGTGTGCTACTTAAAAGAGCAGTTGTGGATGGTATTCCGTGAAACAAGCCGCAACATACGTACCATGCCCTACAAAAATTCCGTTGACACCAATACAAGTCATTTTAACCTCGATGTATCCGGCGTCGCAGGGTTCTTCGGGGGCGAAGAAGCCATATCTGCAATGCAAACCATTCATCTTTACAAGTACAGAAAATGGATGGGATGGTACAACTCCCCTGGCAGCTGGAACGTCGGCAAGAGGTTCGGAATGCTCGCAAATTCTCGTTTTTGGGACGGGCTTTTCCCTGGGCCCAATGAAGACCCCGCAACATTCTTCGAGCTTGATGGCAAGCAGGGCCCAAAATATGTCGCATCTAGATCAGGATCCATCCTGGAGCACACCGGCCACCTTGCGTATCTAATGATGCAGACATGCAAGGAGGAGCTAGGAGTGCATGTAAAAGGAAGAGTCACGAAGCGGAATAAAGTGACTCTTATCCAGACACAACTCGTTTTTGAAGAGTCGACGGCAAAAGAGAAGCCGCCAGTACGCACAATTCTACCTCACGGCGGGCATCGCACGCGTGTTGCAATTCTACCGATAGCCGTCAGTTTCACCACATGTGCGCTTTGTGGATGGACATACGACTGGTTCTGTTGTTCGATGATCCTTCTGGGTATCATCTCAAGCGGCTTGTCCTCCTTGGTCATAGGGTCCGCGAGTTTAGAGCTGCAAGGCGTGAAGCCAGCGCCTACGGCTCCGCCCGGAGACGGAATGCTGATGGACGGTGATAGTATTGTCCTCCTGCTCGGGAAAGAGGAAAACGTCGCTACCATAACGAGAGGCAAGTTCACTCTAAATTATGAGCCCTGGGTTAAGAAGAGAAGCAGGAAGGAAAAGAGTAAACGTCCCGTTCCTAGAGACGGAACGAAGTCGACCAACTTGAACCGCAGAAGCGATGCAGAAGCCGGTCTTCAAGACCATTCTTTAGAACATGGTCCAAACCAGGAGGCCATACCCATCAGAGACGAATATGCTGCTATTGGATTGTGTTCGCTCCTGCTCGTCATACAACTCCTCGCTCAACTGCTCTTGATCCCCCAGGGCACATTCTTTGGTCAAATCATGTTCCTGTCCTCTTTCGCAGCTTCGTGGGCGTACAACTTGTACTTATCCTCAATCGACAAAGAGTATATCCAGGAACAATTGCTCCTGAAAATACTCAACCTAGATGAGCGGCATATGCGGACGTGCAGCCTTGGCACAAGAACAACTGCCGCCGTATTCGCATGCCTAATGCTCCAGCCTCCTGGTGTCTATGCAGAATCGGAATGGAAGAGACTAGGTTTCGAACCAGAAGGGATCATCTGCAAATTCATTCCGAACAATACGCCAGTATGGATTACATGGAGAGAGAAGGTTTTGGGTGTAATGAGAGACCGGAAAGTTCGCAGCCGAGACACTTGCTACGATTTGCTCCAGATGAGTGATGAGGAGAAAGATATGTTCGAACCGAATGACCAAAACCTTCTCGAACACCTGTTAGAGGATGCTCGCACTGCATACGATCTGGCCATGAGCGAACAGCATTGGCTTGGATCTGGAATGGAGCATCCTGTCGGTGACCAGTAACTTGTACCTATGTACATTGGCTTATGCCATCACGACTGTAATCAATCATGCATTTGATTTGCCGTCAAAATCGAACAATCCATCGACGACTCACTAATATTTACATCAAAGGGAGGGCTAAAGGAGTTGCACCTTGGTGTGAACCTTGGTTGAAGTTCAATATGAACCACTCACAGCGGCTGCATTAACAGATTGCTTGACTGACGAGTACATAGAGCACAACAAAAGTCGGAATTTTGCTGTCACGTGGTTGTATTAGTTAAGGCTCTCAGCTACCCACCCGCCGACTAGTTTGGAGTCTGATACATACCTAACGTTCAGTCCAATATTTAATTATTGCCAACAACATTGAGTCTGCTGTATACCCCAGTGACCCTTGCCATGGTCAGAGTACACATTCACCCGCTGTGCACTATTCGTTTCTCGAAGACCTATAGAAACCTCCAACGTTTACTTGAGGTATGCCATCACGTAACACGTTCCTTTCGCCTGTGCTTCGTTGCCGCAGTGTAACCCATGGCCAGCGACCTTAGCCTATCGCATATTTTCTCTCTGGGAATCAAATGCCTCGCCTGCAATGTCCATTATATTCTCGCAAAAACGCAGTTCCTCCAATTAACCTCGCTGAACAACTTGACGTATGTCGTTCATCTTGTTTCCCGATGGTCGTTTGGCAGTTCCTGCTACATCGCACTTACCTCCCTCTCCCTCGGCGCAGGGTCATTCAGATATGGTTTCCCGCGAGAACATGAGACACCGTCTAGTCATGTAATCGCGATTACACGCTCACATCTGTTCAGTCTCGACGCACACAGGCATCTTCAACTACCCTATCCTCTACGCTTCCTCACACCACATTCAAAGCCCGCTATGCCACCCATTTTAGCGCGAGTGTGGATTAAAGGACATCAACCCTTCCACTCACTCGATTCCTTCAGAAATGTGACCAGTGCCTTGAGCTTCTTGCGTGGTGGAGAGTACCTCGCTATCTCAAATATAGCACCCTGTATCGAATGGTGAGAGTTCGTCTTTGATAATGCAACTACTTCTGATATGATGGGCCCATCAGTGTGCAACAGAGACGAGCTTCCCGTTGCATCGTGTTCCTTTATTGGCGCCATCGCCTACATTGCATGTCAGTGGTATCCTGAAAATGCGCTCTTGCTTAGTGAGCCTCCCGTGACTGTCATTAGCCTATTTCGGGGTGGAATTTGAATAGTGAGCTGTAAAATTAACATCATTCACGTAGATGGGTTGCCACAGCTATACGAGTGTCACCAAATCTATCATAAACCTGATGGGTTGTGACGACTACCCTGAGTAGTTTCGCGAGCATCATGTTTCAGAAGGTCGGGCATCAGCGTGTTCCGTGATGTTGGTGTCCAATTATATTCTATAGGCGCACTGATTCTGATTATATTTCTCACAAGCAGTGTGCAGGGCTGATGTGACGGGCTCCAAGACTTGCCGTACATTAATTGGTCAGGCTGCCTCGAGGCTAGCATTTCACTATGCTCCTGCTAACACAGTTCATGCTCCTCTTGGTCCCTCGCGCAACACCTGGTCAAGTGATGCTTCTTCCCCCACTTGCAGTGTCTCGGATCTACAACTCGTTCATTTCTTCCCTTGAGAGCGAGAAGGGAAGGTACAATTGTCGACAACGGAGTAGAGACAGGACTTGAATGCGCAGGGGGTATGATACATCGTTATTCGTGCCAAACAGGACCAAGGACCGGCCAGAGATGCAGGGCAATTGGCTGCCCGAACTGCGTTTTCATACTACACCAGTTGGCGGTTTCACGGTTCTGGGGTCCTCAGTCTCGATTCCACATAATTATGAACAAGCGCTCCGATCGAATGTTTCGCCAATATCACTCTTAAGAATGGCAGGAGTATAAGAGAAATGAGCGATCCCATGTGGAGCTCAGAAGACACGCATTGGAAAAGGTGGAGTAGAGACACGGAGATAAGCGAACAACGCACGCAAATAAGAGACTGCCGAACGGCGCGGAGCGCATATGGGCTTAGGTGAGGCACGCACACGGGGCGGACGCGAATTGTTTCCGCGGGCGTCCTTGCATCATGATATGTTACCATGGCCAAGCGGCAACCAAGCGGCGTTTGCACATAGCACCCTGTTATCGATTTATCACTAGTCCCCCCGCATCTCGAGATCTCACACTTTGTAACTTGTAAGTAACCGACATAATTTCTGGCGTGGCGTTATCATTGATGAGTCTCCTGTGGCACACTGGCAACGCTGAGCCCATCATGATGTTAACCTGAGTGATCGTTGCTGTTTGGCTGTGATAAACATATTGCAATTTGCGGACTATGTTATAAAGTTCGTACACAACATATCGATTGAATGGCAATTCGTTACTTCTGAATCTCCTCAGAGTTCATTAGCACCGACGACAGTCTCTCGTTTCGAGTTTGCATCGTCTCGATGGCACATTTCTTGATATCATCATCCAACACAATTCGTACTACTTTGCACCGCGGCTCCCACAGCAGCACCGTGACTACACTTAGTGACGGGTCTGTAGATCATGTCGGTTACTTCGTCTATCCTCTTCCAAACAATGGGCACTAACTTTGATGCTGTGTTTCGAACGTCTAGTTAAACCTTCATGTTGACACATCCTTTGGTGTCATCGAGGTAAGCTTCAATGTCGTATGAGGAAGTGTACATGATGTTATTATGACTCCAGCCGTCAGCACCGGACTCGGATTCAGATGATACCAAAGTCCAGAGTCCATCTGCGGTGGCTTCACCCCAACTTGAAGTCCCATATATGAGCTCCTACCAGGAGCCGCTTAACGACGAGGCTAGGACGAAGAAACAAGAGGAGCTTTTCCACAGCATCATCGACGACAAACTCGGTGACATCCCTGTTCGCCTCATCGACACAACGTCGGGCAAGCTATGCAGCACTGGAGAACTCCACGCTCATTTCAAGGAGTCTCGCAGTTATAAGGAAGTTGAAATGAAGATTCTCAGGGCCAATCAGAAGGTGATGAAGGCGACTGTTGATGCTTTCTTCGAATATGCTATGTTCTCCCATCGTTGGAGTACTACCATCGATGACGAGCCTACGTATGACCACATTAAGGGCGAAGAGAGCATCTATAACCTGAAAACACCACCGGGAATCGATAAGTTGCAGCAGTTTTGCAAGGTTGCCAGGGAGAACCAGTTCCGATGGGCTTGGAGCGATACGTGTTGTATCGACAAGACCAACAACGTCGAACTCCAGGAGTCTATTATCTCCATGTTCTCGTGGTATCGGTTGTCGTCTGTTACCATCGTCTACCTTTCAGATGTCATCGACGAAGGGAGCTTCAGAAATAGTGTATGGTTCACCCGCGGATGGACGCTACAAGAGCTCATTGCACCTCGGCTCGTCTGGTTTTATAAGAAGGACTGGACGCCATATATTGACAGCAAGCAAAACCACAAAGAGGACCCCCGAGTCGTCAAGACCATATCTGAGGTCACGTCTATTGACCGGACTGTCCTCAACCAGTTTGTGCCGGGGTTGAGAGATGTTGGCTCCGACGAGGTCAAGAAGAGGATGAGCTGGCTCGCGTCTAGGAAGACGGCCAAGATCGAGGATATGGCGTACTGCATGATGGGTAGGTTGTCACTTTTTGGATAAAGCAATTGCCTCAAGACTTCCGATTTACAGGCATTTTTGGTGTTCACATGCCGGTCATGTACGGGGAGAGAAAGAATGCTTTTGTTCGCCTTCAGAAGGAGATCATGACCCTTACGGATGACCTGTCGCTATTTGACTGGGTCGGGGAACCCTCAGAGCTTCATTCATACTTTGCATCGCACCCCAGCTGTTTTGCAAACGCTCCAGCTGGATCCGGGAGGAGCTTGTCGAAACTCTCTCATCCTCGGTTGTTTGCCTCCAAGGTCTTTGCCAGCGCTGTTGGTTCCACCATCAGGATGAATATCAAGAAACTTCTTCTTGACCCTCCTCACGGTCATTTCATTGCTAACGGGAAGATGAACATACCCCTGTTTGTTCATGAGGTTACGAACCTGATTCCTGCGGACGCGACATGCCCTCCCACTCTTAATGACGATGGCTCTATTGACTATCTTGTCACGGCTGAAGGTCTCGCTGAGGTGAAGTTTACAACTCACAAACTTCTTCCCATTATGTTCAACGGAGAAAATTCTCCTCGCTACCGTCTTGTTCGGATGTGGGACTCCAAGCTTATTCCGTCAGAAGATGATGTGAAGAAAGTAGACGAAGAAAACAGGATCTGGATCTGGAGATGGCGAGCATCGTGATGGAGATGACGAGCATCATGATGGAGATGGCAAGCATCATGAGGGGTTTATTCATACCCCCCATTGGCTGGACAAATCGGACGTGTTAAGTCCTATGACCGCTGCAGTGTCTCATAATGCAGTGGTCACGTTCATGTCCCGTCTTCGGCAACCTTTCGTCGCACAGCTGCTGATTCAGACAAAACAAGGAAGGCCTTACGAGAGAGTGGGAACAAGAGAGCGGTTGATAGCAGTGCCTTCGTCGGGCTCTATCACCTTTCGAGGTATCAGGACCCTAAGTGTTCGTTGATTAGATCATTTCGAAATCATACGGTACGCTACTTGTATCTGTATGGCAGTCCTGTGTGGGAGTAGCTAATGCCATATTTCCTGTACCGAGACATGAAAAATCCAAGCCCTGTGGGCGCAATTTGATGTGGAGCTCTTCGATTGCCAAGGTTACTTTACGATATATCAGGTCGGGCCCTCCGTTATGGAGGAATATCTTGTTTGCTCTGATAATGGAGCTTGAATCTCCTGGGGTTTTCTGTTAAAGTGCAGATATTTTCATCGAGGTCACTACGACCAGTGTATGTTGAACATTCGTGCGCGCCGGCAAGAGGTACAAGTAAGTTGTCTGAGGGATCATGTTGTGTTGGGACAGCTGGTCTATGTGGCGATGCAACATGAGTTAAAGAAAGCGATATCTTCCCCTACCCTGCGCCATGTCAGGGGTTAACATTCCGGCCAGTTTCCTCCCGCCCATCAGCGCTCAGCCTCCACTCGTCGACACACAGCGAGTGAGCGCTCCCGGAACACGCGCTTAGTCATCCTCCCCGCTATACCCACGACGGTTCAACGAAAGCCTGACTGTTTGACTTCATCGAGGATGTTCCATCGTGGCATACGGATAAGTATGGCCAAGCTCAATCATCGAATTGGTGTGGCTATTTGTCACATTGCATGCAACGTGCAAGCATGACGCCTAGCTGTATTTTATTCGCCAACCGAGTACACAGTGCATGGTGCAGTGGGTGAGCTGTCGCTTCCTCTTCTGTGCCTCTCCGAGCTGCAAAAGTACGCTCGAAGATCGCGGGTTGATCTCGTTTACTGTGTTCTACAGGATCGTGTTCTGACGCTGGCGTGGATACCATGAGGGGACAGCTTCCGTGCTGCACAGAAAGGCTCAGGGTTCAGAGCGCAGCCTGCAGCTTTCATGATCACGAACTGTTCGCGACGTGACTGCATGTTCGAATGGTAATGAAAACGTTCTTCTTTAAGATGTTTTACAGGATGGATTTTTAACGCTGGCATGGGCACCACGAGGGGGGCCTCCCACAGGACCCACACTACTCGGATATGATCAGGATTCAGAGCGCTTAACTGTGCCCACCACCACGAACTCTTCGCGATCTCAGAGACGGCAGTGCTATTTTGCCCTCCCAGTTCTAGAACATGCGATGGAGCCGGCCGCAGGTCTGGACATGCACCTCTTGGTATTTAGTGATGGACAACCGGATGACAGGCTCAAAATTCCTGACCCATCTTAAATGCCTCCATTCAAGCTTCGGCCGATTACTGATTCTAAAAATTTCAGTCTCGATGCTTCCGGTGTCGCTGGTTTCTTCGGCGGCGAGGAAGCTATCACAGCCATGGCTACTGTACACCTGTACAGGGGGCGTAGATGGCTCGGCTGGTACAACTCTCCCGGCAGCTATACTATAGCCAAGGACTTCGGCAGAATATCCAAGTCAAGATTATGGGGTGGTCTTTTTCCTGGCCCCAATCACGATCCAGTTGTTGCATTCAAGCTGGACGTGAAGATTGGCCCGAAGTACGTTGCGTCACGCTCGGGAACTATCATGCAGCAGACAGGGCACTTTGCATATCTCCTGACGCAGGGGATGGATGATTTGACGCTAATTCCTCTTCCTGCCACACGAACCACTACAAATTCACGCATCTTTGTTGTCGCTGTCCCTGAAATCACATATGAAGACCTTCCTTTGCAGACCATGAGCCGTCACCACGCCTTCATCGCCAGTTTCCCTATCCTAGTCAGCTTCAGCACATGCATCTTTTCCGCCTTATCCGCCGACTGGTACTGCTTTGCGATGATCCTCCTCGGGATCATCTCCAGCGGTGTCACATGTTTCATCATCGGCTCCGGAGCCCTTGGTATTGAAACGGTCAAGAAACCAGCGGAGGGCTCCCCTCCAGGAGACGGGATCCTCTTGACACAGAATGGCGTTATCATCCTGAAGGGAAAGGAAAAGGACGTGAATGCAATCACGAAGGGGAAGTTTTCACTACAGCTGAAAGGAGCGCCAGAGTATACAGTTGTTGGCCTGTGCTCGCTGCTCCTCGAGGTTCAGTTTCTGCTGCAGCTCCTCCTCATTCCACAGGGATCGCTGTTTGGTCAGATTATGTTCCTGACCTCAGTGGTTGCATCCTGGGCGTACAACTCCTTCCTCGCATCCCTGGACAAGGAAAAACTACAATGGAAACTGTTTTGCGACACTATCCGACTTCGCCCAACAGCCATGCTCGGTTTCGAAGCCAGCACTCGAACCAGTATGGCTGCATTCGCATGCTTCGTTCTTTGCGAAGATTTACCAAGGCCTCTCAAGGGTATCGAGCCGATGAATTTTCTGTTGGAGTTTTTGCCTAACGAGACGCTAGTATGGCAGAGGTGGAGGGAGCAAGTGGTGGCTCAGGTCGAGAAAGAAGAAGGCGGAGCGAGTATCTTTCAACCTAGAAATGTTGATATGTCAGGGCTCAGCAGCGGTGAACAAAAACTTTTGACGACTCTTCTACAGGATGCGGACGATGCGTACAAAGGATATATAGAGACCCGTGACCGTCGACAATCGGTGACAATTGCCGAAAAGTCCTAATACCACGAGAATACTATATTTCTTTGTCGCCTATCCGATGCATATGATGAACCATGTAATTTGAATTTTGTGAAAGGGTTTTACATATACATACATCCTAGTTCATGAAGTTACATCGCCACGGTAGAGGCACCGCGGGCACAGTCACGTTGGCTCATTGTTCTCCAAGGTGACAGTGCCAGTATAACGCACTCGCCTTGGCAATGGCAGCGAGTATATGTGGCGAAGTGCAGCGTCAATTGTAGGTCATACTGGAGGACGTTGACTATGGGTAGCATAATCTCGTCCCATACCATCTGCAAGAGTACTCGCAATGTCTTCCTCGGCTCCTCTGAGCGCATACGAGCTGTATGCCGTATCGCCATAGCGAAATCGTCCTTGAGCTTCTCCAGATCCGGGAAAGTGATGCACAGGAAGCGAACTTGGTGAGGCTCTCCTGACGTCGGGATGATGATGGCGCTACACGAGTATTGACTCGCAATAAGGATGATGACTGGGCCATGACGTGCTGCAGCTTGCAAGTCTGTGAACGACAACGGGAGCAGGAACCGCGAGAAGTCTTGAAGATTACGTATCTCAGCTATCGCAGCTTCCCATTGCTTTGAAAGTCCCCTATACTCTGTTGCAGCACGATCAGCAGCAACTCGGTCTGTGCTGATTGCAGAACCTCGAGTATCAGATAGGCGCGTGCTGAGCTACGGGAGCCTCTGAGCCAGTCGCGGACTCGTAGACTCCAAGTCTTCCAGCGGAGTCCTGAGTCGAGAGGCCAGCGACCACTGCTGGCCACGGCCCTGCTCCACAAGTTCAACTGCCCGTCGTGGATTGCCACTACGTATGGCACACGAGGCTGCATCTACAGGAGGGGATTGTGCACTGCGAAAGGCGCTTGCAGCCTCGCGCCGTGAGATAATCGACGACCGCGTCATCACATGACTGTCGAAAAGCTCAAAGCACATTTGATATGCTTCGAGGGCAGATTCATAAACTTCGGCTTGGCGAGCCCAGTCAATAGCCTCGCTGATACGCCAAGGAAATCCTTGAGTACGGTATCCTGATGCGAGTCTGAAGTTCTCTACAGCGAGTAACAAATCAGCAGGGTCGTGTAGAATCCGGTAACGAGACAAATACGTTTCCTGCAGCCGCATGTAGATGAAATACCTGTCTGGGTGCAGTGGAGAGCTGCTAATGATTCTTGGCAGAGATTAATGGCCTCCTCGATATCTTCGTGCGTGAAACGAGAGCAGAGCGTCGAACTCAGATTGAAAAGATTTACATGACGCTCCGGATCGCCAAGCGGCGTTAACTGGAGGGATTCACGAGACAAATCAATGGCCTCGTTAAGGTCTTCGTTAACATGCAACTTGTCATATCTGGTTTTGAGTGCGAGAGTGAGTGTAGTGCCACGGCGAGATGGGTGCAGCGTCAATGCATCGTGATAGAGGTTAATAGCTCGGGTAATGACATTAATGTCACCATGTCTGTTGAAACAGGTGACGAGGGTGCCCCCTAGGTTTCCCAATGAGGAATGTCGATATTTGTGCCCAACAGGCCGCAGGCGTAGCGCTTCTTCATGTAAAGAGACGGCCTCATCAAGGTCATTAGGTTTTTCTTGGTGACTGAAGCGGAGCTCGAGTGAGATGGCCAAGTTGTTCAGGTAGACATCGCGGTCAGAATGTCCCTCGGGGCACAGAGACACGGCTTCACGACCAAATTGTATGCTCTCGTCTAAATCGTCAATGTTGCCGCATTGCGTAAAGCATGACTTGAGAGCCCATGAAAGTTTGTCAAGTGCTTTTGGACGGTGTTGGCCCACAGGACAGAGCTCCAGCACATTTCGTCGAAGGTGGATGCCTTCATCAGATGTGTCTGTTGGAAGATTGTTGCATTTACCGATCACATAATCGACCGCACTGTCTACGCCGATGCTACGGAGGTAGGTGCCCTCTGGACAGAGGGGCAGTAGCTTACAGCACAGCCGTGCGGTTTCGTGAATGTAGATGTCGGTAGGCTCCTTGCTGTAGTGCCAGTTCAATGATCTGATAAGATTATAGAGGGATAGTGCGTGATCGGAGTGACCCTGCGGGCGCAATGCAAGGGCTTCGCGGAAGAGGGAAGTAGTGGTATCAGCGTCTTGGATATCATTTCGAATATAGCCTTCAAGGCGGGCATACGCAAGGTTGGTGAGAGCCGCTGCGTGATAAGAATGGTCAACCGGACACTCTGGTCCAGAGCCAACTGAAAATACTGCACAGCATCATTGAAGTGAGAGACCGTCTTGCTTGTCGTGTATTTGGCAAATTGTGCGTGGCCGGCATCTGTGTCTCGAGCAATCTCGCAGTCTACGAGGGACTACAGTTGATGTTCCGTTAGCACAAGCTAGCAAGACAGAGTCTGACGTGCCAACTCACACGAAACAGTGCGCCGTCCTGATCGTCGCAAGCATGTACAACGGTGGCCTTCAGTGTGAGGGAAGGATGGATACCACACACAGGTGGAAAGGACAGTTCTATGGGATGTTGGTAGATGTACGTGATGAGTGAGAAGCAAATCTCTCACCGAATGATTCATCTCCATGATCGAGTAGCTCATCCAACGATGTTTGAAGTTCCCCGGTGACGTCTCCACTACCTAACATTCGATGGGCCTCATAGGACACCCTGATCTCCCCTGAGAATGCAGGTGAGGCATACGATGATCTAGAAACAGGAGATCAGTTCACGAATCACATCAAGAAGTTTACATGAACTTCACAAGGTTACGATATCGCCCCACACTACATATTTGTAGGATGATAGGACTTTGATGGCTGTTTTCCAGCGTCTCCTCGAGTCGATATCAACGGATATGTAAATGCCTGCGGGTATGCGCTGAAAGGGACTTGGAGATTATTTTCGGATAGAGTGTGAGGACCACGAAACGAATACGAAGGTGATATGGAGCAACCCACCTTCAAGTCTAATATATCGTTCTTCTGAGCTACCAGGCATGATGGTACGATGAAGTAAAATAACAAAGATCGAGGACAGGCTGAGTGGTGGGCGGAATGAGTGGGAGGGGAAGACGGGAATATAAATATGGGAGCTGTGGATGGAGTTTGGCTGAAAGGGAGGGGAGGAAAGATTGCAACGTTGAGGGTTCACGCCATGCTGCTTGGTGCGATAGACGCTGGTATATGATCATTGCATTAAGCGCTGAGAATCGAGATCACTTGACACCAACTAGGACTAGCGGCCCGAAAGTTGGAGAATCTGAGTCTGTCGCCTAAAGAAGTGAAGTCAGTTATCAGCGAAAGTGACATCCCAAGCTCAGAGCGCTCAAGCGCTCAAGGTTGAGGGGGGACATGGGAGTGTCAGAGCGTATTGGCCGAGCGAATGGGCAATTATGTAAAGAAGAAACAACACTGCGATGCCAAATCAAACGCGGAAGCTATAACTAGTTAATAAGGAAGATAAAGACACACGAGCGACAGCGTACAGGCAAGAGAAATCCTACGTGCACTGGATCTGAGGGAATCAGTCAACCCAGCCAATTACTACTACTATCTGACTCGGGCGAGGGGCGACGGAATCTGACGGATCTACCGCAAAAACGCACCCACTCCCCTACGGTAGTGCCGCTGTCAACCACTTCTGCTCTCTCATGGCCAGATCATATGCAGCTCTAGCGTCTCCCAGGAGGGTTTCGAGAAGTGTTCTGTTATTCGCATCGAAATCTCTTTTCTCCTCGTTGGTCATCTGGAGTAAATTGTGGCAAGCGACTGGGTCACCATCATGATTGTGTGTTCTCATTACATCCAAGACCTTTTTTCTCCATGTGATCCATACTAGTGTATCATTCGGAATGAAGTTGCAAATGATACTTTCTGGTTTGAAACCTAGGTTCTTCCATCCCGATTCTTCATAAATACCAGGAGGCCGGAGCATCAGGCATGTGAACACTGCGGCAGTTGTTCTCGTCCTACAGATGTACGTCCGCATATGCTTCTTCTCTAGATGAAATATTTCTAGAATCGATCGTTCCTGGATATACTCGTTGTCGATTGAGGACAAGTACAAGTTGTACAGCCACGAAACTGCGAAAGAGATCAGGAACATGATTTGACCAGTGAATGTGCCCTGGGGAATCAAGAGTAGTTGGGCGAGGAGTTGTGCGACGAGTAGGAACGAAAAGAATCCAATGGCAGCGTACTCGTCTCTGACGGGCTCTTCACTCTGCTCTAGATCAGAATTACTTTGACCTTCTTCCGCATCACCATTACGATTCGACTCGGGCAACCTCGTTCCGTCTCCAGGAACGGAACGTTTCATTTTTTCCTTTCTGCTCCTCCACCTAACCATGTTGTTATATTCAAGGATGAACCTGCCCCTTGTGATCGTGGCGACCTCTTTCTCTCTCCCAAGCAGGAGGACGATATTATCACCGTCCATCAGCATTCCGTCTCCGGGTGGAGCCGTAGGTGCTGTGCCCACTCCTTGTAGCTTTAAACATGCCAACCCTATGACCAAGGAGAACATGCCATTTGAAATAATTCCCAGAAGAATCATTGAAAAGCAGAACCAGTCGCGTATCCATCCACACATTGCACATGTGATCCAGCTAGCGGCTATTGGTAGAATTGCAGCGAGCGCGTGACCCCCCCTGTGAGGTAGGATATCATAAACCAGCTCGACATTAGACGGCTGGCCTTTCGCTTGTTGTGCCCCTTGTTGTGTCGCTTCTCCCCCTTTCAGACGCACTTCTCCTCCTTGCGATAGCGCTTCTCCGAGTCCCCCTTGCGGCGGCGGTTCTCCAAAAACGGACGGCATCTTGATGATAGTCACTTTATTCAGTTTCGTGATCTTTCTTTTCCCTGGTACCAGCACTCCTAGTTCCTCTTTGCTTTTCTCCATTATCAAATATGCAAGGTGGCCGGTGTGCTCCAGGACGGTTCCAGATCTAGCGGCGACATATTTTGGGCCCCGCTTGCCATCAAGGTCGAACAATTTTGCCGGTTCTTCATTGGCCCCAGGGAAGAGCCCGTCCCAAAAAGGGGATTTTGCGAGCTTTCCAAACTTCTTGCCAACATTCCAGCTGCCAGGGGAGTTGTACCATCCCAGGAACTTTCTGGCCTTGTAGTGATGGATGGTCTGTATAGCGGAGATGGCTTCATCGCCCCCAAAGAACCCTGCGACGCCAGATACGTTGAGGGAAAATTTTCCAGGATGGATGTCAGGGGGGTGGGTCATGACACGTATGTTGTGGTTTGGTGCCTTGATTCCTGCTCTTTTAAGTAGCATACCTGATGGGAAGCATTCCGGAAGCGTAAGGGCTTCAGGCGCTATGAGCTCTAGCGCCATGCTATCTAGGCGCCATGCTATCCGGTACACGTTTTTCCCGGGGAATGTCCTTCAAGATCTGTGAAGATTCCTGCTTCCTCATAATTTATTTATGTCAATCTGGCAGTTACCCACTGATTTCGTTGATTGGTCCCGTAATCTACGCGGGTATGTTGCTGTTAACTGTTAGCCGATTAGTAAACTCATGCTTCATGATCAGGGCGCGCATTCGCATCAAGTTTGACATAGTGATTAGACTTGTACCTATGTGTCTTGACTTCTGCCATGCAAATGTTCTAGCTCTGAGGTGATTCAAACAAGAGTCGGCGGCCGAGCACCGTTACGAAAGTACTTGATACCGATCAAAGAGGAGACAGGTTCTTCCTTCGTAACCTTGACTTTCGTTTCTTCAGAAGGCGAATTTCAAGCGCTGGTACGTATACCCCTTCCGGTGCAATTCAACACCTCAGACTCGGAAGTCGGCACTGCCACAAAACTAGTTACTTAAACACAAATTTCTTAACATAGACATCTGATCATCCTCTCTCTAACACGACTCATTACGAGGTTGAACGACCACGATCGAGGCAGAATTGACTGAGATAGTTGAAAGTGCCGAAGTCGTCAAAGCTTGCCAACATCATGGACCCGGTGCCGTGACGGAGTTTCAATACTGCATCGTAGCGGCGCGAGCGCCAATCCCCGACTCCGCCAGAAGATACTGAGACAAAATATGATTCGCAGATACTGCAAGTAGGTCAGTTATACAGTTTCGAGCCAAGACAAAGAAGCCACCAAGAAAAACAATCGCTTGAACCTACTTGACCATATAGTATACTTAAGGCTTGAACTAATTTTGTAAGTAGATTAATTTTGTAAGTAGAAGAGCAGACCAACGGATTTTCGCCAGAGCAACAAAAACCTTTATTGCATACAAATCGCTGAAGTATCTTGCCAAACGAAGCACGAGTAGCTGGCTACCTTCTGAAACAATTGCGGGACGACATTCGAGAAAGCAGTGTTTGCATTCGTCTTTACTCGATTGCATCACTCATTGTTGGGTAGCGATGAAGTGAGCCTGAGATAGTACTCAACACACATGGTCCTTTTTGATCTTCCTCGCAAAACAGAGATACGAGAAACACACTCAACTAGGACATTATCCAAGAGGGCCGGCAAATTTTGCTCCTGAATTTCCTCACTGTCACGGTAGCGGAACCATCTCAAGTAGACATCTAGTCTCAAAGGCAGACACTTCTCAACGGAAAGAGATTCACGAGAGGAAAGATTACTTATAAAAAGGTGAGTGACGATGGTCTGCTCGTCGTAATCAATCCAAGCAGGCAGACAATCAAACTTCCTTGCAAGCGAAGAAGCTAATCCGTCACAACCACACACACTGAACCTGCACAGAAGTACACAGTGGCGATAACCTGAAGACTCGAACTCACTTGGACGGAGGGACAGAGATCTGTGGCCATCCGTAACGACAACGGAGAAACCATTGAATGCAACACAACCACGAAATTCGAAGGAACAAGTGTGACAGGAACGATGATGAGATACGAGCGATTTCAACAGCCATGCACAAAATTTGTCAGGGGTATCAAAGTTATAGGCGTGATATTGCGGATAATAAAGAGCATCATAGTATATGGGGTATTCGGTAACGTTATGCATGATCAAAAGAGGTGGGCAGTCACGCTCGTCGAGAACTCAAGTGACGCGACACGGAGCCTTGACTATAAACGTCCTGAAAAAGCCTCAGAACGCAAAGAAGAACGAGTAAGACACTGAACTCACATCACAGGGTCCGAGAGCAGCCGAATGACAGATAACGCGCGCACCAGAGTGTACAGCTAGAGCGCAGAATGGCTGAGGTCGAGAACGAGAATAACAAAGGAAAATTTGTTCAACATGTCGGGAGGTTCCACGAGAAAACAAATGACATTCGTGGGAAAAAGGGGCACAAGAGTTTGTAGAGAAAATGACATTTGAAGCTACAGAACCCTTACTCTACTCCGTAGAGTCGGGGACGCCACTTGCGCTGGGTGTAGCGCTGGATATTTTCATCAATTCCGAGTCTGCGCTAATGTTAACCCCAGCTCTCCACATGCACATGCAGCATGATAACAACATTTCCGTGACTGCCGACTTCTGTGGGGTGACGATTGCACCGGAAGGGACAGTACCAGTGTACTACCGTGACATCATGGCTATGATCTTTACTGTACTGATTGAGCCGTGTCATTAGTATTTCCTATCACAACCTTCTATGCCCTGCAGGGAACTAATTGACCGGCCTAGGCCTCAAGGTCCTCTGACTCCGGAGCGCTTTGCATAATTTAGGTATCACTACGAACATGTAGCCACAACCCTCGACTCGTCTGAAATACCACTCTTTGCGCCACTGGCAGTTGCAAATACTAAGGGTTTCAATCTCGATGCTTTTGATGTTGCTGATTTTTCTGATTTTTCGGCGGCTAGGAAGCTGTCACTCCCATGGGCACTGTATATCTGTCTCGCAGGGGCAGAGATGACTTGGCGGGTGCAACTCTCCCGACAGACTCGGATAAGGAGTTCGGCAGGATATACATGTCAAGATGGCATCATGGAACAGTCTTTTCCTTAGCCTGACAATGATCCAGCTGTTGCATTTGGGCTGAACATGAAGAATAGCCCGGAAGTACTACTTGCATCATGTCACGATCTCCTGACGCAGCAGGCAGTGAGGGTTTATTAAGCACCAACTCTTCAAGTTCCTTCCATCTGAATCACTCCAGTCACACGAATATCTATTATCGCCGTACCTGATGCCACATTTGCTTATAACTTCTAGGCGCAAAACACCAGTATCTGGTGATTCTGGTCCCTAGAAAATACAACGAAAATTATTTGTGACACTTTTAGGCTTCATCGCGAGCTTCGAAGTCATGTGCAGTTATCAAGCTGCCCCCGAGCCGGGGCCTGGGATGGCTGCATTTATATGCTTCGTTCTTTGCGAAGACTTGCCCAGACCTCTCAGAGGAATCCAGCCAATGAAAATTCTGATGGAGTTTTTGCCCAACGAGACGTTGGTCTGGCAGAAGTGGAGGAGTAAATGGTGCCACACTCAGATCGAGAAAGAAGGGGACGAAATGAGTATTCTTCAACCTTAAAATATTTGACATATCAAGGTTTCGCCTGCTAGTTGTCGTCGAGCAATGAATGTCTTAATTTACTGAAGGCTCTAGAGTAGAAAACAACACTGCGAAAGCGAACGCGAAAAGAAGATGGCACAAGGGTATATGACAGACATAACTGGATAACTCGGTGGTTCCGCTGTACTAGATGAAAACGATAGAGTAGGAACTACACACCGATATGGATGAAAACAATCCTCTGCTCAAGCGGCACCTTTTTTTCCACGGAGGCAGCAGCATTATTCAGTGCCCAGGCTGCCTTCGTACAGTCCATAACACCGCCATCCTCCAAATCCCCGGACATCCTCTCATAGAAAGCTTCAACAACATATTTTGCGAGGGCATCATTGACTGCCCACAGTGTGCCAATGACACTCTTGAAACCAGAAAACTGGAGTCCAAAGCGTCGAGTGTGCCTGCCTGTGTGGCTTTGTCTCCTGAAATATTAGTGAATTTGACGTTAGAGGGAACGAGTTTATGGACAAGCTCAAGCTCTCTATCGACAGCAGCGAGCAGCGAGCCTTGCCCTGCACCTGGTTGACTTTGTCCGATCGCCGCGAAGGATGGAGTGACGCGCATCTTCATCATCTGTCGAGACCTGATCAGAGCCGAAAGTGTGGGCGTGTAAGAGCAGATGTATATGTCTTCCGGGCATGCCTCCGGGCCAGAGCGATCTGCTTTCATTCGGAAGGGGTTCGCTGCATGAAGGAGGATGGACGTGAAGGCTGCCGTCGGACACAGCCATATTCGAGACCGACGGTACAATTGTAGGTCATACTGGAGGACGTTGACTATGGGTAGCATGATCTCGTTCCATACCATCTGCAAGAGTACTCGCAATGTCTTCCTCGGCTCCTCTGGGCGCATACGAGCCGTATGCCGTATTGCCGTAGCGAAATCGTCCTTGAGCTTCTCCAGATTCAGGAGAGTGATGCGGGGGAAGCAAACTTGGTGAGGCTCTCCTGACGTCGGGACGATGATGGCGCCGCACAAGTATTGACTTGCAATGAGGATGATGACTGGGCCATGACGCGCTGCAGCTTGTAAGTCTGTGAACGACGACGGGAGCAGGAACCGTGAGAAGCCTTGAAGATTACGTATCTTAGCTACCGCAGCTTCCTATTTCTTCCTATGCTCTGTTGCTGCACGATCAGCAGCAGCTCGGTCTGTGCTGATTGCAGAACCTTGAGCATCAGATAGGCGCCTGCTGAGCTCCGAGAGCCTTTGAGCCAGTTGCGGACTCGTAGACTCCAAGTCTTCCAGTGGAGTCCTGAGTCGAGAGGCCAGCGACCACTGCTGGCCACGGCCCTGCTCCACAAGTTCAACTGCCCATCGTGGATTGCCACTACGTATGGCACACAAAGCTGCATCTACAGGAAGTGATTGTGCACCGCGAAAGGCGCTTGCAGCCTCGTGCTGTGAGATAATCGACGACCGCATCATCACATGGCTGTCGAAAAGCTCAAAGCACATTTGGTATGCTTCGAGGGCAGATTCATGATGGTAGACTTCGGCTTGGCGAGCCCAGTCAATAGCCTCACTAATATGCCAAGGAAATCCTTAAGTGGGATGTCTTGATGCGAGTCTGAAGTTCTCTACAGCGAGTAACAAATCGACAGGGTCATGTAGAATCCGGTAATGAGACAAATATGTTTCCTGCAGCCGCATGTAGATGAAATAACTGTCTGGGTGCAGTGAGGACAGAGCCGCCAATGATTCTTGGCAGATATTAATGACCTCCTCGATATTCTCATTCTTTTGAGTGTGCGTGAAACGAGAGCAGAGCGCCGAGCTCAAATTGGAAAGATTTACACGACGCTCCGGATCGTCGAGCGGCGTCAACTGGAGGGATTTGCGAGACAGATCAATGGCCTCGTTAAGATCTCCGCTGACATGCAACTTATCATATCTGGTTTTGAGTGCGAGGAAAGGTTGTTAAGAGTGGTGCCACAACGTAGATGCCCAGGTGGGTGCAGCGTTAATGCATTGCGATAGAGGTTAATAGCTTGGGTAATGACATTAATGTCACCACATCTGTTGAAACAGGTGACGAGGGCGCCCCCTAGGTTGCCCGATGAGAAATGTCGATATCTGTGCCCTACAGGCCACAGGTGTAGCGCTTCTTCATGTAAAGAGATGGCCTCATCGAGGTCATTAGGTTTTTCTTGGTGACTGAAGCGGAGCTCGAGTGAGATGGCCAAATTGTTCAGGTAGACATCGCGGCCATAATGTCCTTGGGGCACAGAGACACGGCTTCACGACAAAATTGTATACTCTCGTCTAAATCATCAATGTTGCCACATTGCATAAAGCATGACTTGAGAGCCCATGAAAGTTTGTCAAGTGCTTTTGGACGGTGTTGGCCCACAGGACAGAGCTCCAGCACATTTCGTCGAAGGTGGATGCCTTCATCAGATGTATCTGTTGGAAGATTGTCGCATTTACCAATCACATAATCGACCGCACTGTCTACGCCGATGCTACGAAGGTAGATGCCCTCTGGACAGAGGGGCAGTAGCTTACAGCACAGCTGCGCGGATTCGTGAATGTAGACGGCGGTAGGCTCCTTGCTGTAGTGCCAGTTCAAGGCTCTAATAAGATTATAAGGGGATAACGCGTGATCGGAGTGACCCTGCGGGCGCAATGCAAGGGCTTCGCGGAAGAGGGAAGTAGTGGTATCAGCGTCTTGGATATCATTTCGAATATAGCCTTCAAGGCGGGCACACGCAAGGTTGGTGAGAGCTGCTGCGTGATCAGAATGGTCAACCGGACACTGGTCCAGAGCCAACTGAAAATACTGCACAGCATTGTTGAAGTGAGAGACCGTCTTGATTGTCATGTATTCGGCAAATTGTGTGTGACCGGCATCTGTATCTCGAGCAATCTCACAGTCTACGAGGGACTACAGTTGATGTTCCGTCAGCAAAAGCTAGCAAGATAGAGTCCGACGTACCAACTCATATGAAACAGTGTGTCGTCCTGATCGTCGCAAGTATGTACAATGGCGGCCTTCAGTGTGAGGGAAGGATGGATACCACACACGGGTGGGAAGAACAGTTCTATGGGATGTTAGTAGATGTACATGATGAATGAGAAGCAAATCTCTCACTGAATGGTTCATCTCCATGATCGAGTAGCTCATCCCACGACGTTTGAAGTTCCCCGATGACTTCTCCGCTACCTAGCATTCGATCGACCTCATAGGAGGCTCTGATCTCCACTGAGAATGCAGCTGAGGCATGTGATGATCTAGAAACCGAAGATCAGTTCATGAATCACGTCCAGAACTCTACATGAACTTCACAGGGTCACGATATTGCCCCATGCTACATATTGATGGGATGATAGGACCTTGATGGCTGTTTTCCAGCGTCTCCTCGAGTCGATATTGATGGATATGTAAATGCCTGCAGGTATGCGCTGAGAAGGGACTTGAAGATTCTGTCCACTGACGACTGTGGATACAGCATGAGGATCACGAAGCGAATAAGAAAGTGACATGAAGTGACCCGCCTTCAAGTCTGATATATCGTTCTTCCAAGCTACCAGGCATGATGGTGCAATGAAGCAAAATGACGAGGATCGAGGATGGGCTGAGTGGTGGGCGGAATGAGTGGGAGGGGAAGACAGGAATATAAATATGGGAGCTGTAGATGGAGTTCGGCTGAGAGGGAGAGTAGGAGAGGTTGCAATGTTGGGGTTTCACGTCATGCTGTATTTCCATGGCATTTGTCTGCTTGGTATGATAAACACTGGTATGATCATTGCATTAAGCGCTGAGAATCGCGATCACCAACTAGGAAAGTTGAGTCAGTGCTAAAGCAGTGAAGACAGTGTCAGACAATGTCAGTCACATCAGCAAAAGTAGCACCCCAAAGTTCTTAAGGGGAACAAGTGAGTGTCAGAGCGTCCTGTGATGATTGCTGCTACTAGACTTATATCAGACAATGACAAGTGAATTGCAAGAACCAGAAATTATGTAAGTACCAGGATTCCGATATAGATCATATACGATGGCGAGTGCTTTCAGCGGTTAATCCGGAGTGTTCCCTGCGGATCATGATGATACGGAAGCCGCAAAAAAATTCTTGATGACCTCCATGTGACGACTCGGATATATGAGTTTGACGCGCGTCCGCATCAACTATAGCTGGAGATTATTGAAGAGCAAGGAGTCAAGTGAATCGAGGCGATCGAAGAGCAGGTGAGCTAGGAAACAAGTATAATCTCAGTCTCTGGAAAGAACTCATTGATCGAACCATGTACCTAGGAAACAAGTATACTACGGCTCGTCAGCGTATGGTAAGGTGTGCTCAAAACGGGGCACTTACATCTCAGTCTCTGGAAAGAACTAAGATGCTACTAGGGAGTCCCGGTACTCTATATAGCGGATGGACTCAGGATAAAAATTGTAAGTGTCAAATAACTGATATTGGTGAGCGCGAGCCGACGTCATACGTCGCTCGCTCATTACTCTTTTGGGCTGCGCTCGCACTCTTCTAGCTCCTCATCCTCCCTATCTCGGATCCGTCGGTCATCGACTCGTCGGATCGTTCGGCGTCCAACAAGGAGAGCACGTGCATTTGTTTGTATTTGAAATTTACCAATCCAATCAGTCTACTACTAACTAGTGAGTACTCGACAGTTGTCACTCGAGCAATCATCGGCAGTGGTACAGTTCAAGCTTAGCTTCAGCAGTGTATCGTGATCTCCACGGCAGTTGAAAATTGCCTTCCGAAGAAACGAAGTTACGAAGGAGTCAAGGAACAGTCTCCTTTTGGTCGGTCAGTATCAAAACAGGAGATCCAAGCTCGAAGTCCAGTCGATTTTGTGAAGTCATTTGCTGGGTCATGGAGTTCTTCTCATAAATGGAGGTGCCTCCTTTTTGCAGAATTATCCAAGGCTCACGCAAAGGTGCGGTTCCTTCTACCCATTTGGTGTAAAGATTGGTGAGTAGTTGATGCATGTTTTTCAAGTTGGACCGTTCGATCCTGACGTGGATCAAATGCATAGTTGATTATAATCGTATGGTGTAAGCTAACATCCATGATGGGTACAAGTTACTGGTGGACAGCTGGACAAGTCGTTCCATTATTTTATTTTTCCTTCAACCACTTCTGCACTTCCATGGCCAGATCATATGCAGTTTTAGCGTCTTCCAAGAGGTTTTTGAGAAGCTTCCTTTCACCTGCTTCGAAATAACTTTCCTCCTCGCTGCTCATCTTGAGTAAACCGTGACAAGCATCTTGGTTGCTATTGCGCTGTCTCATTGCCTCCGAGATCTTTTTTCTCCATGTAACCCACACCTGCGTATCATTCGGAATGAAGGCACGAATGACACTTTCTAATTCGAAATCTAGGTCCACCCATTCCGATTCTGCACAAATAACAGGAGGCTGGAGTACCAGGCATGCGAATACTGCGGCAGTTGTCCTCGTGCCAAGGCTGTACGTCATCATATGATGCTCCTCCAGATGAAGTCCTTCTAGGATCAATTGTTGCTGGATATACTCGTTGTCGATTAAGGACAAGTATGAGTTGTACGCCCATGAAGCTACGAGGGAGGACAGGAACATGATTTGGCCAAATAATGTGCCTTGGGGTATCAAGAGCAGTTGGCAGAGGAATTGTATGATGAATAGGAGCGAACAAAATCCAATGGCAGCGTACTCATATTCGACGGGCTTTCCGACGGGCTCTTCATCTGCATCGCTATTGCGGTCCAACTTGGACCGTTTCATTCCGTCTCCAGGAACGGAACGTTTCCTCTTTTCCTTCCTGCTCCTCCACCTAACCCAGGGGTCATATTCAAGAATGAACTTGCCCCTCGTGATCGTGGCGACGTCTCTCTCTTTCCCGATCAGGAGGACGATATCATCACCGTCCATCAGCATTCCGTCTCCGGGCGGAGCCGTAGGTGCTGAATTCACGCCTTGCAGCTTTAAACGTGCTGATCCTATGACCACGGAGAATATGCCGTTTAAGACAATTCCCAGAAGAATCATTGAAAAGCAGAACCAGTCGTGTGCCCATCCACAAAGTGCACATGTGATGAAGCTAACGCCTATCGGTAGAATTGCAACGAGCGTGTGACGCCCTATACGAGGTGGGATCTCGCGAACCAGCTGCTCTTTAGGCGGCTTATCTTTCTTTTTATGCGTGTTCTTGGGCGGTTCCTCCTCTTTAGCCGCCGCGAGTTCAAAAACTGGCTGCGTCTTGATAATGGTCACTTTATTCCGTTTCGTGACTCTTCCTTTCAACTGATATCCTAGCTCCTCCTTGCTCTTCTGCATTATGAAATACGCAAAGTGGCCTGTGTATCCCAGGACGTATCCAGATCTAGAGGCAACATATTTCGGGCCCTGCTTGCCATCAAGCTCGAAGAATTTTGTGGGTTCTTCATCTGGCCCAGGGAAGAGCCAATCCCAGAAACGGGATTTTGCGAGCTTTCCACACTTCTTGCCAACGTTCAAACTGCCGGGGGAGTTGTACCATCCCAAGAACTTTCTGGCCTTGTAATGATGGATGGTCTGTATAAAGGAGATGGATTCATCGGCCCCGAACAACCCTGCGAGGCCGAATACGTTGAGGGAAAAATTGCCAGGATAGATTCCAATAGGAGGTAGGGGGGGCATGGCACGTATGCTGCGGCTTGGTGTGCTGATTCCTACTCTTTTAAGTAGCCTACCTGACGGAAGGCATTCCAGAAGCGCAAAGGCTCTAGGCTATATGAGCCCCGGGCGCCATGCTATCTAGGCGCCATGATATCTGGTATACGTTCTTCCTGGAGAATGGCCTTCGCCTGTGAAGATTCCTGCTTCCCTATAATTTATGCCAATCTGGCAGTTATCCACTGATTTCGGTGATTAGTCCCTATTTCAAAAGTAATCCACACGGGTATGTTGCTGTGAGCTCGGAGCACTTGAATGTGGCCCTCACCACGAGGATGGATTTATAACGCTGGTGCTGATAAGGGGACCTTCTGTGCTGCGCGGGCCCTGATCGAGTTTCAGAAAGCCGCCTTTGCTTGGGCGTCTGAATGTGCATTTTTTCATATATTATGGTGGCATGAAACCCAATGATCGACAGCACCAAATCCCCGACTCGTCTGAAATGCCTCCACTCCTTTCACCAATTGCAAGTTCTACATATTCTACTGTCGATTTTTTCGGTATCGCTGGTTTCTTCTGCGGCGAGGACGATATTAATGCCATATCCACTGTATATCCGATGAACTTCTTGATGACCTCCATGTGACGACTCGGATATATGAGTTTGACGCGCGTCCGCATCAACTATAGCTGGAGATTATCGAAGAGCCCTTCGAATTCACTTGCATAAAATTTAAATTTAACTTCGTTCTTTTCGGTGTTCGCGGATCAGTTTCATACATTCATGCTTCGTTGACAACATTCCTTTGATCATCACATGCTGTTTCTTTCGACGTCGACCATTCATCTACATACCTTGCTAATCTCAGTCGATCCTTAGTGCTAGCGTGCACTGTTCTTCTCATTGCAACCCCCTCTCTTAATATTTTTGATCATATCACTGAGCTTGTGCAGTGAATCATATGTGATTTGTTTGGATCAAGCAAGATTTCTGCCGACCCGCCGACGTGGGCGGCACTTCCCGAGTACAGGATCCCCCTACATATTGAAAGCGGACGTTGTGCCCACATCGTTTCCCGGATAGCGAAGACAGCCTACGGTAGCGGTGTCCATTGCGACCATCGATCCACCATACGAGCGGACAGAGAATCAATCAGTACTTATTTCTAGGTCCTGGAACTAGGATTTCTTTATCACGCTGTAGTGTGGCCCAAGTAATTTGATAGGGTACCATAGGAGTTCAACATTCATGAATCATAGCGTGGAGTTCGTATTCGTAGCTGTAAATATGGGTACAACAAAGCTATGCGAGTAGCGATAAAGGGGTGAAGTTTTAGTACAAGATAACATCTTGAAGAGCCCTAAAATTAAAGTACCCAGGTGTGTCGGCGATGATACGAGTGGTGGTTCCAATCCTCCGCCAAAGCTGTTTATCACCAGGCGAACAAAGAAGTTGAGCAACAAACGGCTCTTGCATCCTCCGAATCAATGCAGCGGCAGTGCTCTGAGTGACTAAGTCGGTGACGAACTCCTTGGATCTGCCGACCCAACCTTCCTTGTCCTGCTTCGGAAAGCCCACTGTTGTAGGCGGCTCCAGAGAATCAGGGTTATCAACAGTTGGGGCATCAGGAGCCTCAGCGACTGTGCTTCCCTGACGTTGAACAAGACTCGCTTCCCACATTCGCACGATCCGGTATTTCATAGCAAGGCTCTTTCCATATAAAAGAACTAGCTGGTGTGTGACGATAACCTCGAGCTCCGAGAGGCCCTCAGCTTTGACGAGATAGCTGAAGATTCCGGGCTTGTTTGTGTTTGGGATAAGGGTGACTACTTCGTGAACGAAAAAGGGCATACTCATTCTCCCATTCGCAATGAAACGTCCATGAGGCGGATTGCTCAAAACGTCCTTGACAAACTTGACAGCCGAAGAAGACAGGCCAGAAGACAAGCCACTGGTGATACGCTTCGAAGTTTTGAGCAACCTGAATTTCGATGAAGTGGAGTCCTGTTGAGCGTCATAAGACGAGGTCATAAAGCACCTCGGATGCGCAGCAAAGTAACTGTGAAGGGTCGATGACTCTCCCAACCAGTCAAAGAGTGAGAGGTCGTCGGTAAGTGCCATGATCTCCTTCTGAAGCCGCACGAAGGCGTGATGTTTCTCCCCGTACATTACAGGCATGTGGATGCCGAAAATACCTAGCAAGGGCGTTAGAAAAATTCATCAGCTATGTTGACGCTTACCCATGAGGCAATAGGCAATGTCTTCGATCTTCTTAGTTGCCCTAGTGCCCACCCAACTCAAACGCTTCTTGATATTGTCGATGCCGGGTTGGAATACCTTCAAAACGTCGATATCGATGCGAGTGATGTCGTGGAGAATGGTGAGAAGTTCAACTTTGTGATTCTTATCAGAATCGATGAGTGGCTGCCAATCCTGCTTGTAGAATTTAATAAATTGAGGTGCGAGGAGCTCCTGCAACGTCCAGCCTCTCTTGAACCACTGACTATCCTTCAACTGCGAAATATCAGAAACATCTGCAAGGTAAACGATAGTGATTGCCGACTCCTTGTACCAAGAAAACATAGAGATGATGGATTCTTGAAGCTCGGCGTTGTTCGTCTTATCGATACAACACGTATCGCTCCACGCCCATCGGTAGCCTTCTCTCTTCGAGGTAGTACAGAATTGTTGTAGCTTGCAGATTTCCCGTGGGGCATTCATCTCGTAGACGCTGCCCTTGATCTGCCAATACTGGGGTTCGTCCTGCGCGCTTGCCCACCTATGGGAAAGCATCGCATATCGAAAGAATTCGTTAACTTCGCACTGAAGCTTCGATGCGGAGGTGGACAGAAGATTCTCATAGAGTCGTTGGTACTCCTCCGACTCTTTGAAAATTCCCTCAAGGTCATTGCTAGTGTATAGGATGCCGCTATGGGTGTCTATCAAGCGAAGAGGTATGTTCGCTAATTTATCGTCGATTATGTTCTGAAAAGCCTCCCGTAGGTTCTTGAGGGTAACCTCAGGGTGTTCGACAGGGCTGTCGACTCTGTCGGCATCCTCTGCAGTACTAGCAAACTCTTGGCCAGGGATGTCTAAAGATGGGAACATGCCAGATTGCATTTCTGCCTCCTGTTGCGGGGATTCAGCCACTATGGACAGGGAATCTTGGCAAGGTAATTCGTCTTGCGTGTTTGTTTTGTCTTGCAAGTCTCTTGCCTCTTCTCCTTGAGCGTCTTCCGCGGCGGACGTCGAGTCATCCTCGATGCCGTATACGGAGGCTTCAAGTTCCTACATTCAAACATCAGCAAGGACACGTACACAAGCAGCAGGGATCACACCTGGGTAGTGCTACTATCAACAGCGGTTTGTGATATTGTCTTGCGAATGAAATTGAAACGACTGGGGAATAACTCAGAATTGCAATATCTATAGTTCGCGAAACGGACCTCGATTTTTTACCACTGGAAGCCACCGTCACTTGAGATGGGCTTGTACGCTAGAACCATGACACTCACGCTTTGTCGACGCCCATAGCAGATAGCACAAGGCAAATTTGTCACTGAAGAGAGGTGCGCCTGTCTAGTCACAGGGCATGATGAGATGCATTTATACATCGAGGGATAGCATCAGGGGAGCTCAAAGTTAAAGCTCAACGCCCATGCACCATGCCCAATGCCCAACCTCGTAACCGAAATGAATATACCTTCTAAGAATAAATAGAAATATTGAATAGGGAGTAAAGCCACTGATGCAGATAAACTAAACCTTGTGGCTCGAAGCATCCAAACCTTCCCCTACAGTGCGTTGTATTAAAAACTGCAGGGCATCATGTGGCACTCTAAGCGTCATAATTAAGGTTCGTTTGACTGTGTCCTTCTCGCTAACGCTTCCTACGACCGCATTATTAAATCACTCTCTGCACCGAAGTTTGAGCCCTGCCAGCTTCTTTCCACTTTCAGGTTTAAGGTTACTCCAATTCACCCGCGGCCGACTCGGTTTCTACTAGTACCCTGTTATCAGTCAGACCTTACTCGGTTCTTTCGAGTTTCTCCAAACCCTGCACAGACAAAGTCCGAACACCCTCACGTCATTCACAACGAAAAGACCCCAGGCTCTACTCGACATGTTCGCTTCAGCTTAATGCTGCGATTATTATTGAATGAATAGTAGTCTAACTGACAAAACACAAGCGGCGCCATGGCTGAAGGACAAGGTCGAAACTAACAAATTTGCAGTGCCAGCTCTATACCGACCCGCTATCTTTATTACTGAAGATATATGGCGCGCATGTCCAGCTACCACGAACGGCAACGAACAGGCCCACCGCAATGTTGACCGTGACGGCGTGAACTTGACACTACGACCGAGCAGCGCAGAGTATTGATGTTCATGTGTCATTGGGCATTGGCACTCGTGATCGTGATTCCACTCAGGTTTACTGTGCATCGAGAAGTATCACTCGTCAAGGTATGTATCTTCACTCGCACCATTCAATTTTTAACAACAATCTAGCTCTATCACAGCGCCGCCACGTCACGCAAAATCCAGTGGTACGACCTGGCGCAGACAATGGACACCAGGATGCACTGCAGCAACCAGCGCCCCGAAGAATCACACCAGTACCATCCTGCACACTTGCTAATGCCCTTCGCCCAGTACCGGAGCCATGTCTATGGCCGGGGCAGCATACTGTACACACTTATATCGCTGCGCTCCAAGTTGTGACTAGCGAGTTCGACGACTCGCTAGTTCCACTCCACCTCATCCATGTTCCCATCTCGCAGTTCAGTGCTCTTGATGGTGCACTTCGTGGGTGAGTGCTTAGATTATGTACAATATAATACAGCCTCGTTGTTTCAACCATGCTTGGGCGCCACTCGAACCTCAATCAACCCAACCTACAACAAGACATTCTGACCCATTTTACAGCCATGAGCCAGCCTCGCAAAGGGTTCTGCGTTTGGTTCAAACTAACGCATCTTTTTGCTTGTCCATATTACCTCCCCCTCCCTACAACAAAACATTCTAACCCATTTTACAGCCACGAGCAGGCTTCGCGTTTTCAAGGAGTCAACTTGAAAATAGTCGTTACTACACGCTGGGATACAAATGACACGACATCCGAAGACCAACTACCGTGTTAGTAATGAGAACGATACATATGGGAACGGTACGAAGTTGAGGGAAAGACATTAATGAGAGGAAGCCAATGACAACAGATGTCATGGAAGAGCCAGCATGCAAAAAGTGAGGACATTTAGACTTGTAAAAATGTGATGAAGAGACTCGGAAGATCGAACCGACAGGGTAAGGGAATTCGTAACATGCGGGGAGCAAGGATATCTTGAGGCCGTTATATAATAATCGCAGCATTAAGCTGAAGCGAACATGTCGAGCAGAGCCTGGGGTCTTTTCGTTGTGAATGATGTGAGGGTGTTCGGACTTTGTCTGTGCAGGGTTCGGAGAAACTCGAAAGAACCGAGTAAGATCCGGCTGATAACAGGGTACCATGGACTCCAATGACGATGGCTTGATACGCGATAAAGATTATGTCCCTCCTTCACCGAGCCACAACACGGGAGAGCACGGCGGTTGTTGCTAATTTTTAATTCCTTTGCGTACATGGTTCCATTACTCACCTGCTTGAGTAACTATCTCCTTTCAATGGTAAGTATGCGTGCTTGCGTGTAAAGGATCTAGTTTACCCGCGTCTATCTTAGACTAGTAGCAAGCGACACTGAAACTGGCGGTGGTACGGTTCAAGCTTCAAGCTTCAAGCAGGGTATCGTGATCTCCACGACACTTGAAAATTGCCTTTCGAAGAAACGAAGTTACAAAGGAGTCAAGGAGACCCAAGCTCGAAGTCCGGTCGATTTTGTGAAGTCTCTCACTAGGTCGTGGAGTTCTTCTCATAAATGGAGGTGCCTCGGCCCTCCTTGTTGTAAATGGTCCAGAATTATCCAAAGCTCATGTAAAGCTGAGGTTCCTTCTGCCCATTTGGCGTAAAGATCGGTGAGTGGTTGATGCATATCTTTGGACTGACGTGGATCAAATGCATAGTTGATTATAGTTACATAGTGTAAGCTAACATCCATGGGTACAAGTTACTGGTGGACAGCTGGACAAGTCGTTCCATTATTTTGTTTTTCCTTCACTGGCAACCACTTCTGCACTTCCATGGCCAGATCATATGCAGTTTTAGCGTCTTCCAAGAGGTTTTTGAGAAGCTGTCCTTTACCCGCCCCAAAATCCTCTTTCTCCTTGTCGGTCATCTCGAGTAAACTGTAGCAAGCATCTCGGCTGCCATCGCGCGTCTTCATGACTTCCAACACCTTTTTTCTCCATGTAATCCATACTGGCGTATCGTTCGGAATGAAGTTGCAGATGATTCTTTCTGGTTTGAAACCTAGGTCATCCCATTCCGATTCTACACAAACACCAGGAGGCTGGAGCATGAGGCATGCGAATACTGCGGCAGTCGTTCTCGTGCCAAGGCTGTACGTCAGCATATGGCGCTCCTCCAGACCCAGCTCTTCTAGGATCATTTTTTCCTGGATATACTCGTTGTCGATTGAGGACAAGTACAAGTTGTACACCCACGAAGCTGCGAAGGAGGACAGGAACATGATTTGGCCAAATAATGTGCCTTGGGGTATCAAGAGGAGTTGGCCGAGAAGTTGTATGACGAGCAGGAGCGAACACAATCCAATGGCAGTGTACTCGTCTGTGACGGGCTCTTCACCCGGCCTTCGAAACTCGGCATACTCGTTTCTGACGGGCTCTTCACTCGACTTTGAAGACGAAGCACTCTGGTTTGTAGGCGTGGCAACTTGCTTTTGAGGTGTGGCAACCTGCTTTGGACAAGAATTATTTTGACCTCTTTCTGCATCGCTATTGTGGTCCAACTTGGACCGTTTCATTCCGTCTCCAGGAACGGAACGTTTCCTCTTTTCCTTCCTGCTCCTCCACCTAACCCAGGGGTCATATTCAAGAATGAACTTGCCCCTCGTGATCGTGGCGACGTCTCCCTCTTTCCCGAGCAGGAGGACGATATCATCGCCGTCCATCAGCATTCCGTCTCCGGGCGGAGCCGTAGGTGCTGAATTCACGCCTTGCAGCTTTAAACGTGCCGACCCTATGACCAGGGAGGACATGCCGCTTGAGATAATTCCAAGAAGAATCATTGAAAAGCAGAACCAGTCGTTTGCCCATCCACAAAGTGCACATGTGGTGAAGCTAACGGCTATGGGTAGAATTGCAACGAGCGTGTGAAGCCCGCTACGAGGTGTGATGTCGCGAACCAGCTGCTCTTTAGGCGGCTTATCTTTCTTTTGAGGCGTGTTCTTGGGCGGTTCCCCCTCTTTAGCCGCCACCGGTTCAAAAACTTGTTGCGTCTTGATAATGGTCACTTTGTTCCGTTTTGTGACTCTTCCTTCCACCTGGTATCCTAACTCCTCCTTGCTCTTCTGCATTATCAAATACGCAAGATGGCCGGTGTACTCCAGGATGGATCCAGATCTAGAGGCGACATATTTTGGGCCCTGCTTGCCATCAAGCTCGAAGAATTTTGCGGGTTCTTCATCGGGCCCAGGGAAGAGCCCATCCCAGAAACGGGATTTTGCGAGCTTTCCAAACTTCTTGCCGACGTTCCAGCTGCCAGGGGAGTTGTACCATCCCAGGAACTTTCTGCCCTTGTAGTGATGGATAGTCTGTATAGCGGAGATGGCTTCATCGCCCCCGAAGAACCCTGCGACGCCAGATACGTTGAGAGAGAAATTGCCAGGATGGATTTCAAAAGGAGGTTCTGAGGGCATGTCACGTATGTTGCGGTTGGCGCGCTGAGTCCTGCTCTGTTAAGTAGCGTACCGGGAGGCATTCCGGAAGCGTGAGGGTTCCAGGCATTATGAACTCTGGGCGCCATGCTATCTAGGCGCCATCCCATCCGGTACATGTTCTTCCTGGGAAATGTCCTTCATCTGTGAAAAGTCGTGTTTCCTTATAGTCTGTGCTGATCTGGCAATACTACTTGATCCACTGATTTCATTGATTGGTCCCTATTTTAAAAGTAATCCACACGGGTATGTCGCTGTTAGCTGTTAGCCTGTTAAACTTATATGAGGCGCGCATTTGCATGAAGTTTAGCATAGCAATTTAACTTGTACTTACATGTATTGACTTCTGCCACACAACCTACTGCAAGTCCCGAAGAGGTGGTTCAAACAAGAGTCGGCGGCTGAGCGCCGTTACGATAGTATGTCCCTTCCTTTCGCAACTTCAGAAGGCAAGTTTTAAGCGCCATTCCGGTGCAATCGGCACCCCACGGAAGTCATCACTGCCACAAAACTCGTATTTAGTTGCTTGAACACAAAATTCTTAACATAGATCCTATCATTCTCTCTCTAACACAACTCATTACGAGGTTGAACGACCATGATTGAAGCTGAATTGAGTGAGATAAGTTGAAACTTGAAAGTGTCGAAAGCAGAAATGACATCTGCTGACTGATATGTGCCGTGACGGAGTTTCAATACTACAAGACTTGTGCTGGGTGTAGCGCTACGTAGCTGGATATTTTCATCAATTCTGCGCTAACGTCAACCCCAGCTCTCCACCGTGCACATGCAGCATGATAATCCATGTGACATGCTGTGACATTTGCGCGACTGCCGGCTTCTGTGGGGTGCCGATTGCACCGGAACGGACTGTATACTAGCATCTGCATCAACGGCTATTGTAATACATTGATTGAACCGTGTCATTAGTGATCCCTACCCAGTACCTGTGACAACCTTCTATGCCCTGCAGGGAACTGATCAGGCTCCTCTGACTCCGGAGCGCTTTGCATAATTTGGTTATCACTACGAACATGTAGACTAAGCACAACCCTCGACTCGTCTGAAATACCACTCCTTGCGCCACTGGCAATTGCAAATACTAAGGGTTTCAATCTCGATGCCTTTGGTGTTGCTGATTTTTTGGGCGGCTAGGAAGCTGTCACTCCTATGGGCACTGTATATCTGTCTCGCAGGGGCAGAGATGGCTGAAGTGGCTGGTGCAACTCTCCCGATAGACTCGGATAAGGAGTTCGGCAGGATATGCCTGTCAAGATGGCATTATGGAACAGTCCTTTCCTGAGCCTGACAATGATCCAGCCGTTGCATTCGGGCTGAACGTGAAGAAGTACTACTTGCATCGCGTCACGATCTCCTGACACAGCAGGCAGTGGGGATTTATTAAGCGCCAACTCTTCAAGTTCCTTCCACCCGAATCACTCCAGTCACACGAATATCTATTATCACCGTACCTGCAATGCCACGTTTGCTTATCACTTCTAGGCGCAAAACACGAGCCATCTGGTGATTTCGGTCCCTAGAAAATACAACAGAAACTATTTTGTGACGCTTTTAGGCTTCATCGCGAACTTCGAAGTCATGTGCAGTTATCTGGCTGCCCCCGAGCCGGGGCCCGGGATGGCTGCATTTATATGCTTCGTTCTTTGCGAAGACTTTGAGACCTTCCTAATAAGAGCCTGATGATACGACACTTCAATCACCAATTGATGTACTTGCCAGCGATTCACATGTTACGCCACCACACACGACACGAAAAGGTTCAACATATGAGATTGAAAGGGTAAAGCATAGTAGCTGTACATACGATATGTGCGATATCCTGAATATTAATTAACTCCATGATAATTGTGAAAACGTGATAGCAAAACCAGTTACCGAACGCACTGCGGAAAACATGAAAGCAATATGAAATGGAATAGAAATTACCGAAAATTATGATAGCAAAGAAAACTAAAAGGAGATGGTTAGTGAAGCAAAAGAAAAGCGAATTCCAAAGCAAACAGAACATAATTGGGGGGAAAAAACGTAAAAAGTTCAAGTCAGTGTTCACCGAACCTCATAAATTGACTCCATCCGGTCAGATGGTGGGCGAACCAATACCCTAGGGAGCGTTTCGTCTTTGCGAAGTATTCCGCGGGCCTTAATCGACTCTGTCCGACTAAGCGTCAGCGGCTTCAGATGCTTGTTCACAGAACTAGTACTGGGAGCAACATTCTCATCGTGCTCTTTCACCGACTTTGGCTTCTTCTTTCCAAGAACGAGCGGTCGTGTACCTGCGAACCTGTTACTGGCGACATCGCCAGTATTATCATGGTTTGAAACACGATCTTTAAGAAGGGAAAGAGTGCGAAGAGAATTCGAGCCCGACTTCATTGCGGGCTCTATGGCGTCCTTGCGCTGGTTGCTAGACTTGAGTGGTTTCACCACCCGGGAGGACCACTGTGCGAGTGTACGAGACGACATCTCATTAGTGATATTTCGTTCGGTGGGCGGCCGAACCTCTGGCTCTGTTGATGCTTGAGTGTGTTCTTCGGATGACTTAATATAGACAATACTTGAGCGTTTTGAAGTCGTTTGAGAGCGAGACATAGTGGCAGCTTGATGTTTTCGTGCAAAATGGTATTCTTTTTCGTGCAGTGGCGTGCTTTGCGCAGCAGGATCAAATTCGGTCATAGGGTCAAAGAGGGTGACCGTGGATGCAGCGGATGGCGGAGGAAGCATTGTTACGGTGTCAAGGGTAACGACGGAGTTACTTGCACTTTCCATGCCGTGAGGGACTTCAGGACGAAGACCAAGAGTGCGAGTAGACATCGTGGGGCCGAGGGAGGCGCCATTCTGGACAGGCTGCTCATCAACATTCATGGGGGGATGTGCAAGGTTTGGGACCAATTCATCCCCCCAGACCGTGTTACGCCTTCCATCGTTTACAGTGGCGTATCCACCAATCTTTGTGGCAAGTGCGCGGCTAATCTCGGATTTCAAAGCATTGGCTGTGTCCTTGCGAAGACCGAGACTGCGCAACCAACGTCAGAACATATCAATGTAGGAATCAGGGGCTAGCTTACCTAGGAAGACTGAAGTGATGTCTCTTGTGCGCAGATGCCTTCTTGGGCCTGACTTTGCCGTTGGAGGGTATCGAGTGCAGCGCGGTACTCTCCCAGTCTCCTTTGGCGAGCACACCAAAGTCATCATTATCCTTCTGGGTGTGGGAAGCTGGCAGGCGCTTCTTCTTTTTCACAGTGCTGCTGATCGGGGGGTCGAACTCGAACTCGAAATCCTTGATCTTCACATCACTTCCAACCCTCAAACCAGGTACAAGAAGGGGCAGAACACCAGCAGTGAGCACGTCGATCTCGTTAACATCGTCGTTGACGACTGCGCCGAAGCTATAACCAGACGAATACGACTTCCGGTGGATGAGAGTGCGCGTTGATTGTTGCTTGGCAAGACGAACATTAGGAGGTGTGGGAGGAAGAGGTTGAGACGGAGGTCGGCTGGGGCTGGGGCTGTAGTCTGTGCTGATTGCCTGACCGATGACTGAGGAAACAGAGCGGGAGCGGAGGTGCGAAGAACCAGAAACGACCGACTTGCTCTTCTCCATGCCAACACCAGTAGTTACAGTGAGAAAATCACCACCTTGCTTCTCCGGCGATGCTGTGACAACCACTGTAGTTGCAAGCGCTGAGTAATGCCTCTGGGCGACCATTATTCGCGAGGCGAATTCATCGCCTGAAATTCTCGACTGAACCGACTGCTTTCTGATTCTCCCGAACTCCGCAGAGTGGGGGGTGTTGGGGAACACAGAAGTATTGAATGATTCAGACTCGGTCTGCATTGGCAAAGGGGGGGTCATCTCTCCATCTTCCTTTTCATCATCAGGGGGGAGTACAGCTAGGCGCGGAACAGGGGTCATAAGACCAAGTGCCCTGCTAAGCTTACCCTTCCCGTTCACGGCGTCCCCTTGTGAGAGCCAGACATCTCCAGAGCGTCTCCCTTCGACAACTGTGACTGACCCAGACCGCTTGTACTCGCGGTTGCAGTCGGTGAGAGTGACAGCCGGAGATGGCGCCCGCATGCAGACTGAGGGAGGTTCCTCGTGAACCTCGAAAAGACCGGTCGGAATGGGGATGGGCGAGCGCATAATGATGTTCATGGCAAGGAGAGGCGAAGACAGCGTGACCGAGAGGGCAAGAAGAAGAGGCATGGCAGAAGATACGAAGCCGCTTCCAACGAAAGATAGGATATATGGCAGGGAGAGCGCCTGGTGACAAGATATTAAAGCCAATTTAACGTTAGACAAGGAGGACTTACCAAAGGAACCCAAATTGTCATCATCCAGCAGGCATACCGATAAATTGAGATGTCAACATCATTGCCATTATACGCCAGAGAAGCAAGGCCCCTTTCTGAATCACCCTGGTATCCGTATCCTCCAAGAACTCGAGCACTCGACAGAGCAGGAGTCAGGGGCCGATTGCATTGGGGAAGAAGCTCAGCGTTAAGATCAACAGCGCTGACGCCACCCTGATGGCTGGTGGGATAAGACCATGCAGAGTGCGAGATTTGAGACCCAGATGGGGAAGTCAGCCATGAGCTCTGCGAGCCAAGACGTGGCCGAGTCGGAGTGTCACGACGGAAAGGGTCAGGATCAGAGCTTAGTGCGTCGGTGCGTGATGAAGGGTGAGATGAAGGCAATGGCGGGACTGGCGGAATTAGTGCGTCACCGGTCGCAGGCGTAGGCGGATCAAACCAGTAAGACGATTTAGGCGCAAGGGAGGTTTTGGATGTCATGGCACAGTCGACGCGTAAGGAACCAGAACGGGGGTGCGTTTGATGAGTCGAGAAAGACCAGTTGGACACGGAATCTTGATGCGTACTGCCGGCATCAGAGGTGAGCCAGGAGCTACCTTCCCTGAGGACGTCAACATCCTCAGTCGCGAACGAGGGGCGGGGTTTGTCCTCAACTTCTTTGGCAGGTGGCCAGCTGTCTGTGGGATCATTGAGTGCAGCAAGATTGCGCCGGATCACCACGAGAGTGTACACGAGACTGCCAAACGAGGCACTGCTCAAGACGGCAACAGTAGTGGAATATGCCAGGATTCCAACGAAGAAGCTTGGGACACCTGCCCCCGAGATAACGCCAGAGAGTACAGTGGATGTGAGCCCCAGGAGCAGGGTGGGTGCCCACAGCATCCAGTGTCTGTATCCGAAGGACACCGACCGCCCCATACGAATGTGGATCAACGTGAGTGCGGACACGACAAAAAGACAAGTCTGCCTGATTGTCAAGGCAAACCACAACCTTGCTGAGGATGCAGCGTCACGGGCCTCGCCATATGCTGCAGGGCCACCATAGTATTCACTAAATGCCTGCCAAATGAAGACACATAGAGCTAGGGTATCGAGGGAAGCCAACCATAGGTGACTCTTGTCGGCTGAAGAAAGAGAACGAAAATTATAATCAGGCAATCCAAACTCGGACTAAAAAAAGATTAGCTATTTGAGGCTCATGGGAAGATTAAATACACACGGGAGCGACTCGTCTGCTTAAAGGATGAGGCGGAAGAATTGGAATTACTATGCGAAAAATGACGAAAGCTGATGATATAAACGAGACGAAAGACAGAATAAGCGTTGGAATAAAAGGAATCATGGCGAACGTTGAGATCGTTGAGAGCGTTGATAAATTCTTGAATGGATCTCGGATTTGACTTTATGAGAGAACGTTGGATGCGTGAATGCGTGAACGGCGTAAGGCCTTCGTGACAAAAAGCCGCTATTGAAAAAAGCGCCCGCCTTAAGGAAGTGCAATGAAAAGTTTAAATGTCTGAACAACTCGGAAATCGAACATGAACCAAATAATGCTGGACCCATAATAACAAATAGTACATACTTGTCAACAACGCGTTACCCACGTGACTTTTGATTTTTGAATCAGATCCTGGCCGGAGGAATAAGTGACAGTTGCCAATGGAAGAAGATTAATTTACCGATTCATATACAACTGCACCGACAGTCGGAACACCATAGGTCGTTAATATTGATAATGCCTTTCAACCAACCAAATTTCGACCTAGTAGTTGGAATGGTTTTGGCAAAGGCTTTAGAAATCAACAGAAACAAACAACGCGCGCTCATCTTCGATTCCACCTTTCGAGCTGGCTACGGATTATGCCTACCATCACTGACCTCCCAGATGAGCTTTTGGATGAAATAGCGCATCTCTTACCAAAGAGGACCCTATCCTCCTTATGTACCGTTTCAAATCGCTTTCAATCCCGTGCAACGCGATGGCTCTACCGGTGTCTGGCCCTGGCGGGCAATGGTGACACGATAAAAATCTGCAAGGTCCTCATTTCAAACAAACTTGCTGCTATCTCCGTTCGCAAAGTTCTCCTGTGGCCAGGTTTAGCATTCTCTCGCCCAAGTCTCACAGGAGGGTAAGTACTTGCCCTTCGTCATCTGCATACGTGTAACCACGCTCGTTCGATTCAACAGACCCTTTTATCTCTATCTGTCCGCCTTTTACAAGTTGCTGTCCCGTGCCTTGGCTTGTGCGGTAAATGTGGAAAATATCCGGTTAATGTTTCCTTACTGTGGAGCATCTCTGGCATTAGATGCCTGCGCGTTCCCAAACCTTCATTCCTTTGCCACCACAATGGAACCCCATACTCTTGCCTCGTTCGTCAGGAGACACCCACAGCTTCAGGAGCTGCATATATCTCCGAGTGACCTGAGATCCATCTCATTGTCAGAATTCAATGGAATATCACTTTCCTCGCTGAATTCGGTCTGCCTTCCTCAACCTTTGCTGTTTATAATTTCTCCGGATGCACCTCTACAATCTGTTTTGTCTCCAGAGATTGAGGATGACAACGAAGAGATCCCGGATTTTATCAGGCACCTTTCTCGATATTGCACAACGCTCGCTGAGCTTCATTTGTGCCGTCCTCACTGGAATGCCGAAGTTTTAATGCATGTCGCGACTTTGCTGCCGAAGATCAAAAGCTTCACATTCACTAGGATGATACCTGGTTTACACCACTATTCCAATGCAGCTGTAAGTTGTCGCTGCGCTCCGAAAGCTCACGACGTTTATGGGTGCAGTTTCTCGAAGCATGCGAAACAGCACTTCCTTTTTTCAGCTCCCTCGGTCAATTGCGTATCGAAGTTGCACGCAGTCGAGAACTATCGGGCTTTACTTTTGCGTCTGACTACAGATCCGACTTCAAGATGGTTCAAATATGGGGCAACATATGCCCGACCCTCAGTGTTTGTGCCTTTCCATGTACGTACGCCTAACGCTCAAGTATGTTAATGATGGGGAAGCGACTAAACGACCCATAGCCGGAACCGCGTGGCATCGTATTGAGGACAATGTATGGATGCCGGACTTGCACCACAAGGCTGCAATTCGGTGGTTCTTTGAGGCCGCCTCCACAGATCAGTTTCCGATCCATGTCATGGGGTCTTTACAGCAGTTCTGCGATTCCATGGGGCAAGTTGACACCTTGGGACTACTCAAATTTCGGTCGCCGTCAGCCATGGAATCAATTGGCCTTTATCCCCAGACAGAGGAGGACGAATCGGAATTCTATTCAAGTGATTCGGATGAGAACGATGTCGAGATCGAGGAATAAGATCAAGTGATATAGGTGACGGGCAACCGGGTCTGGTTGAAGAAATCGTGTCGTTGAAAAGGGCCTGATGGTATGTGTCTTGCTGTACACTACGAATATTTATGCATCGATGTCAACACACCACTGTGCGATCGTGATATCATCCCTACACTACTACTACTGAACTGCACAAAGACTGAGATCATGGGTATTTACGGATCCATGTAATAAAAGGGTAGACACCATCTGCAGGTCCAGAATTTATCATAACGCGTAATTCTGAGCTGTGTCCGCCAAATCTGTGAGTAGTTTGACCTCATCCAGCATCTTCCCCAGCCCGTGCCCCGGCCGCCTCGCGAGCAGCATGCTCTGCCTGCTCAGCTTGCTCTTTCTCTCGACATTGCCGTTCGGCTTCTTCGTGAGCAGCTTGCGCTCTCCTAGCTGCCTCTGCTTGTTCAGCCTCATATTGTTGTCGCAGTTCTTCTGCCAAGCGCATGGTTGCCTGGTGGGCTGCTATGGCAGCCCTTGCCTGGCATTCTTCCTGGTGTGTACCCTCGCATGCAGCCCTTTGATAAGCAGCTTCAGCTCTGGCGATCGCCTCAGCTTCAGCTTGCTCTTGTGTACTTGCTGCCCAGTCTGGCCGCCCGCCGTGGCTTGAATGTCCTGCACCCATGAGTCTTACAAAGAATTGTATATGACGACGTTAGTTGCTCGTTGGTACTAACAGGACGTCAGCGGAGATGACTTTAGCATAGTACATTACTCACCTGAATCGATTGACGATGTAAGGTCTCTACGGGAGTGCCCACTGCCTAGAGTCTGGGCAGGCCCAGGGTGGCTCAAATATTAATACACACCGCCTTGTTTTAGCAGCCTCGAGGTTCCCCCGAGGGACACTGGCTGAACAACCGTACCATTAAGGTGCCGTAATAAAAGTACTGCAAGTCTCAAGAGGCGCCAAATACCACTGTCTCTGACTCTCTCGTTGTTGGCATTAATTCAAGCTTCAAGCTTCATCAAAGTCCCATCACATGAGTTTTATAAAAGGGCCGGAGACCACCGAGCGCGAGAAGCTAGCTGTTCGAATTAGATATCAAAGTAGCCTCTCTAGTCATCATTCTGGCTTATACTCTATGTAAAGTTCGTAGCATGATCACATCAGATTAGACGCGTGAAGAGCTAGTGACTCCCGGCATCCCAGGTCTGAGATGCCACTTCAGGTGCAGGGCCCAGCGCATCGGACGTATGGTCCGCCGCATAATCCAGTTATTTAGGGTGCCAATGTGGCCGGCCAGTGCGGGCCATGTCACAAGGATGACTATGGCGACCCAAATGGGATATGCAATCGAGACAGTGATAACGTCAGAAGTGCGGAAAATCACAATAGACAACGATGCAGCAAAGAATATTACACTGTCAAAGAATGAGCTACTACTCCATGACATTTGACCAGCAACGCACCCCCAAATCAAGAATGCAAACGGCAGACTCAGCATCAGGGCAAGGCGCTCGATAGAACTTTTCATTCCAAACATGAATGACGCCTGGTGGACGTAAACAATAAAAGTAAAGCAGCTGGAGGCAGACTTACCACGCGTTCAGCGGGGTATCGCCGGCCGTCATTAAGTTGTCTAGCGAAGACTAGTGTGACCACAAACGAGCCCATGGCACACAAAGTGGACAGGTATGATACAAGGATTGCGGACGTTTGAGTCTGGACGAATGGGATCGCGAGAAAGCTGATGTCGACAGCAAGTAACACAGTAGACTGGCATGGATATTGGTCACTTCAACAATATAAAGCAAGGTACAACTCACGAATATTGCGTATCCATTCCATTCGCTGCTGAGCCTATCGGTAAAATTCCTATACCGCCCCAATTGGATAATCTTTTTATCGACCAATATCCAGTGAAGGACCTTTCTATGAGCATTGGGGGATCCAAACATAACGAGATTCATGACTCGAGAAAGGATGGTGTCTGAGCGCTTGTCGGAATATTCGTATATCAGTTTGTTTGTGTTACATCGGGCACTTGGTTGTCCACAAAAGTTTAGAAAGTTGACGATGCCTAGCAACCTATCAGGAAACAGGGTGCGCTAACTACTGACGCGGGCTCACAGAATCGTTCCATACATCGAGCTTAAATCAGCGAACATGTCAGAAACAATGAACTGGCATTTCATTCTCAGACCTACCGACGATGCGAACGGAATGTTCATTCTCCTTGTTGAGGCTGCCTGAAAAAATATCAACAACGCTACCCCAAAAATTGTGAATGATTCACTCATTAGCGGATCTATAAGGCCGAGCATGCTTTCAACCTGGTCCGAAGCAAAAGGTGATAGAGATGCGCCAAGATCAATGTATTCTATTGCGAGTCATTCTGATACTGCTTGGAATTCTTACTGGTCTGCACTCGCCTGTTTGTGCGTGTATAAGGAGTTCTTTGAGTCTGACAACGATATCTTCCGGAAGACAGCGTTTGTTTGGAAACAGATTTATATGTCCCCTGTCGGCATCATGATGTGAAAATCAGGAAAGTTCAAGATGGGCTACAACAAAGTGTCAGCGCATACACTCGGAAAAGTGAGAAAATGCGCACTTCGGAGGCGTACGAACCAGTATTCGCTTTCTAGTGCATACTCTGAGAGAGACGCAATGAAAGGAGCTTCAATGGAAAATGTTCTACGGAAAGAACTCACTGACGTGGCTTTTGCGTTCTACACCTCGAACATCAAGCATGAGGTGAATCGATTTGTGGGCTTCGAACCAGAAAATGACTCGTCTGTCGTGATCAACAAAATAGTAGCCGATGGTGTTGCTATCCCCCAACATGAGCTCCAACGCTAACTCGACGGACGGAAGCAAGGCGATGTCTGCATTCCACGCTTCTTTGTATGCCTTCTCAGCAGCCTTGGACATTTTGGCCGCAGTTTCAGGGTCTCGAACATCAACGTCAGTGAAAACTCTCTGGGCAATATGAGTAAAGCCATGCAGGAGAAGCGGCAGACACACTTTATATGGCTGATAGAAAAACAAAGCCCCTGACGGGTGGGTGAGCGGCTCCCATCCTGCTACTGGAGCAAGCTCCCTATGAGCCCATTTCAATCTCGCCGCTGGCTCTCTCAACAAAATGCTTACTCTGAACAGTCCAAAGGACCTTTCGCGACCTCAAACACTACATAATCATTTCGACTGTAAGAAAGGATCGTTACGAGAACGCGCTCTTTAAACACAATTTGCGTACATCTTTGCTTCCCTGTCGTTTCGCCTGATCTGGCTGGGTGTAATGGGGGTTAAAGTGATGCCAGGGGACTGCCCTGGAACCGGAGACTGTGGTGGAGTGGTGTAGATGCTGGGCTCAGACCCGGAGCTTGGCATCAATGGTGAACATGAGTTCCGGGGGGACTGGGCATTGAAAGCTACGGGATGCAACCCTTCGTCAAGCCCCGGGGTTTGAATCTGAACGTTGGTTCCAGGTCGGCACCCTTCGTCATGTAGAGGTGCTTGAAGTAGCGGTACAGCGAGGGTCACAGAAGTTGTCAACTTGTCTTGTTCAGTTTGCCGAGAGCTCAACGCTAGTAAACCCCGCTCTCGACAAAGTCTATCTGCTCTACTAATGGCGGCTTGCCACCAGCGTCGAATCAGCCGCAGAAGGTCAGAAAGGACACTTATGTATGAGCGAGATGCAGCCGCCCTGATAATGAGCCCCAACCAGGAAATGAACTTGAACATGCTGCGGCGGATGTATTGTTTAGGCATGCTCATCAACGATTCGAGGTATTGAAGTTGAGGCGAGTCCAGACTCCAGAACGTCTACTAGCAGGCGAAAGAGTAGTAGAACAATAGTTTTGCGGGCCGTGCACAGTGCCAATAACAACGTTCGATTTCTAATATGGACGTTTCAGCCTTCAGGCCAGCCGCAGGAGCCTGCAGGCTGCCTCGTGGTTCAATTTTACGGTGCTGGTCCACAAGGTCTGCTCCGTCAGTCCACCATGTCTATTCTCCTAGACCAGCATAGACCAGGTTTGAGTAATCTGCCGTGTAACAGTTGGAACACGAAGTGACATTATAGTAGGCGCCATGAATCATGATGCAGGAACGCGGTGTGGAAGTAACCGGCTTGGCCGCCCAGTCAGGAAATTGGCCAGTCCGACGGTGGCACTGTCGCAGTGTTGACAAGGTCTGTATCGAGAGTTTCCGACCAGTATGCACCAGCCACCGATTGAGGGTCGAGATCAAGGAAAGAGATATAAGTAGTAGGTGTCGGCAACCGAGTCCAATACCGTGAATATGATTATCACGTAGTTGAAGAAAATCGTGCTATTGAAATATAGTACATGAACGGTATCTACTACAGGTCGTCCCTACGACTGAAGTCACTGAACTGCACAAATACTGAGAGCATGTATATTTACAGATTCATGCGACAAAAGTAGAAAAGCATCTGCGGCTCCAAACCAAGCCCAAACCATTGTCATACACCCTACGCGGATCTGTGAGCCGTGCCCGCCAAATCTGTGAGCAGTTTGACCTCATCCAGTATCTTCTTCGGTGCCTTGCCAACGACAGTTGTTTGTAGAGAAACGTTCGACACGAGATAGACCGGTTGATCAGGCAAGTTCGCCTCTTGGAGGTTAGTCCTGATGCTACGGATGGTTTCTGCCACGTATTGGTCGCGCGCCCGCGCAAAGTAACTAGCCTTGTTTCCACCTTCATCGTCACTGTTATAGCCTATATCTTTCATTAGGTTCCTGATGTGCTGATCCGCTTTAGAGCGGACGATGAACGCGGGAATGCCAAAGCGCCTAGCGTTGGAAAGGATAGCGACATCAGTGGCAGTGAAGCGATTGTTGACCACAACGATGATGCAGTCGAAGACGAAGAGTCCTTGATCATTGAAGTATTTCCAATCGGGGACCTTTAATGTACCCGCTCCGGGAACATCGTACCAGACGAAGCGGCTGGATGGATTTGGATCAGGGTATCTGGCCACCACGAGAGTAGTCTCGTTCACGCCGACCGCGGCGGCATCAAGATCCATATTGTGCTTGCCCCGGAACGCGTTAACCAGCGACGACTTGCCGCTACCAGCTATACCGCTGACGGCAACATGGAAGAAACCTCCGGTATGCTGTATCTTAGCTCTGAAAGCAGAATATTCTTCAGGGGTAGGCACGACCACAGGTCGGGTGCCATCTCGCAATTGTCTCTCGGCTTCCTCTCTCGCAGCTTGAGCTTGTCTGGCTTCTTCAGCAGCCCTTTGTGCGGCGCGCTCAGCTGCTTCCCTCTCGGCTTGGAGTCTTCTGTTTTCCTCTTCCCTAGCTCTCTGTTGCCGTTCCCGTTCTTGCTGGGCAGCGACGGCAGCTTGCCTAGCAGCTTCTTCAGCAGCTTGCTGTCTGCGCCTCTCTTCTTCAGCTTCTCGCGCCAGTCGTTCGGCACGTTGTCTTTCTTCGCGAGCCCGTGCTTCTGCAGCCTCGCGGGCAGCACGTGCCGCCTGCTCGGCTTGCTCTCTCTCGCGGCGCTGTCGTTCAGCCTCTTCGCGAGCAGCTTGCGCTCTCCTGGCTGCCTCTGCTTGTTCCGCTTCAAAGCGCCGTCGTGCTTGTTCCGCCTCGCGCATGAGCCGTTCGACCTCAGCACGGGCTGCCTGAGCGGCACGTTCTGCTTCTTGACGAGCAGCTTCAGCTGCGGCGCGAGCGCGAGCGCGAGCTTCAGCTTCTTGTTGTGCACGAATTGCTCCCCAGTCTGGCTCCCTGTGATGTGACTGTCCTCCACCCATGACTAGAATTTCGACAGTTGTAGATGAAGATTTCGTCGGTTGGTCGGTGGCACTAGCAGGATGTCAGCAAACATGGATTTTGGCATAGTTCATTCAATCACCGACCTGAATCGGTTGACGATGTAGGTCTCTATGAGAGTGCCGTTTGAGAATCTGGGGAGTCTGAGGATGTCTCGGCTGACTCAAATACCTCCTACGACCAGCAGCCTCGAGGGACCATCAAGGGTAACAGTGGCAGTACAGTGATTGAACCGAGTACGAACCAGTGCACAAGCCTTGTCATATTACCTGAAAACGTCTGACGATGATCATGAGAGTAACTTCTTTCGAAGCACACAGCGTCTCCTATTAACTACCGCGAACACGGTAGTCCGGCGTGTAAGGCACGTCTATGGATAGGAGAATGTAGCTACCAAGTAATGATAGAGCTTCATCACAGGTTCACCAGAACAACTTTGTCCTCCAGCACTGCGCCGGCAATTGCCGTCATAATGTTATCACGAGTAATATTAGCCTATTGTCATATCATACATGTCCTCCGAGTCAGCTTGGTGCAATGTCATGATCTATCAAACAGCTTCAAGCTAGAATCCATCATCCCAAAAAAAATCAATTGCACGAGCGTAGATCGTCATCAGTGGAATATCGCAGTCGACCGAGACGAGCTTCTTGCGATAGTCCCTAAGCGCTTTCGTCTCAATATAGTTAAACCACTAGACCCAACCGTCTGGACCACACACGAGCCCGCAATCGTCCTCGTTGCTAGAGCGCATGGAGTTACCATCTGAAGAAAGAAGTTTGCTCAGTCGAATGGACTTGAATGAAGAAGGGGTATTGGGCATGCGTATCAATGATAGCTCGTCAAATCCTGTGAAAAGCTGGAACACGAGAAATTCTGGGTCTCTACAGCATACAAACACACCACCAGATCCTGGTCAAAATTCGCCTTCGGTATGTTGCTGGCAAAAAGTTCGGTCACGATACTTACGTTATGCCAACCAATTGAACTTAGTATACGAGACTGCGACCAACAAGGATTACCCTTAACTTTCCGTCTCAGACTCCCCCCGCGCAAAAGTCCAGCAGCGCATTGTTACCATCTGCATTCGAATCTGGGGTGATTAGTCTGTTAACCACAGGTTTTGACATGCTACGCGAACCTCTACCGGAGTCAACAACTGCACACAATGGTGGATTCGCATCCATTGTAGAGAGGTGCAGGCAACATCTAGCACCTGTTCTTCTTATGTCTGCCAAATCTCAAGATTCTTCGACAACTCTCGACATCACAGCGTGTGCAGCCATGCTTACCGATGATCGTTGCCGCGTGTTTCTGCAACAAGCTAGAGATATGAAACTTCAAATGGATGCCCTTGCCCCGCACCCACCGGACAACCCCCTAGTCGTCGCAGTTGATGCAACCATCAACAAGGAGGACTTAAAACGCAGCATGGATAGACATGGTGAATCCACTCGGACTGCACGTGTTGGGCTAGATTCCGGGTCACGGAAGGATAGCGAAGCTACATTGGTAGATTTGCCAATTGACCTCGAGGCCTTCTCACCCGTCGAGAATTCCAGACAGAGCTTTGTCAAGGACATCACACTCCCAGTCAAACAGATCATGGAATATGATGGAGCTCTGTCCCCGCACGACCCAAACCCGGCAAATGTTCAAATGTTGACTCCTGCCTCTGTTCCACATCAGATGGCTCCATTGTCGTCGATTCCTGTGGAAGACATCGAAATGACGACATCTTTAGCACGTCACTCAGCAAACTCAGGATTGTCTCCTGCAGATCCTCAGAACATAGCAACAAGCTCTTCTGCCGACTCCTATCCGTTGTTACTGAAAACTCCAACCCTCTCTATACCCGGAACCTGGTTCGGGCGTCAGGGTCTTACTCGACCAGGCATACTTAACATTGATTTTGCGGTGGGAAATGGCATTATTCCCGCAGCTTCGTCAAGTAGGTACGCAAGACTCCACGGTTTTAACTTAGGCGGCTTCCTTACGAGAGATCCTAGCTCCCCCAATGCCCCATTTACCGTGCAACTTTCTTGTTTCCGCAGGGATCCTCGTCATGAGCTTCAGGAAGGTGATAACTTGGATACCACTCTTGACAAAATCAGGAGTGTGGGAGAAGATTGGCCTACCAAAGGCACCCTCGTGGTACAATTGAACATTGAAAGCCCCAATGGGCGGTCCTGGCTTCCCTACGAATTGGTATGCAGCTATTTGTGGGTGCTACTCTAGAAAATAAATAACTTAGCGTCTGCTACAGGAAAAGGGGGCACTGAATGTGACCCCGTCTATCACGCAAGGTAGCAACACGTTACGTCTAATACACCTCAGTGATCTATCCGACTTTACCTTCGTTCTGTACGCCCTCTCGCCAGAGCTTCCAAAGAGGGCGGAGCCCTTGAGGGGACGATGCTGGGCATCCAAAATTACCCAGCCAGACTCAGAGATACCATTTGACACAACAAATATCATTCAGCAGTATGCAAACATACCAGTTATTGTATCATAATAGTTACCTTCGTACCTTCAGGTCAGCGTCAGTTTAATCTACGTTGTTTACCTCTTGCATTGTAAAGTCACGCACGACATGATATCTTGGCATCAATAGCAACTTTCCTTAATAAACATGACAATAGGCTAATAGCATCTGAAGCGCTCGCTTTGGTATCAGAAGGTGGGTATATACTACGTCACCGCTAAGTTTATCAAAACGGTCGCCTCGAGGCGCGTTACGTTGACCTCGGTAACCGAAAGTGCCTGCCTGCCTTTCCCCACACGTTTCTTTCCCTCATCATCCTTGTACTTTTGGAAAACATCCGTCAACCCTTCATTCACTTCTTTACGACCTCACGACTTCACTACGGCATACTCACTCGCACTAAGCCATCTCCACCATATCATGTCCGGTGGAGACCCAACCCACGCCACACTAGAGCCTCCTGATGTCAATAGCACAGAAACTGAGCGACAAAAAGGTAGAAATCTCAAGAAGGATGAACGGGGGTATGCACAAGTGTACCTCGCTCGAGCACGGATTGAGGGGATTGAGAAGTGGAGAGCGGCCGTGGACGCAGCGCTGCGGGCAGCCGAGGAAGAACGCACGCGGTTTGAGGAAACGAATAGGAAACGACGAAGAATCGAGCAAGATGCGTGGGGAACTCTTGAAGAGACCCAAAACAAGGAAATCGAGGAAGCTTTGGCGCAGGACGTCCCAGTTGAGGTATGCGACTAGTTATTGTCATCATCTCGTTCCTCCTGATATTCTCGTCTATAGCATACTGACGCAGTGGGAGGTACAAAGCAGAAGCGCCGCAGTAGGCGACATGAGCTCTGGAAAGGCCTCCGAAATATGTTTTTTAATATTATCTTCTAGCCAAGTCCGTCGTCTGATTTCTTATCGTCGGTGTTCGCAATAGCACAATTTGGAGTTTTGGGAGGCATAGTGGGTGCATGGCGACCGGTTGAACGAAAATGGCAGCCAGCAATTACGAGGTAGAAATTGCCATCGCAGCCTTCCTTGACTGAGCTGGACTGATGCTCATTCCACCAAAGGACGCGCCCAATCCATCGTCATCTGACTCTCCCCGTTTAGAGGCAGTGATTGGTATGCACGAGCCGCCTCGTCCATGCTCCCAGTCATCAACTGTTGGACACTCTATCAGTTCATCTTCATCTTCATCCTCTTCTTCATCTTCATCGCCGATAGCCACCGTTGCCCACTCTCGATACACGCTTTGTATGTACTCGCCTGAGCGGGGTAGTTTGAAGGGATCAAAAGGGAAAAAAGTATGCAACTCCTGTGGGCCAGCGCTACCGGGTGCTACACCAGCAAATACAGGGTACAATGCTCGTTTGTTCGCCTCCAGAATGGAGAAGCAGTATGTGAAATCAGTTGCTCGCGCAATACGAGCAAATTGATGTACAACATTCTGAGAGCAGACCTATTTTGCAGCAGTTAGCCAAAGAAACTCCGCACTGATGACGCTTAGCAAACCTTGAGAGGGTTGAGATCAGATGTGATGACTCTCTGCACGACTCCTAGCTCGCTTATCCATGTCTTCCGCCCCACCTCTTGTTCGTCCGGTTCTTCCTGTAAGTCACGCCAACGGAAGCAAAATACCAGAAATACAGACTGGACAGCCGCATAAAAAACGCTGTGATTATTGCTAGCGGCATTGCCAGCCTCGACAGCATCTAAGTGTGCTTCAAGAAACGCGCATAGGACCTTAACGGCCCTCTGTGCGCCCTCACGATCAATAAACTGTGCGCGCGAGACAAAGCTCCCGATATAACTGCTCGCTGCCGCACGTTCCACGCCACTCGCGCTTGCGCTTCCAAAGAGGGCTTTGTCGACAAGTAGTCCAAGGAACAGGTCTGAGAACTCGGGATGAAGGGAAGCGTACCAGAAAAGGAGGAATTGAGTATATCGGGACTTGAAAGTGCGGAGAATAGATCTGTCGAAGATGGCTAGGAGAGTGTGGAATTGGATTGCGAGGAGGGTATGTGGCTCGTGCGATTGCGGGTCGCGATCGTGCGCAGTTAGTGGATGAAGGGAGGGAGAAGAAGGCACGAGGACGGTAGGTATGGATGAATGCAATTTGTTGAAGTGGTCAAATACGAGCCTGAGAATTGCGTCGAGTTTCGAGGCCATATCATGAATGTGTCTGGTGTCTGTGAGGGTATCTTCAGCACCGCCGTCTGACGATGCATCAGACGATAGGTCGCTCAGGCCATCGTCAATATCCTCCTCCTCATCAGAAGAGTCACCCTCCTGCCCTACTATGGTATCAAATGGATCAAATTCGAAAAGTTCGCTGTCCGTAGGTTCGGCGTCCTCAAGCTCTTCGAGCTCTACTTGAATCTCCACCTACGTGCAAATAACATTAATTAGGATCCAGCCGCCTGGAGAAAAGAGCGTGCGCTTACATCGACCATCAAAGCCCGATCCACGATAAGGCCTAAAACCCTCTCTGAAAGTTCGCTACAATACTTGGTTACACGCAGCAAATTTCGTATATAAGCTACATGTGCAGCTTGTGGCTGTCGTTTATGGGGGAAGTTTCGTACGAGGAGAGGAGCCAGAGATGACGGGAGAGTTGGTACAAGGTTTAAGAGATGTTCGAGAAGAGCATGTTGTCGATCATAGACCACACGTCTCGTTAAGGGTGTGGAGCCCTCTAAGTTGGAGGCGACAGCGAGAAGACCAGATTCTGCGAGTGACGCGTTAAAACTGCCTGAATATTGTTTTCATGGCGGTAGTAACTCACGATATGTGAAACCCATCGCTATCCTGTTGAGAACAAGCGATAGGTATTCTGGACGCGCACTTATGAGCATGCCAATGAATACGATATATGATTTGACGAAGACAGCATCCATGGTAGACCATGGTAGACGAACGATTGCCTCTACCAGTGGCGCGTGACGCCTCTCGAGGCGAGAAAGGACGTGTGAGAGTGCAGAAAGCCAGATACGGAGCTGCAGAGACGGCACGGTAGGTGCAAGCGTAGATTTATTTGGACTAAATTGGTCAACAAGGTCATCAAAATCTTTGCTATGCCCCTGCGCACGGGGATCAGCACGCGATCAAGTGATATGCCGCCACATACTCACATTAAGCTTCTCGCGTATGGCCTTATTCACGTATGCGAGGAACATGTCCTTTTTGAATTGTTCATCCTGCTTCACCCGCGAATTTGTCGCGATAGGGCGAGAGGTGAACAGTGGCGAGTCCGATGGCATGGATGATGAGGAGGCTTTGGTATACTTGTCTAGGGTGACCTTTTGGGTTGGCTCGAATCGCACGGAAGGTGAAAATGGCCCAGTCTTTGGTGCTCTTTGATTGAACTGGGAGAGTCTTGAATGCGGGTCCATCGTGACTGTTTATGACTGCTTCGCATCCAGTGTGCAGCTGTGCAAGATAAAAAACATCCTATTATTATTAATGAATTATTAATATTTTAGGTTATCCCAAGAATTGATGTTTATTCCAGTTAAGTCTCCCAGTCCTCATCGCCAACCACAATGTCTACCTCATTCTCGTCGGCTCACAGGCTCTATGTCAAGTCACTCTACCGTCGTATGCTGAAAAATGAATTAGACTGGGTTGTTCGCAGAGATATCTGGCGTGGTCGTGCAATGATGATTAGAGCCGAGTTTGAGAGAAACCGGTCAGTAGTGGACGTGAATTTGGTTGTCACTCTGGTCTAACTGGCAGATGGTGTTGTCATGTATCAGTGACGTGACTGAGCCTAGAGCCCTTGCCCAGATTCTTGAGAAAGCAGAGACGCGTCTCGCAAGCAAGTTGCATCCCGACCCTTACATCCGTGAGTCTCCGCGTCTCCGTCATATCACCTCCTCTAAAAAAAGTTTATTTTTCCTAGCTCCTTCCATGCCAGGAGGAACAAAGTGGTATGTGATGAACCTTTATTCTCGTATTCGTCCTTTGTTGACTCCAAAACTCATACAGGGAACGCAATATACCTGTATGTTGCATCTTTCCCTTTTGTGCTATTATCGTGACATTTCCTTCCACAGCCTACCATTGCTCCTTTATATGATCACACAGCTGCCGTACATCATTAAATATTGTATACCTGCTTCAGCATTCAATGCACTCCGTTGTGTTGAACACCGGTCATCTTGCTGTGTTTGCTGTACTGTCGTCATCTAATCCCTTTCTGGAACATCGGCATTTTCAGTAGCACGAGGTCTAACGTACTATCAGTATGACATGCACTAGTGATGCTGGCGTTGAACTCGTCACCCTTACCGAACGACTTGACGTTACGTCCACTGCTTACAGTCTCGAATACACTGATATTTGGACCACAAATGTAAGATTCACCAGTAACGACAACCCATCAATCGTCCTTTGATACCGCCGCATGTACATTCTACTCACAACCATTCCGTGTCCTTTTTTTACTTACAATGCACATCCCATCCCAGAGCACTGATCAGATTCGCTGATCGTTCGGGTGCCGACCGGAAAATAGGGTATCGAAGACGCTCCTTTATCTTCCGAGGGCCATTACAAGTGTCGAAATTATATTGGTCGCTGCAGCGACAGACTTCGCCGATATGGAATCCATGACTTGTGTCCCTACCAACAACATTCTCCAGTAGTCAAGTGCGGGCGAGGCACAACGAGACCTCCTGTGCTGTCAGCAGGCCGATGTTGATGGTGGTTTGAAAGATGGCTAACTCCTCGAGAGCGCTTTGTGTGCTAGGGCCGATTGTCAGTCCGTCCACGTTGGATGTTACGAAGAAGTTAACAAGGAAGAGGAGCAAATGGTTGAACGTGCCCGGCCCTTTTTGGATGTCGTCAACTGCTGCCTTAGAACATTCGAATCTGCGATGTCGTGATCTTTAAACCATCCTTGAATTCGGAAGGTGGAAAATGGCGGCAGGAGAGAGATGTTATCGCAAGAGTGGCTACCTCGCTCGAGATGTAATGGCTAATGCTTCATGTCATCAATAATAGGAAGCCTCATCGGGCAATGCAGAGGACCCCATCTCTAGTCATCCACCGGAAGCGAGTCAATCGCGAAAGGACAATTTCATCGTCTGCAAGGGTCCCAAGGAAAACAAGATTGGATTGATAGAAAATATTTTATAGCTGAGTAAGCCCCAGCAGTTCTGAGCTGGGAGAACGCTCGGGAACCTGATCTGTTAAGACACAGGGATACCACGGTGGGCTAGTAGAACTCTGCAAAGTATAAAAAGATGACAGAGCAGAACCTCTGCCATCTGTTATACTGTGCAGAGACATAACAAATATGGAACTAAAACAGTAAGTACGTATCCTGGATGCTCGATAAACGAGGTAGAATTGGTCTGTGCCTGGATTTAGCCGTGCCACTCAACCTGAAGGACAAGCCGTTGTGAGTGCATTTTGACTGGGCAAAACGAGCAAGATCATCTGATGATCCATTTACTGATATATTACTACAGGCGTAGCAAGGTGACCATATGCCTTGTTATTTTGCTAACTGCAACCGTCTGCTCAAGGGCTGGACCGGCCTGAACAGAACGACGATGTACAGAAAATGATAAACTCATACTTTTGAGAGGGTGAACTGTGCTTCGGGCACGGGCCAGATGAGTCATAATGTGTGGAGTGTTGCATATACAGATCTTGCCACTCCTATGGGCGATTATCGTGTGCTAGCTGGCGTCAGTCAGACGAGAGGATAGGGTAGTTGTGAGCCTCGGCCTCAAATGAAGCGAGAATTCAGAATTTGGCAGGTGCGCACCACTGGCGAGGTCGTCGTCAGATAAACTGGCGAAAAGTTTTGTGTGCCCTTCGAACTCAACGGAGCTCTTTGACCTGCTTAATATCCTTTTAACAGTGCGTCGAGCCTCAACGAACGTAAAAGTCAAGTGGTCGATGGTTGCGTGCGTTGAACAATCAAAGTCAGTCAAATCCGTTTATCCGGTGGCGTATCTCCCCTTGTGACTTGCTTCTAGAAAGGAAGGGAACTCGGCGAAGCCACAAACGACATTTTTTATCAATGACCTGAAAGGGCCGGTTTGGGTTGAATATACTGCCCTGCAATTGCCCTGAAAGATGTTTCACGAATCATCAAAATTTTGGAACGACTGTCTTCTTTCTTCGATATGTCGACTCATAGATAAGTAATCGACAAGAAGCATTCGATCATTCTCAGCTGATTTATTATACTCCCGTCACTGCGACGGGCGCCCACAAGCGCCCACAGGAAGCATTATTCAACCGATTTGAAAGAAAATAAACCGAAGTTTTGGCAGGTAAGATATTGTCAACAGCGCTACTCTCAGCTGAGTTCAACCGCCAACCGAAACAGACAAGCATTGAGTACCAGTGCACGCTGTCTCCTCTTCTTCAACCAACAGTGATGATTTTCAGTGTCTCAAATGCAAGGCACGCCAAGGTACAAACGTCCGTTGTTCCCCGTACGCTAGGGAACGGCTGGGCCAGGCAGGAAACTATTGCGAGAATCATCTCGTGAAAGACACTGCACCTCTACAGATGCGTCGCGTCAGTGAATAAAGGTGCCTTAATCCTTTGACATCCTCTTCATGGAGCTACTAATACGAAAGCTCAGAACCGGCAGAGCCAGCCAGTGGTACCAAAGTAATACCAGTACAGGCTATAAGTTACTCCTACGATATGTGTATGGTGAAATTAGAGTTAAAGTAAAGTTGTCTCGTCAAGGCGTCTTCTGTTGACTCGAGCACTGTCATGGTTGTGGGTGTTTGGAGCGATAACAAGACGAGTGTACCGAATAAATAGAATACAGCAAGATGAACCCAGAATTTTGTCCTGCATGCCCAACAGCTTATCTTGACCTCGGATCAGCCGAGTCTGTGGATATTCGGAACACTTATGCTGATAAGATGATCAAGCGACGCGTGTTATTTGACACTGCATTGCGGTGCCATGAATCGACAAATAGTCTTACATTCTCTCCATGTTCGTCCACAATATCGATGTAGCGTTCTTTGTCTCATGTTGAGTGTACGTATCACAGTCACAGATAAAGTGCAAGAGTGATCGGTTCTACCGAAAATAATTAATTGATACAAATGGGGTATGTAACACAGCCAGCCATGGAACGACGGCGGAATATTCATCAAAATTGCTAAAAATCCAAGGATATTAGCTGGACATCTCTCGGAGTGAACATGCATACGTACTGGGACTTCCACCCACCATCCCGGTGAGCGCTTAAGCTTGTCCTCCAGGGAATGCACTTGACTTGGCGTGGGACAGGTTGCCTCTGGTTCTGTATCCCTCCACAATACCAACACCAGCACCTCTCCTGACGACACACACTCCGAAGGGATGGTCTTCGAGTCTCCAACCACCTTTCCACATGCCATAGTGCAAACGCGAAGACGGAGAGATAGCTCGATGAAGGTAAGTGAATTCGCGGCGAGGAAGAAGTCGTTGTCTGGTAAAGTTTCGTCTGGCTGAATATGATGGAAAGCAATGGTACCCAGGTGCCAAAGTTCCTTCTTGATAATAGGGAAACCAAATAGCTGACGATTGCCGCATGGAGCCCGGGGAGGCCTCACGAGAACGTACTGAGATACGTCTGAGCTGTATTTAGAGGGCACCCATTGCACCGCGGTAGGCATTTCTTGTGAGTCAGAGATCTTTGGACAAGATAAGTGATAGTACACGTCAGATAAATGAAGGTCGACAAGGCACCCACCTGAAGTCTTCTCAGACTTCGTTCTAGTTGGCTTGCAGTAGAGGGCATTTTCGAGAAGTGTTTTGTCAACGAATAAAACGAATAACATGCGCAATAAGTGATACTTTGGCAGACGCCCACGCCACTGGCCCACTGATGCTGACTGGACGCCAATTATGCACTTGGGTTTCGAAGTAATCTGAAAGGGGTTTGGCTCGATGGGGGTATATGTTGCCCTGCAAGATGTTTCACGACTCATCAAAATTTTGGAACGACTGTCTTCTTTCTTCTATATGTCTGTCTGACTCGACTTATAGATAAGTAATCGATCCAATCATTCTCAGCTGATTTATTAACCTCCCGTCACTGCGACGGGCGCCCACAAGTGCCCATAGGAAACATTATTCAACCGATTTGAATTTAAAAAAATCGAAGTTTTGGCAGGTAAGATATTGTCAACAGCGCTACTCAACTGAGTAATTCAACCGCCCAATCGAAACAGACAAGCAGTGAGTACCAGTGCACGCTGTCTCCTCTTCTTCAACCAACAGTGATGATTTCAGTGTGCACGATGTTTTACACACCACATACGTGTGGATGCCAGAAGGACTCAAAGTTTGTCCAATGCGAGGCACACCAAGGTACAAACGTCCGTTGTTCCCGGTACGCTAGGGAACAGCTGGGCCAGGCAGGAAACTATTGCGAGAATCATCTCGTGAAAGACACTGCACCTCTACAGATGCGTCAGTGAATAAAGGTACCTTAATCCTTTGACATCCTCTTCATGGAGCTACTAACTTGAACGCTGCAGAACCGGCAGAGCCAGCCAGTAGTACCAAAGTAGTACTAGTACAGGCTATAAGTAACTCCTACGATGTGTGTATGGTGAAATTAGAGTTAAGGTGAAGTTGTCTCGTCAAGGCGTCTTGTACGTCTTCTGTTGACTCGAGCACTGTCACGGTTGTAGGTGCTTTGAGCGATAACAAGACGAGTGTACTGAATAAATAGAATAAACCAACATGAACCCAGAATTTTGTCCTGCATACCCAACAGCTTATCTTGACATCAGATCAGCCGAGTCTGTTGATGATCAAGCGACGCGTGCCGCTATTTGGCACTGTATTGTGGCGCCATGAATCGACAAATAGTCTTAAGTCATTCTCTCCCGAAGTGTTCCTTCACATTGATATTGATGTCGAGTGTACGTATCACAGTCACAGATAAAGTGTAAGAGTGATTGGTTCTACGGCTTCTACCGCAGAAAATAATGAATTGGTACAGATGGGGTAGGTGACACAACCAGACATGGAACGATGGCGGAATACTCATCAAAATGGCTAAAAATCCAAGAATATTAGCTGAACATCTCTCGGAGTGAAGATGCATTACGCACTGGGACTTCCACCCACCATCCCGGTGGGCGCCCAAGCTTACCCTCCAGGGAATGCACTTGACTTGGCGTGGGACAGGTAGCCTCGGGTTCTGTATCCCTCCACAATACTAGCACCAGCACCTCTCCTGACGACACACACTCCGATGGGATATCCTTCGAGTCTCCAACCACCTTTCCATATGCCATAGTGCAAACGCGAAGCTGGAGACATGATTCGAGGAAGGCAAGTGAATTCATGGCCAGGAACGAGTGGTTGTCTGGTAAAGTTTCGTCTGGCAGAATATGATGGAAAGAGATGGTTCCCAGGTGCCAAAGTTCCTTTTTGATAATAGGAAAACCAAACAGCCGTCGATTGCCGCATGGAGCCCGGGGAGGCCTCACGAGAACGTACTGAGATACGTCTGAGCTGTATTTAGAGGGCACCCATTCCACTGCGGTAGACATTTCTTGTGAGTCAGAGATCTTTGGACAAAATAAGTAGTAGTACACGTCGGATAGATAAAGATTGACGAGGCACTCACCTGAAGTCTTCTTAGACTTCGTTCCAGTTGACTTGCAGTGGAGGGCATTTTCGAAGTGTTGTGTGAGTGTCAACGAATAAAACGCACGCAATAAGTAAACTTCTTTGGCAGATGCCGGTACGCTAGGGAACGGCTGGGTCAGGTAGGAAACTATTGCGAGAATCATCTCGTGAAAGACACTGCACCTCTACAGATGCGTCAGTGAATGAAGGTACCTTAATGCTCTGGCATTCTCTTCATGGAGCTAGTATTAACACGATGGCTGCAGAACCAACAAAGCCAGCCAGTAGTAGTACCAAAGTAGTACTAGTACAGGTTATATGTTATTTACATGTTATTCCTACGATACGTATACTATGAAATTGAAGTTAAACAAAGTCTCGTGAAGGTTTCTGTCTTGTATCTCTTCTGATAAGAGGTTCGAGAGAAGACAACCCTCGAAAATCTTACTGAGTCGGCGTGCCCTCAAGCACTGTCGCCAGTGCGGGAGCGACAAAGAGCCGAGTGCACTGAATAAATGGTATGCATACAGCAAAATGAGCACGGGATTTTTCCTGCAACCTCACAGCTGGCTAGCGGAGTCTGTGAATACTATTCAGAACATTTACGCTAATACTAGCCTAGAATATCAAGCCATGCGTGTTATTCACTGTGCAAATATTGCTTCCTGATTCATTTCATACCTCTCACTGCTGCTGTCACGTACGACATGCACTGTGACATTATGCAGGATTGCTCGCAAGGACTTCAGGCAAAAATGCTTTCCACTATGCGATCGAAAAATCGAACAGTACATTCAGTAGACTAATTGTCTCAGAACCACGCCCCCTCGACCTGTCGTCTCACGCAGCTGCGCAGGCAAAGTAGCGAGCTCCTTGTTCTTCTGCTCAGCACTCCTACACAGCATCGCATTCTCGAAGTCGATCAACGTGACAGTTCCGTCTGACGCCACAACGAAGTTGTGTTTGTTCAGATCCCCGTGAATGATGTCTAGTGCATGCAGGCGCTGTAGCACATCACGACATCCCTGTAAGTCTTCTGGACCAGCTGGTCGTCCGTGCAATTGTTCTACTAAGAACCCTATCACCCTATCACCCTCGACGATGTGCCCAAGGAATGCTGGGCCCACATCACACCCGTCGATCGCTCGATACGCTGCGGTTTCTCTTTCCATCCGCGGGATCTCAAAATCAAACCTGGCAATCTTGGAGACCACTGGCCTCGAAGCGTACTGGACGACCCGAACGCGTGGGGTCATGAATTTTACGGAGGGTAGCGAGAGGGCATCGACTCTGTTTGAATGCCACTGCTCGCGCACTTCTGGTAGTGTGGTATTCGTAGGCTGCACAGTGGGATTGCCATCGGATCCCCGCGCCACACGCGCCTCGACCCAATTGCCTGGCGGCAGATGTGGCAGGAGGGGGAGTAGGTCCATAGGGAAGGACAGCACATCACTAGGGAAGGTTCCCGGTTCGATGGTGATATATTTCACTTGACTGCCTACGCGCAGGCGATATAAGCTTTCCTCAACATCGGAATGTAAAGTGTCCACAGACATCGAAAGAACTTCCTGTGCAATTGTGTTTGTAAATCCGGTTATGCGCATGAGAGGGATTAGAAATTTCGTTATTACCATGTCGAGGGTAGAAGTCATCAGGTCCGCGTGTCCCATCTATGTTGACCATGTCACTGCCTGCAATGTTGTTGAAGGACTAGATGATGCACTCACTATATACGACAATGATTAGAAGGAGGAATGCCTGTCTGCCTGTCGTCTATGGTCTAGGACTCGATAGTATGATTGTGAAAATGTTGTAGTCGCGATGCGACGTTGATTTTCAGCCGTTGGGGCTTGTTCCGTTGAACTATGTGAACGAATAAAAGTCGATTTACAGCTGTTTTAGTAAATGATGGCAGTGGCGTCGTTTTTTTATTGTATAATAAAATCACCCAGCTAGATCAGTTTATCCAAATTGGCGGGGCCAAGGTGGCGCAGATTCTCGGTTAATTACAGCTGGACGGACAGCCCAGGGGCACAAGGAAGCCTTAATCTAACAAACAAGAGGACTCTGTAAAGATACAACGTGACAAACCAGCATATGATCAATTCAACAACTTGAAGGGGTTCCAGGTTTGTTCCCAGGCTGTCCTGGAGGTTCAGTGAATCTCAAACGGAACGATCGTCTTCCTTCTTCCATATGTGACCTAGTGCTGCCGCCGTTCGGTCAGTGGTTCGACATACAATGCAGGACCAGACCCTGGGTTCTTCGTTTGGGCAGTCTTGGATCGCCGTCGGATCTGTTCGGACGAGTCTGAACCATCACTGTAAGTTTATTTACCCTTCCGTTCTGTGACTCATGATAATCAGTTTTGTGATTTTATGATAAGTTGATATGCACTCTATTCAATATCTTACTGTTGCTCACATCGCAAAAGACTACCTTGCTATACAGGGGTCTGCGGTTGTATCTGAATGGCCGCATCGGCATCACCGGGACCACATGCCATAACTCCTCGCTGGCAACGACATTCGAGGCACTTCAACCGTTGAAGAGTGCATACCATCAAGGTCATGTCTCAGCAATGGTGCAAGCTGAGCTCGTTGCCCTTCAAAATATTGTTGTTAATAGTTGATCATAACCTACAGTTGTTTGTAGATCTCTTGGCAAATTTTGCAAATTATTATGTCGCATTCAGTGATTCGAAGTGGTCCGGCCCAGAGTCCACCCTACTTGTGTGAACTAGACCAAGGTTTGGTTCTCGGTCCTCAGTTATCTTGAAAAAACTGGACGGAACCGAACTTCGGCAACACTAATTACAATGCCTGTGTTTGACTAGGTCGGACTAGATAAGCAGCCATCAATCATCAGGGGGTTGATCTATTAACCTCCCTACGCCACAGTGGCGGGCGCCCACTGGGCCGAGCGCTCATAGGAATATCGATGAGCAGTCATCCAATTTGAAAAGAGGTTTTAGTGGGTATAAATTGTGAGTAGCTACGTTACTCTCAGTCCAACAAATCTTAACCCACAATTCATCCGCAACACACTAGCAGTGAGCACCAGTGCATGTCTCCTCTTTGTCAGAATGGTCACCAACAGTACTCGATGATTTTCCCAGTGTGCACGATGTTTTACATATCTCATCCCTGTGGATGCCAGAAAGACTCGGAGTTTGTCCAATGTCAGGCTCGCCAAGGTACAAATGTCCGCTGTTCCCCACACAACAGGGAATTGCTGGCCATTTCAGCACACTATTGCAAGAATCATCTTGTGGCAGAGACCGCACGCTTACAGATGCATCAGTGAAGGTACCTTAATCCTCTGACATCCCCTTCATCGACCTACTAATGTGAATGCTGCAGAAATGGCAAAGCCAGATTGTAGTATAAGTTAGAACCCGCTGGCACTAGCCAATCTATAAAACCGACTACGGGAACGATGTCAAAGAGGTGTTGTGCATTGTAAAAATACGGAATTTACTTGTCACTCGCTTCTCGTTGCAAACTTCACTTTCTACACCTAACAGCGGATGCGTCACAGTGCAGCACCATTTCATGAGCGATCCGTGTATGTCCTGGTGGAGCGCCGCAAACATGATATTGATAAGTAGCTGTGCAGCAGATCGGTCATCCTCTTCATGGAGCTACTAACGCGAAGCCAGTACAAGTGCTACGCTACGTACATAGCATTGACTGGCTCTGGTTAAGCTCATAATTGACTTGATACTTACAATGATTCTGCTACTACGTGTTCGACACACAAGACAGCAGAAATTCAGTAGTCTGGTCATAGTAGAAGCCCTGATCGATGATCATGGGTACCCCTTGTACTGGACAGTGAATATCTAATTTAAATTCCTCAATCTTTCTCCCTCAGCATCCACGATAAAAACACCCCCTCTGCCTGTTGTTTCACTCAGCTGCACAGGCAAAGTAGCGAGCTCTTCATTCTTCTGCTCAGCACTCCCACACAGCACCGCATTCTCGAAGTCGATTAGCGTAACAGTTCCGTCCGACGCCACACGGAAGTTGTATTTGTTCGGATCTCCATGGATGATATCTACCGCATGCAGGCGCTGCACCGCGTCGCGACATTCCCACAAGTCTTCTGGACCAGCCGGTCGTCCATGCACCTGTTCAACCAAGAACCCTATCACCCTGCCACCCTCGACGATGTGCCAAGGAATGCTGGGCCTACGTCACGCCCGTCGATCGTTCGGTACACTGCAGTTTCTCTTTCCATCTGTGCGATCTCATAGTGGAACCTGGCAATTTTGGCGATCACCGACCTCAAAGCGTACTGGACAACCCGAACACATGAGGTTATGATTTTCACGAGGGGCAGTGCAGTGAGAGATCATCCACTCTGTTCGGATGCCACTGCTCGCGCACTTCTGATAGCGTGATGTCCATGAGCTGCGCAATGGGATTACCATGCGGGCCTGGACCCAATTGCCTGGTGGTAGAGGTGGCAGTAGGGGCAGCAAGTCCATAGGGAAGGATAGCACATCACTAGGGAAGGTTCCCGGTTTGATGGTGACATACTTCACTTGACTGCCTATGCGCAAGCGATATATACTTTCCTCAGCATCGGTGTCTGAAGTGTCCACATACATCGAAAGAATCTCCTGTATCATTCTGATCGTAAGTACAGATTCGCACATGAAAGGCATTCCTACCATGTCGAGGTCAAAATTCGCCGAATCTGCGTCTCCCATCTACGTCGACCATGTTACTACCTGCTATCTTGTAGAAGGCATAGCTGCCGAACTCACGGTACCCGGTACTACACCCTACTATGATATATAGAGTATACCCCCGGGTACCACCTGGGCGTGGTGACCTCGCTGGTGACCCCTATATCTATGTATAAAAAGAATGCCTGTCTTCCTTCGTCTGTGTATTGGGAGGCGTGATGGATGTTAATTTTCAGCTGTTGGCGCAATTGTGCTAAAGGAGAGAGGGCAAGTAATGAATAAAATGGTTAAATGTTGATCATATCGTATTCAAATTTCAATGGGCGCTACTATGTATGCCGCATGCGAGACTGCGTAAAAGTCAAGCGTAAAACTAAGTCACACGTGACCTGCTACCTAAGCTTCACGCCACGTCGACGGAGTTTCGGTTTCGTCACCTATATTGTGAAGTCGAAGTCGAAGTCGAAGTTCCACAAAGTCGTCTCATGAATGTTTCAGCATCACTATTATGCTCTTCTGGTGAGACAGTCGATTGAGAGAGAAAACAACTGCCGAGATGTGTGCTGAGTCGGCGTGCTCTCGGGTACTAACAAGCTATCGCGGGTGTTGAGAGCGACGACGAGAGGAGTGCATAGAGTTTCAGTCATTGGGGAAGTTATTCTGCTGAAAGAGGGGTGAACCACCAATAAAAATCAACCAAAGATTTATAATCGAAAGTATTGAAATCACGAAATTGAAGCTAAGCAAATGGGTCCTATTTCTGATTTTCGTATAAGTAAAGGAGGGCTGGTGACCGCTCGATATAATATTCTTATTGACAGTCCTCAGCCCTCGTGTTGAAAGCCCGAATACACATCAATTTTTTGATCGTTGAAACTTGCTCTGATGCTGCGACTCAAAAATGAAGTGCCCGTCCACCATGTATTGTTCCACGCATCTGAATGTGTCTTGGTGGACCCCGTCCCGCAAAGATGATTCCTGCAAGTCACCGTGCAATAGCGGATTGGTCAACATCCATTGAAACCATCAGTTGCATGGAACTTGATGAATCTGGGAGATCGTCGAGCTACCTGCGACCATGAGACCCTCCACCACTGCTGCTTGTCGTGCCGGCCGGCTGGAGTGGGTAAACACGCTCCAAGCGCCATCGTGGAGGCATCCTCAGCCTGCCATGAGACAAGCATGAGTAGTAGCAGAGGAACGCCTTGCACCAATGCACGTCTGGAAGGGAATCGAGATCAGACGACTCGGACGGTGGGTCATTTGCTGCTGCGGCCGACGAAGCGGCAGGCTGCTGTCTAGATTGATGTCGAGTATCATCGACTTTCTTGTATTCTGGTAGCCTAGCAGCTGCAAGCCGCTAAAGAGCATGAATCAGCATCAAGGTAAGAAGAAGTAAAAAGATCGACGTTACAGTAAACTTGCGTCCGGCTGGGACTTCAATTTCCGGTGGTTCGTGGTTGGGCCTTGACCGCAAAGAAATGTGCTGCCGCAGGAACTGTGTAAGGCCGCTTGCGTGACGAGGAGGAGGACTTGTTTCTAACTGGACATGCGCTCAGTCATGGATCATTGATTAACTAAAAGTAAGGACTGACATTTGTCACCTGGGCCAAGAGAGAGTGAGGTAGGGCAGATGTAGCAGGGAACTGGACGGCAATCTTCGAGTCAACTGCGGCAGGACAAAGATCAAAAGACATACATCTAGGGGGTCACGAGGCTGGACGTTCGAAATTGCATTCGCGCGAGGAGGCAATCGAAGAAGTTTTCGGAGGCGGCGGACGAAGATGGATTGTTGCGGGTCTACTGTAGGTGGTGGTCTTGGCCTAGGGGGGTAAGAAATGACAGGGGATGTCACTGGGTTACGGCGCACAGCACCAGGACGGCGAGTTGCATCAGACTGCAACGGTGGCCATATGAATGGGTGGCATAATGAGCAGAAGAATGAAATGTATGTAATACACATACCTTTAGTAGATTTGACTTTTTGTGTGCGCTGGTCTGTAAAGACGTATTAGCGCACGCACAATCGAGATAAGTAAACGTACACTGGTCTGTGCGTCTGACGCAAGACCGATGCTGGCCAGGATCTCGGCTGGAGTGTTGTGAATATAAATGTCACTACCACTTGCGTAAGCTAGTTGACGTGAGTCGGGTGAAAGGGTTAAGCAGTGGACAGGCAGAACGTCGAATGAGGCGAGGAGATGGCGGGACTCGAAGGCCCAGAGCTTGATAGTTTCGTAGCAGGCGGTAACGAGGAAAGTATTATCAGATGAAAGCGCCAGGCCTGCGAGAACCTTGGTGTGCCCTTCAAAGGGGGCTCCAACAGTCTTTAGGGTGGATGCATCGAATTCATAGACCGTCCTGGCAGGGTCATCCGTGAAACTGAATACAGCGATGATGGTCGAGTTCTTCTTTGCCCAAAACATTGATGCATATGTCATTGGGTCGTAACCAAACTTTCCTGCTCTGACGTCCACTTTCTGTTTGTGTACGTCCCACACCTCAAGGCACTTCCCCACATCCGACATTACTGCAAGTTTCTTTGAATCTTGCGAGAACCGAATTGCGCCCACACCCTGAACACTTGTGAATGGTCCAACTGCCAATTTGCCAGTCTCCAAGTCCCATATCCGAGTCGACCGATCGAGTGCCCCATTCGCCAGCAACGTGCTGTCCGCAGAGATATCAATGCAATAAGTTTCTTTTGAGTGGCCTTCAAACGTCTTGACGATGCCCGTCTGAACATCACACGCTTTGAGCTCCCCGCGACCAGAATGTGAACCACCAGTGACAACCCAACGACCATCCCCTGAAACTGCCACCGCACGGACTTGCCGCTGACAATCATCCCGCAACTTCCGGATCTCCTTACCCACCTGCATATCCCATTGCCGAGTGGTAAGATCATCTGATCCGCTGATCATTCGCTCGCCGCTCGGAAAGTAGGATATAGCGCGAATTTCCTCTTCATGACCCCGCAAGGTCATTGCCGGCGCCAGAACCATTGTGGTGTCTGTAGTGGTGGACTGCATTGATGTAGACGTCATGACCTGTATCTTTGCAAGCGAGAGACAAATAGCCATGTTAGAGAGCGAGAACTAAGGTAACGCGAGTCTCAGTCAATGGAAGAAAGACTAGTTCATGTATGCTAACCTAAGGTAACGCGAGTCTGTAGGGCGCTAGTAAGTATCATGTATAGTATAATGTGAATGGTATACGCACCTCAGTCAATGGAAGAAAGACTGAGGTGCGGGTGTAGCGTCTAGCCATCCTTAAGTAGCAAAGAGAAAAATGGTCAGTAACTAGGGTGGATGACAGTCAGTGACAGTGGCAGCTAAGGTACATAGAACTGGAACCGTTAGATATATCTATCTGGAACCGGCTCAGTGCTCTGACGGATCACCTCTCAACACTCCCACTCGTCAGAGCGCCTGGCAGGTCTTGACGACGTAGTCCCATGTTTTCCCGATGCTGGACCCCAGCTGGGCGAGGTAACGCCTTCGTTAGACTATCAGCAATCATCTCTGAGGTGGATTTGTACTGGAGTTCGATCTTGTTTGTGTCGACGAGGTCACGGATGAGATGGTAGTGGACGCGAATGTGCTTGGCTCTTTCGTGGAACCTTGGATTCTTCGAGAGTGCAATACTGGACTGGTTGTCTCCATATAGGAGTGCGGGGTCGTAGAGTTCAGGGTCGAGGCGGAAGTCATGTAGAAGCTGGATCAGATATAAGGCCTCGCGTGAAGCGTTCGATAGACCGATATATTCGGCTTCCGTGGTCGAGGTAGCGACCACAGATTGCTTCTGCGACTTCCAACTAATGGGCCCTCCGAAGAGTTGATAAACATAAGCGCTGGTGGACTTGCTATCGTCCCGATCTGCAGCATAGTCCGAATCCGAGTGCCCAACGAGTCCCTCGTTTGACGAGCCGAAGATAAGTACTAAATCCGTAGTTCCACGAATGTACCGGAGAAGATGTTTGAGTTGACGATGATGGTCGATACTGGGATTCTCCATGTATCGGGAGAGGCATGAAACTGGGTAAGCGATGTCGGGGCGAGTGGTTCGCATAGCGTAGTTGAGTTCCCCGATAGTTTGGCGATATGGGATCGACGCAATGGCGTCTGCTTCTTCACTCGTTGGGGGGCGAGTGGCCTTCTGCAAGGTTACTCCAGGTGTCATAGGCGTACTGACGGGATTGCACAGTGTCATGCCGGCGTTCTTGAGAATCTTCTCAAGGTAAGCCTTCTGGCTAATGGTGAGGAGCCTCTTCTCTCGGTCGCGCGTAATGTGCATGCCAAGGAAGTGGCGAGCAGGACCGAGATCTGATAAGTCGAAGCGTCGCTTTAGCTCTGTCTTGAACTTGTCCAGGTAATCGCGAGAGTTCGACGCTGCAAGCATGTCGTCGACGTAGACGACTAGCCATATGACTTTGTCCCCCTCGTGGAGGACATATAGACTGTGGTCAGCTTCGCTCCTTACGAATCTGAACCCCTCTATCCGCAAGTACTCATCCAGCGTCTGGTTCCACTCATACCCCGCCTGCTTCAACCCATAAAGCGCTTTCTCCAGCTTCCACACCCAGTCCGGATGTTCAGGGTCTTCAAAACCAGCCGGTTGCTTGAGGTAGATGTCCTCCTTGAGGTCAGCGTTGAGGAAGGCAGTACGTACGTCCATCTGGTCTAGTTCAAGGTCGAATTTCGCCGCGAGGGCGAGGAGAATACGAACCGTGTCGTACTTGGCGACAGCCGCGAACGTTTCTGTATAGTCGATCCCCTCGACTTGCGTGTATCCCTGCGCAACGAGGCGTGCCTTGTGACGTGTGATGTTGCCTTCTTCGTCAGTTTTTACCGTGAATACCCATCTCGAACCAATCGCTTTGCGTCCTTCTGGGAGTGGCGTGAGTTTGTGAGTTTTGAGGTCCTGCATTGACTGCAGCTCAGATTTGCAGGCGTCTGACCATTGAGGCCACTCAGGTAACGACCGAGCTTTGTTGATGGTTTCGGGTATGATTATGTTTGAGCGTTTGGGAGGTTCGGTAGCTGTGTGCATTGCGGATTCGGTACTGTCATTGTCGTGCTGACTGGTCGAGGAC